GAACCTCTTCTTTCATAACGAATTAGATCAACATTTTTTTATACAATTTTACTGAAAACCTGGTAAAAAGAGTGCAGAAAAGAATCAGAAGAAATTATAAGAAACGTCTACTTCAATCAATATGAAGATTTTCTCGAGCGCAATGATCTCAGGATCGGGTTAAATAAAATATCATTTCCTAAGAAATTTCCGAAGAAATGGTTTTTACGACAGATTGTTATTGACAAATTTTTCCAGTTTAATTCATTATAAAAACCATATTCAAAAGCGTTTTATGAAGAATTATTGTTTTTATGAGAAAAATTTTTAGCGATGAATTTTTTAAATAAGACAAATAGAAGAGCTTTTAATTGAAGAAACTGTGAAGAAAAAAATTTTTTCTTTCAGAATTTTGTTTTTCCAAAAGATCCGAAATTTTTCGAGCAAAAATTATCCCGAAAAAGTCACATTTGCCCAGTCTGGTTTTCTCGACGGGCAAGTCCTTCTCGATCAAGCTGCATTTTTCCTGCAACCAGAAGCGCTCAACAGATTCTACCACTTTTACTACTATCAGGTAACCCTACCTCTCCTTCCCGTCAAAATTGCTAAATACACTCTTTTTCCCGCTAGAACAAAAACTGCTGATTTGTCCCTTCTGTCGCCTCATTTTCCGATAAGCGCAATTTTCGCGCAAAGATTCGATAATTTTCTTGAATATCTCGTAATGCTCGTAATTCCCTTAATTATTGGACTCATTACCAGCCTTCAGAAGCTGATTCTTCGGTCAGATCCAGACGTGTCTTTTTGCTTCTATCTTTTTAATTTCGATGATTTTGAATTTCGGAAATCCCGAAGTTGGAAAAAATCAACCGCGAAATTTGGCTCTAATTTTAAAATTTTCTGATCGAATTTTTGATCATTTTTTTACTACTGAAATTCGAAAAGTCAGCAGAAACCATTTTACGGGTGAGCTGTACTTGTATGTTCCGACTGCGGCAATTACAGAGAGCCCTTGATTCCTGATGATCACCTTATTTGAATATTTTTAATTTTAATTTAGAGTCCGCTTCGAGTATTGCTCAATTTCAAATAACGTTTTACGATTTTTTCTCGAAAAATATCAGACAATCAAAATCCTTTATTCGGCGATTCAGCCAATCAGCTATCGGCTTTTCCTGAAGGACATGGATTCACTAAGGAAATGCTTGTCGCTGATTGGCTGGATGGCCGAATCAAGGCTTTTGATTGGCTGAAATTTTCGTCCACGATTTTGTTGCTTAGTAATTGCGTTCACAGGTTACTTTTTTCTTTTTATTATTTTATGAAATAAGCATTTGGTTGTTTATTTATTCTCATGTCTAGTCGGAACGTCAAAATATGAAATTATGGTGTCTGAACGTCACGTTTTCAGGGATGAACTCGGAAAAGAGCCCGACTGCGGCGCCTTTGAAATTGACACCTTGTGGTGCTGACTGCACCAAGCCCCTGTTTCACGCAAATTATACATTCCCAATCTTACATCTCATTTCCGCCACAATCCAAAACTACCACCAGCCAAATCCAGCCAAACATCATTTTCGACAGTTTCTGATTTTTTCTGGCGTTGATTATTTTTCTTTATCGACAAATTTTCGACATTTTTTCGACACAAGGAAATATCAAAAATTAAATTTCATCGAAACCTGTGTGAAAACCTGAGTAAGGGTCTGAAGAAGTCCAATCAAAAGCCGCGTAGCGGCTTTCAAATGAAGCCGCGAAGCGGCTTTTCCAGAATATTCACCTTGATTGGAATTGCAATTTTGAAGCCGCTTCGCGGCTTTCTTTTCAAAAGCCGCTCTGCGGCTTTTCATTTTCCTTTTCGAGACCCTGACTCAGGTTTATTACTTTGCAAAATTATCATTCCAATAAATTCGCGGCTTCTATTTAAAAGCCGCCCCGCGGCTTTGCCCCGGAGATATTTCAGACCCTGACTCAGGTTTTCTACACAGGTTGCCGAGCCCAGGTCTTGCTCAAATTTAATTACAGTCTTCCACGAGTCGATAATCCCCGGACGTCGTTAATGATCGTTTCGTATTTCCAAAACTTGGACTCTTCATTTTAGCGCTCAATGAAGTCATTTTTCAAATTGCGAAAGAGGCGCGTTTTAGAAACAGTACATCGCTCAAGAAAGGATCGAGATTGACATAAACAGAAACCGGATTCTGGCGTGTTTTGCGGCTTGAGCATTTTCTCTCTTCGTTTTTGATCGTTGCGTCATCGAATAAAATGCTGACGTGAAAGAACGCTCATTTCACGGAGAATGACTCGTAGCTGCTTGAATTCTTGAGACGAATAGCTGAAATATTCGAATAAGAAATAAGTGAAAATCTCATTTTCTATTTTAGATACAAGAAAATGATCGCTACGGATGCCACTGCCAGCTCAAAGACCTGGTTTCGCAAGACTACATCGACTATCAGGAAAAGGTTTCAAAAGAAAATTTTTTGAAGAAAAAAATTCGCGAAAATTTCGCCGGTAACGTAAGAGGTCGCCCCAAAATGTCGATAATCACGGCGCGGGGTCATGTAATGATCCAACACTGTTTCCTTGGCAAAATCATTAGCCAAACGCTAGTTTTTCCTTCCAGAAACGGACATTCATTGAAACCGAATTTGAGGAAGGGGAAGAGCATTTTCAGTACCACGGAAGACCCAAGGATTCGCTGGACAAGGGATGCCATGATCACAGGGAATGCTTGAAGTTAGTATCAAAATAATGAATTTGATCAGTTTTTGACTCAAATTCAGCTCGGAAACCTTTGCAGGAAATCTGAGTAAGGGTCGAAAATATCTCAAATGAAAAGCCGCGCAGCGGCTTTTTCAAAAACAAAGCCGCGAAGCGGATTCGACAGACTTTTGAAATTCAATTAAAAGATGATTTTGCGAAGCCGCTTTGCGGCTTCGTCCTTAAAAAGCCGCAAAATCATCTTATAATTGAATTTCAAAAGTCTGTCGAAGCCGCTTTGCGGCTTTGTTTTGAAAAGCCGCTTCGCGGCTTTTTATTTGAGATATTTCAGACCCTGACTCTAATTCAAAAATTCCAGCGAAGCCGCTTCGCGGCTTAAAATTTAAAAAGCCGCTGCGCGGCTTTTCATTTGATTGATTTTTGACCCTGAGTCAGGTTTTCTTCTCACTCGTTGCCGAGCTTTTTTTTCATTTTGACTAATTTTTATCTTTCAAGGTGCGCTCAACGAAACCTTGGCTGCGCCGCGGACGGTATCAGCGAGCACTTCCTCTCTTACGCGATCAGCTCGATCGGTTACTGCGCCGATGACCTGAACACGTGCGAGCGCGCCTATTGCGAGTGCGCGCGTCAGTTCCTCGAGGACATTCACGATAAGGGAGTATTTGAGTACGACCCGAGCAAGTTCTCCAAGCGCGAGGGCAATTTTAGTCCAAATGAAGAGACTTGTTCGAGGGCGGAAACGGGGAATTCAGGAAGTAGTAGTTTTAGCTTGGAAAATTCTGTTTTAGCAAGGAGGAATGAGAGATTTAATCAAAGGTAAGCTTTAACCCATCGAAGCGCGTTGGCCAAAATTTTGGTCAAAAAATAAAAATTTTCTTTTCGATTGAGAAACTGTTATCTTACTTAAGGCCCCCGTTAATTTGTATTAACTTTTTCAAACAGTTATTTCGGGGTGATACCCTTAAGATTTTCGAAATATTTTTTGCTCATTGAGCAGCCTTATATTTAACCAAGGGCAACAAAAGAAAAAGACACTTGTCCACTTCTTAAGGGTATCGCTACAGTAGGTCAAAGTTTCAGATGTCGATATTTATGGGATAACCTTAAATCACAAAAATTATAACAAATCATTAAGGGTGTTTCTTTCCTATTCCACTAAAAAAGAAAACCTGGAAAAATTGTCATAAGAAAGGGAGACCCTTAAATAGAATGATCCCCAATTTATTTCGCCAAAAATAAATCTCTGACACATCAATTTTAGAAGAACATCTTGCTGCTCCCGATCCGGTCGCTTTTCGATAGGTCCCTGGCGGTTATACAACACGGATAAACTAAAGGTAAAAATAAACTCTTAGCGCATTGAAATAAACGCTTGTTCAAATCACCACAATCGCCAGCTAAAATTATTTTCGAATGAGAGATCTTGCGTGTGAACAAAGTGCTGAGCTGGCATTTTTAAGGAGACACAGCTGCTAGAAACTCCTTGTTTTTCTCTGGATTTTGTTTTTTCTAGACTTTTTTCATAAAAACATTTTTCTACAAAAATCGCTTGGAAATATTTTAAAAGAAGGCCACGTGGCCTAAGGATGAACAAGGGGCCACCTGCAAAAATTTTAAGGATGAACAAAGTCTTTGCTTTTTTATGCTTATCTTCTATAAAAAATTGTTTTTCAAAAAGAAAGTTCGCTTTGAAAATTTTCGAAAAAAAGGCTACGTAGCCTAAGGATGAACAAAGGGCCACATGCAAGAATTTCAACGACGAACAAAGCCTCAATTTTTTTAACCAATCTTTCATTTCTGTTCTTTCAAGGATCTTTTCTCGCAAATCTTCTTCCTGAAAAATGTTGTTCTAGTGCTGCGCAGATGGACAAGCAAGGCCGGATTGCTAACACTTAGATCCAATTCGCTTCAAGATCGATTTCAACGGTCATCACTCAGATCCCGAGATGGGAAGAAAAACTGCAACCTTGTAAATTTTGTAACAAAGATGAAAAACAGCAAACATGAACAGAAACAAACTTCTTCACGAAAAAACAGTCCTTACTAATTGAATCAAAATTCTGCAATTTGAAATTAATAAATTATTTCTATATTCTTATCTTTCTTTTTAAATTTTTATGAAGACTTTTGTTTTCTTTTGACGAATTTAAAAACATGTCTGGTCCGGATTTGCGGATTTTGGCACTGGTACTGAAAGATTCTCGTGCCTCGGGGAAGGACTTCAAGCATTTCGTCCCAATCCAATTCTACTAGAACTAAAGAGCGCTTATCATTTTATCAAAAAAGGAAGAAAAAAGATGAAAGAGGGTTTTTGCCAAGGCCAGAGTTTCAGAGCTCCGCTGGGAGGGAGCATTTTATGCTCGCCGGTCAAATCTAACTCAGGAAAGAGATTAAAAAAATAATCAAAAAATTTTTTTTTTTTTGAAATAAAAATTCAAATTAAAAATCTCAAAGTCATTCCCCGCGGAAAGCCGAATTCAAAAGTCGAGCCTGGTCAAAAATGCAAGATCATTTGCGAAGCCGCTTATCCGATTCCCGAGTCGACTTCTTGCGCCGTTACTGGATGGACGGTAAAAAGTGAGACAGTACGATGCGACGCGACGAAGGGAGGATTGAGCCCGGCTGGACAAATGGGAGTTGTTGGCGCGTTTTTGATCGTCGTTTGTTTGGTGACCGCGATTTACCAGTACAAAAAGAGCAAGCCGCAAGTTCGGCCCCAGCCGATCAGAGAATCATATGAGCAGAGAAGTCAACAACTACAGTATCACCAGCAGTTACAGTATCAACAGAATCAGAGTAATTATCAGTCTGTGCAGCCACAACTTCACCAAAATACTGCGTTCTATGTTCAACAATAAAATTTAAAAAAAAATGAAACAGGCTCGAAAACCTGTTTTAAAACCTGAGTCAGGGCTCTGAGCGACATTTTTGGGTCGAAAAAAACTCTCTCAGGATCCAGACTCAGGTTTTAACACAGGTTTTTCGGCCTGAAATTAAAGCTCTTCTTCTATAATGAAACCTGTCTTAAAACCTGAGTCAGGATTCAGGACGAGCTTTTCGGGTCAAAAAAGCTCTCTCAGAACCCTGACTCAGGTTTAAGCACAGGTTTTTGAGCAAAAATCGAAGCTCTTCAAAAATAAGAAAACCTTTGTTAAAACCTGAGTCAGGGTTCTGAACGACTTTTTCGGGTCAAAAATGCCCTCTCAGGACCCTGACTCAGCTTCTAGCACAGCTTTTGAGCCGAAAATTGAATCTTTTCGAAGTTGAAATCAACAAAGAGAACCATTTTTATTCAACCTCTATTTTTTCAGACCATTCTAGAGAGCTTGGATCGTTTGACAGAACTGTAGTTGTACAGTTGCTTTTTGTTCTCTTGAATATTCGTTTCTTTCAAATCGATATTTTTCGTCGTTGTTTGCGCCAAGAATCGTCTTCGCTTTTGCTTCATCTTTCTAAGAACAAAAACTTTCAGCTCTCGAAACTCAAAATTCGACAAATTAAAAAACCGTGAGTAAATCCAAAAGTCAGGGTTCCGCCAAAAGTCCCCAGGGCCACTACAGTCGCGCAAATTAACGGTCTCAGTCGATAGTCGTCCAAGCCGATTCCAAAGATGTATCTCTTCGGCGCTAGAATTTCAGAGCAGAGGATGGACGGATATTCTTCGGGAAAATAATACGGGCGGTTCATTTTTTTCTTTTTCGACTAAAAAGTTGAGTCCACGTGGTTGCGCTTGAAAGTAGATGAGAGAGGGCTGAATTATTCAGTTAACCTGCTTGTCACGGGAAAATGCGGGAGTGGAAGAAAAGAAGAATGAAAATTATAAATAAAATTATTCATAAATCTATCGTTTACCGACTCTTAGAATCCATTTCCGGGACAAAAATTTTAAAACTCCGAAATTTCGAAAAACTGACGGGGGGTCCTTTAAAGGAACCCCTTATATAAAAATAATTTAGTACATATTTTAATAAAAATAATTTTTCTAATTTGATTTTTGACAAAATTTGAGCACTTTTTTCTTAAAATCAAAAATAAAGCGAAATTCTTCCTTGATTTCAAAAAGCGGAAAATTCTATGAAAAACTTGAGCTTCGCTTGGTTTATTTTAAAATGGCGAAAAACGCAAAGCTCATAAACTTATCGCTGCGAGCTCTTGTTCAGTTGCCCTAAATTTTGAAATTTACACGAAAAACTAGACTTTGCGTAGAGTTCTTCGCGCCTTATCGCTATGCAATTATCATGTTTAAACATGCTCGGATGAGTTGATGCTAAAACTCAAATTTGATGCAAATTTTCAAATCAGCTTTTGTCTGCTAGACAAAACTAGAATAGCCAATAAAAGCGTTCGAAATCCAGTCAAAAACGAGTCAAAAATCAGGTTTTCTACACGGGTTTCCGAGTTTACTATGAGAAAATACAGTAATTTAGCAAAATTACAGTTCAATTACAACACTGAAAGCATTTGAACTCGCCGTGCCTTTTTGTGGTGTGGTCTGTTCGCGGCTCGTTGGAAATTGATCGCGAGTCTCAGAGACGGGAGCTTTTTGATGAGCGAAGCGATTTCAAAAATGATGCAAGAACTCAAATCGAGAGGGCGAGTCTCTGAGACGTTGGAATTGGCCCTTGAAAAACCCAAAAATTTTTTGACTCGAAAAAGCCAACCCTTTTGAAATTTTAATTTTCGCCTTGGTTTTTTGACGAAATCGGAGTGCCAACAAATCCAGACCAGGATTAAAAATTCTAGCTCTTTCCATGCCCCTAAAATCGGTGTAAACAAATGATTGTGTTTGCAAATAGCAGCCTTTGGAAATTGTTTTGAAATGTATATTGTGGTGAACTTTCAAAATGCCGCCAAATGCCCACTCAGCCAAAAACAATGCGGATTTCTAAAGTTTAAATTTTCAACTTTTAGGCTTTGAATTTTAAGGTTAGGGATAAAATTGGGATACGTTATTTTTCGTTGGTTTAATTGGTTTCTCATTTTGGCACCAGAGTTGCAAATTTTGCTATATTTTTGATGAGCTAAGCTGTGCTGCCCTGAGTAAAAATTTCTCTGAGCTGAGCTTGCCTATCTCGGAGGTGACTGAGCTGAGCTGGTTGAGCTGAGCTGAGCTGATTTTACTGCGCTTATAGTAGTAAAATTGTGTAAAAATCATTAGCTGAGCTAAGCTAAGCTTAGCTAAGCGATCATTTTCTGAGCTGAGCTTAGCCGAGAAGAACAGATCATGTTCGAAAACAGAGTTGCAAATTTGCTGAGCTGAGTGAGCTGAGCTGGCTGAGTGAGCTGACCAGTCGCTCAGCTCAGCTCAGCTCACTGATTTTCGAAAATGAATTTATCTGCTCAGCTCAGCTCAGCTCAGACAATAATCACTCAGCTCAGCTCAATGATTTTAACACAATTTCACAGTGAAATTTTCACTACTAAAAAACAGTAAAAAAGCTCAAATCAGCTCACTCAGCTCGGCTCAGCTCTAATTAGGGTCTGCTCAGCTCAGCTAAACTACCTTAAAAAAAAGGTCTGCTAAGCTCGGGATTGATGACTAAGTTCGTGGGGACTAGGTTCGTGGGACTAGGTTCGTAGGTGGTTATGCCAAAGTATGCAAGATGGGGTATGGTTTCCTTTCTATAAGGAACAATGTGGTGCGACTAGGTTCGTGGGACTAGGTTCGTAGGGGTGCTAGGTTCGTGGGTTTTGAAATTAGAGATTTTTCTATAAGTATTATAAGTATTATAAAAATTATAAATTTTTTATAAGGAACAATTGAGTGCGACTAGGTTCGTGGGACTAGGTTCGTGGGTTTTGAAATTTTTTTATAAGGAACAATTGAGTGCGACTAGGTTCGTGGGACTAGGTTCGTGGGTTTTGAAATTTTTTTATAAGGAACAATTAAGTGCGACTAGGTTCGTGGGACTAGGTTCGTGAGTTTTGAATTTTTTTATAAGGAACAATTGAGTGCGACTAGGTTCGTGGGACTAGGTTCGTGGGTTTTGTAATTTTTTATAAGGAAAAGGAGGGTGCGACTAGGTTCGTGAGACTAGGTTCGTGGGTTTTGAAATTTTTTATAAGGAAAAGGGGGATGCGACTAGGTTCGTGGGACTAGGTTCGTGAAGACTAGGTTCGTGAAGACTAGGTTCGTTGGACTAGGTTCGTTGGACTAGGTTCGTGAAAATTAGGTTCGTGAAGACTAGGTTCGTGAGACTAGGTTCGTGGGACTAGGTTCGTGGGTCTAGGTTCGTGGGTTGTAAAATTGGGTAAAGTTGAATGGTAAAAATGACTTTCCCACCCCCCACCCCCAAATAAGCCGCTAGGCTCTTTAACTGAATTTCTATGTAAGCGCTGAATAACAATGGTTGCCTTAGAATAGAAACCCACGAACCTAGTCCCACGAACCTAGTCGCAACCCATTTTTCCTTATAAAAAAATTTTAAAAGCCACGAACCTAGTCCCACGAACCTTGTCGCACCTCCCTTTTCCTTATAAAAAATTTCAAAACCCACGAACCTAGTCTCACGAACCTAGTCGCACCCCACTTTTCCTTATAAAAAATTTCAAAACCCACGAACCTAGTCCCACGAACCTAGTCGCACCCTCCTTTTCCTTATAAAAAAATTTCAAAACCCACGAACCTAGTCCCACGAACCTAGTCGCACATAATTTCTCCTTATAGAATAAAATAATAACCAATTAAAAAACCACGAACCTAGTCCCACGAACCTAGTCGCACATATTTTTTCCTTATAGAATAAAAATTCTAACCAATCAAAAACCCCGAACCTATATTTAGATAGCAATATTATATTATATGATCATATAATTACAATACATATATATAAATATATATAAATAAATATATACATATAAATAGCACTTAATCATTATAAATAAAAATATACATATAAAATCAAAAACTCACGAACCTAGTCCCACGAACCACGTTTTCCAGCCAGCCACCCACGAACCTAGTCTCACGAACCTAGTCCCCACGAACTTAGTCATCCCACACCTAAGCTCAGCTCAATGACCTCTGAAAATAGCCAGCTCAGCTCAGCTCAGCGAAAATAAAGCCAAATTTGCAACTCTGTTGAAAATTTATTACAAAAATAATTGAGCTGAGCTGAGCTGAGTTAAACTTGTCTGAGCTGAGCTGAGCAGATCAGATCATTCTGAAAAATGACTGAGCTGAGCTGAGCTAAGCGACTTCTCAGCTCGCTCGTCTAGCTCATCTCACTCAGCTCAGCAAATTCGCAACTGAGCTTTTGATAATTTCAAAAAATTTTTGCGCGTCCGGAAATTGTAAAAAATCTGAAAGTGCAGTTTTCTTCAGCTCGTTGAGACGAGTCGAATGATGGGTCAAACTCTTGATAAATCCAAGGATTGACCGGTTAACCGACTGGTTACCGGAAAATACATTTCCGGTCGCCGTTTTTGTTCTAGAAATGCTAGAATGACGATTGAACCAGGAAACTGATCCTCATGGGTAGTTTTACTGTGGGCGTAAAGATATCGGTCAAATATGTAGCGCAACCTTGATAAATGATTAAAATTCTATATTTTGTATGTATTTTGTTGTTGCTGCACGTTCCTAATTTTCGGTCCCATTTTCATGCGAAAATCGAATTTTGGTGATAAGCATGTTATGGTTTGAGATATGATTTTCATTTCTTCGCCCACATAAGAGCTAACTTTAAGGATCAGTTTCCTGGTTCAATCGTCATTCTAGCATTTCTAGAACAAAAACGGCGACCGGAAATGTATTTTCCGGTAACCAGCCGGTTAACCGGTCAATCCTTGGATTTATCAAGAGCTTGACCCACCATTCGACTCGTCTCAACGAGCTGAAGAAAACTGCACTTTCAGATTTTTACGATTTCCGGACGCGCAAAAATTTTTTTGAAATTATCTTTGATTGGCACTTGAATGTTGCAAGCATGGAATAATTCTTGTTGTTATTCTTACTCGAATTAAAAGGGGCTCGTTTTCAATAATTTCCCCCAGACAAAGTACCCTTATTATCACTATAAACAAGCATTTGCAATGGTAACCTCTCTGTCCGAGTCCATTCGAAAAAGTTTCCGCTAAAGTTAACTTCGTTAACAAGGACTGACCTAGAAAAATGAAAATACGAGAAAATTTTTCGCTTGAAAAAGATGATTTTTAACAAGAATGTGTGATCATCTTTCCAAAGATAGTAAAATTTTAATTTTGTGGACATCATATTTTTATGACTTCCACTTTCGCACTGTATCTTTCAACTGCGAAATTTTGCACGAGAAATTTTGCTTTGCTGAAAATTTTCGGCTCGAGAACCTGAGTCAGGATTTGAAATTTCTGAGGAGAAAGCAGCTTGGCGACTTTTGATTTAGTATTTTCAAATCCTGACTCAGGTTTATAACTGAGGTTTTCGAGCGGAGAAAAAGCCTTTCGACTCGAAATTGCAATTCTTTAATTTCATTTTCGACTCGAAAGTACTTTTTCTCAGTTTCTAGAAAATATAATTGGCAGAATGGTGAATCTAGAAAGACGATTTTCAACAACATTTTTTCATTTTCAACATTCATTCAATTTCTTATTTTCGACTCGAAATTTGAGAAAATTTTCCAATTTTCGCTCTTTTTCTTGACAAAGAGGATAACTGCTAATCCGCTGTTGTCGAAAACAATATTTTCGAGTCGAAAAGTTGATTTTTCTAGATGAATCGTTGCGTCAACTGGTGGTACGTGCTTTGAGTCGTGGAAGCGTGCTCTTTGGCGCTTCTCTTTGGGCTGTTTGGTGGCCGAGCTGCCGAGTCGCCCCACTACTCTCCCTCTCTTCGAGAAATAAAAAACTATCTCACAATCTCAAAAATAAATGTCAAACGGCCCATTCCGAAGAGATTTAATTTTTTCATTTTCGTAAAATAGAAGAAAAAAGGGCCAATTAAAAAAACAGAGATAAGAAGACCAGAACCGCTGACAAGAAAATCGAGGAAATAGAAATAAAAAGGTAAAACATAAGATAAATATTTTTATAAGACAATTTTTTCTGAATTTTTTGGCTTTCAAGGTCATTTTTAATTCTATTGCGTAAAATTAGGTCACGAGGCGTCGTAAAAATCGAATTTTTATCTTTCAGCCGTAACTTTCTGACACCCTTAATTTAACTGACAAAATAATTGGTAATTTACCAAAAAATATAATTTCAAATGGAAAATTTTTGCAAAAACAAATTCTTAGAAAATGAATTTTCCATTTTTAGAAAATTAACCTATTGATACCCTTATTTGAATTCGTCAAAACGAAGGTTAAACTTCAATTTTTCTTTCTCATCTCAACTTTTTCTTTCAATAATTTCAGGTGTAATTTACTGTAGCTACTGTCTTTTCTTATCAGACAACATGATGGCACAATAATTCGATTTCAAAATGCCTGTGGCCCAGGGCTCTCCCATTTTTCCAACAAACATAAGCCTCATTTTTATTTAGTCAACAATGTTGATTACATAACATTTCCGGAGGGTTGATAGTTTTAGACAGAAATGGTTCCTTCCTTGTCCAGAAATGCATCAACATTCTCGTTTATCGAATTTTCGCCTTTGATTTTTGAATCCTTTTCTTATGAAAATAGCGTCGTGGGTACCCTTATGAATAAACAAGCCCCTAATTAGTGGAACTTATGTTGAGCCTTTTTCGAGTAAAAAAAGGAACCAATGCTTGACTAAATTATCGATTTCTCCCACCCATCCTTCTGAGAAAAAGAGGTGGTAGTATACTAAGGGGAGTCACGTGGTTGGCGGCGCATAAAAGAATGAATGGACCCGCTTCTTAAAAATGCGCCACAAGGTCACGTTCGTGAACAGCGCCTCCCGGAATTTCGCTCCAGCTCGTTTTTACCTGTTTCTAAATAATCTTGAAAACCGCGCAAATGAAAGATATTATATGCAGAGTTGCAAAATTGCTGAGCTGAGTGAGCTGAGCTGGCTTAGTGAGCTGAGCGGCTGCTCAGCTCAGCTCAGCTCAGTGATTTTGGAAAATGATCTCATCTGCTCAGCTCAGGTCAGCTCAGACAATTTTCATTCAGCTCAGCTCAGCTCAGCTCAATGATTTGAATACAATTTTACTACCAAAAAACGGTAAAAAACAGCTCAGCTCAGCTCAATCAGCTCAGCTCTAATTAGGGTCCGCTCAGCTCAGCTCAACTCAACTGTCTTAAAGAAAAGGTCTGCTCAGCTCAGCTCCGCTCAATGACCTCTGAAAAGGCCAGCTCAGCTCAGCTCAGCTCAGTAACCTCCGAAATAGGCCAGCTCAGCTCAGCTCAGCTCAGAGAAATTTTTACTCAGGTCAGCTCAGCTCAGAAAAATTAATCAAAATTTGCAACTCTGATTATATGACTCATATATATAAAGATAGACTATGCAATTTGGGGCAAACAAGCCCGAATCATGTTCCGACCTTTATCAATAACTACTCATGCTTGGCCCGCATGTGACTAGCCCGCATTTTTTTTTGCAAAAAAATGACCCCAGATCGGGTTTATCAAAGAACTTGCAGCAGCAGGCCACAGTCTCATAGACCAAATAAAGTCCCAAAGGAGACTCATTTCGTTGGACTCTTTCTGTCTCGTTCAAATAAGGGTGTAGCCGACTGGCGTGTTTTAGTTGGAATGCGGAAAGCTGACCCAGTTAACTTGGAAACATGAGTTCACTTCGCTGAGTTCGCCCTTGAGCCCAAGCAAATACGGTTCAGCAAGACATCTGGGCTCGGCAACCAGTGTTCAAAACCTGAGTCAGGTCCTGTGCTAAAATAAAGAGCCGCTTATTTGAGATCTAACGAACCTGACTCAGGCTTTGAGCACTGGTTGCCGAGGCAAAACTGTGTTCCTATTTTAAAGGATTAAATATTCCTTAAGGTGGTTCGTTAATAAGGTGATCCCCTTAAGAAACATTGCGAATTTCGAAATAGTGAGAAATTCCGGAGTTATAATTTGATAGTAGTGTATTGACAACTTTAGTCCTCAAGGAATTCATTTTTGTTTTATATCAAATAGTTACATCTTGTACAAGAATTAACGACCATCATTAAAAAGTCAAGATGGCACCATTCTTCCGCAGCCACCTTCGAACACGGGAAAATAAACAGATCAGCTGAGCTTAACACGCTGACTTAGCACTTTGTTCGTTTCGTTTTGAGCCCCTGCTTTGACCCTTCCTTTCCAAATTTTATAGGACTTGGAACAGTTGCCAGTCCTCGTGCAAATAATTGTGTAAATATGACTTTTTCAAACAAGAATAAAATTGTGCGTGCTTGACCCGTGACTCGCCACAAAGGTCAACATTGCGCAACTTTGGCTGTTCAAATTTACGAGCTATTTTAAAATTCTTTTCATCGAAAAAGTAGAAATGGGGATCCCCTTATTTCAAAGAAGCAGCTGTCTTACTTCGCAGGTCCTTAATTTAAGAGTTTATTTTAAAACAAATCTTCCAAAGGCTTTTTTCGATCGAACCCATCTGACTTAAAACAAAGTACCAAAAATATTTAGCGAAAAACTTTAGTAGAAAATGGGATGAAAAAGTCTCTTTCTGTTGTTTCTTGTTTGATGATGCATTCTTGTTTGATGAAAAACTCAAGAATTGCAAGCTAAACTTTTAGTCATTGTTTCTCTTTTTGATGTCTGTCCATTTTTTTCTAGTGACCGCGAAAAATGGAAACGAACAACGAATTCAAAAGCTGTCAGAGTCTCAAAGATCCCGCACAGGTAAAAACATCAACGATCTTTGGGGGTGGTTGAAATTTCCCAGGCCTTGGAATTGGCCTACTTTTTTAACTAGGAAAATACATGAATTTGAAAACGGACTGAAAAATGGTGAAAAATTAAGGTTCTTTTGAGGGTCATGAACCCTAAAATAGCGCGAACATGAGGCTTTGACCCTTAAGGGTGTCACAATGAAAATAATCTGTTGTTGATCTCCATGACGATACAAAGATTTAACAAATAATCAACTCGTTCTGTTACAGTGATTAATACCAAGGCAACTTGGTATTACAGGTGTATTACGTAATCGCGGCGGAACAATGTACCCCCTCACCTTTTCCGCCCCACCCCCTTAGCTCCTTGGCTCCTGGAGAAAGTGAAATGGAGAAAGAAACAAGTAATCTGCTTGGTACATTTCTCGAATTACCAAAATAATGCGAAACATTGGAATCATTCAGCAAAAACGCGACTGAAACATGTTTGGGCATTATTTCTTCCTTCGTGCGAGGAATGTTTGGCCTCCGGGGCCAACTAAGGGACGCACGTGAGCTTCCATGCTTGGTGGACCATCATGAGGGCTAGTGGACTTGAACTTTAGCGCACGATTGATAAAAAGAAATACAGATCTGATGATCATCTGATGGTGCGAAAAAAGATACTGGGAGCGGTTTACTTAGAACAAACCCAATTAGGGGTCAAGTCCTAATTGATAAATTACCAAATATTTTCAGAAACTTTGTTCTTTCTTTTCTGGCCCTAAGGACCTGAGCTCGACAAACTGTGTAGAAAACCTGAGTCAGGTTCTGAAAAGCAAAAATGAAAAGCCGCGCAGCGGCTTTTAAAAACGAAGCCGCGTCGCAATTCAATCACTTTTATCTATTTTCAAACATTGGCGAAGCCGCTTTGCGGCTTCGTTTCTAAAAGCCGCTGCGCGGCTTTTCATTTTGCTTTTCAGAACCTGACTCAGGGTTTGTACACCCTGAGCCCAGCCACGAACCCCTTAACCCCTATTTGTTTATGCATTTAATTCCATTCTTTGAAGATCAACCCGACGTCACTTCAAAACCACCTCCATCTGGAGAGCTCCCACCAGGCGCATGTGTACTGGGTCAATCGCCAGTGTCAAAAAACCGACGATGGAAGAATTCTAGCGTTCGGCGTTGTCTACGATTTCATCAACGATGCCATGGAAGGTGTTAAGGAACGGGTTTTTGAATCGAGTTCAGCCAGGTTTTTTGCTCGGAGATAGCGATTGCAAGTGCGTGTCCTTAATTCAAAACTGTCTGCTCGCCAAATTTGGGGTGATAAGAATTAAAACGAAGGTTCGAACGATTATTTTATGTCGAGCAGACGGTTTTTATCAATTTTTATCAGAACAACCCGCTTGAAATTTTCAATGACCAGAATTAACCGTTCTTTTTCAGAATCCCACTTCTGCGCTTCTCTAAAACCTGTGTTGAAAACCTGAGTCAGGGTTCAAAAATGCTTTTTCAAAGCTCTTTCAAATCCTGACTCAGGTTTTCAACACAAGTTACCGCTCCCAGTTCCCCAATATTGAGGTCTTTTTACTATCAGATTTTCTCAACCGCGGTTAACCGCAAAGTCACACCGCGGTTCTTTGCGGTTTGAGGCGGTTATTAATTTTTTTTCTGGCAATATTGTCAATATCATTTGCTTTTCATGAGAGTTTTCGACAATGGTTTTCAACGAATAACATCATCAATATTTTTCGACCAATCAAAAACCCGAAAAAAGGAAAAACGGCAAGTCACCGTGGACTGGGCGCGATGTGTTTGTGAAACGAGCAATTGCGATCCGACGGTTTTCCCGCACGCCGTGAAACTATTTGACCGAGTGCTTCAAACGACACCGTGCAAATACTCGCACTTACAGGTACGTCAACAACGATTAAAATTGTTTATCGGTAATCCCACGGAAGTCAGATTCGCTCGCACGAGTTTTTCTACGCTGACAGATGTTTGTCTCTTTCTGCACGAGTATTTACAGAGTCAGCTTCGTGCGGACCTGGGCGCGGCAACCTGTGTAGAAAACCTGAGTCAGGGTCTGAAAATCTTAAAATTGAAAGCCGCGTAGCGGCTTTTTGAAACAAAGCCGCAAAAATTGACTAGAAAATTATTTTGCGGCTTCATTTCTAAAAAGCCGCTACGCGGCTTTCAATTTTAAAGTATTTAGAGCCTGACTCAGGTTTTCAACACAGGTTGCCGTTAAAAACAAGTTTAACTTGAGGTCAAATCTTGCTTGAAATAGAATATCTTCGCGGCATTATATAAAATCGGCTGACGCTAATTCTCTCTGAGAGAGCGTATAAAAATATCTTTTCCGGAAATATTTCGACTTAGTCAATCTGGCTCAGCTTTCACACCGTCGAGAAAAACCGTTATTTTTATCGTTCGGAAGCATTTTAGTGCTTTTATAAAGGCGAAAACTGGGTGGCACGAATTATTGATGAAGTTGTTCTTTTTTTCATCCCAACTTCATTTTCTCAGGGCTCAAAAATCTGTGTAAAAAAACTGAGTCAGGGTCAGCTGAGTTTGCGTTAAAAACCGACTTTTCCAGATCCTGACTCAGGTTTTCTACACAGGTTTTTGGGCCAAATTAAGGGTGTTTCTCTTTGAATTCATATTCCAGCTTTCATTAATTTCTTCCTACAGTAGTTTAATTTCCATTCTAGAGCATTATCGCCGCTTGCATGCTGATCGCCTCAAAATTTCGCGAAACTGTCCCCCTTGGCATCAGAAGACTAGTCGCTTTGACAAAATATTCCGTCGACGAGCGAATGATCAAGGTAAAAAAACTTAAGGATCACCCTCAATAACTCGAAAATTTTAGGATGTCGAGATGGTGGTTTTATTGAAGCTGCATTTCGACGTTTCGGAAGTGACGTATCCAGATTTTTACCCGTTTATTATCGACATTCTTCATGCAAGCAACGTAAGTTGAAAAGGGTGCAATTATCGTGGTCAACCGCGGTCAAAAAAAAACGAAAGCATGAATTATTTCTTTACTGACTTCATTTTCATTTTTTCAGATCGGCGAAAAACTCCCCCTTCCGTCAAGCCGATACATGCAAGATGAACTCCTTCCCTGCGTGAGCAAAATCGCCGCCCTCGCCCTTTCCCAAGGTAAACTACCTCGTAGCACAAAAGAATGAATTCCGCAGCATTTTTTCGACCATCAATACTAAAGCTATTTGAATCTATTCATCGCGCGGTCACGTGACTTGAAGAATCTGCGAAAATTAGTGTCTCCGAAATTATTTCCTTTTTATTTTATTTGATTTGACATTTCCGCGGTTTTACGATAATCAACGATCTTAGACTTAATACTCTTCAAAGTCAACAACAACTTACTAGGCCGATCGGAATTTCTTGTATTCAAAAATCAATCAAAGAAGTCGTTAATGCCGTTTTTTCGGGCGCTACTCCCGTACTTATTCGGACGATTATATAAGCGCGATTTAATGATCCAAATTGATTATATAATTTTTCATGAAAAACGAACCGGAAGCTACCTGTCCAAAAAAAGTGGGACTCGCTTCAACTCAAAGGACCAAAAATAATAGCAGCAGGAAATGATTCGAAGAAGGAAAATGGCAATAATGGACGTCTATTTTTTCGATTATCACTTGATAATCGATGAACAAAACTGTTGAAAAGGAAATACTGTGCGTCTTTTGCGCGTCTCTATCTTTTGATAATGATGATTTCGTGTCTTCTCGGCTCGAAAACCTGTGGAAAAACCTGAGTCAGGGTTCGAAAATTGCCAGTTCGATCTTACACCGAAGGCCTTTTCTGACCCTGACTCAGGTTTTCGACACAGGTTGCCGAGCCAAAACGGGTTTGAAGACGTTTTCTATTATGAGACTGATGCCCTTAATTTTCCTTCAACAGCCCCCTAAAGCCTGTTTTAAGTCAAGCCGCTAAATCATCAATAATCATCTTTCAAATGTAATTATGCCTTCCGCCTTAAAACTGACATCATCAGTTTCCGGAAAGCCTAAAACGACGACTTCAATTCATCTTTCTTTTCAGATTCCGAAATGGTTTCTCATAAACCCAGCATCATGGCCGTCTGTTCCCTTGGCGTCTTTCTTTGCAAAATGCGATTTCTAACGACCCCGGTTCAGTTTTTCCAAGCGCTGTGTCCATTTATCACGGTAAGAATGATTTTGAAGGAAAATTCTGAGCTGTAAAAAGTGCTTATCAAAGTAGAAAAAAGTAACTGGCGCCTCAAGAAGGGTCGTATCCGCCCTCGAGCGATTTATTAATCGGTACTCGTGGTGCACTCGAAGCACGCGGGCCGGATACTTCCCACCATTGTTTACACTTTGTTCTTTCAACTCGAGTTTGATTTACGGTTTGAAATTATTTGAATCTCCAGCTTTGTTCTTTCTGAATTCAACAGCCGAGAATCGCCGGAAATTTATTTTGAAGCGTCTTTTGTTCAAAAAAGAATTTCAAAAATTCCTGACTGTAGTTATGAATGTTCCCATGACTCATGCGTCATGAGAAAGACAGTCATACTTTGGCTCGAGATTCTGTGTAAAACCTGAGTCAGGGTCCTGATAGAGCTTGAAGCCGGGGCTTTCCATTGGAGCTCTTTTCGGACCCTGACTCAGGTTTTTACACAGGTTGTCGAGCCAAAATATGACTCATCTTTTCATGTGAACGTTCATTCCTACAGTCATGAATTTTTGAGATTCCTTTTTGAACAAAAATCGCTTCAAAATAATTTTTAGTGATTGTCAGTTGCTACAAAGCCTGGAGTCATGAAGTTTCTTCCTGAAAAATTCAGCTTTGCGGTTGAAAATGGGATTATCATTTCGATTTCTTGGATAAATATCGTCAATCCCCGCGACTCCGGCTTTGTCCAAATATCCCAAGTTCAAGCCCCCTTTTTCTTGTCTCAAAGACAGTGAAATTGATTACGTAACAGCCAACTAGCCCGCCCAGCGCACCAGCTCGGCCCCGTCCCAACTTTAGCCGCCTTCAACCGCAATATTTTCTTAATAGAGGCCGTTCGACATTTTTCCCAAAAGTCAAAGCGATCCATCACGCGGCCACAGCGCGGAAGTGGAATCGAATTGAAATGAATAAAATTTTGATGGAGAGACTTTTTTATTCCGCAATTGCATGATAATTGCGCTGCTTTGATCTTGTTGTAAATTGGCTCTCGGTTCAAAGTCTACAAGACTTTTTCCAGATTTTTAGCGAAGAAAACTTGATGACCTTTTTTCATCAATAACGACTTGGGTTCAGCATTGCCGGCTCGGCAACCCTTGTAGAAAACCTGAGTCAGGGTCTGAGAGAGTCAAAATGAAAAGCCGCGTAGCGGCTTTTTAAATAACGAAGCCGCAACGCGGCTTCGCCAAAATTGAATGATTTAATGGTTCGTTAGATCCTGAGTCAGGTTTTCTACACAGGTTTTCGACCCAAAATACAAATGCAAAAAATTTGAAAACGACCATCATTTATTCCTCCTTTTAGACCGTGCGGGAATCCGCCGAGCTCCGAAAATGCTGGGACACTTGCATGTTGGTCTGGCAAAACTACGCCCGAGTACCAAGTTCCGTCTCTCCCACCTTCGCCTCCCGACCGGTCAACAACAACAACAACTATCTCCCCAGCCAGCAGGCGCCCAATCGTCTCCCCTCGGTCAGCCAGATCCAGCGATTGAAAGGAGCAAACGTCGACCCGATGGCAAACGAAATGGTGGTCGACCATGGCGATCCGGACCGCGACTCGGGCCACTACAGTAATCTGGACTAAAACGGCTTTTTATGTTCTTAGAATTTTACAATTTTTTCGACTGATAATCATTTGTTTCCCTTTTTTCAATCCCGCTTTTTTCAACTTTTTCAATAATTTTAACCTATCTCATTTTTTTCAATTCTCTTAATATTTCAGCCCAATTCTTTTGGGAAGTGTTTTATTAAACCGGTGCCCGTTTTCAATAGTTTCTATTCAAGAATTTCGGGAAAATGATCTTTTCGAAAGAATCACTTGTTAACCCATTGTTATTCATTGACCAATTATTTGGCAAACGCTCTTTTTGACTCAGAATAATGCATCAGGGGATTTTTACTCAAATAAAAGGGTCCCTAGTCTCATTTTTAATCGTTTTACCAATAAATTGGTCAACAGACGACAATGGGTTAAGGTAATTTTTTCTCGAAATTCAATCATTCATTATTTTTCACCAAATGCCCTTTCAATTTTTTTCCTCCTTGATCCCCATTTTCGGTGCTAAATCCCCAGAAAATGCCCCTTGTTTTTCAAATTTCATCAATCATGAATCATGAATCCCCGCGCATAAAACCCATCATTCGACAAAAATCACCGAAAACCAAAAAAAAAATCCTGACTGAAAAAGACCTTTGAACCTTTTTAACTCAAACTCAACAAAAAAATAACTCATTATTCGATGCCTTTCTATTTTAATGGTCCTATAACTCAAACAACTGAACTCTTCCTGAATCTCATATTTGCAAAAAAAAAATCCTGAAAATCCTGGCTACTATCTGTCCCTATCTTCCTGAAACAATTTTAACCCATCCAAGTGCCTCGATGACCCGCCTGGCTGACTAAGCTTCAGATCTCACTTTTAATCTTATTTATTATTCTTTTCATTTATGTATCTCTATCATTTTTTTCTTTTATCACTTTCTTTTTATCACTGTATTTTTCCCCGCAGTTTTGTCTGTATATTTGACCTCGTTTCTCCATTTTTCCCGTTTTGGGTTAAATTTTTCGACCGTGCTGGGCATTTTTCGGCCCTCATGCAAAAATAGGTTAACCCATCATGTTTGTTTTTAACTGTTTTTGTCTTCAACAACCATTTCACGGGTAAATTTATTCAAATCTTCTCTCTCAAAATTCAAATTATGGTGCTGGAAAATTTTCCCCAAGTTTCCACCTGAACCCATTTTAACCCATTCTCGGGTTTTTTAACCTGTCAAAAAAGAAGCCTGTCCAACAGTTCAAATTCTATTCAAATTATGTATTTTCTAGCGCAATTTCAACTGAAAAACTTTTTTTCATTATTCAAATTTTCATAATTCTAGAATCTTTTTATTTATTCTATCTTTCTATTTCCAGCCTGTTCATACTGTAATTATTACTGTATTCGTTTTTTTTTCTTTCCGAATTTTAACTGGTGTTATATAATAAATGTTTCAAAAAAAAATTTTTCTCTTCCTTGATTTCATTTTTTCAAATTTACAAGCCTTTATTGAAATGAACAGTTTTAATGCCTTTTTCGCGCAGATCAGCGGCGAGTTCGGGCTCAAGGTTTTCGATCGAGGTTGAAATTCGCTGCGGCCAGATTGCGCAGCAAGCAGGAGTAGCGACCACCAGGGAGAGGCCGATGAGAAGGACGGTTAGCGGATTTGCCAGAGCTGGATTTCGAGCGAGAAGACGACCAGGTTTCTGAACAAATCAGGGTTCTAAATCGACTAGTCGAGTTTCGACTAAAGTCGAAGTCGAGTCGAGTCTTAGTCGAAAAGACTAGCTCGACTCGACTAGACTGGTTGTGGAAATAAGTCGACTCGACTCGACTTGACCTTATGAGTCAACTAGATTGTCGACTAGTCGAAAAAGTCGGGAGCATTATTGAGAAGAAAGTCGAAAAATCTAGTCGAAAAAGTCGAAAATCTAGTCGAAAAAGTCAAAAAAATTCACTTTTTGCTTTCGACTTTTCGACTTCTCTTTAGACTTTCGACTAAATTTCGACTTTTCGACTAATTTTCGACTTTTTCGACTATTGAAGATTGGGAAAGCCTCAATCTCCTACGGCACCTGTAATTGGGTGACAACAACAGGAGGAACCACCATCGTCGGAGTCGCCATCAAAATTCTCGAAAGAACGACTTTCGCGATACTTTCTTTTCCCAAACTCGGGCTGTAGCCAACCACATTTCCATCATCATCTTCCAGCGGCATTCCTCTTCCAAAGCACTCATTTCTTCGCATGTAAGGAAGGTTGATTCCATTTGCCACAGCGACTGCTCCGAAGGGGACGAGTCGGGCGATAATTGGGGGAAATCGAGAAGCGGCTTTGTTCAAACTAGAAAAATCAAGGAAAAGAAGTCTTTTTGAATTTACCCAAAAGCAGCTGCACAAGCTGATCCAGCAGCAACGAGAAAGTCTTGAGGGACGAAAACGGGTCTTGGTGAGTTACAGTAGTTAACCGTCGAGTTGAAGCTCTAGAAAGGGGATGAGAAAGAGAGATCAAGGAAGAAAACGAACCTGATTAATGAATTGACCTGTGATCGCCTGAATCGGAGTTCTGTAGAAAATGATCATTCCCGAGGCGATTATACAGTTTCCCGGAGCTAGAAATACAATCCAATATCATCGAAAAGCTCGGGATCTACCTTGAAAGCTCATTCGACCAGGGAGAAAAGTCAGCTCTCCAGTAGACGGATGATACGCCGACTCGTAAATGTACTTGGCATCCCAAACTTGAGCCTTTGTCACTCCTTCTGGAACTACTCCCTTGTTGATTTTTACTCGCTCGATGAGTTCTTTCGCTGCGACATGATCTCTGACGATGTTAATTGGATTTACTGAGCGGTAGAAATGAGCAGCGCGGCCGGAAAATGTGTCTAAATGGATTTTAGAAAGCTTCTTTTTCAAAAATTTTTCAATAATTTTTTTCATACCTTGATCATAAAGAGATTTTGATAAGTCAACTGTTTCTTCTCCCATTCGACTCTTCTCTATTTTCTTTTATTTTTTGCTCGAAATTCTAGATAGTTTTCGTTGAACTTGTTTTGTAAGGAATTGGATTCTCTTCAGATGGCCCTAAACAGAGCGATTATCGATTGGGCACACGCCTCCCTGAACTCGTGTGAGGCACATCGCCCGCAGCATCACACCCTTGCACTTGATACTGGATCAAACTGTATGATTCTCTATATTTCGGATTAATAAGATTAGGTTAATGTCTCTTTTCTCATAAAAAATTTTTTTCAAGCATTTCGAGTCAAAAAAAAGTGGAAAAAAATAAAGTCGTACCTTTTTTTAATTTATCTGACCAGCAGAACCCAGCCTCCTTTACTGGTTCTAGTGCCTGACGAAACTGCCTCGGGCTAAGTAGAACGCATGATCATCAATTTCTCTGTTTTCTGTTCTAGAAACTCTCTGTTTCCAGGAAACTAAGCTTTCTTTTTTGAGATTTTCATGCGTCATTGTATTTTCTTCTGTCGAGCTCTTTTCTTGAGCTTGCGTAATTATGCAAATAAATTTGATCGGTTCGAAAGAGAAATTTTTGAGCGAATCATCTGTTTTTATTTTGAACTGCGCAAGAACAGGCTATATTTTTCATTCACTAGAATCGCATGTTTCTCATTGCCTTCTCAATTTCAATCGTGTATCTAAATTTTTCTTCCCCGGAAAAGCTCGTAAAGGAAAGTTTCTTACCGTAGTGCCTCCTTGTACTGGGAATTTCGCTCCATCTTTGGATGCTCCTTGCCTTTTTCGATCATGTTTTCGACGACATGTGAGTTGAGAAATGTTTTCCAGACTTCTGAGTTCTCCAGGTGACTTTCTTAGTTCAAGTTTTAGAATCTCTTTTGTCCGAAAAAATCAGCCAAACCTGCAATTTCCTTCCACAACTCATGAGAATCAATCACATCCTTCCAGAGCCAGCAAACTTTCTCTAACTGCACCAAAAAAAAATTTTTGAAAAAGCACTCATTCTCTTCACCTGATTTCCTTTTGCTGGGTCGATTTCAAAAGCGTTTCTGATGATATTCACCAGAATTTCAGGCGGCAGTTCGTTTATGTTCATCTCAAGAAAAAATCAGTATTTATCGCCTACTAGAGCCGGCTTGGGTCATAAAATCGTCAAATTCTGAGCGAGTTAATTTTAAACTTTCGATTTCAAAAGAATCAAAAATGAAATTTTTTTTAGAAAAAAAAATTTTTTGGAAATCGAAAATTTCTCTTACCTCCTGAGCAATCTGCTGGAGAACAATTGGAAGTGCCATTCTTCTGAGTTTTCCTTCTGACTTCTTCTTTCTAAAATAAACTGTCCGGGGGCTAAGCAGCCATCTCAGAATGAGCTCTCTGACGGCTTTAGTCTCCTGACTTTCTGACGGGGGCTCCAGTTGGCACGCTGCCAGAGCACCGCCGACGCAACTCGAAATTTATTGAAGCAATCAAGTAGTATTTCTTATTCTGAGTCATTTACTTCCCTCAGAAATTGGCAAAAGCAACGGTCATTTTTGGGGGTTTAAGTTGAAGCTGGTTTAATTTTTCGTTTTTCTATTAGAGGTGATTAAAAATTGAAATTTGAAGAATAGACTCACTGATTTTTGAATCTGAAATTATTGAACAAGTCTTCAAACACATCCTTCAAGTTTTCAAACTTGAGCGAGCTCATTTTACTCAAGAAAAATCTATTTCGAAGGGGTTTTTGAACAAACTTTGATTTTGAAAAGGTAAGGACGTGGCTCCAAACTAACGAGAAGGCCAGATAATATTATCTGTACAGAAATGTCAGTACGGAGAAAATAAATAAAAAAACAACGTCTCATTGCCATTCTATTTCTATTCGTGAAATAAACTTTTTCAAGATACCGATGATTTTTGATGATTGCCCCGAAAACTAAAGCCCGAAAAAGCGACACCAAGCGTGCATTATTCTCTTCCTTCTCTGCCTGGAGGACCCCTCCTACTGAAAGAATTTCAAATTGAAAGAAGAATAATCTCTTCCGGGGAATTCTTATAGATATTATTTCATTAAATTATAATATTATATTATTATTTCATTTATTAAGCAGAAGCTTTTCGCCATTTCGGCTTCTTCAGTGCTTTTTTTATGCAACGACAGAGTTCTGTAAATAAAGCAAGTAGAGCGAGTATGAATTTAACGTTATTGAAAGTATGGCAACTGGAATATTGGATTTTGTCATGGTAACACTGCAAAGCAGAAAAATATACTCATAGGCAAAAGAGAATTGTCTTATCTGGATTAGTCAGAAATAGTTTTAAGAAGGATTCTTTCGGATGAGGTACAGAAATAAGCAGAAATGGAAGAGCGAGAAAATTTCTAAATACAAAAGAATTCGGTTTGCTTTGACGAAGCTGTTTGCGTTGGCGTATGAGAAGAGCCAGTCGGTTGCCTGAGCAGAAATAATCGTGAAGATCTAGAAAATGTTATGTAACGTTAAGATAAGAAATGACTTCTTGCCTGGGTCGTTCCGTAAAGCTTTCCAAAGTGCTCGTTCGGGAATGAAAGGCCGATGACAGTAGCATTAATGCCGTAAGTAAAGGATTTGTGAAGAACAGATAAGAAGAAAGAGGCGTACTGTAAAGTTGTGTTTGCGATGAGTGTCAGAGCGGTAAAAGAAATTCCGAAAATCGTTGTCAAAAAGACTCCAGTGGCGAGAGCTTTATTTTTGTCGCCAGTTTTGGCGAGAGCTGAAAAAATAGAATGAAAATCGACGGAAAGAGCTTTAGAACTGACTTGAATCAACAACCATGCCGGTCAAAAAAGCATATCCAGCACCACCGAATTGAAAAATAGCAAAGTTCGTCATCATCGTTCCGGTAATCGATCCTGCTTCTTCCTGGGTACAGTTTTGATCGAGTTGAACAAGCTCTTGCGTTCCAGGAGCGATGGCGCCGAGATAAAAATACACTCGCGTCTGGGGTGCGAAACGGGGCAGGGAGTATCGGTGCCCCGTCCCATTTTGCCCCCGTGTTACGGGACAGAACGGGGCAAAGTATGCTGGTGCCCCGTCCCGTCCCGGTCCCGAAACGGGGCAAAAGGGGGCACGGGACGGGGCAGTTGTCCCGTTGCCCCGGTCCCGTTTCGCACCCCAGACTCGCGTCACTTGAATGATGAAAAACAACATCGTTGAAATAAAGAGCGGGGAGAGAGCAACTTCAGAGCTGAAAAATGCTGGGACTTCCTTCTCATTTTCCTCAGCTCCGTTCTTTTTCTCTTCGGAGTGGGGGTTCTTTTCTACGCCATCCAGTTCTACGTTGTTCTTGTTTTCGTCAGTTCCAGATTCAGGCGTTGAGCAGAGCGATTTGTAAGCAGGGACAGTTTTATAATCGGCACGAAGGGGCTTCAAGAGTGGTTCAAATAAGGCTCTTTCGTGAAATGAAAAATTTTAAATTAAAAAAAATATATTAATTTTATTATTATTGTTATTATTATTATTATTTATTTTTTAAATTGAAATTTTAAGATATTATATTTTTGATTATTTTTCAAAGTAATCATTTTGAACCATAAATAAGGAATAGCGTCGATTGGAAGCAAGAAGAAGGTTCTAAAAATGATAAGAGCGGAGAGAGCAGCATAAATCGCCCATGTCATGGAATATCCGATCGCGTTGTAGATTGCCAGGAAGAGCAGCGCGGAGCAAGAGCTGGAATCTATTGTACCATTGAAAACGCAGAGAACTCGGCCACGAGCAGCTTCGTAGTAGTTTGCCACTTGAAATTGAGTGACGAGCAGAAAGATACCCGCACAGCTGATTGATGTCCAGCCGTATTTTAAATAACTTTAAAGAAGAAATAAAATCAGCCTCCAATAAATTTATAAAATTCCTACTCATCAGTTTCGCCGGGAGTTGCAATAGCGACCATCACCGACCCAGCAAGGAAAAGAACAAGCCCGACAAGTCGAGTTTTCATCGATCCAAAGCTGTCCATCAGAAAGCCAGCAAGAAATGCTGCAACGGCGAAGAACGTCATTGCTAGAATTCAGAATTGTTCATTTGACAAAATTTTCTCGTAGCGGAGAAAGCGGAGAAAGCATACCTTGAAATTTAACGGAGCGGACCAAAAAATTTTTCCCCGTAGCGGAGCGGAGCGGAGCTGACTAATTTTTTTGTTCTCTGTAGCTAAGCGTAGCGTAGCTGACTAATTTTTGGAATCTCTGTAGCGTAGCGGAGCGGAGCTGACCAAAAATTTTTTTCCCGTAGCGGAGCGGAGCGGAGCTGGGGGGAATTTTAGCGAAGATAGCTAAGCTAAGCTGAAGTAGCTGAATTCTAGTAGAATTCGCTTGATTCATTCCCGATTCAATTCGATTCACTTACCAAGAGTAAAAATAGCGGTAAATGCGGCGTCCTGAATCTCTTGCGCGCTTTTCTCATCTTCTTTGGCTTGTTCTTCTGGCGCTTCTGTGATGGCGACGGAAATGTTCCCAGTCTCTGTTGAAGAGTCTGTCCAGTAGAAACCTTCTTCTTTATAGATCTTGATCAAGTTTGGCCAGCCGAAAATTGTGCCACAACAGAGGAAAATCTCTAACACTGTGAGCAGCGTTTGCCCATGGTGGAAGAGCTGCATTTTTAATTTCAACTGAAAAAGGTATGTTTTAGTATCTGAAAGAAAGAAAAACATCTTAAAGTGTTTCTATTCATTTGATGTTGCCATGATTATTTATCATTAACAACGTTATAAATATATACTCGTTTTTCAAATTCGTAAAAAATTTGTCCAAGTGAAGCTCTGTCTATGTAATGAAGTTCTTGTTCAAAAGAAACCTACCCTGCGCTCGGGGCGGGTCATGCGCTTGAACATAATGTTGCAATTTGCAAAAACTAGGTCAAACGGATTACCACCTTCGAAAAAATTGAGGGCATAAGTCACCGTGGTCGGTAAAACCGAGGTGTATTGAGAAGTTAATCCTTTCTTTAGTTCCTTTTTTGATTTTCCGGAAATTCAGAAGCTTTACCGTTAGTAACTAATGAACCCAAAGTAGAGGTTAAGTATGGACAGTGGTTTTCCGAAATAAGAGGCTTTTTTGGATGACAGGGGCTGACGAAAAGTCCTCTTATTTCGGGGCCTCGTATTTCAAAAAATCACTGTAAATGCAAAGTATAACTGAGTCGGATAAGAGGGTTGAAGCGTATTACGCTCCCAAGTCGAGCCCTTTTCATGATAGTAGAAAGTGAAATAGAGATTATCTCTTTTAATTTCAAATAAAGAGTGGTCGAAAAAGTGATTTGACATCAAAATATCCACCCCTGCCCTGACCATAATCACACGACTTTACATTATGAACAATAATTTATGGCCCTCGTTTGGACCTTGATGACTCATGAAAAATTCTCAACATCGTTATTCCAAGAAAACGATGGGAAGCCTTTTCTGTCCCTTCCAGTGACAGATATTGAGCAGTTTTCAATATTTCACGATTCTGGATCAATTTAACCCAGGCGCCCTGTTAATCCTATTCCGATATCTATATGCAGTGATTCAAAATGCGTCTGAAGCCATGTCGAATTAAAATGTCGGTAGAAATATGTTGATAGAAAACAAAGTCTCAAAAATAATCAAGAGAGGCACAACAAAGTTCAATTTGCTTATTTAGACAAGAATTCGATTAAAATGTCGGTTTTGAAAACCTTTTTGTAAAACAAGTCAGGAACAAATCTGAGAAGACAAAAGGGTTCCATTATCTCCCGAAAAAACAGCGAGAGAATACTGGTCATCAAAGATTTATAAAGCAGAGAAAGAAGGGAGAAGGGAATCAAAGAAGAACAGAGAAACTACTGTGAAAGAGGTCAAATTCCATTTTTCATAAAGCTTCGAATTGAACCCCGAGATAATTTACTGCGAAATTTAAGGAGCCCCCGTAAGCTTTTTTGACAAGATAAAATTTCCGAATTTGAACATTCTGACCCCGGAAATACATTCTACGGGTCAAAAAAAAAAACGATTTGAGGCTGATTTTTTGGAGTGGTCGTCATTTGCCCAAGTCGTCATCTGCCCAAGTCGTCATCTGCCCAAGATCGTCATCTGCCCAACTTGGGCAAATGACGACCTGGGTGAATGACGATGTAATTGAATTCAAAATGAAGCAAGATGAAAGTCTAACTGACAACTTGCAAAAAAAGTACTCGCAGGAAGTTGGCGTTTTATCAGTTCAAATTCGACAGTTTTGTTGAGAAAACAACCTCATCTTCTATAATCTCAGATTATTAATCTGGGGCTTTAGCACCGTATCGAAAAGCAAGGAGTAATGAGTTTTGGCCAACGCGTATCCCACTTTGCTGACTCTTAGCGCCGGAAAATGGTGCTAATGTCGGTTTTGTGTTTAGTCTGAACTTTGGATGAAATTTTGTTTGAATTGAATGAATGTTGAAGTGGAACCGAGGGTACTCGGACCGAGTAACTCGGCAGCCTAGTCTCGGCTCACATTTGAACTTGAGTAATAACTTTTGAAAAGCTAGAAAAAAGTTATGAATCTCCTCCGGAAGCTAGCTCTAAGTTTGGACCATACTGTATGGTACAGTATTCAGGAGACTTTTTAAGAAGGACTTTCTCTCAGTCTTTTTCTGATCGAGGTCTAATCGAGTAAGTCTTTGCTATTAAAATATATCGACCGGACTTCCGGACTTTGACAGTGATGAGTCCGTTCCCGTGAAACATACAAAAGCTTTTTTCAAATTAAAATTCAATTACACATCGTCTTTCACCCAAGATCGTCATTTGCCCAAGTTGGGCAGATGACGACCTGGGCAGATGACGACTTGGGCAGATGACGACTTGGGCAGATGACGACCACTCGATTTTTTGGGGGTCGAATTCGACTCGTTCACCCCCAAAATCGCATTTTAAAATTGGCTTTTTCGCCGAAAATTGACGAGTCAGCCGTAATTTGGCAAAAAAAAATGATTTTTTTTTTGGTCATAAATTCCTCTTATCAAGTTTTTGAATCAAGGTTAACCTAAGGATGCATTATGAACCAAAAATATGGTGTTTTTAAAAATTTTCTTTTTTCGATGGAAAAAGCTGACGGGGGGGGGGTCCTAAAAATCATGATATAATTTATTTGATTTTCAAAATAACTTAATAAAAGAGGGAAGGAGTTCGGGTGACGAATGACCAAGCTAATAATTGCAATATTCCATGTCCTTCGTTAGCCCAGTTCATTCTCATTTTCATCAATCAAATTGAGTGGTTATATTAGAGCCAGCTTGGCCGCCGATCGCCACTTTCCAAAGTCAAAAAAATGAGCGACGAAGAAAAGTTTTCACAAATAGCCTGCGATTGTCGCCTCGCTTATGGCTTTGTTTCGAATTTATCATTTTTTAACAAGATTCATCAATATGATATTAACAAAAACGTTTTTAACGAAGCAGAAAACAGTGAGTTGAATCAAGGAAACGCAACAGGTAAGGTCCAAATTGGCAAGATCCGATTCTAGAGAAGTTTCTAGAGGATGCGTGGCTCCTGGAAGCGCTAGAAAAAATGAAGAATACGACGACATTGGAGCCAGCGGAAAATGTCTTGTTCAGCAAAACCATCGCGGTCTTCATCAAAATCCTTATGGCAGTCGGCATTCCCGCCAACTTATTTCTTCTCATTGTAACGGTACATGTCTATTTCTCCCCGATTGTAATAGGGTTAATTACAGGCAATGTCAAAACGTCGAAAGAACAATCTTCAACGATCGTCATCAATTTTATTCTCAATATTAGCTGGTGTCGATATTCTGCTGTTTTTAATAAGCATCATCAAGGTATCCTTCCTTAAGAAAATTATCATGATTCATGTGGATCGTGAGGCGTCTGCCATCCAGTTTTTGACTTTAAATCCTTCCAATTTAGCTAAAAGCAGACGCGAGGTACGATTATGATTTCGTCGAATCGCATTTTCTTCGACAGCTTTTTTGCCGGTCCTATGCAGGTTCAGGTTCACCTACTCTTCTATGTCTTCAAATAAGGTCGTCAAAGCGTTAACTCCTGGAGAAAAAAATGACGAGAATAATCAAATAAAACTCTAAGTCGCATAACGCTAAGCAGATTAAACAAGTCACGAACCATAAAAAAAAAGGGATTAAAGTCGTCTGCATGCTGTTTTCCGTGATGTTGCTTTGCGCAACTGCGCTTTTCCGCTTCTTTCACATTGCTTACCCCGCGCACACTCATCGTCCCTACGGCTTGAAAATCGCTGCTGTGGTTTTAGCCTTGGCCGTGTCAGGTATTAATCTATTCTCGTTTTTTTTTCCGGGTTTCATCGATTTCTTCCAGCTTCGATCCCGATCTTCATGTATCAACAAGTAATCCTCATCGGCCCAGAAGAGAGTCCATCCTGCCATTGGGGCTGGCGACTGCCCCCTCGCGAGCTTTGCAAACAAGCGGAAATCGGGATTCCAGAGTTCAACTATCGAAACTGCTCGAATCAAAAAGCGCTGTGCCACGATTTGCCGAGACACAAATCAGAATTTATTTATTGGATCGTGATTGTCGTCGTCTTCATTTTGACCCCAATCGGGGCGAGTATCATGGCTTACTGTGGTTTGATCAGAAGATTGCACAGTAAGTTTTATTAGAAAATATCATCTTTAAAATTCTAGTGAGCCAAAGAGCAACTGGAAAAAGGGAAAAGAATACGACGTTCTCATCCGAAATATTCAATTGTTTTCGACAACTCTTGGTCTTGCTTGGTTCCCCGTTGTTTTCTGGCGCGTCATACGGTACTTTCAATTCCGGTAGTAGGGGGTTATCATTCAAGCTGCCCCTAACCCTAACCCTTCCCTAGGAGCTACGCCTCCGTGAGCCCCCCCCCTTGGGCCTAAGCTAGGGGGCTTCGCCCCCCGGACCCCCCCCCCCGTTAAGAGTTTCAAGACCCTAACCCTAACCACTAGTCCAGATTCTAGAGATATTGGATGGCTCGAATCATAGGCTCGAATGATAGCCCCTCTCTACGTCAACTCCTCTTGGGATTTGTTGCTGACCGTTTTCATTTCAGGCTGATTCCAGGATTCAGTGACGGGAGAGGCCTCAATCCTGTTTTCTGCGAGTTCGTCAGCCAAACTGCCGGATTGACGCCCTTAATCAGGTTCAAAACCTTCATTCTTTCCCTCCTTTTCATCAATTTTTCAGCGGAGTTGTCAACCCTTTTCTCTACTCCTTCTTCGGCAACGTCTTCATTCAAGATCTAGAAAAGATCAAATTCACCCTTTTCCGAAAAATCCCTTCACTAGGAACGATTTTAACTTTTCGACATTTGATTGATTTCGTTTCATCGAGGATAAATCGTAAAAGAGCCTCTTTTGAAGACTCTCACAAAAAATTATGGTGCTGCTTCGAACTCAAGCGTCGAGTCTCAAATCAATGTTGCCGGTAAGCTCGTTTTTCTTCCTTGATTTCGTCCATTTCGTTCTTTTCTAGAGACGGATACGGTTCTTACAGCCTGCAATTCCTCGATGTTGATTCTCGACTCGCCAAAACTCAACTCATCCAACAATCCATAAATTCCTCGCCAGACTGGAGCCTGTCGCGAAAACCTGTGTAGAAAACCTGAGTCAGGGTTCTTTGACCACCTTGTGTCAGATTTTAGGGGTGGTGTCTGGAACCGACAAATAAATTTCGACAAATTTTACGTGGGCGGCTTCTCCGCTGCTGATTGGCTGGTTTGCCGAATCCAGGTTTCTGATTGGTTGAAAATTTCCACGAAAAATTTGTCGAAATTTTTTGTCGGTTCCAGACAGCTCCTCAAATTTTAACGCAGTTTTTCTGAATAAGTTTCATTAAATTAAGCTTTTTTATTATTCTGTTTTTTTTAATTTATTTATTTATTAAAAATTTTAAAAGAGAAAAACATTGAATTTTTTCAATGAAATAAATATTCTTCTATGATTTTTTTTCTAACAATAATTTCCGAATATATCAAAATTGATGCTGTTTGGAGAATGAATGAATGGACAGGAAGAAAAAGAGGGTTTGAACTCAGAGGAGCTTGATGAAGGGAGTTTTCTGGGTGCTGGAAATGATCACTGGTCGTTTTGCGCTGAAGGAATACTTTTTGAAGCGGTAGGGGTTGACGACTTCTTGGGAGAACTTGGAGCGGGATTTCTTTGTTCGGCGGTCGCAAATGAGGGTTTTTGAGTTTTGAGTCGTTTTCTGAAGATTTTGTTTTATAGTCTTATTCATCTGGGTTTGTCAGAAATGACCTATGATTAGCGCGAGTACTTACCCTACAAGACATTGGAATTACTCGCGAGCTTCTTTGGAGGTTTATTGTTTGCGTCTTAGTGGACAATTGTTCTGGCGCCACGGTTGATCTGGCTCTGTAAAATTTACCGCCCGGCGTGATCAGCACATTAACACGGAAGAGCAGTTCCGACTCGGCGGCGACGTCAGGCTTTTTGTTCTCGATACGGTAATATGCTGGTGCCGCTCTTGAAAGAATGGTCAATTGGAGGCCCGGAAAAAACATTTTGGTACCTTGGAGCGACGCGATATCTACTTCGGTATCCTCTTCTGCTGATGTTTCGGAGATTTTTCTGTGTGTTTAAAAATTTAGCTCTGAAAGCGGCGGAATAGGCATCTGATATTGTTGCTAGTAGACCAAGAAACAGCAAGAATCGCATTTTTTTTCTGAAAAAAATTTTGAATAATAACTATTATTCTTAAAAAATGATAAATAATTTTAAAATTTTATATCGAATTAATTATTAAATATATTTAATTATTTGTTAAATGATATTATTAATAAGGTAATAAAATAATTTATAAGTATTTATTTTAATAATAAAACTAGAAATATTATTAATTTAAAAATTATCAATTTACTTATTTACCATTTAAAATGAAACTAAATTTTTGATTAAATTAATTTTTTATAGAAAAATGAAAATAAAATTCGAAAAAAAAATAGATCAAAGGCGAAGAAATGATTATGTCTCCAAAAGTACAACAAACGGCGGCGACAATAAAGCGCGTCTCATTAAAATCGTTTAAATTGACATAAAAGGTTCTTATTGTGATTATTTATAAGGGCAAGTAGAGACACTCTGATTTATGAGCGCTTTTCTATCAGGGTAACATTTGTAATTTCGATCTGACAAGCTCTTATTTGAGATTATTAAGGGGGTCTCTTTTGATAAGCCGAAGAGGAGATCCTCTCAAGTGTGATTGATTAAGGGGGTCTCAAGCCAATCTTTCTTTCAGCGGGTTTTTTTTTTGTGATCACGTGACTGTAGAATGAAGAAAGCAATTTTTCAAGAAAGTGTCGAAAATTTGACATGTCAGATGCCGTCTCAGAGACAAATGAGCTCTGTTTCCTGGGAAAATTAGTTCCGCGCCGTTCAAACAATACTGTAATTAAGGGGCCTAATTGATAACAACCTGCGGTTTCACAGTGGCTTTCTCTCTCTCTCAGAGCTGTACAGATTTGAACCTGAACATACAAGTGGGTTAAATTCGTCTAAAAAGGCCTCTTTCTTTAAAGAAAAATTTGACCTTGAATGACCTTTTTCAGAGTTTTCAAATTCTCAGTTTTTGAACTGAAACGTCACGAATTTGAAGTAGGCTTGAATTGACTAAAAAAGCCCCGAGTTAACTTAATTTTCAATGAGGCCGGATTCCGAAATTTCCGAAAATTTGGAATTTTCAAAACAAAAATTCGGATCCGATTAAGCCCAACCCTTATCCTGTATTCAAGTGTTTAGTGGAAGAAAAGCTCAGAAAAGGTCAGTTTCGAAATAGGAGCGATCATAACACCTTGTAAGTATTCATTAGCAAACAATGAAGACGCAACTTATGTTTCGAGTCAAACCGAGCTTATAGCGTCATTCACTTTTCTATGCAAAAAAAAGCATGAAAAAGGTTGATTTCGGGAATTAAATTTTGCTTCAAGGAGCTTTTTAAGACTTATTCTCAAAATTTTTGATGAATAAGAGGGGGAAGGGGCTGAGAAAAAAAATAATTATTATAATGAATAATTATTTTTTGTCATTATTTATGTTCTTTTTGATTTTAAGACAAAGGTTCGCCATAATGACAAACTTTCAAATATAGGTATCTTTCGGGAAAAACAGGTATTATGGTCTCTTCTTTTTACCTCGAAATCACCAAAGAATCTTCTTCAAGAAAGCCTTCCTCTTCGAAAGTTCTCTTTTAAGTCCTCTTCTTCTTTGATTTTTATCAGCGTCAAGTGTTTTCCGCTCAGCAGAATTCTTCAGCGCGATAGAATTAATGAGCGCTTTAACTTTTCTGAGCGCCGCGAGCGCCCTCGTCAGATAAATTCTTGACCTCGAAATTTAACGAAACAAAGTACGTTTTAAAATATTTCAACAAAAAAAGTATTTTTTTTTCAACTAACTATTATTTTTTTATTAGTAATTTAATTGGAAAATAATTTCATAAAAATAATATAATTAATTCAAAAATGAATAAAATATTTTATGAAAAAATTTTAAAATTTAAATAGTAATTTTAAAATAATAATATTAATATTAAAATTAATATATATTAATATATATTAATATTAAATATTAAAATAATAATTTTCTCAAATATTTATTGTTTGAAATAACTTAAAAATTCTTAATTATCGGTAAAAAGGTCAGATTTATAGTCAAATTCCGGTTCCAGCGGAAATAGCGCATTTAAAAATCTCCGGAAGAAGACGTGTTTTATTTTTGTTCCCATAAAAAGAGAAAGAGAGATAAATTCACAAACTCATGATTTCAGGATTTCTCAGCCAAAAAGAAGGATTCGCATGTGGCATTTTTCGACTAAACTTGAAAAGAGCGATGACAGGAAGATTCTATCTTTTGGGGTTAATTATGAGAGGGATACCCTTAATTTCGGAGTGTATTTTAGAGGAATTATGTTTGAAATTGAATTATAAGTTCGTTTTCTTTTCAAGAAGAAAGAAAGAAAATCAGCTGCCAGATTGCGCTTTGGGGGTGGCTTCTCGTTTCAACTAAAAATAAAACTGTGTTGATACGTGCGGCGGGTCGAAAGCTGAAAATAAGCACAGAATGACGATAATCCTGTCAGCGTCTACTCAATCCTCGTGTTTTTGTGGATCATCCTATTTTTAAAGAACTTGCGGTTGGGTCAAAACTCTTCAAGTTTTTACCATTTTTTCTAAGATTAAAACCCTTGTCATTATTTTGAAGATCAAGATTTTCAGTCACGTGGTCAGACTGATCATTTTATTAGATTTTCTCCGAGTAGAAAAAAATACTGAAGAATCCGCGCTTCTTTAATTCTAGTCTTAAATTAAAGTATGGATTGCTTAATCAAGAAGAATTCTTATGGTTTGGAGTTCTTGGTTGGTATTCTAGAGCCTAGGACAAGGCAAGATTTTTAAATAAAAATCGTTGTGTGAAAAACTAGCTGGCTGACTGATAAAGCTAAAACTTGACCTGTTTCGTTTTGTCAGAATCGAATTAATGGCGATGAATTGATTCGAATGCGCTTGGTGATTGCACTTGCCCGGTAGCGCGAGTATCGATTATGGGAAAAGACAAGAGTGGCCCGCCTCCGACACCTTCTTGCCGCGATCGACAGTCTTGATCAATTCAAAAACTATCGCCTGGTGAATATTCTTTTTTATATCCTTTTTATATAAACCCGTCAACTTCTGTTTATATCATATTAACCTTTTTTCGTCGTCAATCGTCTGAAAAGAGAAAAACTACCAACATCAAAAACAAAAAAAAACTAACTGGTAATTAAATTATTTATTATTAAATTTTATTGTATTCTATATTTTTTTTCTAGAGAGGAGTTCATACTACGAGTCAAAGCTATGCTTGGCAACCTGAGTAGAAATCCTGAGTCACGGTCTGAAAGATAAAAAATGAAAAGCCACGTGGCGGCTTTTTTGAAAGCAAAGCCGCGGAGCGGCTTCGCCAGAAGTTAGATTTAAGATTGAACAGTAATTAAGCGAAGCCGCTTCGCGCCTTCGGCTTTTCATTTTTGATCTTTCAGACCCTGACTAAGGTTTTCTATTCAGGTTGGCGAGCCCATAGATCTCAGATCGAGAAAACTCAGAACAAGAATTTTTTAATACGGTGCCCAAGGGAGTATTCGGCAAGATCGAAAATGTAATCTGTTGAATTGAAAAAGGCGGAGGATGCAAGGAGTTTGTTGCGTGCTCATTTTTCAACTTGGTGATGGAACTTGGCGCCCGTTTTGTTCGGGCGGCCGGTTCGAAATTAATAAATTCATTCTCATTAACAATTGAACTCATTTTCTTTTGCTCTTTATTACTTTATCCACTGCTCGAAAAATTAACCTATTTTTCCAATACACTTAACAATTTCTTAGAGACAAAATACAGGTAAAAAATCCCGACTTTTCTGATAAAAATCCGCTAATTGAAATAATTTTCGCGAAAGTCAACAAAAAAAGCCGAGCATACGTAAAAAACTTGAGCCGCACACTTATTTGCTCAACGACGTTAGTTCATCGTTTTTTGTTGTATTTAGCGGATCAGTCATCGTTTCGCACTTCGAGCTTTCTTTTTTTTTCTGGAAAGTCTATTCAGAGAATTCAAGAATTTCTTTCCGAAAATGAGTGACAAAATTACTGCCGAGGTAAAAACATCAATTTTGCTTTCTTCACTTTTTTAATCAAGATTTTTTCTTTAAGAAATAACGTTGTGATACCCTTAGTTTTAAGATCGCCTTAATCATAAAAAAAAGTCCTGATATTTAAGAAATACAGTACATAGTTTTGGGTCTGACAAAAGTAAGGCAAGAATTGGGGGAGAATTTTTTTGAGTCGAAAATCAAATTATACTTGGCCGAATTTTGAGGTCATACTATCCTTAAAAACGAGCTCAAATTTTCGCTCTTATCGTGAAAATAGAGATTTTCTTGGCCAAACAAGGACGAAACCCTTAAATTCTTAGAAAATCTGAGGTGTTTTATACAAGAGTCAAATACACTCGCTCTGGCCGCTTAAAGCTCGAGTAAAGAATGATTTATTTGGGATTTCAAAAGTTAAGGTTGGAATGAGAACAGATGACAAAAGGAGTAAGAGTCAGCTGAGCGCACCGGAAATAATGCGCTATCGCTTTAGATCTAAGACTAATTTGGGAGATTGATGACAGCAAAGTGTCTTTTATGAAACACTTCAAATCTTTATCCCACCACAAGATAGCGCAGACTCTTATTTTCTGGAAAAAATATCTATTATCTGAACTGAAATATTTTTAAAAGAAATATTGAGAAAGGTATTTGCCAACGACTTAGATTTTCATTGTTCTCCTCGTTGATCTCAATCCTCAAGTCGAAAATTGAGTTGAATTGAATTCCCACTTTTTTGCTATTTTGCTTTTCCCTGAAAAGAATAATAAATGACTAATAAACTCCTGGCTGCTACCTGTGCCTAAAAATCGATGCTCGTCGAAGGCTAGAGTTTCATATTTTTGCTCCGTTAGTTCCCTTCCATTCGTCCGATTTGAGCATAAATCTCTCAAGGGACAAGCACCTCTGAAGCTCGTCCTTTTTTTCCAACCCTTTTTTACTTTTTTCGGCCATCAAGAAAAAAAGATAGAGAAGAGGGTCTCGATTTCAAGAAGATTTTTTGAAAAAAGAAAAAGATGGGAATTTTCTCACTCAAACATTTGAAGGTAAATTAAATTGATGAATTTTTTAATTAAGGGTGTCAACAACTATTTTCGGAAAAAATTTTTCGAGCCGATTTTTGGTATAAAAGAGTCAAAAATCCGTAAAGATTGAAAGATTGATATTTTTAAGGGGTCTAAAATTAAGGGTGTCAGTTTCTTAATTGTTAAATATTCCGAAATCTCGGTTAAAAATAACGATAAAACGATTTTCTCTAGTTTTTTTTTTGAAAAAAAAAACGTCATAAATTGTAAAAAAACAGAATGCATCATAATAAGTTACAAGGTGCAATCTGTTGAATCAATTTTGTTTGACGAGGAGGCGGAAAATGGCATTTTCGCGTTTTACGAGAATCGAATAAGTTTTCATTACTCCGGCATTCCAGATATTACTCCTCACCTGCCATTTCGAAAATTTTTTTCTTCATATTACTGAAAAGAGAAATAGACTCAAGAAAACTTTGCTAGGACTTAGGTAGGTATAGTAGATTTTTAACTTAGGGAGGTTTACGAACCGTCAAAAACTTTCGACAAATTTTGCGTGGACATCGTCAACAAATCAGAATCCTCGATCCGGCTTACCACGCAAAATTTGTTGAAATTTTTTGTCAGTTCCCGACGCTACCCCCTTAACCTAGCCCCAACCCTAAGGAAAGAAAATAAAAGTTCGAAATCCCATGTAAAATAAAACAACAGAAGCTGGTAAAACTCGTCATTCCGTCAGTTTGTATTTGCTCAAAATTCGAATAATTGTCATCCAAGCAAATACCATTGAGGGTAAAAAAACCAAAGCAGCCGGTTTATTCTTCTTTCAAATTTTTCCGATGCAACCTTTCTTCAATTCTGAATTAGCATAAAAATCGCCCGTGCGACTCAAAATCTAATTGATAGATTTTGTATCCCACGAAAAGAAGATCAATGCGATCTCCTGTTGAGCGCCCTTTCTCGACAAGAAGGGTCCAGTTCTTCATTCATTTATTCAATTATTATTTAAACTTTTATTCTTTTTTCTGCGAAAATGGCAAATCAAGAACTCAGCGTCTTAGATTGGCCATTTATTACGAGAATTGAAGCTTGCGAAAGGGCGAATATTGAATTTCAGGTTCTTTATTTTGGCGATTAGGGGATGGTTGGGGTTAGGGTTAGGTCTAGGGGTTAGGGTTGTGCATTTTTGTGGTGTCAAAAGAAATTTTCGATTGTCTGGTGGCTCGAAAAAAATGGGCGATAAAGAAATTTCAGTTTTTTCAGAAATATTTTAGAGAAAATCTCATTGGCCGAAAAGCCAAAAACTGGAATCTGATTTGTCGAAAATCTACCCAAATTTTTGGTCAAAATAGTATCTCCTAAATTGCCATATATTGGGAATTTGAGTCGAAAAATTGATAAACTGAAAATTAATTTTTTTCTAATTTAGACAATTGATACCCTTAATATCAATTCCATCAACAGTGAATTTTTCTATTAAAAAAGCAATTAATCTTTTGTGACATCTGTCAAGCCCTACTTATAAAACACTGAATTGAACTGTCTCGGTCCTAAAAATTGATCTATCCGGGAAAACTCTGAACGAGTGAGTGAATGAGTGTATTATCCTCCCGTCGCGCATATTTTTTTTTTCGCGAGTCTCCTTTTTCTGCGCTGAGAATCGATTTCTGAAAATCGTTAATCTCGTTGTTGCCGCTGTAGTCGCCCAGTGGAGAGGAAAATATCACCTTTTGTTTCGCCACTTTGGAGACAAGCAAGTTTATATTGCCAGTTGATCCAATTTTCTTTTTTTGACAGGGCAGATATTGCTTCGGAAGGATTAAAGAGATTATACAGAAGATTTATTTAGTTTCTGATTTTTTCAAATAAGGTTTGTTCAGGAATCACTCTTATAAAAGAAGAAGGCCCCCTTGTTCATCCTCAGTATTCCCGCATGTCACATGCGGCATGTGTGCCCTTGTTAATCTTTGGGCCACGTAGCCTTACTTGCAGATGGGCATTTTGACAAATTTAAAGAAAAAGACCCCTTATTCATCCCCTGAATTCCTACATGTGTGCCCTTGTTCATCCTCTGAATTCCTGCATGTGTGCCCTTGTTCATCTTTGGGCCACGTAGCCTTAGCTGTAAATGGCTAGTTGCCTTTCGAAAGCAAAGAAAAATTTTCTGATTTTATATTTTCAATTAGACCCTCCCTTTCAACCTTCCTTTCAAGCTTGAGATACAAGATCAAGGATCAAGTGCAGAAGACTCCATCCTCAAAAACATCGGAAGAACGAGAGAACTTTGGAAGGGAAACTTAGAAGTTCAGAAATCAACAAAGATGCTTGAGCCAAAACATAAGGTACCCAACCCTTAAAATAACCAAGCCAAACGATTATCCTTTTCAGGACTACTCCGCAATAGAAATTAAGGACATCACTTCAAGTTCTGATTCTGAAAGCGAGTCTGAAATCGCCACACCTTCAGGTTTGAAAGGAAAATAGCTGAAAATGAGAGGTTTTTTCAGTATCAAACTTGAAGAGCAAATTCTCGGTGAAAAGAGCGGCTAAGCCGCTCGTGGTTCAGCCGATTCACGAGCCGGTAATCCGACGTGAGCCGATTTATCTCAGAAATAGGTTTCACAAAGAACCGACTAATCAAGAAGATATAATACGGTAATACAATGAAGAGTTTAATAAGTTCAGAAATTGAAATTAAGGTCCGATCAACCGGGGACAAAGGAAAAGCCCGACTATTCATTCAATGTCGGCGACTTGAAGAAGCAATTTACGGGCGCTGCGCCGAAGATTTCTCGCCCAATTACGGAGCCGCTGCCTAATAAGTCGTCGGGAATGTCAAGGACGAAATCCGCGCCGCTCAACTCCACGAGCAGTCAAAAGAATCATCAAGAAGCAGATTCGGAGATCGTCAGGAGTCAGGCCGGTGTCAGGGAGGAAGCAGTGAAGCCGGAAGGTGGTTTGGCTGCGATCAGGAGTCTTTGGCAGACAAATGGTGAGTCATATTTTTTTAAGAAAAAAACTGATTTTTTTTTAGTTGAAGAATCAAATCGTGGTCGAACCAGATCCCGTCGACCCGACCCGATCGACTTGAAAGAAGAAGCTCGCGAAGTAAAAATCCGGGACAAATCCCAACGTCGCGAAAGTCGACATGCTCGGCGCGCGGCAAGTGCGGGGAGGGGAACTGGAATGAAGGTTTATAATGATGGGAGTTCGAGGAGCAGACGGGAGGAGAGCAAATCGCCGCCGAGGAGGAAGAAGACCCCAGCGCCGGTGAAGAAGGAAGTGAAGAAGGAGGTGAAGGTCGAGAAGCCAGTTCAGGTTGTGGAACGACCGAAGACTCCAGAGCCGGAGATCAAGAAGGAAGAGACGATTAAAGCTGTTGGGTACGTTGAAAATGATGACAAATAAGGGAAGAAGTCGAGACCAGAGATTTATCGAAGGATGAAATTTCATCAGAAAAAAACCGACTATGATTGGCTGGTTGGAAAAATAAAGATTTTTGATTGGCGGAAAGCTGAATGAAGATCTTTCCGTCAGATTTCACGCTCCTTTCTCCTAAGAATTCATTGAGTAAAGAATATTTTCTAGTGTTGAAGAAGCCTTTGACCTCATGAGCGTGGACCGAAGCCTAGCTACGACTCAAACACTTCCAAGCCCAACAGAATCAAATCGAACCGATGTCAAAGACGATTTCGACCTCCTCAACGGCGATTCTTTCAACGATCCCTCAACCGTCAAAGACATCAAGAAAGACATCAAAGGTAAGAACACAATCTTCAAATGGATTTCTTCAGCGTTGCATCTTCATTTTTAGAGAGCAATTTTGCAATTGTGTTTTTGCGAAAATGCCTCGAAGCTTTTGTTTTCTATTTCATTTTCCGCATCGTTTTCGGTAAAAAAATCTTTCACAAAAAGTGGTAAATAATTTTTGAATGTGTCACAGAAAAAAATGCTTGAAGATAATTTTTTTAAAAAATGGGAAAGAAGCTAGAAAAATGATGTCATTTCTTTACGTCCTCCCTTATTTCTTGATAGGCAATTTGATTAACGAAATTTCTAGAGCCAGAAGATGTGATTTCAACGAAGAGCTCGGAGATTGATTTTGAAGAGCCAAGTGTTCAAGAAATTGTGCCAAAAAAGGATGAAGAAAAACGCGCCAGTGGAAATATTTCGGTAAATTCTAGCGCATCTTTTTTTTCGTTCATTTTTATATAAAATCCAAGTCAGAATACCTTTATTACTCATTGAATAAAAGTATTCCTTCACTAACCAAAAAGTAGACGGCAGAATCTCCAGTCATCCCTGAGCCTCTAGAAATTATCGATACGTCTCAAGAACAAGTCCTCAGCCAAATCCAATCTTCCTCAGTCACTCCAAGGTACAACCCAATTTATACACAATGCCAAACATTTTTAGTCTTCCAAACTTATCCGAAAACCTTCCAGCATCCTGTAAGTCAGCGTAGATACCCTTAATTTTCAGCATTCCTAGCAACTAATCGAACGCATGCGTAAGCTTTTTCAAAACCTAGGGGGTTGAAAAAACGAGCGAATTAGCGATAAATCATTTGCTAACATGATTTCTCATTATGATTCTTTTTTTAATCCATCTAGCTCCTCAATCGCCAATCAACGATGAGGAAATTAATCTTCATCGAGAATCTCAGTTGCCGATTAAAGAGTCCTTGGAACGAACTTCTTCTGGTTGGCTAAAGGTTTGCTGAAGATTTCCATTTCAATGCTCACCCCTTTCTTAAGATTGAAAACGACCAAAGCTCAGAATCTGAATCCATCGACACTCAGAAAACTGAGTCGACAATCGCTTTGGCTGTGGAGCAATCTGATGAGGATCAAAAAACAACCGCCTCTGGATTTTCTTCCAACGATATTCTCGATGAAAATTCTCCAGGAAGCGCCAATGAAATCGAAGAAAAGAAAAACGAGGTCGAAATCAAGGAAGAAGAGGCCGAAATCGGAGAAGAAATCCAGGAAGAAAATTTCGAAAATGTCAAAAATGTCGAAAATGTCGACAATGTCGAAAATGTCGAAAAAGTCGAGAAAGTCATCCAAGCTGAAATCAAGGAAGAAGCCCAGGAGCCAATCAGAACTCATGAAATATCCCCATATGGCGAATACCTAGAAAGCCAAGAGGAAGAAAACCTGATAGAAGAGCAGAATGAAGGAAGGATAGAAGAAGAGTTCGATCAGTTAGTGAGCGTGACAAAAGCGATTTCGGATAAAGAAGATTCTGAAGATTTCAATGAACAACCTTTGTCGAATATTTCCGAAGCTACGGAAGAATTTTCGCCAAATGGATCGCTATCGAAGGTATAAAAAAGGATAAATGAGGGTTTTGAGACGAAAATTTAAGGATATGAACATCCAAACCCTCGGCGACCACCAACCAATCAACGCTCCGCTAGAAGTCTCCTTCACCAACCAACACTTTCTCGAATCATCAAGCTCTTCAGACGAAGAACCAGCAATCGAAGCAAGAAGAACGATCGGATTTGCTCCAGAAATCGAGATTTTAAACGACAGTACCGACGACGAAATCGTCGAGATTTGCAAAGATTTCAAGCCAACTCACAGTCGTGAACCAACGCCGCCGCCGAATTTGGCCGAAAGCTCGAGCGATTATTCCGCCAGAAGTTCGGGTAAGCTCTCTTTTCATCCGCACCCCCTTAAATCCATCCCAGATGAAGAAAGCACCGACCCAGAAATCCGCGAAGCCATCCAACAATGCTCAATGCAACTGACGGAAAAAATCATCAAGGACTCGCTCGCCCAAGGAACCGATCTAACTCGAACTTTTTCGAAATTTCGGAAATGAAAAATAAAAAATCATAATTAATTATTAATAATTATCAATTCATCAAATCAGATATTTGACAAAATTCTTCCTGCTTGAAGAATTTTGAGAAAATTTTATATGAAAAGATGACGTCTAAATCGTGATTTTAGTGAAAAATGAGTCAATTGTGGACGATTTTGATCTTCTTGGAGGTAAGAAATTTTAACCTATTTAGAGCAACGGGTCCAAAATTGGCCATTTTCCTCCATTTTCACCCCCATTTCAGATCTTGGAACAGTCTCGACGCCAAATGCTCCCCCCGGTGGCTCGAATTCCTTCGACCTGCTAGCTTAATTTTGTGCTAAATGCCCGTGTCACTCCTCGTGCTTCCAAAATAAATTCATTTGTCACGTGCCCAAATCTACGATTCTCTGGTCCTGGAGGAGGAAAAAAAACTACTGCACATTCTACTTTGCTTAAAGTACTTCATTCTAGTGTTTTGTTATTGTACAGTTCTTCAAACTTAAAAAATAAAATGAATGTTCATCAACTCGGAAATTACGGGTATTTCGGTGAATTGAAATTGAAAAGAAATATCAATTATTTATTAATTGTTACATGCAAAATTATGAATCATATTCAAAGTTCGTCGCATTTGCCCAAAACTCTTCGTCCCATCCGGCAAAGAAACCGGTGAATGTGACTGGTTCCTTTTCTTGTTTGACTTGGACAATCGGAGTTCCTAAAAATTTAATTAAAATTTGAACTGAAGACTTGACTGTACCTTTTCGTCCAGCGGGATCAGTAGCAAGATATTGTTTCGCGGCTTCTAGAGTTTGCTCTTTTTCGTCTAAAACAATCAGAAAAAGAGGGTCTTTTGGTGCGTATTTACGGTCAGAACTGAAAATATCACGAATGTCACGAATGTCACGACTGTCACGAAACTCACGATTTTGCTGAAAATGTCACGAAAAAGAAACATGTTTTCGTGACGTTCGTGACATTCGTGACATTCATGACATTCGTGACTTTCGTTACATTCGTGACAGTCGTGACATTTTTAGCACTGTCGACATTTACCGTCAGAACTCTCTTGTCCAATCCAAACAAAGACGGTATTCCAGGCATCGAGCAACATAACATTCGCCGGATTCAAGTCGCTTTGGTGCAAAACACCAAGCAGCTCTTCTGCAACAAAATTTCCAGTTGCCATTGAGCACTCGAATAGTCGCGGGACCCGGGGCTTTTCTTGCTTTCTCGGGAGCTTGAAGTATTCCTCCTGGCCGCCGAGAAAGTCCCAGAATTCGTCGGATTCTTCGCCCTCGTTGATTTCAGTGATATTTCCGTCGGCGCCGATTTTTGCTGCGAAGGCGGTGAGAGCTTCTTTTTCCTAAAAATTTTGAGAAAAAGGGGGTTTTTTGATAAAAAAGACGAACCTTATCATCAGCTCCAGTGCCAAACCAAGCAAAACAGTCGCCTCCAAAGCCATAATCCGAATCTCCCTCAGCGACGGCAAAGAAAGTGTCATTCGAGTTCAGCGCCGCTGCGGAGAATTCCGTCTCGAAAGCCTTGACCTGGTTCGCTCGATTGAGGCGAATTTGGAAAAGGGCATTTCGAGGAGCAGGTTCGCAATAGCTTCCTTGTTGGAGAATCGCCATGCCGCCATTGAACATGGCGATCAGGTGGTTTGGCTCTTTTCCTTCGGTGACGCGGACTTGGAGGGCGTCGCCGTCGAATTCTTCGTTGTCGAGTTGGACGACCTTGAAAACGGGCTTTATCACTGAGTGATGTCATGGAAAAAGCAGACCTGGAAAGCAGTGGCAGTTTCAGCAGAAGTACCAGCGCTGTTCCCAAGCCAGTAGTAAATGTAGCTCTCGGGCTTGCCCTTTGGAGTTTCATAAGTGTACGAAACGATGTAGCACTCATTCGAGTAGAAAATTCCCCAGTTCTCCTCTGGAACTTCTTCTCGCTCGGAGTCGACGATTCTGTAGACTTTCTTTTCTCCAGAACCATCATCGGGCATTCCGTATTCCGCAGCGGTCTCGGGCGTGTCATGCATTGTCGAAGCATCGAATTCTTCATGCTCGACTTTTGCGACAGATCCGACAGTGTATGTTTCACCAAGTCCGTCGGTTTCATTGAGATCTTGCCAGTCGACGAAAAATTGCTTGAACATGGCGCTTTCACTTAAAAATAAATTACAATTGAGATTTATACTCATTTTTCTGACCCAACCAAGAAAAGGAATTGATTTTAATGGAAAGGGTTTTGATTGGCTGGTAGGCCAAATACAGCAAGCTTATTGGTCTTCAGAAAATGTACTTCCTTTTCTTGCTCTCAGACTGTGCCCTTTTTTAGCACTAAACCAATTTTTGGAAGTGAATTTTCGGATTACCAATAAGATTGCTGTATTTTGCCTACCGGCCAATCAAAACTCTTTCCATAAAAATCTTTTCCAAAAATTGGTTCCACCCCTTTTTCATGAGCTTACGCGAATTGCGGCATGATTTCAAACTGCGTATGCGCCGGCAAATCATTCTTCTCCATGTACTGGTTACAGTAATCGATCGCTTTTGATCTCTCCTCCGGCGAAGAATTCTTCCCCTTCCAGACATAAATCGCTGGCCCATCGACAGACGCGAGGACGAAGACATTTTCATCTTCCAAAAGAGATTGTTCGTAAGGCCCTTCTTCCGCGACAAGAGAGTAGTCGACTTCTCCGTCTTCGCCGGAAACTTTGAATAGTTTTCCAGCGCCGGATCGGGGAGCGCCTTTTTTCGCCGGAGCATCTTCAGGCGCTTCGTCGGGGATGTCATCGGGAATGTCGTCGCCCAAGACCGGGCAGAGCTTTTCGGGACAACGGACTTCGCCAGCGTCGATAATGTGCACTTCTGCGCGGCCTCCTCGTTCATCGTCGCGGATTGCGCGTGCCATCTCGTTCGCTTTGCTTCGCTCCCAAACTGATGAGAACTCACCGCACCAGGCTTGAAAAAAATGATGACTGGAGGATATAAAAAAGGGGCTTACTGTAAATGTCGTTTCCCATGTCGAGAATGAAGCAATCGGACTTGTTGAGGCTCTCCCAGGAGCAGGCGACTTGAGTGCATCGGACAGGGTTTTTGCCTCGAACCCACAAGAGTCGGTTTATTTCGCTTTGGTTGGATTGCATTTTGTCGATTTATTACTTATCAGAATTGAGAAATTAGAGATTGCGAAATAAATTGTAAAACAAAAGTCAATAAATCTAGTCATGCGAAAATTGAAATCCCAGAAATTATTCCAATAAATTATCGTTTTTGAAAATCCATTCCTGTAATCATTCGGCTCCACATGATTGAATCCCGAAGCCACGCCGCCTTCTTCATAAATCAGCCCTTTTTTGAACAAGCCAATGAACGCCTTTGACTCGTGGCCCTGAACTTCTCGATGCTGAACAGCAGCTCCTCCAGCCACTTCATCATCGACAGTTACTGCCCAAAGAGCAGCGGCGCCGGCTTCGACTTGTTCGGTCTTTTCGCCGAGCCAGAAGTGGACGTCCCACTCGAAGCCGCCGGATTTGAGGGCTTTGGTGGAAAGGACGACGTAGGAGTCACCATTGTAGAAAGTGCCATAGAACTAGAAAAGATTCTTTTTTGAAGAATTTCTCAAGAAAAAATACCTCGTTTTTTTCCTACCTTTTTAGGAATTGGAGCCAGCTCAGATTCCTCGATTCGCCAGACTTCCACTCCCGCTTCTTTTCCAGCTGCGTCGATATACTCTTGGCTGGACATCGTTTCTTCTCTCGTTTTGACCCAACTGCTGAAATTATCAAGTTTTAGTGCATGTTTTATTTGCAAAGCGCATAGTCATTATTTGTGCTCAATAAATGAACATGGCGCATTTTATGACAATCTCGTGGAAATTCATCGAAGCAAAGCCTTTTTTTCTAGAAATGCAAATTACCTTCAAATTCAAATTGTTCTCTCTTTTTTTTTCTTTGAAGAAGTGAGTTTCAGAAAGTGACTGAATTGAGCTTGGCAAATCGAATTTATGCGAGGCGCGCATCTCGAGGGAATCGACAATCAATGATTATAATCTTGATGTCTTTTGGTTATCGTTGTTTATTATGACTGGCATGAAAGACTGATATGAAAAAAGCTCGGACAACAGATCAAATTGTCATAAAAAGGGAGAATTGGCTGAAAAAAGGGCGATAATTTGATCAAAATTTTTGCAAAATTTAGACCAATCAGATGAGCGCATTCGATAGTTATTCAAATCAGGGTTTTTTTGGAATCTGATTGGCCTTCTGGCCGTATGAGGAAATCTTATAGGTCATAACATGAGCAGAATCGAGGTCGAAATTAATGCATTATTTTGACCTTTCGAGCAATCTCCCAAATATATTTTTCTTTCTTGCTGTCAATATGCTGAACTTTTTTTATAAAGAATGTTTTGAATAGGAAGTCTTGGCTTCAATTTTTCAAGTAGAAAATATTTACTGTTTTTCAAAAGATTAAATAAAGTAAAAATTTTCAAAGAGATTTGTAATAATATTAAACAATAGATTCAATCTAAGGTGATTTATTTTTATTCGAGTTAGTAGCTAATCATCCAATTCCATTTCCGGTATATGAAGAAAATTAGAAAAAATGATGACTTACTCTTTATGATACTTCATAAAGAGTTCTTACGAACAGAGAATTATGGAGAGAAACGGGAAAGGAACAGAAATATTTAACTTGCTTTTTGGAAGTTTTGGAGCCTTTATTTTCGCTGTCAATACACTCTTACCTGTATTCGGGATGGTAAATACAATGATAAGACTGTTAAAGAGTTCGAAATCTAGATAGTCCCTGATCATGACTGTAATGTCGCCGAGAGAGATCGTTTCTTCAATTTTTCAAGCATCGGGATTCCGAATAAGTACCAAGTAAGAAGATTTTGATCTTGATTTGTGTTCCTTGAAATTTCAGTATTTGAAAAGAACTGGTCTATTCAAAGGCAGTAATGAGACGAATCATCCCTGGGAATCGATTGTCACTGAACTCTTCCTTGTTTGTGATCAAGCGTTGAAAGTAAGGACATTATTTGTGATCGGAATCGCCGCCGAGATTTTTTCAATTCTATACGAGTTCTTCAATTTAAATTATTTTCACCTCCCCTCAAATTGCTCCCGATTTGCTGCATCATTTCTTTTTTTTTTGAATGAAGAACTTGGAAAAAGTTAATGGTTGGCTGGCCGATACAATTGGTAGAAAAACAACCTTATGCCTGAATAATATCGTGTTCTTTTTGGCCATCGGTAATTTTCCCAACCAATTGTGAAATCAAAACTTTAGAATTTCTAGTACTCAACTTGATCTTCATCAATTTCTATGTCTACGCTGTTTGTCGTTTTATCATCTGCAGCGCTGCAACTTGCCTGATGATGACAGGGAGTCTCTATGCTTCTGAAACCGCAATTCATTTCAAGTCCCTTCCTTTTCTGATTTGGTCGTTTTGGTGTTATTCTGGGATCTTATTTGCGTCCTGGCTCTTCTTTTTCTTCCCAGATTGGAAGGAGCAAATGCTTATCAAATTAGTGCTTTCACTGATATATTTCTTTATGTAAGTTGATTTTCGTTTTTTACAAACTTCTCTTTAAGACTCCCGCCGTCAGCTTTTTTCGAAAAATCAAATTTCGGATTTTTTTAAATTTTGACCCCGGAAATGGATTCTTCAAGGAAAATAACGATTTTGAGGCTGCATTTTTTGGGGGTCTATCTCGACTCTAACACCCTCAAAATCGCATTTGAAAATTGGACTTTTCGCCGAAAATTGACGAATTTGCCCTAATTTTAGCAAAAATACTGATTTTTCTTGGTCAAAACTTCTCCTTATCAGTTTTTCTCAGCAAGTTTAACCTTAGGACGCATTAAGCATAAAGCTGACGGAGGGAGGGGTCCTTAAATGCTCTCTAGGACCCTTGTTATACCGGAGACCCCTGCATACCTGGCAAGCAAAAACTCCCCGAAAAACAATCGACAAAAATTTCGAAGAAATTCGATGTCCTTCCAAATGCCAATTTCGTTTTCACCATTTTCATTTACGCCGTCAGCTGCATAGTAACCAGTTTTGTCTACTTCGGTCTTTTATGGGGCGCTGGAAATTTATCTGGCAGTCTTCACATGAACTCGGCAATTAATGGATTGATGGCTTTGGTTGGTTCAAGTTTTTATTGTAAGTTTTAATTCAAACATTTTGTAAATGATCAATTCTAGCGCCTCTGCAAAAGATCGCCACATCAAAAACGATAGTTAGTTTCAGCTTCTTTCTCATCTGTTTCGCTATGGGTCTCGCTTGGATTATCCCTTCTACGACGCTTTTATCGGTCACTAGTTTCATCGGTAATTTTTCAAGAATGGGTTTCTTAATGTTCTTTTGTCAAGGTATCTTTGTGGTGGTGTTGACTGCCAATGCTTATTTTGACATTTCGAAGACATTTCCAGTCAGCTGTAGATCCACATGCCATGGCTTTTGTACGGTGTCGAGTAGACTATTGGTTCTTCTCATTCCGGGATCGGGGTTATTCATGATAATATGGGATGGGGAACTAAACAGGCATTTATGGATAGTCGGAAATTTGATTCGCTTCTAGAAAATAAAGGGGTCTTTTATTTGCTGATTTCACAAATAGCCATTTTGTTACTGGCCTCATATTTGGCAAATATCAAGCCCTTTAATTATTCGAAAAATGATCCCGAAAAGTACTTGTCTCTCCTGCCAAAAAGCTTCAGAATCGGCTTGTTATGCATTTTGCCAGGAATTTGCGGATTTCTTTATCACTTGATTCCAGTTGTTCCTGAAGACGTCACTCTTCAAAATGTCTCCGACGCGAATCCAGTCTTCAAACGATCCCATCGTCTGATGAGAAAGAAACGAGCGATTTACAGAAATATTTTGCGCTGAAAGAAAACTTTTAAAAAAGACTACTCTTATTTATTGCAATAAATCTTGATCAATATGAAAATATCCCAAATCGGCAGGTCTAGATGCTAAGCTATTGTTTTTAAACGGAAGTCGTTATGAGCGTTATGAGCGTTTTTTTAACATTAAAAAATTGTCAGAGGGTGGACAGAACATTGAAAATGGAGAAAAGAAGAGAAATAATCAACTTGGCTTTTGGAACATTTGGAACCTTAATTGCTGCTTTCAACACGCTTTTGCCTGTATTCGGGATGGTAAATGTCAGAAGACGATAAAAATTATTTTTGAAATCTAGATCGCGCCTGATCATGACTGCAATGTTGCCGAAAGAGATCGTTTTTTCAATTTTTCAAGCACTGGGATTCCAACTAAATACCAAGTTAAAACATTTTATTCGTTTTCTTGCTCATTATTTTTTAGTATTTGAAAAGAAGTGGTTTATTCAAAGGAAACAACGAGACGGATCATCCTTGGGAATCAATTGTGACAGAATTCTTCCTTGTTTGCGACCAAGCTTCGAAAGTTCAGACATTGTTTGTGATTGGAATTGCCGCTGAAATTTTTTCAATTTCATCCGAGTTCTTCAATATAGCATAAACAACTTCAATTCTTCAATCGGGCCTTTCTGCTTTCATTTTATTAAGAAAGCCTTTATTTCCTGCCCTATCAAAACATCTTCAAAAGGATGAAAAGGGGTCGATAATCGAAAATGGGAATTATCTATTATAACTTATGAAGAACAGATTGAAAGTCAACGGTTGGTTGGCCGATACGATCGGCAGAAAAACCACTTTATTCTGGAATAATATTTTTTTATTTGCGGCTATTTTAATCAACTTGATCTTTATCAACTTCTACGTCTACGCCGTCTGCCGGTTCATCATCTGCAGTACCCTCTGCTGCCTGACGATGACGGGTAGTCTTTATGCTTCAGAAATCGCGGTTCATTACGAGTCACTTCCGTTTTTGCTTTGGTCGGGCTTCAGTTACGTTGGAATATTACTGGCGTCCTGGCTCTTCTATTTCTTCCCAGATTGGAAGGAACAAATGCTGATAAAATTAACTTTATCGTTGATTTTCTTTTTTATGTAAGTTGAAAATTTCGAATTGAGAAAAGAGGCCGTTATATAAAAAAAATTTGAACGAAAAAAATTTTGAAGAAAAAATTTTTAAAGAAAAATTGAGAAAAAAATTCATAAAATTATCTTTAGGACCCTTTATATTCCAGAATCAGCCGCTTTTCTTGAAAACAAGAAATCTCAAAAAGCTCTGAAACGAAAAATAACCAATAAATTCGATGTCCTGCCGAATTTCAACTTCATCGCCACAATCGTCATCTTCGCGATTGTCTGCCTGACTTCGAGCTTCGTTTATTACGGTCTTTTATGGGGTGCTGGCGATTTATCCGGAAGTCTTCACTGGAACTCCGCGATTAATGGATTCATGGCTCTCGCTGGAACCATTCTCATTTGTAAGCCATTATTTTCGATCGATGAATGATTTCTAGTCCCTCTTCAAAAAATGGCGACGTCAAAAACGATCGTTAGCGGGAGCTTTTTTCTCATCTGCTTTGTCAGCGGTCTTGCTTGGATCGTCCCATCCGCCAGACTTTTATCGGTCGCTAGTTTCATCGGTAATTCGGGGAAATGACTTCTTTCAAAGGCTTTTTTAGGGATTTTCGCCGTGGTTTTGACGTATATTTCCTTTTTTGATATTTCAAAGATATTTCCGGTCAATTGTCGCTCGACTTGTCATGGCATTTGTACAGTTTCGAGTCGAATATTGATTCTGCTCATTCCGGAATCGGGATCCATTCAACCCATTGGGCGATAGAGAGCTGAAAAGAAATTGATCCCGAAAAGTACCTTTCACATCTACCAAAAACCTTCCGGATCGGCTCGCTATGCATCTTGCCTGGAATCTGTGGGTTTCTATATCACTTCATTCCAGATGTTCCTGACGATGTCACGCTTAAAAATGTCTCCGAGGCGAATCCGGTCTTCAAGCGATCTCAACGGCTGATGCGAAAGAAACGAGCTATTTTAAGAAATATTTTCAGATGAAAAAAATGAGCTTTCATGACGTCGAAATTCTGTAAATAAACTGCGAAAATGATCAAAAATGATTGTCAGACGGTCAAACAAAACAACCAAACTGTCTTTTTCTTTCCTGGCAATTGTCTCTCGAAATTGCCAAAAAACGATCCATAATGACTCTCTCCCTTGGTCAGGCAAAAAGTCGTCTTATGAGTCGTTAAAACGTCTCCTGATAGCAAAACTCGTCTGAGCTGGCTTTCGCGATTCTGAGATTCAGGATTTGAGACTCAAAATCCCAAGAATTGAAAAAATGGTGGAAAATAATGGAGAGAAAAATAGAGAATTAGTGAATTTGATGTTTGGAAATTTCGGCGCTATTATTTTTGCTTTTAACGCTCTTCTTCCTGTTTTTGGTATGGTAAGTTTTTTGAAATTAAAAAATATTTTTCCTATGAAAAAAAATTCAAAAGGCCAAATTTTCAGATTGTGCCGGATCATGACTGTAATGTGGCAGAAAAAGAACGATTTTTCAACTTCTCGAGCACTGGAATTTCGAATGATTATCAAGTAAAAATTGGTCCTTTTTGAAGAAAAAGTGTTTTCTTCAATTTTTAGATTTTGAAAAAGACCGGTCTTTTCAACAAAAACAATCAATCTGATCATCCTTGGGATTCGATTGTGACCGAACTCTTCCTTGTTTGCGATGAGTCTTCAAAAGTGCAGATTTTGTTCGTCATTGGAATTGTGGCGGAGATCTTTTCGATTTTATTCGAGTTCTTTAATTCGCTTTTACGATTTTGATCTGCTGAGATCTGCTTTCTTGGCCCGTAGATCTAACAACCCAGGTCACGATAATCAGGCCATATTTTTTATTTGCGCCTTTACTCGATAATAAAAACCTAAATGCTCAAGTCTGAACGCTTAGCCTATCAAAATTTAAAGTTAAAATGTGAAATTTTGAATTTAAAAATAAAACATAAAGAACTAGAAATAAGTCAATGGCTGGCTTGCTGATACAATCGGTCGAAAATCAGCTCTTTTTTGGAACAATGTTGTTTTCTTCTCAGCGATCGGTAATTTCGGACTGAACCAATTTTTGAAAGTGCATTTTTCGATAACCAATAAGATTGCTGTATTTGGCCTACCGGCCAATAAAAATCTCGATCCATAAAATCACTTTTATAAATTTAATTTTTACCGAGATAAAAGGGCTTAAACCAATTTATGGAAGTGATTTTTTTGACCAGAGTTTTGATTGGCCGGTTGGCCAAATTCAGCAATTTCATTGGTTATTCAAAAATGCATTTCCATATATTGGTTGAGTCCGATGAAGTCATATTTTATTTATTTAGCTGTGAACTTGGTGTTCATCAATTTTTACGTCTACGCTGTTTGCCGCTTTTTCATCTGCAGCTCTGCTTGTGCCCTCATGATGATAGCTACATTGTATGGCACCGAGACCGCGGTTCATTTCAAATCCGCTGCGTTTTTGATCTGGTCTTGCTACAGCTACTTTGGAATTTTATTCGCTTCGTTGCTGTTTTACTTCTTTCTAGATTGGAAAGAACAAATGCTGATCAAATTGTTCTTATCGCTTCTTTTCTTCTTCATGTAAGTTGTCAAAAATTAATAATGACTCATCATTATGTTTTTTTTTTCAGGACATTCTATTTTCCCGAAACCCCAGTTTACCTCGAAAACATCAAAAAAGACAAAAGCTTGAAATCCGATCGACCGAAAAAATTCGATGTCGCTCCGAATCGAAATTATATTTGCACGATGTTCATCTTTTCTTTCTGCTGCATCACGACTGCCTTTGTTTATTTTGGCCTTTTATGGGGAGCAGGTAGTTTGTCAGGCAGTCTTCACTGGAACTCTGCGATAAATGGAATGATGGCGCTTGTTGGGTCCATGATCATTTGTAAGCCTTTGAAAATTTCTAAATTTTTTGAGGGATTTTAGTTCCTGTATTGAAAATCGCCACTTCGAAGACAATCCTGAGTTACAGTTATTTTCTTATCTGCTTCGTTATGGGCCTAGCTTGGGTGTTTCCTTCAACGAAAATTCTTTCAATATCAAGTTTTATCGGTGAGTTTTAAAATATAAAACTTGACATCCAATAAAAACTCGGTATTGTAAATTTCGACCAATCAGAAATATGCACATCTCATCATGCTGTGCTTATCAGTAAGCTAATTTCGGGCTATTTTCAGGAATATTTGCGGTGGTTTTGACATTCTATGCGTATTTTGACATTGCGAAAACATTCCCCGTCAGCTGTAGATCGACAACTTCCGGCTTTTGTACTGTATCTGGTCGACTCTTCGTCCTCGTCGTTCCGGAAAGGGGGAGATCATTTCTTTCCTTTCCCATTTCCGCAAAATCAAATGATCTCGAAAAAGTATCTGTCCCTGCTCCCAAAAACCTTCAGAATCGGACTTCTCTGCATTTTGCCCGGTATTTGTGGGTTTTTATACCGCTTTATTCCCGATGTTCCTGACAATGTCACGCTCCAAAATGTCTCCGACGCCAATCAAGTTTTCAAACAATCTCATTTGCGAATGAGAAGACGACAAAAGAGCGAAGATAAAGGGCTTCTTTCTGTTGAATGAAAATAATATTGAAAGTTACTTTGAAAAAGCAGGCGTCATTTTTACGGAAATCTTAATATTGAAGTGGAAAAATCAGATTATTGACGCTTTTCCGTTGTCAGGGCAATCTTGAGTGGCAGGTTATAAAAACGGGGGCTACTTCTGAACTTGTCAAAGAGAAAGAGATTGAAATTCTATTTTTCTCTAGAACCCGTTTGTGTGCAATTTTCTGCAGTTGATTTTCTTCAGTTTGTTTTTTGAAAATATGGCAGGCGTTTCTTGTGGAGCTCGCGATTTGAACGATGTTCTTTTGAAAGATTCTAGCGGAAAAATCGCTGAATCAGGGAAGCAAGTTCTCCTCGTCGAAGCCAATACCAATATCACTCCTACTTTTCTGAAATACCAGAACACCAACTTTTTGATGGCGCTTTCTCAGGTTTGCGAACGAAAAACAGGATTTAGCAGGGAAAATTTTAGGATGATATGCGACCAGATACGATTCGAATGGCTTTGATTGGAGCTCTTCGTTTTGGGAAGTGCTTTATTATTGATATTGATAAGGTAAGTAGAGGAAAGAAGTCTTTCCTAGAAACCATAATGATCTAGTCTCAAAGATCGTTGGATTTTTTAAATATAGTTTTTCGGTGATAATTTCTGTTAAATATGATCATCGCATTCAGGGCAACCTAGTCTAGCGAAGATAAAAGAAACCTTTTATAAAAAAATCAGCACAAAATTTAGCTCCCTTTGTACAACGCAATCGAAACCTACATGGACATGATCAAACCCGGCCTCTACAAAGACCTCCTTGCTGGCGAAGTGACCAAAAACGAATACTGGAAGACTCTTGTTAAACCAACTGATGAAGACGCCTATCAGGAACAGATACAAACAATCGATTCGCGCAAGCGAAAAATGCTCATTTCCGTATCTCAAAAAAGGGCAACAACTTTAACGAAAGCCAATTCGATCGATTCCACTTCGTCGTCCTCACGCATTCCGTTCCCGACAAGGCTATTTCTGACCAGTTTTACACGATCACAATCGAATAAACCTCCTTTTCCAAACCGCGTTAGTATTTTCGAAAAAAAAAATACTTGACATTTTGACCATCCGCGCACTTGCCGGCTGATTCGACCAGTTTTTCGAGAGAAGAAAATAAACAATGCAGGGAATGATAAAAAGCTTTGGTAATTTTTTGAAGAGCAAAAAGACGAAACTAGCGCTGTTATCGAGAATTTTGCTTGTTTCGACCTTTATTGATGATGGCACTAGAATGCTTTGGTTTGATAGCCATCTAGGAGCAGGGTCAAAAATCGAGATGGTGTCTTCCGACAAAAAATTTCCGACAAAAAAAATTCCGACAAAAAATTTCCGACAAAAAATTTCGACAAAAATTTTCGACAAAAATTTCCGACAAAAAATTCCGACAAATTTTGCGTGGGCAGCTTCTCGCCTGCTGATTGGCCAGTTTGCCGAATCCAGGCTTCTGATTGGATGAAAATTTCCACGCAAAATTTGTCGAAGTTTTTTTGTCGGATCAAGAAACCTCCCCTAAAAATCGACTATAATTTTTGTTTTGTGGAGAGCAAATTTTTGAGCCTTCAAAAGTTGAGTATGCGTCGGAAAATACAGTTGGCGTAACCGACTCTTATTTCGGCTACCTCATGTTTCTCCTCAACGCGATTTTCTCCATCGGCGGTAGTATCACTCTCCTTGCTGGAAAGCGCCCTCAACTCGGCTGCTTCATTCTCGCCGCCGCGACTGTCACGCAAATTCTCATGTTTGGCGAGTGGAGATGGAGCTTCATTGGATTTTTGAGCCGGTTGCTTTCTGCTAGTGGCATTTTGATCTTACTGTACTGCGAGACGCTTCATCAATCGGGGATGATTTTCGCGGGATTGCCGAGTTTGGGACCGGAAGTGACGAAAAAAGAATGGGCGACGCTTGTTGGAAGAGTTTGTATTGTTGGACTGTATTTGGTAAGCATCGTTCTTCTTCTCGTTTTCATTGTTTTCTTAGCCAATGGTTCAACTCAACGTCCAAACTCTTGTGTCAATTCCAATCATGGCTGCCGTCATCGTTGGCTACAGGGTTCTAAATCTGAGTTGAAAGTCAGAAGTCAAGTCGAGTCGAGTCGAAAGCGTTTTTGAAAATCGCTAGTCGAGTCGAAAAACTTGAAAATATATAAATTTAGTCTAAAAAGTCGAAAATAAGTCGAAAAGTCGTAATTGTGTCGAAAATCAAAAAAGAAGTCGAAAAGTCGAAAGGAAAATAGTGATTCTTTCGACTAGATTTTCGACTTTTTCGACTAAATTTTCGACTAGTTCGACTAGATTCTTCGACTTTCTGTGCAATTTGTTTTCGACTTTTTCGACTATTCGACAATCTTGCTGACTCAAAGGCTAGTCGAGTCGAGCTAGTCTTTTCGACTAAGACTCGACTCGACTTCGACTTTAATCAAAACTCGACAAGTTGATTTAGAACCCTGTTTGGCTACAAGACTCAACTCGCCGCAATCACCTTCATCGTCCTCACTTTTCTCCACGCCTTCATCAACTACGACTTCTGGCTCTACTTTGGCACCTGGGACTATGAAAACAAGAAGTTCCTCTTTTTCCAATCCCTATCAGCGATCGGCGGAATCATGCAGATTCTCGTCTATGGCGCTGGCGAAATTTCTGTCGATGCAATTTTGAAGAAAGATTAAAATAAAGACACTTCTAACTTGATCTTTGTGCGTCGAGTGTTTGAATCCGTCGATTAAAATTAAGATTATTAAAAACTCTCATCTCGGTACTTGACGAGTTTCATTCGGAGACCTTAATATTCATTGCTTTTACTGTATAAAATGATCAGTTTGTTGAACTTTTCAGATACGAGAAAAAAAATCACTCGAAGATAATGAAATTGAGCTGCATTTTTGCTTTTTCCTCGGTTTTTGGCATGTCGGTTTTTAAGAGATCGTAAGTTTTTCGAGCAAAATGATGACTCATCATAGATGAGGGATTTGGCGAGGGTTAGGGTTAGGGTTAGTGTAATGGTTTGTCCTTAGTCTAAGGGTTAGGGTTTCAGAGAGTTGACACTTTCTTTTAAAAAACCGAAATAAGGGTGTCACTATCTTATTTCTCCATTTCTTGAGATTGCGTTTCAGGGAACAGGTCGAAGATCAACCACCAGCTTATTATGCTCTTCACAAGCTATTCAACGGATGCCTGGGTCGATATGCTGAACAAGCTCAAGGGCAACTCTTCAAGTAAGTCCGCTTCTATCTGATAATCTGATCCCTTTTCTAGCTTCAACTCCTTCCGAGAACTCTGCGACAAAGAAATCATGAACAAATTCCAATAATCCTGTTCAACCCTTCTCAATTGATAGGAAAACCTATTTTCTCAAAAATAAACCTAGTATCAAACATTTCATTTGTCATTTCTGATAACCAGGTCATATTCGAACAGACACAGTTTCTGAGAAGCAGGAAATTGTATCGCCTTATTGATGGTTTTTGAAAAGATTTCTATGCCAACCAAGCGCTTTCAAAGCGGATAAATTATCACAGGGTGATCTTCTCCGGAAGTGAGCTTCACTTGCGGCGAGAGAATGTCTAACAAGGTGTTAATCAATATCTTCTTAAGAACCCCCGTCAGCTTTTTTCGAAAATTCAAATTTCGGAATTTCAAAATTTTGACCCCGGAAATGGATTTTACGGGTCAAAAAATTTTGAGGCCTCATTTTTTGGGGTCTATCTCGACTCCTTCACCCTTAAAATCGCGTTTGAAAATTAGATTTTTCGCCGAAAATTGACGAATTTGCCCTAATTTTGGCAAAAATACTGATATTTCTTGGTCAAAAATTCCTTTTGTCAAATTTTTGAAGCAAGTTTAACCTGAGGACGCATTGAGAACCAAAAATATGGTGTTTTTAAAAAATTCAATTTTTTTAAGAAAAAACCTGACGGGGGGGGGGGTCCTTAATCGACAGATTTCTGAAACAGAATTTCGATTAGGTCGGAGCTGATCCGGAAGTCCCGGCGAAGAAACCAAAAGAAGAAGAACCAGAGCAAGAATCATGGGGTCGCCATCTCGAATTCGTCCTTTCCTGCATCGGCTACTGCGTCGGCCTTGGTAATGTCTGGCGATTTCCCTACCTCGCGTATCAAAATGGAGGGGGAGTGTTTTTCATTCCATACTTTTTGATGCTTTTTCTTTGCGGTATTCCACTGTTTTACACTGAATTGGCGATGGGCCAGTTCTCCGGGCTCGGAACGCTGGGAGTCTGGAAAGCTGTTCCGTGCTTCAAGGGAATTGGATACGGAATGATTCTTGTCAGGTGCGTGTCAATAAGCGATTGAAAAATCATGGGAATTTAGCTTCATGGTGATTATTTACTACAATGTCGTAATTGCCTGGTCCGTGCACTACCTCTTCTCGGGCTTTCAAAAAGTTCTGCCTTGGACAAAATGTGATGAGTGGTGGAATACTCCCATCACAAAGGTATCAGGATCGTTTTCTTCCTTGTTTTCATTTCTATAAGGGACAATGCGCGATTTCAAAAGCAGTTGCTGAGGATCAGCTTGATTGCCGAGCGGATAATGTTGCAGAATACGACCGATTATTTTGGAAATTTAATGCGACGGTCAGAGCTGAATGGGAACCGGTCCTGAAGAATCAATACAAGTAGGCGAAAAGACTGAGCGTTCATGAAATCTCTTTTAGTTTGACAAATGATCAAATCGCCGATGTTTTCAACGCTCAAATCAAAGCTGAGCCTTCTGAAGAATACTGGTTTCGACGAGTTCTTCAGTTGAATGATGAATTTACCGATAATGGTGATTCTTCTGATTCTCCAGGGACATATAGAATTTAGGCGGAAAATACACGATGGACGAATCCGGAAATGTCCTTGGCGATTTGGTCGGAAGCAATCTTTTTGCCTGGGTCCTGGTCTTCCTCTGTCTTTTCAAAGGTAAATTTTTCTAGAAATCAAAGCTCAACTGCTTTTTCTAGGAATCGCTTCAAGCGGAAAAGTCGTCTATTTCACCGCCACTTTTCCCTATCTTGTTCTTCTCATTCTCGTCATTTTCGGCGCAACCCTCGAAGGAGCTGGTGATGGAATCGACTTTTACCTCCGACCAGATGTTTCAAAACTCTCCGATGCCGGAGTTTGGTCTGCCGCTGCTACTCAGATTTTCTTCTCGCTTGGTGTCAGTTTTGGAGGATTGATGGTCATGGCCAGCTACAATAAGTTTTCAAACAATATTCTAAAGGAACATTTTCAGAAATGAAAAAAAAATGATGATTATTTCAAAAGATATTTTTCTGAATTTGAAACAAAGGATACTCTTATTGTCGCGCTGGGAAATTGCTTTACGTCTGTTTTTGCTGGGTTCGGCGTTTTCTCGTTTCTCGGTCACATGGCTTTCAAGTACAGGAGTTTTTAAAAAGCTACGTAAAGTTGACTCTAGAAATTGCGTTTCCGTCGATGCTGTTGTCAAAAGCGGACCTGGTCTCGCGTTCATCGCCTATCCTGAAGCAATGGGACTTCTTGGCGGTGTTGGACCATTCATTTCATGTAAAAGTCCCTTTTTCGCGAGAAAGCTTACCATTCTCTAGTTTTGTTCTTTGTCATGTTGATCACTCTCGGTCTTGACTCTCAATTTGCCATGGTCGACATCGGAGTTGCTGGATTCTTCGACGAGTTTCCGCAGTTCAAAAAGGGATGGAAGAAGACAATCACAGTCGGAATCTACTGTTTGATCGGATTTCTGCTCGGGTTTCCACTCATGACTCAAGCCGGTCTTCACTGGTTCAACTTGATTAATGACTATTCTGTAAGTGTTCCTTGATTCCTTCCCTTACAATTTTTAGGCATACCATGGTCTGCTGATTTTGGCACTCTTCTTTACAATCACGGTTCATTTTGTCTACGGATTTGTGACCGAAAAGTTCCGATTTTTGAGCAACATCAAAGAAATGAATGGTAAGTCAGCCATTTCTTCCCTGTTTTTAACAAAAAATAGGTGAAATGAATATCATTGCGAAGGGATATTTCTACGCAAACTGGTACGGTCTGACTCCTGCTATGATCATTTTCATTGTTGGAATGGCTTTTGCTGGCTATAAAACAATCGGAGAAGCGTATGGAGATGAGGACGTTTACCCTTCTTGGACTAATAATCTCGGTGAGTGAACCTTTTTCAGGGCTGAAACCGGATGAATTAAGCTATGGTTATGTCCATGTCTCCAGTTATCGTCACTGTTGTTTACCTGGTCTACTCGCTGATCATCACAAAAGGAAAAAGCATCTACCCAGCTGAAGATTTCAAGCCAAAAGCGCATTGATAAACTTTCAAATTATTTTATGCCTCAAATACTAAATAAATAAAGAGTTTTAAACTGGGGGAAAATTCCGTTGATCAAGAAAGCAGAATCTTTCATACCAACGTAACAGCGTTTCTTTCTTTGGAAGAAAAGCTGATTGCGCAACCAAATGAGAAAACTCCTCCTGGCTGTCTATAGAGGAGTTTTCTTCCAGTTCAAGTTCTCATCGAAGAACAGAGAGAACTTTAAATTGCTCATTTTGTCCACGTTTAAATTTCAAATTATTATTCAGACATGATTTATCTCAACGTGATACTTTTGATATCATTCGTCGCCGCAAACAATGTCCATCACAAAGCTGATTTTGAGCTCGATTTTCCAGCCCTTGATTTTTCACTTCAAAGGGATAATTATTCTTGCCCGTTAGTAATTTCATTTAATTCAAAGTTAAATTTATAAGGGACTCTGACCTTGGAAATCTTTGCGACACGGAATGCCGTGTCGATTACATTGGTTGTCGACAAGAATGTACCGAAATTTACTGCGAAAAGTAACTGAGTTAAGAGGCCCAGTTTTTTATTTAAAATTAAGCGCCTGCGTTGCTGAATATTCTGACTGTTTGTCCGGATGGTGAAATAATAACCAAAAGCTATTTTTTATTCTTAAATAGTCCATGCGGCCTTAACTGCCCTAACGGTTGCGATGGATGTCCGAATGAATTGTGTGACTTGAGTCCTTGTCAGGACCTTGATAACAACAATGATTTCAAGCGATGCAAGAAAGAAGTCAAAAAAGTAGAGTTTTTCTATGAGACTATGAGTATCGATAAATAATTTTCAAAAGGAATTCGACAAATGCTACGATGAGTGTAATAACAATCTTGCCTGCATTAATGGGTGTACAGATGCAATGCTTGAGAGTCTTTACGGGACGAGTTTAAATATAGATAATTTCGATGTTATAATAAGACGATGTTTAAACGATAAACTTCTCCAGATTGCCCTTGCTTTGGTGGCTGCCCTCAGAGCTGTCCATTTTGTTCAAATTACGACGTATGTATATTTCTTTATTAAAAAATCTGAATTACAAATTCAAGTGTTCTCCTAAAGAATTTATCGTTTTCTATGAATCTGGAGCATATCTTATGAAAACCGATGGGACCATAGAAGAAAAACGATATGATACACCTACAGGCTTAGCCGACTACACCTACAGATCAAGTGGCGCAGTCTTTAAGGGAGAATTCTTCATTTTTGGTGGTACAAAAGGGACAAATTCATATAAAAAAGTAAGAAAGAGTAGGTTGTTTAAAAAAAAATAATTAGATTGCCAAATTAAATAGATGTCGATTCGAGGAATTATCTTTTACTCTGCCTTATAAGAATGTTTTCATTTATTCGTCCCTTTATAATTAATATTCGAACAGTATCGGATGACATCAAATTGATAAATATAAAAACAAAAAAGCCACGATTTACAAAATGCCGCTGTTACTCTTCAAGATGAGTCAAAAGGTAATTCTTCAAAATGAATGAAGAAAATTAATTCATAACTTAAAGTTCTTCTTTGCTTCACGAGCGGGCAATCCTACAGAAAATGTCAGTATTTCATTGGCACAAGTGCGGGTTTGGATAGCAATCAGCTTGTTGGAACACATCGTGAAGGCTGTGTAACTCGTCATGAAGATAAAATTCTTGGTAATTAACAAAGTCATTCACTATTTTTATCTACACTTATTAAGCCGTTGGAGATTACGGCGGCGACAATTCAGTAGCAGAATTACGTGATCCTCAATCTGGACAATGGTCAAGAACCACAAATTTTCCAGTTACTGGTTCAAGCTCTTATCATTCATGCCTTGCCGTTTCCGACGGTTCACTTGTCATTGGCGGATACCAAGTTCCTAGAAATGTTCATCTTTTCAAGGCGGAAAAATGGTCGATGATTGGGACGCTCGAATCTGTAAAATCTTTATTGAAATTTATAAAAACTTTCATTTAGAGTCATCAATTTCCTGCATCGATTGCGTACGATGACTACATTTATACCGTTGGAAATAATAACAATGAAGTTTTTTTCTACGATAAAGATGAACTTGTTGACTATCTTCAAATTGAATCCCAAATTCTATACACGAATTCGAATTCTCAAAATTATCCACTTGCCGTGGATGCAAAATATGACAGCTGTGTCTAAATTTAAAAATTCTTACTTCACGCCCTTAATAAAATCAAGTGATTTGATTCTGTTCGACGAGAAAAATTCTTACGCACGCATAATTTTATGCATTGAATACGAACTGGTCGAGCAAAAGCTTGTATTCACTAACGATGCGGCTCGGGTGTAGAATAATTGTTATTGCATTTTATTCAATCGGTATAATTTTTACAGCAGTTAAAGTGAAAGAGAATGTCCAGCGATACCTCGAGGAATTTTTCAAAAATTTCAAGCAACTTCTTGTTGCTATATTTTTGAGAAAATAAAAGTACCCAACACTTCTTTCCGACAAAACAACGAAGATGGAAGAAGTCAGCTTCCCGAAAATTACACTTTGTCCTTATCAATCTCACTCTGCTGTCAAAAACGGGCTAAAGGATTTTTCTTTTGACATCTAAAAGAAGACGCTCAAGCCCAAATTTAGACTTCGCCACAAATATCCCTTTCTGAACATGACTCTGATCGAAGCTCTCTACGGCCGTGCTGATTCTCGTCTTTCCCTTAATCCAGATCTTCTCCAGCATCTCCGAAACATCTCAATGACAAAATTTCTCGAAGACACTCATCCCCTCATGCATATCAACTACAGTTCTTTCTCATTTGGAACTGAGGAAATTTCCGTAAAAGAATGGAAAGTCATCAAGACAAAAATTGGCCTCTGCCTCCAGGTAAGAAACTGTCAATCGATAAGTGGTTAGTTGTACTTAGTTCGACATTCGCGAAGTGATCACGAGCCAAAACCGCACTTTTGGGCTCAGTGACGTTTTCTCCCTCGGCGTGATGGTGATCACTAATGAATCTGACGCGACTTACGGCTGGTTTGGGTACATGCGAGGCATTAACGTCTATTACAACTACAAAGGTACATCATCAGAAAATCTAATCAAAGAGATTAATTTTTCAGACGACCTCGTCGAAGAGGATGAAAACTCTCTTTCCCTTTCTCATCAGCTCTCTCCCACCGTCTTTTTCCAACTCCATCGAAATTCTTTTCTCGCTCACCCTTACGGCAGCTGCACTAAGCGCCAGAATCTCCAGCATCACGGAGAAGAAGAAGATTCGACGGCAGGTCACGTGGTCAAGCGAGGCTATTGCATGTCCCGAGCGTTTTTTCAGTGGATTTACGACTTTTGCGATTGCTTTCCTGTTCATATGACCGATCTCGAATTCAAGTAAGAATTTTTCTTTGAAACCCATTCAATTTCTCGAAGGATAAAAATGAAGAACGGAAGCGAGGTTCATTCCGAATTATTGCGAGTTTGCGACATGCACGATGCTGTTTTCTGCGTGTCAAAAGTGATCGATTCGAACGGCCCTGACTTGGACCAAGATTGTGAAAAACCATGTGATAGTTTTCACTTTCGCCAGACTCATATCAACTACCGTGTGCCTCCTCTCGTCGGAGTTTTTGATCGAACAAAGTAAACTTCAAATTTTTGACTGAAAAGGGGCAAATTTTAGGCTTCAAATGACAACAGCTGTGTTCAAAACTGCTTCAAATACGATCAAAATTACAGAACAGACCCCAGCTTATAAGCGAAATCAACTGGTTTCCGACATTGGTGGAACATGCGGGCTGTTTCTTGGGCTGAGCGTTTTGAAAGTCGTCATGGTCACAAAAGACTTTTTGACGAAAAAACTCAACGTTTACGGTAATCAACAGCTTTGTCTTCGTAAAGACCCCTTTTCTTCAAATGATTTTCTAGCCTATCGAGCAATAAAAATGCTAAAAATCAAGCATGCCGAAATCCAAAAACGCCGAGCTGCTCGTTCAAATATTCGCGAAATCGCCACTTCTCCTTACCGTTCCCCAAATACTGAGATTTCATATGCTGATTCAAAGTTCTTCGACTCCTATATCAAGGACAACTGAACTGTGAAAGAATATATCATGATCTTTGTTGTGTTTAATTTCGATAAGATTTTTTTCTTGCTCTGGACAGACTTGTTGAACTTTGACTTTTTCGCAAACTTGTTCTTGATCCTTCTAGATCTTGAGTTGATCTGCTTTTTCTGACGCCTTCTAGAACGCCGAACATTGAGTATTTCCCTGTCTCTTCGTCCCGCCAGTCCCCGTATTCCTTAGATAGAGCTAGAATTGGTCAGAAAACGCGGGAATTTACTGTATTACGCGGTTGATTTTGGACTTCTTCAGAAACAGTTCTTGTTTTTCTCATTTTTACCGAAGATGTGCTCTGCCGACTTGAATCGTTTCTCACGAAATTCGAATCTAAGAAAGTTTTCTTTGAAAAATCGACCAGATTTATGGCTGCTTACTTCTTGATTTTTCCTTCAAACTTGATTTAGATATTGACCTCGCGATTTGAAGCTGACCAAAAACTGCATCGATCGATTTTCTCACTATTAAAGGTCTTCAAATATCTCCTCAATTCGAAGATCCTTCTATTTTTCCCTTTATTTGAACCCTTCCTGAGCCCCTCCTACTCGAAGGAGCGGATAAAAAGGGGTTGTTTTTCTCCGTCGGGGAACTTCTTTTGCTCGATTTCGCAGATTTAGCTCGTCTTCTTTCGTATTTATCCCTCTCTTTTTCAATATTTTCTTCCTTCGAAAAATTTCTTTTAAAAAACCTTCTGATCTTTGTGAACATCAAAACTATCAAACAATTGCGGTGGGTTCAGAAATGCTTGAAATGCTGTATGATCCTAGAGTTGTTCAAACTTGACACCTTATAAAACTGTTCGCGCTAAAATTAACGGAAGCAAATCCTTTCAATTATCACTTCTTTTGGGAAACAGCGACAGTAAATTTCACTACTGTTCAAGAAAGAACTTTTGACTCATGCAGTAAAAAAGATATACTGTTTCTTTGTTACTCAGCATTCTTCCTGCTTATAATGGCGAAAAGAAAGCCTTTCTTCCTTGATTTCAAATAAGGGTTTACCAGTCGCTTTTTTCTTTAGTGACACCCTTATTTTGTCTTCAATATTTGCTTTTGCTTTACGAAATAAGGGTATCACAACGAAAAAAGTGAAGTTTTCGACGCCAAAATCGATGTTGACACCCTTAAAGCTTGGCTTCGAAACCTGTGTAGAAACCTGAGTCAGGGTCCGAAAAGATCGTCAATAATAGCCGCAAAGCTTTTTCAGGACCCTGACTCAGGTTTCCACACAGGTTATTGGCCCAAGCTTTGAGCGCAAGTTTTAAATATATAATCTTTTATTTGATGGTCATTTGAAATTCCAATAAATGAAATTTGCACAAGAAAGAACTGTTTTGTTTTGATAAATGAGTACAGACAAATTTCAAAATAGAACACAATGATCTAATGATAATCATTTTTGCAAAGATGAGTACGGATGGTCTTTTTTATAAACGAGGTAGTAACCCATCGATAAGTGCTTGTAATTGTCATTTTTGTGTTTTGCAATTTTAAGTACAGCTATTACAGTAGTAGCTCGGAAATAGAAAAAAATGGAAAACTAAAACTTTTAAATTAAGGCGGTGCCCAGCGATGTGTCAAGCTCACAAAGTCGATAATTGAGTCTGTAACCGATAAACAGATAAAAACATTGATAAGACTGGGCGAAGGGTAGGTCTGATGAGATTCTAGAGGCGCTACAGTGTCTTACAAGCGCAAATTATTTACTAAGAAGGGCAGATTCTTCGCGATTGTTGTTGCTGTTGTAATTGTTGTTGTTGTTGTTTTCTTTGAGTTCAGCTTCGTCGGCATAGTACGGTTGCATGGAAGGCAGCTTTAGTGGAATTGGAGCCATGATGATTGCGCAGGCGAGGAAAAAGGCGATTGCGAGGTAGAAGACGTAAACCAGGTCAGCTGAAGAAAAAATGATGAAAAAGATGGTCTAGAGATCGGATTCTTACGGGCGACGGAAGTGGTAAACCATGCACCAATTGGTGGACCACCGACGAAGCCGACTCCCAACATGAGATTGACGTATCCCCAGACCTACAAATTGATCAAAAGTCTGCAGGAGTCAGTAAAAAAGTACCTCGACGGTTCGTTTCTGACCGAAAATATCAACAGTACAAGCCATGATCAGGCAGTTGAGGACTCCAGCGCAGAAGCCAACGATAATGGCGTATGTGTACATCAAACTCACTGAAGAAAACACATCAACCTTCCGTACAATCGCTTTGTTTCTTACCGCTAAGGGGTTCTCCTTCTACCATCTGTGATTTTCCCATAATCGGCAGGGCACAAGCGGCAGCTCCGAGCAGCGAGAAAAGGATGTAAATCATCGCCTTCGAAATCTAAAAAGGGATCCATCATTTCAGGCCGTTTCTCAAATCAACTGTACCTTTTTCTGTTCTCCTGTAAGCGCACAAATGACACGAGCAATCAGCTCGGAGATACCAAGAGAAGACATGACTGCACCAGCTGTTGCTCTAGAATTCAGAGTAGACATGGAAATCAAGCATTTCTCAAACCTCGAGATGCCATTTTCAGTCATGAAGGGAACCGCAAAATCAAGAGGAATGACGAAGTCCAGCGACCAAGCAGTCGTTCCCCAGAGCCAGGCCCAGAAGACAATGGAGGAGAAGAGGTTCATTTTGTCGGCTGGATGGATCATTTCTCGCTTGTCTGCTTTTTCGACCATTTGGTCTTTTTCTTCGTCCTCGGATTTTTTGTTTCCAACGGCTTTTTCCAATTCCTCACCTTGAAAAACAATTATTAGGGCTGCAAAACATGCGGTCTTTTACCTTCAAGGGGCTGGCTCCAAAGAAGGACAGCAGGAAAAGCGACGAAAAGGAGAATCGCGCAGCAGGCATAATTTCTAATTCTCCATCCATAGGCATCAGTAAGCGCGATCGTCATCGGACTCATAATCGTTGTTCCAAGGGAGACGCCGAAGCTGGCAATGACTGTGGCAGCGGTATTGAAGTCGGTCGGGAAAAGCTTAAAAATGACGAAAAATTCGTTCAAGATGGGGTCGTACCTTGTTGCACATTTGCATTCCCGTATTGTACAGCAAGTTATTCGCGACTCCGAAGGAGATTGAATAAGTAAAAATCCAAAAATAAAACGACGTCGACCAGGTAGTCAGCAAAAGGGCAATAATCGCGAATACGACTCCAATGAGTCCCGTTTTTCGAAAGCCAAGCTTGGCGATGATAGGAGAAGTGACGACAGATGAACCGACAGTGAAGCCGAAAACGAGTGAGCCGACGAGGGAGAGCAGCGTGTCATTGACTTCGTAGCCGCGGAAGTTGTAGGGAAGCTCTTGGCAGCATCTGACGCCTTCGGAGGTGGAATTCGTGGCTTCGATCTTTTCGAATTTGAGACACTCGATAGTTTCGTCCAGGAGATCGTAGCTGCCATCAGAACTCTGAAATGATGTTGGAAAATAATGTCGAAAATGTGTTGGAAAAAAGTCGTTTTTACTTACAATTTGAAATTGATCTTCCGAAAGAGCAGTACAATTAAACGGCGTCCTCACAGCATCCTTCATTCCTCCAAAGGAAGTCATCGTTCCGGCCATGGGAATGAGCACGCCCATCACCTAAAGATTCCATTCGGCGAAGAAAAAAGGAATAATCAAAGCCTAAAAACAGGAATAACAACTTGCTTAAAGCTGTTTAATTATTCGTCATCGATTAGATTCAAATCCGTCAAACTTTTTCCTCCTAAGTAGTCATGTCACTCAGGTGTCGCAGTTATTGAATGTTTTAATCAACTACTGCTTCGATTCAAACTTGATTTTTGGCAATTTTATTTTGAGAAATCGAGAAAAAACAACAAGGAAAAGAAAATTATGCTTACGCCTTTTATGAATGCTTTACTAGGTTCAGGTAAAAACTCAAGTTTATGAAGGGGTACCCCCTTAATAATTCGCTGAATTTTGAAGCTACCGGACTGTTTATGTTTGCAATTATCGTCTGTATCATTTCCCTGTGTGCAAAAAGACAGGACAAACAGATTCAGTTGCGGAAGATTAAAGAAATTCAACAACGGTAAATTCACAAATATAGGGCATAATTATGCCGCATAAATTAATGATTCTTCAGAAAAATTAAAGAAACAGACTACCGACTTTCAATAATTCGACAAGAATTTGAAGAAAGAAAGTGAGACTACTGTATTGATAACTGTACTTACTGTAAAACAGGCGATCCATCTGTAGGTATTGTAAGGTAGTCCGCAACGCTTTTCTGTCTCCATCGGGGAAGCCTTCCCGTCTAAATAAATCATTCCTTTGAAAACATGAAAGATAATGGACCATTATTAATGGTGAACAGTTGAGAAAATTAACCAGTCAGGGCAAAGATCCAAAATTTTGGTTTGATGAAAAAATTCTGGTTAAAATTTTTGGTAAGAATCACTTTTTAGGGTCACTTTTTAACCTCAAATTGAGCAATTGAGATAAAGAAACTGCAATTTTTCTTGTAAATTAAGGGGGTAAACGGCAATAATTAGGATTTTCTCTACGATAATGAATATCGAAATAAAAACTGACACCCTTATTTAATCTCTTAAAATTATTCCAAGCCTTTTGGCGATTTCAAAACTGAAAAGAAAAATCAAAATATTGATGGGTATCTCCTTAAAATTGGCATAAAAATTGTTCATTTTGAAGCGATTTTCGCCGAACAGGTTAATTTTTTCATAGAATAGAGCAGTGAACGTCAGGTAAAGAAAGGCATGATTAAAAAATATCGGTCTTTCAGAGCTTCGACTTCAGAGTCATAAATTCCATCGCGGTTCGAGAAAATTGACTGGCAATCGATTCACATGCTTATTTCTCATGTACGTAGACAAGGTCAATTTTCGTCTCTCTCTTTCTTTGGATGGCCTTAATTAACCCTCTTGGGATTTCAATTTTCTTGTTTTTTTCTCTTGAAAAAAGCTCTGATTTCGCAATTTGCCAAGTCTTTAAAGAGAGTAAGTTCGAGCTAAATAAATACATACAAGTAAATCAAATAGTGACTCTACTGACGCCTAGCCAAATTACCCAATCTTACTACATTCAAGATTTCAATAAAGTTGTTTTCAGAACATTTTTTCTCTTACTGATAAAAAATGGCTCTTATACCAGTCTTCAACTGCCAATTACGCAGGAAAAAACTGACGTAACAAAGTGGAGGGCTCAGAAGGTGACAATTCCGCCCTAGAGCACTTTTTGAGCTGGAATTTAATTCTGATCATTGTGAAGAAAATATTCATAATGACCAAAAATAATGACCAAAAATGCGATTTCTTAAAAATAATTTTTTTTGACAAATCTTTTTGGTCGGAATTTTTGGTGAAGATTTTTGAACCATAATTATTGGTCACAAAAATGATATCACTAAAAATGACCAAATAGACTACTTCATTTTGGTTATTTTTGATGATAAAATTTTTGTGATCAATAATGATGGCTCAAAAACTTGACCCCGAAATCCGACCAAAAAGATGATTTTTTAACCGAAAAATCATATTTTAGTTCATTTTTTCTGACAGGAAACTGAGCTTATTTTTTAGAAATTAATTTCCTAAATTTTTTTAAAAAAGCTTCGTATTCTTTTCTCTTGATAATTTTTCTTCATTTTTCTTTTTCTCTATTTTCCGTCTTGTCAAAATCAGCGCATTTCATCAAAATAAAAAAAACGAACTTGGCAGAGGCTCAGAAAAAAAGAATTGTGAAGTTTTTGTCGCGATTGAGGAGCGGTTCGATTGGGCCTGGCACAAGGCCAAAAGATTATTACAAATTAGATGGGACCTTCATGTTGCAATTTTGCGCTTTGGAATTTCTCACTTTCTGGCTCTTTTATGAACTTGCAAGGCTGATAGACTTTTCTCAAGTCTGAAAGGTTGAGAAGATTCTTACATTTGACGTTGACAATCGATGATAAGAATTGCATATTTCGTCAGAAGCATTGAACTGATAAGACTCTTTCTCAAACTGACTTTCTCGCAGACGATTTTCAATAAGGATTTCTGAGTGAGATCCTGACCCCCATTTTTAATAGCCCACAGCGCTAGAAAGAGCGTTAAAAATTATGCTAGATGAAAATTGTTGATTGCGGGTGAAAGAATGAGTCAGCTCAGTATATCAATTTAGCAAATTTATTTTCGACTGGTAATTTGGTTGCAGTGCAGGATCGAATTAGAAGGAACGCCGAAAAAGAAAGATGAACAACTAAATACTTTATAATCTTAGTAGGCTACTACTTGTAGTAGGTAGTAGGTTAATGATTTGACCGAAATAAATCAGCAATCATCAAAGTCTGTGGTAGTAGCAAGATCTTCGTAGAAGTCATTTAGGTCTAAAATATATAAAATAATTAAATGAATACGATTATTACCATCAATGTTGCCAACGATGTCGGAGCTGAATTGATCGGGCATTTTGTCAAAGGTCGAATGTTTTTACAAAAAAATTCTATTGAAAAATATTTGTTGGAAAAAAGCGGCTACCTCGGTATGTTTGATTTCTCGAGAGTGAGAAGGCGTTTAAAACTTCGACTTTTACGCTCAAAAGGGAAATGTAAAGAGGGAAAGCCTACTAAGCGATCATAAAAATTAATTCGCCATCTAGAGTTATTTTTGACGCTCTTTCTGATGGGCAAATAAAAAGTGGGGGTCAAGATTTCACTTAGAAATCCTTATTAAAAATCGTCGAAATGAAAAATTCTCTTATTATAAAATGCAATTTTCGTTGTTGCATTTGAAAAGTTTTCATCTTGAAAACAAGTTGTTTATTGCATGCCTTACGTCAGAAATGAGGTTTTACGATCGTGTCTTTTTCTTGCTCATTTTTTTGCATTTGGATCGAATAAAATAAAAAATGGGAAACGCTCTCAGGTCTGTTTCTTTTTCGTTATCTCTAGCTAGTTGATTCAGTATTATAACCGGTAGAAGGCAGCTATCAGATGAAGAGACCGCGGCACTGAGCTTTTCTTCTTACTGTAAGATCGGAAAAAAGGGAGGACTCGAGAGAGTATCTTTTAAGTTACGAAAGAGGAGATAAACTACCTATACAACGAATTCGGACGAATAAACGGAAATTTTTCGCAAATTTCGAAAAGAACAATTTGGAGGCAAAACATCAACTATCTTTTTTCGGAAGAAAATGAGGATAATCTTGAAAGGCCGAAGAAGTATTTGAAGGACAAGGAAGATGAAAACATGGAAAAGGTGAATTTCAAGATTTGTTAGTGACACCCTTAAAAAGTCCTTTTTTGATTGTTTATGTTCAGAAAGACCCCGAAGAAATGGTAAGATAAATCAATTTTTTTATGAGAGAAAAAAAAAAATCTGAAATTTTTTTCTCTTTTTTATTATAGCTCAATATGCATTTTCTTGAAATAATGAAATTTTAGTATCTGAATCGAACAAGTCGATTGAACAAAACAGATTTCGTCGACCGGCTGAGCGACAGAATGGACATGAGCGGGCATGGAAATCTCGACGTTTCCGATCATATTCGTTGGTCGTCGATTTTGACCAGAGGAAATGTCGAGCAACGCCTTGCTTGTCTCTTCGGAACGGCTCTAGAACTCACCTCTCTTTTTGACAAGAATCTCTTGAAGCCAGTTGAAAGCCATTTACGATCGAGGTGATGGATTCACCGACAAAACGACCATCGAAAGCGTCCGAAAATCCTTCGCGGAAATGATCGGAAAAGACGGTCTGTCTTAATTTTTTCCATGTCTCATCCCAAATATTAAGGTGGTATGCCATCGTGCGTCCTGGACGACATGTTAAGGGATTCACCAAGAAAATTGATTTCAAGAGACTTTTTTGTCGCCTATCTTTCAGGATTGGTTTCCGAGGGACTTTATCATTTTGACACCCTTATTATTTCAATTTCAATTTCACCTGAAAAACCAAAAAAGCCGACAAGAAAATCTGCCAAAACTTGACCGCCCTTGATAATCTCCTGATCCCTAAGACCCTTACTGATATAGACACAAAAATGTAGTCCCTTGAATAAAAAAAAAATCAACGATGAATATGAATAATGAGCGTTTATTTGAAATAAAACATTCGAAAGAAAGAAAGAAAAAAAGAAAGAATAAAGAAAAGAAATTTTTTCATGAGGCTTGAACTTTTGGAAACACACAACAAAAAAAGGTAAGAAGGAGAATATTCGGAAAGTGGAAAAATTCATACGCGAGTCGGAGAAGAGTTCCAGCCATTGTCTTTGAACATATGGACGAGTTCGATAATTGTCTTGCCCTCTTTGTACTTTTGGGCGGGCTCGAAAGCGTGCTCGTATTTCCAGCCGAGCACGGTATTGCAACTAGAACATCGATCAGTTCCTCCTCGAAAGTTCAAGCTGCTACCTTTTACAGAAAACATCTGCCACATGATGGCGTCCAGTCAAGAGGACACGTTCTTCGGCCTGGCCTGCAGCCACATTGACGACCTCGTCGAAAAGATATGCCCGCCCTTGCGATCCTTAATGAATACCGATGAGATTTATTGTTTCCTTGCTTCCTTACCTTGGAATCCTTTTGAAACCAAATTTTCATGGCGGGCTAGATGAGCTCGGCAATATCGACAGCTAAAGAATGATTTATTTTATTTTTCGATAAAAAGATTGTTTGAACCGGAGCTCGGCAATCTGAGTCAGGGTCAGAAAGCTCAAAAATGAAAAGCCGCGTAGCGGCTTTTTTAAAACCGAAGCCGCATAGCGGCTTCGCCATCATTTATGAATGTATTGAAATGTTTATTTTGCGAAGCCGCTATGCGGCTTCGGTTTTAAAAAAGCCGCTGCGGAGAGCATTTAGACCCTGACTCAGGTTTCGACTCAGGTTGCTAACTATTGTTTACCTAAAAATCCTTTTGCCGTCAATATACAGCTGGTTGTATTCCCAATCATCGTCGCCTTCTTGATGCTTTTTCTTGTTTGGGAAGCAACCCCCTTAATCAATTTCACCATCATCCTCCTTTTTGTTTTCTTACCGATAAAATTTTCGAAGAAAATCGCCAGTTTTGCGCTGTTCTCAGCTCATGTTTCAAAAAATCGAAAAAAGGAGCCTCGGTGAAATTCTCAGTATTGAACTGAAAACCATGTCATAAGACCAAATTCGTTTCACTGCGTAGGGCACTCTTTCCCCCAACAACGGCCAATCGAGGAGCGCCGAAGAAATCGCCTTTCCTTCTCAGCGCAGCGACTAGGGTGCGCACGTGCGAGTGGGGTCACGGGGTCCGAGTCTTATTTTTGAAAGACGAAAATAAATAATAATTATTACTTTTTCAGCGTAAGACGAATGAAAATCAATCATTTTGAATCTTTTTTCTTTGAATTAACAAAGTGACATCCTTAATTTTCAAGAAAAAATCGAAGTTAAAATTTTCTTTGGAAACTTAATTTTATGTTCTCGAAATGAGATACCCTAGTTGTCAGTGAAATTATCCCGTAAAAAATCACTATTAGTGACACCCTTATGGGATGAAAAGAAAGTTGAAGCTGTCTAAAATTGTGGAAACCCTAGAAATATAATGAACTGAAAATCCCCATGAGAGACGAAAATTGGTCAGCAGGTTCGCAAAAGCCAATTCAGACGTCGTCTGAACTGTAACAACAACGCAATATATTCTGATGATTACATAAGCAATCATGGAAGACAAGGATATTGCCGTCCTCGATCCCAGATTTTTGCGATGATAGTCAAAAGACGATTTTTTTCAGCCAATTCGTATATGCTTGTAATTTGCAGGCTTAATTAGTCAAGTTTTTGATTGCATGAATGATTCAAAACGGGCTAATTACTTTTTTTCTCTCACATTTTTCCGCCATTTCCTTCTCAAAACTAAAAAATGAGTAAACAAGGAGAGAAGTCCGAATTGATATGCGTGATTCTCATCCCAATTCGTAAGTCCAACCTACCCCGTGTTGCTTTCCTCCTTATTCTAGTGCCCATCATTTTCCTGCTACTGATTATGGTCTGCTACTGGAAATCAAATCCGAAAAATCTCTCGACAAGAAAACGAAAGTATCGTGAGGACAAAGTTCTTTGGAATCTCGGAAAAGGTCCGAAACCGGCGTATCAGAAAAAATACGAAGAGATTTTTTACATTCCTTGGAGAAAAAACAGATATCGAGGAGAACATCATCGAAATCAACAATTTGAACTGTTCATATGAAATTGATGAATTTTTATTGAATCTTGGACTTAAAAGAGAGAATATAGAAATCTTAGGTTTGAAACTGGAAAGAAATCTGTAAGGATTGAACTTTCGCGGAAAAGAGGAGAATCGAGAAAAGAAGAGATTCCTCCGGAGAGAGGAAGAAATTACTCTGAGCACATTCTTCGCTTGAATTGTCCGTGGAACTTGTTGAAATGTCGGACGAGTCTGTCAGCAGATCCTCGAGCGCATGCCCATTTTCGAGATGCCGAGACGAGAGCCCCGTTGATTTGAGAGGCGAGTTTGCAGTTGGTCGTTCCATCGAAGACTTGGAGATCTCCGGCTTCATCATCCTCAGGTACGTCGGAACCGTCGCATCGGTACTTGTCTTCGTTTGTTGATGCGTCGAGCTGTTGGATCTTCTTTAACATTTTTCGGATGTAAGTTCGAGTGAATCGCGTTTTTTCCAAGTTGTCAATCAGTCTCTTAATAAATCATTACAATCAAAGTAAACACGGTTCGATCTTAAAAGGCTACTTACGGCGAAGTGTCCATTGACTTTATTCATTCGGATGGTATACTGAGTCTGGATTTGTTTCCAAGCTTTCTTGTCCACACAGACTCCATCGATCTCTTCCCATCCTTTTCCGTCGCAAATGCACTCGTACGACCCTTCTGTGTTATTGCAAGTAGCTCCTTCCGCACAAGGAACCAGGAGAGTGTCCCCGATAGAAGTCAGTGTAACCGAAGCGTCGATGATGGCACACTCGTCAGCATCGGCGCAGCTTCCATCGACCATCTCGTAGCCGTCGTTGCAAGTGCAGGCACCGTTTCGGCAGAATTCCTGGGCTCCGTCGCATGTGAGCGTCTCGCAAGGATCGACAGCAGTGCAGACGAAGCCATCGCCGTGGAAGCCATCATCACAGGCGCAAGTATAGCCCGATGAAGTGTCAGTACAGGTCGCGTCGGCATGGCAATCGTCAGTTCCAAGAGCGCATTCATCAGGATCAGTTGACCCCGCAGATGTAGCTGCAGCTGATGCGAAGTCCTCCAGCATTGCAGCAAGCGTTGCGAATTGATCTGCGACGCTTCCTGCAACTGGAATGATATCTAATTTCTCTCCATCTTCGCATTGATTTTCAGCACTTGTTTCAATTGCCCTGTAGGCATCGAATACTACAGTGGAGGTTGTTTTGGCAGTAATGAAGATTTTGTCGAGAGAAAACTCTGAGCAAAGGAGGAAATTGACAGCAGGATCCAGAGGATAGTAAGTGTACTGACCACCCGCTTGATTTGGATCGTTGCCGAAGATGTAGAGATCATCAAGAGTTTGGCCGGGGAGCAGGGATGTTGGAGGTGTGACTGTGCCGCCAGATTTGGTTTCTAATAAAGGGTCACTTTGAAATAATGAATAAATGAATTAAAAATTTTTGACATAAACAATATAATATTGTTTATGTTCTTCCGTTGAACGTTAATCTCTACAAAAGCTTCGGCAATTCGTGATTTAAGTCTTATTTATGACCCTATTCTTGTGTCCAATAATGAACATCAGTAGCAACGATGATTGATTTCGCAGAATCTTCCGACCAATTCATAGCGTCAGCTGATCTTGTCCAAATCGCACCGGAGAGAGTATCTTCTTCCCAGTCACCTTAATAATTATATAGAAATGTTCTCCGACATCGTTTTATTAGAATGATATGTTTAATTAGTCAATATCTTACCTCCACCGTACATGCTCCCAAGACGCGCCATGCAGATATCATAAACTTCATCAAGTTTAACTTCATCGACCTCATCTCTGTCATCAAGAAACTCGGAGACGTCAGTCAATTCCAAGGGGATATCGAAAACTCTCGACCATGTTCTTGTGAATTCGCCGGAGTCAAAAGTTCTATCCGAGTAGAGGGAAATACCGATGCGGAAGATCTCGTCTCTTTCTTCCTCCAGTTGGATTCCCCTTCGAATCAGTGTCTTAACACCGTCGCATGCGTCACTCCTGTAGCTTCTGTATGAGCCGCTTCCGTCAATCATCACGACCATGTCCTGGATGAGTTTGGTTGGTGGTGCATCTGTTGTTGTTGGGAACACACAAGTTTGAACACCATCGGCACCGGTGACGAGGTTGAAACCGTCAGCACAGACACATTCGTAGCCGATCGGTCGGTTGACGCATCCGTGGAACGGTCCTCCACATCGGCCTGGCCCCGCGTCAGCACACTTGTTGTTCATCTCACAGCCGTGGTAGGCGTTGAGCTGGAAGGCATCCTGCTCAGACATTGGCCATGTTCTGTCGACAGGAGCGCGGACCGACGGATTTCCGGGGACTCCGATAGTAGCAAGTCCATCTGGCTCAGTCCCCGAGTAGTAGTGAAGAATCGAGTTGAAATCGTATGGGCTGCCAAGATCCTCCCACTGCCCGATGGCGGATGGACCGTAGGTCAACTTTCGGTAGTTCCAAGTGTCGACCACATTCTCGTGAATGGCCACGTGATCATCGCGATCAGGGCGCGAATGCTCGTGGAGAAAACCCAATCGATGCATGAACTCGTGATTGACCGTAGTTCCGCCCCACCAGGTGTAGCAATCAGGTCGCATGTTGATGACAGCATCACCATTGCTTCGACCAACGCCGGACCAGCACTTTTCGTCCGGATCATTATTCCATGTTACTCGGATGGCGGAATCGTAGTCGTCCTTTTCAGCTTCGGTGATGAGTTTCATCTTGACGCAGGTAAGTCGTTCGAAATGAGCGACGTTGTCGTTGATTCCATCCATTGACATTGCCCCGGTGTGTCCCTCGAATTCGAAGTCTTCGTATCCCGCAGAATAGTAGTATGGGACGACGAACTTGTTTTGAGCCGGGTCCCATAAATTATTCCATTTTGTCACGCTCCCAACGGCAGCACGATCCTCATCACCGCCCTTGTCGCAATCATCCTCGATTACCATGGCCGGGTCGATGGTGATACCTTGGCTTTCGAAGTATGCTGCTTGACATTGATTCAAAAAGACGTCATCTGTTTCAACTTCCTCGGTGGCATTGACAGTTGCATAGACTAAAATTATGATTTTTTCGCTGTAAATCTTGACAGTAAAAAATTATCTCTTTGTTCTTTCTTATTTGTTTATTAATATAAGATGATATTTTTTATGAGATTTGATATATATTTTTGATAGGATATAACCTGCAAGAAACTTGAAGAGTTTCATCTTCTTGAGAAAATGGGCTATCCCTTTTTGCTCAAATGTTACGAAAATTGACTCCGCGCTTTGTTTTATACTGTTCTAGCGCTGGCGCTCAAGATCTAACGAGGCGCATAGGGCGCCACATGAACTTTCTTCAGAGAATCAAGAACCACTTCAGAAGACGATTCAAAATGGGCAAAGGTCTCTCTTAGAAAGGTGTAATTAATTGAGAGCTAAAGCTCAGCTCAGCTCAGCGATTTCGACGTGAGGGTCAGCTTAGCTGAATTTTTCTGAAGAAAGCTAGCTCAGCTCAATGGTTCTTCGAAAAGAGCCAGCTCAGCTTAGCTGGCTCAGCTTAAAATAATTGTCAGCTCAGCTCGGCTAGCTCAGTTTGAAAAATCGTTAGCTCAGCTCAAAAATTTTCAGATAAGCCCCAGATAAGCTCAGCTCAGCTCAATTTTTTTGAAAAATCCAGCTAAGCTCAGCTCAGTTGTTTTTCAAAGGGGTCAGATCAGCTCAGCTAAATTTCGACCTCAGCTCAGCTAGCTCAGCTCATTTTCGAAAATTTGCAACTCTGGTTGGCATACGTTCTTGGACTCAAGAAATGTTCTTTTGAAAATCGTGTTTTCTCAAGGGCCGAAGGTGAAATAATTCTGAAAACAGCATAATGCCTCACGCAGCGTTTCAAAAGTATTGCTTAGGCTTTGCGGTATTTTGCACAAAGTGCTCTTTTTTGTTTTGGGTGCTCGAGACTCGCTGAGGTTTCAGCTCCGTCGGGCAACTCCCCTTTTCAAACATAGAAATAAACTTGCTTTAAAATAAATTGAAGAAAAGTTCGGCGACTTTCTTAATTAATAAATTTTGGCGCTCAGTCAGTGATTCGACCCCTCATCAAGCATTCAAATTCTGATTTAACAAGATGAATATCCCTTAGTCAACCCCTTTTCCCAATGTTTGTTCAAGAGCAAACTTTGTAGTTCGATTTATAAGCTCTGATCTTTCCCACTCTATTCCCAAATTTTTTAAAATGTACAATGGAAACGCCAGAGCTTTCAATGCCTTTAACCAGAGAGATGTCATGTTGAGCTTATCAGCGACTCATTTGCATGACAAAGATGTGTTTTCAAAGTCCGATCCGTATGCAGTTGTTTATCGGGAAGGTTCAAATTTACTAAAAATTTTCTTGAAAAAAAGACGAACCAAAAACGAGTCATGATGCAAACGTCCACAATCCCGAAGAACTTGGAAGAACAGAGACTCTCAAAGACAATTTAAACCCTTCTTGGACGACAAAAATCAAAGTCCCACACAACCTGAAATTCATAAGAATTGCCGTCTTAGATCAAGATTCTCCAGGCAAAAAAATCTCGGTAACACTAACCCCCTCTCTTTCTTAACCAAAATCAAGAGCGATGATCGTTTGGGAGAAGTTATAATCGAAATGGATGTGCTGCTATCATCTGGTCTTTTGAAAGAAACGTTTCATTCCTTGAAGAAAAATACGATAAAGAACAAACCGACGGCGATTTCCAAGTCTAAATTGGGGATTTTTACGTATCCATGCAATTCTGGAGACCCGGTTCGATATCGATTTCATTTTCAGGAAACGGCTTTTTCAGGGGTCGAAAAATCGGAAACCGACAAAAATATTCGTCGAAATTTTGCATGGGCGGCTACTCGGCTGCTGATTGGCCGGTAAGCCGAATACAGGCATCTGATTCGTTGAAAATTTCCTCGCAAAATTTGACGAAAATTTTTGTCGGTCCCAGACACCTCCCCGAAAAATTGAGTTTATGAGGGCCACTCCCTTAATCAAATTTTGAAAGCCGAATTGAAGGGAATCAATCTTGTCAACAAAGATACATTTAGCAAAAGCGATCCTTTCTTCGAAATACGTTTCTGTGGTATTCCAAAAATCGACCAAGAATATCATTTTTCATTCTTTTTCTAGCGCCGAATACCACAAAAGAAGTGACAGTGTACCGAAGCGAAGTGCTTGATGATAACTTATGCCCGGATTGGGTGCCCTTTATTATTCATAAAGATCAGCTCTGCGCTGGAGATGACAGGAGAAAGATCAAGATTCTTGTGTTTGACTACGACGGGCCTGAGCAATTCGAGGTTTTTGCTCGAAAAAATTTTAATGTGAATTATCAATAATAAGATGATTGGTGAGACAGAAATTCAAGCAAATTGTCTCCACGATGGTCTGCTTCTCCCTTTGATCGAGCCGAAGAAACTCAAGAAAAAGTCATCTTATCGGTAAAAAATGATAAAAAGCGAGTTGATACCCTTATTCGAAATTTCTTCTAGAGGCTCGGGATTTCTGAAAATCGCGGACGCAACGCGAATCTCCGCTGCGCGCCAAAAATATCCCAACTGATTCAAGATTCCAACTGATAAAACTCACATTCAAAAACTCACAATCGCACTGTCACACTTTTTTTGCTTTCAAAGACGAATAAAATGGATTCAGAACGAGAGCCTTTGCTTTATAATTCGAAGAATAAAGAGACTGAAGAAAGGGTGAAAAAGAGAAATGTGCTTATTCTTGGGCTTGGCTTTTTCTTCGGTAATACGACTTTTTAGTTTCTTAAAATTAATGTAGGGAGACCCTTAATTCGGAAAGGAGATAGAAATATTTTTTTTCTTTGTTTTAACTTTTTAATCATCAAATGAATTAAGGGTATCACTTTGATAACTCTCGAATAAAATTACTTTGAAAACATGATTTTACGTTGTGTATCCCCTTAAATTTGACATTCAAGTTTACACTGGTTATCTGACCGCTGCTGGAACTTCTGAAACCATGCTTCGTTCTTTCAGGTTTTCTTATTCTTCATTTTTCCGACAAAAACTGATTCTAGCTACCGAACCGGCAAAACATCGAATGGCTTCATTTCCCTCGGAATCAATGCTTTGTTCAATGGAGTCACTGCTCCCTTCGTTCCGATTCTTTTTCGTCTTATGTCTCGCCGGACCACGATGTTTTTAGGAGCTTTGCTGAGTGCTTCGTATGTTTTTTGCTTTATTCGACCTACGCCGGAGCTTTTGTACTTGTTTTCCGCTATTTCTGGGGAAGGGGCTTCAAACCATCAACCCTCTTTTTTGACTCCAAAAGAAATTTGAAGCCCCGAAAAAGAATTGGCGGAACACTCCTCTGGGTCTCACAAGGAGCCGATTTGGTGGTCAATTCAACGCCGGAAACGATTTCAAGAAACACCGCAGTCTTCTTCTCCTTCTACATGTCCGGAATGTTCGGTGGGAACTTGTTCGTGTACTTTGATTGGAATGGGCAAGAATTCGTGTCGCAGTCGCAGCAGAGTTCTTTAGGGAGGCGTTTTCAGACTTGAAATTTTCAACCTGGCAATTTTCATTTTTTGAATGTCCTGAAAATTCCTGAAAGCCATCATTCTCGGAATAATCACAACCGTCGGCGGCCTCGTCTTCCTCCTCTCCAAGCCCGAAGTTTCTCATCTCCCAACTTCGTCTTCATCAATCCTTTCCGAATGCAAATCGAACTTCCTCGCAGCGTTCAAAATGGCGAAAAAGAGACCAGTTCAGCTTTTGATGCCGGCGATGGCGCTACTTGGCTTGGAAATTGCTTTCTATCAACTGGCGATGCCAACTTGTATCGGAACGACACATGAGCTGGATGACCCGAAAGGGAGTGTTGGATTGGTGATGATTTTTCTCGGCGCTGGAGAGCTTTTGGGGACGTTTTGTCAGCTAGCTGCGTCAAAAATGGTAGGGGAAGAATGCTCCATTTTGCGGGAAACCCTTTTTCGTAGTGATACCCTTAAAAATTTGTCATCTAGCCCCCCATGGATTCAAGAATCGCTCAAGTAACCGTCGGAACCGCCCTCTATATCATCGCTTCAGCTATCAGCTTCTGCATGTTTCCTGAAGGTACGTCCTTATTTCCCCAATCTCATCAACCCCCTCTAGAATGCACGATTCACGAGACCTTCACCGAAGGAATCATCAAACCTCGCCGCTGGATTCTCTTGCTTTGCGCTGTGATTTTCGGCTTTTACGATTGTACAATGCAAATGTGCATCAATCAAATGTTTGGAACGCTTTTTCGATCTGAGGAAGAATCTGGAGGGTTTTACGTCTTGCTCAATCTGATTCTTTGTGCGACTCTTACTGCTGGATTTATGGAAGTGCTTTCAAATGACCTATGATTTCCAAGGCTCTAAAATCTGTGTTTAGCCCTGAGTCAGGTTTCTACACGGGTTTCCTGACCAACTCAAAGCACTAAAAAGATACGCTCCGTTCATAACTCTTCCCGTCCAAATCTGCATCAACTTGTCAATGTGCCTCCTGGCCACCTGCTGTATATTGCGGATGGACTTCATGATGCGAAACAACCTTTTTATCTAATAAACTATCAAAGATATATTTTGTACAGAAAATGTGAAAGCTTATAAAACGATTTTTACTTTCGGCTCAGGTTGATAGACATGGCGAGGGCGAGGGCGGTGAGATTTTGAACAACAGTCGAGGCCTAAGAAATTGGTTAGGGAAAGAAAAAAGGATAGTTTCTTACGTCATTTTTAACATCTCCAGAAGCGGAAGGTCCAGGTCCTGTAAGTCGGGCGAGTTGGGCGACTTAAAACAAAGGAAAATAAGGATCTTAGCTGAGCGAGGAAATCTGAGTCAGGAAAAGAAAAGAGAATTTAAAAACAAGTTAGGATGATGCTTTCAGCGAAACCGCAAGCGGCTTGGATTATTGGTAAGCCGCTTGGAGGCTTTCTATTTACGAAATCACATAATCCTGACTCAGGTTGCCGCGCTGAAATTAATGGTTTACCTGGGTCTTCTTCAAGATAGTGGAAAAGAGTATTCATGAATCCGTAGCAAGCTTCTCCGTCAGAGCTAGAAATCCCATGAGTGCTCATTTTGAGCTCAAGAAATTACCTTGATTGCTGCTTTTCAAGTTCGTTGGTAACACTTTGGCTGATCTTGAAGTTTCCTTTGCCAATTTGAGTCGACAAATGATCCAGAACTTGGTGTTGAAAATTGCCACTCGACATAATCAGCTAAGAATGGTTAGTTTGGATAAAGTTGGATGAAAATCAACCTTTTTGGCGACGGAAAAGTCACCCTTTGAGCCTTCAGCGGTCATGTAGAGACTTTCGCGGCAGATTTTCATGACGAGATCGTATTTGCCGAATTCCACCATTCCCAAAAGTCGGTTGCCGAAGTCTTTAAAATGCTCAATCCCGTTATAAATGCCTTGATTCAAAGAGAAAACACGAGCACTTTCCTTGATCGTCTTTTTCAAAGACATTCATCATATATTCGGCTAACTCGACTCGATCCTGCTCGAGCTGAAGCATCAGTCGTCGAGATTCCTCGCTCCTGTTCTTCGCCTCGAATTTGAAAAGTCTGTCGCAAATGACAGATCTATCCTTCTCGAGCTGGACCAGGTATTTCAATCCAAATTCTTCTCGCCCAGAATCGCGCTAGAAACCAAAGATGCGAGTGAATAAGTTAGCGGAGACTCTACCTTGTCAACAATCATCGTTGCGAGTTCCATGCACAGGTCGTTGACTTCTGCTTGGGTAGTAAGTCGAGCAGCAAGATCGTACTTGTTTTCTTCGAGAATCAGAAGAAGACGGATGGCCAAGTTCTTTCTTTGTTCGCTTTTTGCGAGCTATTGAAAGGATTTCGATCTGATCGTGAATGGGACGCCTTAATTGAGTCAAATATTCAGCGGTTAAAATCCGATTCCTGAGCGATCAGTCGATCGGCAATTTGGTTACCGAATCGTTCACAAACAGAGAGGAAACGTTCGACCATCTTTTCGTCAAGCGCTAGAATTCTGTTGACAGTTCCGACTCGCTTTTTCTCCATTTGCGTGAGGAATCGATCGCCCAACTCGTTCCACTCTTGCAAGATCTTCTCGACTGTCTAGGGGAGTTTTTACATCTGATCGAAAAAGCTGTTCTTACCTCCGTATTTCCACTCTCCATCTGTTCCAAATATCGCTCAATAGTTCCTCCAGCAAGAGCAGCTTCGACGACATCGGCTCTGTCACCCTCAAGTTGGAGCAAGAATCGCTCAGCCATCTGCAGCGGTAGTTTTCGGAGGAGAATTTCGACGAGTTTTCCGCGACCTTTTTCGATTTGAATTAGCCATCTTTCGAGTAATTCTCGGTTCGAGTTTGTCAAAGTCTAAAGTGATGCCGTCGATTTTGAGATTTTGTTTCTTATTGAAATTGAGAAAACTATCAAAGATATGTAAAAGAAATCGAATATGAAACTTAATTAAAATACGAATAGAACAGCCGGTTGAAACCTTTATAGTCTCTTCCGTCCGGAACAGATGCTCACCTGGTCAACAGCCTTTGAATCCACTTCATTTTTCTTCGCGGCTTCGATGAATCTCAGGGTCAAACTCTGATGATTAAAGTCGAGCAATTTGCCCATAATCCACGATTCCACCACCATTTTCCCGAGTTATTTGTTTATCTCTTTTCCTCCAGAAACCAAAAAGAAAAAAATGACTAACTGTACTTGGGCGCAGCTCACTGGGCAAAAGGGAGACTGGTGATAAGCCAGGGCTCAACTGATAAAGATGAGAAATTCACTGAGTGTTTGAAGACCATCTAAGATGGTCCATCTTGAATAAAATAAGGAGCAAGCCATCGAAAGAAAGACTCGCAAACCTGTGTAGAAACCTGAGTCAGGGTTCTGAAAAATCTTTCCTCTTTCAAAAGCTGTTTCACTGCCCTGACACAGTCTTCTACTCGAAATTCTGAGCCTAGATCGAAAGTAGAACATCTTTTATTTAGCATGACGTAATCTTAGAACGCATTTTTGGCCTGGTAATATTTTGATCCAACACAAAGCAAAACAGCGCTTTCCATCCCTTTTCAGCTCACTCAAAATCAAACCCAAAAAATGAAGTGTCTCTTTTTTCTCGTTCAATTTTCACTTTCTCAAGAAATGAGTCTGATAGAGAACCAGGAAATGCTCCCTTGCCCGACGCAAAAAGACCCAAATCTGATGTGCACTGGTTGGAACTTGAAGTTTCCCGGGATAATTCTTTGCGCTTACATCCCACCAGCGATTTTTAACGCGGAGAATAGTAATTTTAAGAATTCAATGGGAAGGCCAACTTACGATTTTGACTTTCATCCTGGTTTTAACTGCATAAATGTAAGTCCTTACGGATCAAAAGCCTTTTGTTTCTATAGAAGCAATAAAAAATAATCAGAATTTTGTCAAATTTGACTTTTGTAATCAAAATTTCGGACTAAAAAGGCTAAAATATAGGTCAAATTTATTAAAATCTTTGGCTTTATGAAAAATTTAGACTATCTTAGTCTGAAAATTTGTTCATAAAAATCAAATTCGACCAAATTTTGGTCATTTATTAGTTTTTTCAAGATTTGACCGCTTTTTAACCATAAAAATTTCAATAAACCCATGTTTATTTTCTATAGCCAGTGATTAAAATTCTGTATTCAGACGAGTTCCTTTCGATACTTTGTTGACAAGGGCTTCGATCTTGTTATAAAAGGAGAATCGACCCACGAATGCGTCCAGGCAGAACTCAGCGGGGGCCGAGACTGGATTCTAGCAGAAAAAGTCATGGAGAACAAAAAACTAACGACGAGCTGCTCTCGTCATCGAAACCACAATCCTCTCAAGAAAAAATACAATTCCGCTGCTTACAAGAAAAAGAATTATTTGAAGTTCAAGTTCAATTCAAGAAAATAAATTTCGAAACTTCCGAAAAAAGATCGTAAAGCGTCACCTTCTCAAACGGAGAGCTGCTGAATTATGCTCATGGAAAGTCATAACAATTTTTACAACGTATTTTCATTGCTCTTTTGGTAGAAAAAGTGAAGCAGTCAGATTAATTAGCAATCAGCAGATTATGAGCGAGTTGAAGGTAAAATTCTAGATAAAATATATTTCGAAGAGAGAACTTTTGAAACCGAAGGCATGATAAACTGGTCATTCTCTAAGCTGGACTCGGGAACATGTGTAGAAAGCCTGAGTCAGGGTCAGAAAAAACTGAAATGAAAAGCCGCGCATCGGCTATTTTGTAAACGAAGCCGCGAAGGGGCTTCGCAAGAATTTTTGAGAGATTGAGGAGCTCATATTATCGAAGCCGCGAAGCTTCGCGGCTTTTCATTTCAGTTCTTTCAGAACCTTAGTCAGGCTTTCTACTTAGGTTGCCGAGTTCAATCTCTAAGAAAACCAGAGAGAGAGAAAGAGAGACTTCTGTGAATCATAAACTGTATCAATGTTCGCCGATAAATAACCAAGTTTTTATCCTAGAAAAATTATCAATTTCTAGTTCGGAAAAGCGACCGTTGTCCACAACATCGCCCCAGAAGCCCAGCGAGAAGTTCGTCGACTTTCTCGCAAGCTGTCAACAAAAGGGCAAACCTTTCAAGACAATAAATTTGACGTCGAGAAAGAGAAAAATGTCCGCGATGGAGTCATGCGCCTCAGCCGACTGAGCTTGAGGGAAAAAGTGAGTTTCATTGGACCTGATGGTTTGGACGCGGCAGATGTCAAGCAAGGAGGTATCGGTGATTGCTGGTTCTTGTCTGCTTTGTCTTGTATTGCTGCTGAGGATCAGCCGGGAACGGAATTGGGGAAATTGAAAAGAGATACGGTCGAAAATGTCCTTCAGGTAAAAATTGGTGTGATAAGTCCTTATTTCGTCAAAATCATAGATTGGCCACAATTGCACCATGACCGCAATGCAAAGTGGAGGCTTCCGCTTCAAATTTTCTCGCCTCGGAGAATGGGTCGACGTCATTATTGACGACAAACTCCCAGCGAAACGACGTGCCCGCCCTTCTGACACTGGAGAATGGTGGGTTCCGTTGACGGAAAAGGCTTACGCGAAATTCAACGGCGGCTATGATAAATTAATTGGCGGGCAAACTTGCCGCGCGCTCACGGATCTAAGGAAAGGATGAAAGAAAAGAAAATGGGTGCCTTAAGGGGGTGTTTCAGCCTCTTTTTATCCTGAAAAAAGCGGGGGCGTTGCGGTAGAATTGGCAAATTTCGAGTACGGAGAGGCTATTCAACCAGACAATACTGTCGGTGGAATAAATTTGATCGAGCTATTGAAGACGATTTCGAAGAACTCACTTATCTGCACTTCGAATTTGGGCGACGGGGAAATGAAACGATTGAAAAGGGGCTGGTAAATGGCCATGCTTATGCATTTCTGGGAATAGAAGAGATGCAGCTCAAGGATGGGTCGAAACTAGATATTGTTAGAATCCGAAATCCTTGGGGAAAGACAGAGTGGGAAGGCGATTGGGGAGACAATGATGAGAAAAACTGGCGGAGGTTAATTTTTTTCTTTGGTTGAAACGGTCGTTAAATTGTTCAAAGAGTTTCAGCAGCAGAGAAAAAGCGGCTTAAAATGGATCAGGCTGCTGATGATGGGGCGTTTTGGATGACCTTTAAGGATTGGGTAGATGAGTTTGAGATTTTGACGATTTGCGCGCTCCCGGGATTGGACTTGGAGGATGAAGATGGCAAAATAACAAAAGAGTAATATAAGGAAAAGGTTCACTTGTATAATATTTTTGAAGAGAAGTGGAAGAGCGAGAAACCCGCGTGATTGGAACCTTTCACCCTGGAGTCAATGCGCCCTCAGACATCAACCACTTGAAAAAAGTCTTCCTCGATCCCGAGTTCACGATTCAAGTCGAAATGGATGTGCACAAATACATTTCAAAAACCACCCGACTCATCTGGCTTCAGGTCGGTTGATCTTTCTTTTTACTATGGGAAAAATAAAGAATTTAATTGCGGTAATTGCGGTTTAACATTCGTGAATTTATAGTTCCTGGTAGACTCGCCGCTCAAGGAAACGAGATATGTGATGCTAAATGTCTATCGTAAGCAGGATACGAGACCTTTCAAGGAACGGTTTTATTGTGAAGGATTAAGGGTGTAGACACGGATAAGGCTGATTTCAAGGCAAATTTTCTCATCGAAAAATGAGGCCAAATGAGTACCCGTACTAAGGGTGTCCCTATCTAAAGGAGGAAAAAATCAAGAATAGTCAATCTAGACTATGAGAATACCCTTAAAACCGTCTAACAGGGACCAGTTACCAAGAAAGACCTTCGAAAATTAAGAAAAGTTGACCCTGTACTCCCTTATCAAAAAGGCTACACTGTCAGCTAAGGGTTCAACTTACAATCTTCCTCGAATTCTCCGTATTTTGTTTGAGAACCCCTAAAACAGCCCGTACAAACATAATGGATACTTGATGAATCTTCCTATTGGAAAATATGTTATTGTAAGTAGACCCTTATTCTTTCAATTTGACCGATTTAAGGTTGCGACAACTGCAAAACAAACAGCTGAAACAGATCCGGTAAAATTCATGGTCAGAACGATTGGATCAAATATCGACCTCCGTCCCCTTAAAATGTAGAAATCAACCTGTGAAAATATAGAATAAATAGACTTTTATTAAAATGGTCATGGAAGAAACTGTGGTTTTACAGAAGTAAGAGCAAGAGTAAAAATTGAGAACAGAATGAAATGAAGGCGTTTTGGTTGGACTTTGAATTTTGTTGGTTTGTGTTTTGTGTTTCGCACGATTCACCGTGCAAAATGAGAATTTGCTGAATCAAGGCTGAGTAAAATGAAGATTTTTTATTCAAATTTCTTTGAATTTGAATTTTAATCTAATTAATTGTCAATCTGGCAGTTTTTTGATGAAATGAAGAATCAAACTTTTGTCCCGATTTTCGTAATTTTCGATGAAGAACAATTTCCATAGAAAAAATAGAAAAAAATCGAAAATCACTTTTTCCGAAAAGTACGCCCGAGGAACGAAGAGTTCCGACTCTCGTCAGCGACCTTTTCTTTGATCGAGGACGAGAGCTGCTTCGCTGAGTCGCCGATCTTTTTCAGCCGTGTTCCTAGTTGAGCTTTCGACAAAAGGTTGATGTGAGGCCCGGAGTTTTTGCGGAGGTCTTTTTGGCGTAATTCATCGGCTTTTCTGAAAGATTAATTTGAAAAGATGTCGATTGTACTCCATTTTAGTCTTTGAAAAAACTTTTGAGTGACAGTACCTTATAATAATGAGGACATCAGGTAAAACATCGGAGGTATTTTGCAGCAGCTTCATATTGAAGCCGAAATCGCCTGAAATCAGGTCTTCGCGGATCAACCTAAATACCCCATTCATCCCGATCAAAAGAGAATTCAATCCTACGTTAAAATGGCGACACAGACGTATTTTAGAAACTCGAACCGCTTCGAATCGCTGAACAACGAGTCCCAAAGTCGTATCGTATCCGGAATTCGCATTTCTTGAGAGAGCAAAAGCGTCATCCAGCGAAAGAGGAAGAACTGCGGGCGGATTTCTTGGTCGTTTAGCACTTGCCAAACCGAGTAGTCATGTTTCTACGGGAAGATAAAGAAGGCTATGAAAAGGGGACTGCCTACCTTGAGAAGCGTGAATGTTTGAGCCATGAGAGCGTGAATACCGCTTGTTGATTCATCCATTGATTGGATGAAGTTGTCGCGGATTTCAGACATTACTTTTTGAGGATATCTACAGTTTGCGGTCTAGCCATTCTTTTTTCCGCAAGACATCGGCTTTGGTACCTTAGACTGTTGTTTGCATGAGAGATCCTTTCCTTGAGTAAAGCAATAAAAAGTATCCGCTTCAGCATATCTACTCCATTTCGAATCTGGATCTTGTGATAAAACGAAGTAAATCGGTCCGATAATTTCGTTCATTCCCTGGATGTATTTTGTTCCTTGATTCAACTTTGCATAGACAAAGAGAAGGCGCTCAACGACTTCCCAGTTTTTCTCAACTTTACATTCCAAATCATCATCTAAAACAAGTTAAATGAGGACCAAAGAGAGGAAGTTACCTTCGTCGCCATTTTTCGACTCTTTCATAACGATGGCCCCGTTCCTCGCCTTGGCCGACTGGCTACTCGTCACATTTCTTTTCGAAATGCGCATCTTCAGCATTCCAGTTTTGTAGCTCTCGTTGATGAATTCTACCGCCGGATATTTCGCTGGTTCGGAGAAGAAGGAAATGTCAGGGTAAAGTCGACGCGCGTCCTTTTCAATTTGGCTGAGGAGCTCGTTGTCTTTGAAGTACTCGTCCCAGGTGTTTCCTGTGTTACTGAAAATGGTGTTAAAAATTCTACCCGTTGAGAATCGTTAGTAGCGATCAAGAAAGACTGAACCGTATATGGGGCTTTATTTTTAATTTTCTTTACTCACTGATTTCCTTATCAGTTAAGGATATAGCCGTTCTCAAGGCACTTTCGTAGCGCCGAAATGGGGCGATAAAATTTTTTCATTTCAAGACAGGTCCTACCTAAAATTATGTCTAGAATTCCATTCTGATGTTTTTAAAAATTTTTTTCCAAGAAAATTTCTCTCTGGAGCGATTTGAAATCTTACGATCACTTTTTCTCGAAATTTTTCAATTAAATTGCTAAAACTAAACCTTGAATTATTATAAATTACTTCTAATCTATCTTTCTAGGGCCTCAAAATTTCAAAACCCAGGAAAATTTTTATTCTAGCGTCTTCTTCTTTTTGGCTTTTCTGTTTCATAAATGCTGCGTTCAGAGCGTTCGACCAATCAGCGCGCTCTTTAACATGGGCGCCTCACCCCGCGATGGAGGAGGGCGCCCAGCTCAGCAAACCAGAGCGCTGTCTGATGCTTCGGCTTACTCAAGTAAGCCTCATAAAAATGGCTCTAGAATCATAAATAATTGGAATCAATTAAAGTTTAGACCCTACGAATGTACAGAAAGGTCCAAATTTTTAATTTATCAAAAAAACTCGACAGATTTAATGGAAAATTCTCGAGAAAAAGTGATCGTAAGATTTAAAATTGCTCTAGAGAGAAATTTTTCCATTAAAAAATTAAAAAGAACACTAGAATCGGGTTTCTTAGGCAATTTTAGGCAGGGTTCCTTTTGAAATGAAAAAAATTTTATCGTCCCCTTTTGGCGCTACGAAAGTGCCTTGAGAACGGCTATATCCTTAAGTCTTAGTAGAAAGTAACTCTCAAAGGAATATGATTCCTAGGAGTAAACTTCTAGAAAAACTGAACCTTCTAGCTTACCTCAGTGGATCATTACTGGACGAGTTCTTCTCCTCATCCGGTCTGATGATAAACTCCTTCACAAAAGTCGCGTAGTTCTTCTAGGGTTCCGCACGATCGGAGGACCCAAATTTCAAAAACCAAATTAAACTATAACAGATTTTGAAGTTTTGAATGGGATTGAGGTTTTCGACTATGGCGAAGAAAATGACGATACTTATACTCTGATAACTCTATAAATTCGCTGATTTATCTCGGTTTTTCCGGTATATTTCTGTCGCCCACGTTCAGTCGCCCTCCCATTGAAAAGAACACCAAAAAATAGTAGTTTTTGTTTTTAAATGAAATTATAACTCAGCGAACTTTTTGTGGGCTGATCAATTAAAGTTTTCATAAGCATTAACATTTTCATTTCCCGCGCGCTGATTGGTCGAATTTCTGACTGTGTTGTTCAGATGGAAGAATCTTCAGTCTAGAAAAAGTCCCTTGCGCAGCTGACCAATCAGAGCGCAGAAGCTAATTAAACTTTGTATTTTTTAATAGCTTTAAAATGACAGAAAAAATGGCTTTTAGGAGAAACTAGGATCGGAAATGGATTCTACTGGTGAATTTTAGTAGAATTAAAAATTTTTGGTAAATTTAAAGTCTCTGTCCCAATCGTGCGGAACCCTAAGTTCTTCCTTTGCGATTCAAGCACTCCCTCCCATTCCGACTTTTTCGCTGGAAGAGCCGATAGAATCAAGCGCCAAACAAGAGCTCTGGTAGATCCTTGATCAGGGCAGCCATAAAAGCTCTTGATTTTTAATTCCTCAAGATCTATCGTTTCTGCCGAAAGGATTTCCTGCATTTCATCTTAAGGGTAATGGTATACATCGGCGCGGCGCTGCTCTCTCGATCCGCGCTCCACCAGAACCTATTTCTCACGGAGCCGTAAAATCTGAACGGATAAAGATTTTTTCAAAATTCAAAAAGATTCTGAATAATTAAAGTCTTTTCTACTAACTCAGCAAAATTGGTAATGATTGTCAAAGAGGAACTATCTGAAAATTGCCAGTTTCCTTTAAATGACATTTTCTTCGATATTTCTCATCCAAAATTTTTGAAAATTACACTGTCTTGTAGAGAATCGTCAGCTCTACAAATCCTGTTTTTCAGATTTTTGTTATAAGATCTTCGGATTTTAATATGCGCCCTTGAAGTCAGCGCTGTGAGGTCGTTGCGTGAGAAATAGAGAGCGGAGAGGCGCGAGAAGAAGTAGCCCTCTTTACAAATTGCGATATAAAATTAATAAAAGCTTCAAACAAAAATCTTAAAAACAGGATTTGTAGAGCTGACGATTCTCTACAAGACAGTGTAATTTCTAAAATTTTTGGATGAGAAATATCGAAGAAAATGTCATTTGAAGGAAACTGGCAATTTTCAGATAGTTCCTCTCTGACAATCATTACCAATTTTGCTGTGTTAGTAGAAAAGACTTTAATTATTCAGAATCTTTTTGAATTTTGAAAAATCTTTATCCGTTCAGATTTTACGGCTCCATGAGAAATAGGTTCTGGCGGAGCGCGGATCGAGAGAGCAGCGCCGCGCCGATGTATACCATTACCCTTAAATTGAAAATATAAAAGCATCTATAAATGATCTTTGAACTCTATTTTGAAAGTGGAAAAATAGTGAGCAGTGACAGTAGCTGCAAATTGGACAAAAATATTCTTCTAGGGCAAGTTTTCCTTTTCGTTCGTTTTCTACATGTATGCCATTTGCTGAGTCATGTATTCTTGATACGCGTTCTGCTCGGCTTCGGTCATTTGCTCGACCAGAGACGGGTCTTCTGATATTTCCTCGTAGCTGTATTCTTTTCCTGAAAGAAAAGGGTTGAAAGACATTTCTAAGGCAGAAAAACGCGTTACCTTGTACAGTAAGAGCGTCAGAATCGATAAACTCATCCTCGCTTGACTCTTCAATCGGATCTCTTGCTCTTGGATTGACTGGTTTGGGCTTGACGATCGCTGGCTGTTCTGTATTCCGCAGGAGATCGTCGATATCTTCGATTTCGTCGTCTCTTCTTACAGGCTAAAGTGGGTAAGAAAGCTAGAAAAGAGATTGATTTGCACCTTGAAAGTATTTCCAGTCTCGAAATCGGCCAAATAGTCTTCGTCTTTTTGACAACCGTAGAATTGACCAGCCAGGATGGTTGTTCCTTCGCAACTTTTGTTTCCTGAAGAAAAGTAAGGGTAGATAGAGAGAAAACATCATGAAGCCGCTGACTTGCCTTGACATTTTCCTCGTGGTCGATAATAATATTGATGTCATCCGCGAATCCAGGTCTACTAGCTCCACTTCGCCAGCCATCGCCATCCTTCGGTTGACTAGATTCTGTTTTTCGAGTGACTCTTCCATCGGATCCGACGAAGACATCGTCATCTTTGTCGCTGTGGAGATACTGGACGAAGGAGGGATTGGGATCTGTCATCGTTGGCGTGAATTCGATGTTCTCTGTCTCTCTCAATGCCTAAAAGTGATCATGATTCCCTTCATGAGCGATTTGAACATACGTCGTAAATAGGAGCAATTTGCGTGTTAAACTTCGCCAGCAACGTCCTCGAATCCGTCTTCGGCCCAGCTGACGCATCCTCTTCAACTTCAGATCTACAGTAACTACAGAACAACTTCCCACTCATCGGATCGAGCAACTGATCGACCTGCAGATCGGTGTAAGTGTTTTTGCACATTGGGCAGATGAAACTCGCGCGATTGGAATTATCTCGCTAAGAAAAAGGGCTGAAGAAAGAAGAAGGAATGAGGGTGTAGTACCTCTTGCGATTCGATCTTTTCGCGCATTTTATGAAGCTTGAACTTGATGATGTTGATTGTTGTTCTTTAATAAGGTCAAAAAGAAGAAGTAATAAAGGTTGGACTCGGCAACAGGTAAGGAAAAACTGGGTCAGAATTGAAGAGATCTTAGAGGAAAAGCCGCGTAGCGGCTTTACGAAAACGAAGCCGCGAAGCGGCTTCGGAAAAGATCAATTCGAACCTTTGTCTTAGTTTTACGAAGCCCAAACAAGGATGTGAAATAGATTTGACCCATTCCTGTAATTAATAAAATAGTAAACAAATTTGCTCTTCGGAACGACTCCATTTTCATCAGGCTCTGCTCCCGGCGTTGGTTCAGAAAGCGTCTTCGATTTGAGAATCTTTTCCATTTTCATCGTCGTCAAAATCGCTCGCAACTGCTTCTTGTCGAATTTACACAGCGTCAGGATTTCTTCTTCTTTTATGCAGCGATTTCGTATCAGAATATCGAGAACTAAACAGAAGAATCACATGAAGGAACTCATTCGTTTGAAAAAATGGGCTTTGACTAATTGAAAATCTCGAACACTTTTTTCAAAATTGAAAAAGACACTCTTGGGACATCAGAAAAATTAGTGGCCGCTCGTTATGAAAAACGCAATAGAAAGAAAATGAGAGCGGCGATATACTTTTTTCTTGTTACTTTTTCTTTGGCGAAATTTTGCTTCCGACCGGGGTCGATGGAGGAGCGTAATCATTTCAAGTTGATTCTCGATTGGTCTAGGAAAAAGTGGCGAGATCCGTAGCTTGGATCAGAAACCTGAGTCCCAACCCTGAGTCAGGGCCTGAAAGCTTCGCTCGGCAGCCTTTGTAGAAATCCTGAGTCAGGGAAAAAAAGATCTTCGTCATCCAGAATCAGGATTTCTACACAGGTTGCCAAGCGCAGCTTTCACGCCCTGACTCAGGTTTCGCACACAGGTTTCTGAGCCCAGATCAGTAGATTAAGTAGACCTAATTTACGAAAATGGTCATTTTTGAAAGAAAAAATCACCCCCTTTTCAACAAAAAAGGCCTGAAATGCACCCCTAGAGGAGGACCTGGAAAAGGAAGAAAACGATATTTTGCTCTGCGAAAATTCAGTACAAATCAGAATAATTGAAAATAAACTTACTGAGAGAATGTTCAAAACTGTAGAATGCACGGAGCATAATTCGCACGAGTCGTTTCAGGTTTTCGGGAATATCGTCATTTGTCTGGTCTTCTGTTTCCATTCTCAAGAATTTAATTTTTTTAATTAAAAAAAATTGATTTTTTTTTAGATGAACCACAGATAAATATTTCTCTTTTGAAGATATTTCAGATTTTCAAAAATATTGAGATTTATCAAGATTTGGAAAATTAGCTCTTTCTCTCTTGAGAAATTCCCACCGCTCGGGGAGGAGCGCGCCGCGCGGAGGACCTCGCGCGCTGGAAGACGAGACTAAAAAATGCTTTTTTTCTAGAGAAATAAAGAAGCATGTGTTTTTCTTGTTGTTGTTTATTGAATTGGTTATTCTGACGATAAATTTGTGTAGACAGCTATTCCTACAATCATGATGAGGAAGATAATGACAACTAGCAGGAATTGAAAGTTTTTCGCGCTGTCTTCAAAAGAGGTTGAAATATTATTCCACTTGATTTTGAGCAGAAAGATTATTTGATTAAAGCTTTATTGACGTGTCTTTTCGTAATAATTTTCGGACTCGAAGTGTTATGATGATAAATAACAATAATTTTTGTTTAAAATTTGTAATGCCACATTTTTGCTCTGTTAAAATCAACTGAGAATAAATTCATAATTTCCTTCATCGAGAATGAGGATTTCTATGTGAAATCACCATTCTCGATAAAAGAGCTTACGGGTGCTCATGAGCGCGCTCAAAAAGCGCTCAAACTCGCTGTTTTTTCTTATGATAACGAAATTTCCTCTTAAGGGGGGTAGAACTAGGTTTTGCGAAAAACCGTGATTTTCGTAAGGCATTTTAAATAAGAAAAATCTATTTTTACTTATGATCACGCAATTTCCTAAAAAATGTTGCTAAATAATGGGTAATACTAACTTAACATGAGATTTAAAAAGTTTAGCTAGTTACGTGAGTCGAGAAATTTGAGGACGCGAATACGCTAAAATTGCTATTTTCGAAGAGGTGGGCTGATGTTTCGCTCTCTAGCGCCAAAATGTGTTGACGAAAAAAAAATTTAAGAAAAATATTGTTAGATCTAAGTTTGTTCTATCTTCAGCCGAAGAGAGAATTTGAAAATCTAAGCTCTCCTAGCTTTGAGCGCCGGTCTAGAATCGGCTTTTTTCGAAAAACCTACAGTAGTTCTACCCCCTTAAATGTTGCTAGAAAAAGTATTCAACTATCTTTAAATGGATTCTAAAAATTTGGCAAGTCATATGACTCGAGAAATTTGAGGACGCGAATGGGCTAAAATCGTTATTTTTGAAGAGATGGGTTGACATTTTGCTCTCTTCCGCAAAAATCTGTTGACGAAAAAATTTTTAAGAAAAATGTTGTTAGATCTACGTTTGCTCTTTCTTCAGCCGAAGAGAAAATTTGAATGTCTAAGCTCATCTGGCTTTGAGCGCCAGTCTAGAATTGGCTATTTTCGAAAAATCAAGTTCTACCCCCTTTAGGCCCTTATTGTTAGAAAATTACGCTTCTCAGCAAAATACATCGCATTTTCCACCATCCGCTGACTAAATTTTCGTCGTTCAAATTTCAACCCGCTTATTTTCGAGAGCTACAGAAGTTCAAACCAAATTTTTGCGGTAATTAATTCTCACATGTTGTTTTGAATTTCCATCTGCCGGTTCTGCATTTGTCTCTTTCCCAACGAATTCGCTTGTGAATTATTCCATCTGCCGGTCTTATAAAATCAGATTTAAGCTCACTCACAATTCATCAAAACAAAAAAAAAATGAAGGTTTTTGTCGGACTCGTTCTCGCCGTCCAGGCCAACGTCAGATCCAGCAACATCTGCAAGTGGGAATGCGACAAAGCCCACGAAGCCGATCTCGAAGCCTGCGTTCCCTCATCGACGACCACGATGCTTACCACCAATGCCGAGTCGAAGCGGACGAGAAGCAGAAGGTTTGCACCGATCCCTGCGGCGACTGCCACAAAAACTGCAACGTCGCGCACCACGAAGACAAGCTCAAGTGCGATCAAATTCAAAACCACCAGGAACACCAGAAGTGCATGAAAGAGGCCAACAACGCCCACCACGCTTGCAACGACAAGTGCCACTGCATCGACTCCTGCGAGCATCGATACGTCACCGAGCACAACAGATGCGATGTAAGTTACGAAAGCTTTGTTTTATTTCCATCCCCTTTTTCAGGCGATCGATAACGACCCCGCCCTGGAGCAGCTTTGCCGAGACAACGCCTGGGAACTCCTCGATAACTGCATGAAGAGCAACTGCGGACAACCAGCGACGACTACCAGCTTTCCAACAACCACCCAGCCAACCACCACCACCACTGGAGAAGGAAGCGGAGACATGTGGTTCGAAGAAGAACCGCTCTTTTTGTAAACTGATTTTTGGATGCTGCATCTGATCTTTTTCAATATTTTGAAATAAAAAAGTAAAAAATACATTCATCAAAATGTTTTTCTCCATAAAAAATCAAGAAAGAAAATGATTTTTGCAATTTTTTTATTCGAAATAAAAGTTTTTTCTTGAAAAGTTGTCGTTCAATTTTCACCCTGCGAGAATCAACATCTGCTTTTTGACATCATTAAAGATGGGAATTTACACAGAGCAGAAAAAGAGATTGACACTGTATTTACTCAACGCTGCTATAATCGAGGTCATCCATGTTGTCATCGGCACAGTATTCATCGCAGTCGTTCCCGCAGTCGTCATTGTCCTCAGATTCTTCGCAGTCGCCTTCAAGAAAGGCCATTTGTTGCTCCAAATCTTAAAAGTTCACCGACAAGTCTCGAGAAAACAAACCTTGTAAATAAGCAATTTCATCTCTTGTCAAAGCGAATTCAATTTCACTCTCGTCTTCTGAGCCACCGCTGCACTCTTCGATATCAATGCTGATTCGCTCGTAACATTGGAACATTCCATTTATCTGCCGCTCTGCTTCTTCAATTTCTTCGTCCTCAAAATCACCAAGATCCTCTTCGTCTTCGTCATCGTCTCCTCCATCGTCGTCATCGTCGAAGTCGTCAACGTCGTTTGCTTGATCGAGCTCAGCTGTAACATCTGAATGAGAAAAAAAATGAAAGACAAAATCTTCAAAAATATTTTCTTCCAAGAAATTTTTTTCCCATTTGTTCTACAAATTTTCCGTCTTCAATCATTTTATTGAAGACAACCAGGACAAAGAAGCTACCGAAAATTTTAATAAGAAGATTACCGAGTATGTTTTCGCCAAATTGAAAACCTTGACCGGCATCGATCGAAATCACACCAAAATTTTTCTCTGATGATTTATTCGAAAATCGATTATCATATTCTTTGAATAAAAATTACCTGCATCATCACCATTTGGAGATCCGCCATCATCATCATCATCAGAAGAGCTTCCATCGTCCTAGAAAAGCCTGAACAAAAAACCGTCAATGAAGTACCTCTTCCTCGTCATCGTCATTACGGAGCTCCGGAACCTGTGTCCAAACCCTGAGTAAGGGCGTGAAAAACGAAGCCGCAATGATGAAAACGGCTACTTTGGAGAAGCGGAGTTTAGTTTAGTTTAGTTTACTGAAAACTAAACCGCAACCTTTCTCTCGCCTAAGGGCTGGGCTCGGCAACCTGTGTAGAAAACCTGAGTCAGGGTCTGAAAGAACTAAAATGAGAGCGGCGCAGCGGCTTTTTAAAAACGAAGCCGCTGCGCGGCTTCGGGAATACTACCAATAAAATCTATAAATAATTCTAGCGAAGCCGCTTCGCGGCTTCGTTTTCAAAAGCCGCTGCGCGGCTTTTCATTAAAGTTCTTTCAGACCCTGATTCAGGTTTTCTCCACAGTTTGCCGAGCCAAGCCTCAGGGTTCTCAGACCCTGACTCAGGCTAAGATACAGGTTCTTGAACTCATCGTCGTTATCCCGATCTTTCTTCATGAAAAGAACTTCCTCTTCATCAGAAAACTCTTTTTCTCGACAAAATCTCTGCATATGAATCATATCTTCATAACTCTGCTCCGAGGGCGTCCTATATCGACAGAGAAAAAATACTTGAGACTGATGAAAATTTCGCCAAAGCATTTTTTCAGTTTCATTCAATTTCGAGGGCTAAAATGGCGAGTTTCATTTCCAAATCTTGGACAATGCAATTTTCAATTTTCCAAAGAATGGATAAACGCACGGATTATTTTTAAAACGACTGTATTTTCTTCAGCAGAAACGAGGCGGCCTCTTCTAAAGCGGTATTCGTAAGTCAGGGGCGTTGTGGAGAGATAAGAAGAGGAAAATTATGTTATCTAAGCACCAAAGCGTATTCTGTTTGCGAAAATGTCTTATCGCGTTTCCGCTTTTAATTTTGACGAGCACTCGTTTGAGTATAACTTTCAAGGAAATATGATGTGGATGGCTTTAGGGGTATTTTTATCAAAAAGTATCAATGACTGCAGATTTCCTTTTTTTATCGCAGTGACACCCTTATTCTAATTTTGTTGTTTGATTTTTCTTTGAAATAATTGACTAAAAACTTTTTAATTTTACAGAAATTTGACAGAATTCCAAATCATAAATTTTTTCTTATCGTAGTGACACCCTTATTCTCGTGATGGTGGCATCTCGCGACAAAACTCAACAAATCAAATCAAGACAACAAGTTTTTACTAAAATTTGACCAAGATTTTGGTCAATTTTGTCACAATTTTTGTCGATTTGTGCCATCATTTCGATAATAAGGGTGTCACTACGATAAGAGAAGAAAATTTAAATGATTAGGAATATTCTGCCAATTCCTAATCATTTTTAAATTCTGTCAAATTCGAGAGTTTTTATTCAATTATCCAATTATTTCTAAGAAAAATTGAACAAGAAAGTTCTTTGGCGCTTTTTTGAGAAGATTAAAGATCGTGTCATAATCTGGCGATTACACAGGTCGAACATTTTTCGCGAGGACGCGCTTCGAATCCCTCTTAATTCCTCCTGGCATTAACCTCTTTCTAGGATCTAAAATATTTACGGTTCGCCTTTACGTAATCGTGATTTCGCGGCTTCTCGATTTCGGGAAAAGGCCTTTTCTTGACGATTTTTTCTAAAAAACGCTTCGTAAAAAATGGAGAAGATCTTCTTGAGCCGAGATGATCTGTCGGATGATCCGGTTCCGACAGTTATCTGAGACCTGGGCGCGTCATTCAGCAGAGGTCGTCTTCCGGAATGCGTTTCGGAAAGAGACACTTCGTCCCGCTCCTTCACATCAAGAACGGCGGCATCCAGGGAAGAGTGACAACACTTCTTCTCGTTTTAGAAATGATTATATAAAGTTAAAGTTAAGGGTATAGTAATCGCTCAGGCCTACTTTGAGCTTGAATTCCTCTGCACTTGTAAATAGTGAGAATGTCCTTCAGTGTTAGAATTTAAGATCTATCTTAGATCTTACTATTGACAAGAGCTTTTTAAAAATTCCTTCACTTTTGCCACGTGAGGACCCCTCAAAATTGGCATCTCGGCCAAAATAGGCTATATAAACGGCCGAATTCCTCGAAATTTTACAATAAGGTCTAGAATCTTTTTAAGTGGATTATGTAGGTCAGACCCTTATCTTAAAATTGACAAGAGCTTTTTCAATTATTATTTTTTTAATTTAAAATTTCTTCTTATAAAAATTTAAAAGTTAAAATGAGAACTCTTCGAACTTTCAAGCCGCAATATTTGAAAAATTAAATAATGAATGGATGGAAAATAAAAGTTCTTGAAGAATGAACTTGATTTGGCGAAAATGGCAAAAATGTTGAGTCACTTATTCTAAAGAGGAACCCCTTCAAATCACGTGAACCCAGTAATGACGAATTTCAATAAGGATTTCTGAGTGAAATCCTTACCCCCTTTTTATTGGCTCATCTGAAAAAGCGTAAAAATTACCCTAGTTGAGTCGGAAAGATTGGCGAATTTTCGAACTTATGACGTCATAGCACGTGACGGAAGTTACGAAAGTACCAAACTTTGGACGCTTACCATTTTCATGTCGCTTGAGCTATCATGACATGCAATACATGAAAATGATCGTCTGATCGAGATCTTGGTGTGCATTTAGGTTTCATCCCTCGAAAAAATCTCATCCCTTTTATGAAAATCAGGTACTAGTGATAAAGGGTTGAAAAAATTTTGAAGGGATGAAACCTAGATGCACGCATAGCTCTCGTCGCGACAATCATTTTCCACTATCACATGCCCTGATAGCTAAAGTGGATCGAAAATGCGGAGCGTCCAAAGTTTTGGTACTTTTGGAACTTTGGTCACGTACCATGACGTCATTTCGAGGGAAATTTCATCCTTTTTTGGGCGAATCTAAGATAACTTTTAACGCTCTTTCCAATGAGCCAATAAAAAGGGGGTAAGGTTTTCACTCAGAAATCCTTATTGAAAAGTTATGTGTTTGTGGTGGCTTAGAGAGGATGCTTTATTCGCCAGCTTTGAATAACTTTTGAGTGCCTCTGCGTGTGCTGCTCTTGAAATTTGAATTTCAACGCACACGTTTTTCATTTCAAAAAATGAAGTGGAAAATGAGCACAATTGCCAATTCGTGGTCGATTTGTCATTTTACCTTTTGAAAGAAGCAAAATTGCAATTAGAAACTTCCTAGCTGAGAAACACCGCGGACAGTTTGATTTTGCTAAGCTGACGCGGCACCACGCAGATTGCAGAAAATTTTGCGTTTTGCAAATTTTATTAAATTTGAAGAGCAGTTATGCATATTTTGCAAAAACGAATTATGGAATGAAAATGAAAAACGAAATTGATTTTCATTTTTCCCATTTTCGATATTTTCGAGAGGAAAAAATTGAGCCTTAATTTCGGGTCATAAAGAAAGAGCGCCCTCTGAGTCTTTCATGAACATGGCAAAACCAGCATTTACCGAATTTTGCGGTTGTTAATTAAAGTGCCCCTGACGCGCCCCACAAACATCAAGAGTATGCTCGCAAGGTGCTTCTATGAATTCGAAATGAGCCATTTTTTTGTGCTGTCACTCTCGCCCTTCCAATTACGAAGAGGAATTTTGCTTGCGAAAATAATCGCCACTGTGGTTGGGGCGAAGCGATTTGGGATTTTTGGCGACGTTGATTTGTGTTTTTTTCTAAAAAGGGGCGCTAGAAAGAATTGTCAAAAACTTTCATCGGTATCCTCTTCGGCCTGGGGTCGGCGCCGACCACCCTTTTTCGCTTTCAGATTGCCGAGTTCAGCTTTTTTATTTCCGCTAATTTTTATTTCCTCTCTCTAGACTCAGGAATCCTCCATTTGCCTCTAGCCAAATTCAATATTGACTCTTTTTGCAAAGCCTCAAACAAGTTCAGAATCTGCCTAGAGAAAATGCGAAAAGTGCTCGTCGATTGTGATCCCGGAGTTGATGACATCTGCGCGTTGCAATTTCTTTTCAATAGAAAGGATGTCGAAGTCGTGGCAATTACAGTTGTTCATGGAAATTGCGCTGCTTCAATTGGCGCGAAAAATGCTCTCAAACTTCTTACATTAAATAATTTGCAGGTAAACCCCAAAATCACGGCCTATTCGGGGATGTTGTCTTGAACCGACAAAAAAAATTCGACAAATTTTGCGTGGGCGGCTTCTTGGCTGCTGATTGGCGGGTTTGCCGAATCCAGGCTTCTAATTGGTTGAAAATTTCCACGTAAATTTTGTCGGTTTCAGACACCTCCCCCTTTTCGGCCTTTTTTCGATTCGAAAGCAAGAATTTTCAGGAAAAATTCCAGTTTTTGTCGGATCCGACGCTGTTTTGGTCGCTGAGAATCAAGATTGGAAGAAAACTCCTTTCCACGGGAAAAACGGGCTTTGCGACGTGACCGAAAACGATGTCGAAATCGACGAATCCCTCATCAAGCCAAACGCCGTCCAGGGCATTTGTGACCTTTCCGCCGAATTCGAGGGCGAATTGGAAGTTCTAGCGATTGGGCCATTGACGAATCTGGCCCTTGCAATGACGCTCGATACAAATGTCGCGAAAAAGTGGAAGTCGTTGACGATTATGGGAGGAACGAGCTGGGGAAGTGGAAATACTACCGCCGCGGCCGAGTTTAATTTCTACCACGATCCAGAGGCGGCTGCTTCTGTTTTTGCGAAGATGCCGGCTTTGCTGGTTCCGAAAATCGTGACTTGGGAAACGACGCTCAAGGGACAATTTCTCGGGGAAAAGATCAATTTTCATCCTGACCAAAAAACGACAAAGGTGATTTTTCTTTTCGAAAACTCTTTCCTAATTTTTTCTAGGGAAAGTGGCTCTGGGAGCGCTGCAAAAAGATGGGGATCTTTTCAAAACCTCTTTTACCAACTTTTGCATTTGCGATTTCGCCGCCGCCGCAGTATTAGTCAACGAAAAAGTCATCAAGGCTTCAAGAATCGCCCCTGTTGCTGTTGCTACCCAGTTTGGCATTGCCCGAGGCGCGATGATCATCGACAACCGACCGGTGGAGGCGCAAGGGGTGCAAACTTCCAATGCTGGTTTTTCGAAAGCGATGATTATTGATGAAATCGATATGCAATTGGTTCATGAGATGGAGGGTGTAAAATTGGAGATGAAAAAGTCTGCTAGACAAACTGTCTACTAGACATTTTCTGTTCACGCTTCTCAAATAAACAAATAATTCATGTTGAACGCCCTTTGAGAATTTAGATGACAAATTTTCTTGACATTTTGATAAATAGTTTTTGTTGACAATGTCGACATTTTTTTCTTTGTCGGCACTTTGTCTAAATATCGACATTTTGTTGACAAATTTTACTGACAATTCTCGTTGACATTTTTGCTGACATTTTTCATTTGACATTTTCTGTTGACTATTTTCTTAAATATATTTTTCTAATATTCATTTCTTAAAATCTGCTTTTGTTGACAATGTCGACATTTATATTTTTTGTTAGCAAATTGCATCATTCATAATTTATACCAGACAGTTTCTTGGGCCTTTATCAAAAACATGAAAAAATTGTCTGAATTCTCAATTTTGATTATTTAATTTTTACAGTTGAATGTATATTTGTACAGATGGAGGAAACCGTTCTCAACTCTCCGAGGAGTCCTTCCTCACGATCGAATTTCCACTGTCTTTGGACGCGCTCGAATTCGACAAATCCTCACTTGAGTCGCGCTGCTTGATCTGCCGTGTTCCATAAGTTTCGCAATAATCGCGAAATGCCGCTTCTTGCTTCAAAATCGATGAAACGCGAAACTGTACCAAATCGTCAGTAAGCCGAAAAGAATCAGGAGAAACGCTCATTTTGGGTTGGAAAAGTAGCGAAAAAGGAGCTTAAAAATTTCACGTTTTTTGACCTCAAGACTGGCTTCTCCGACCGCGAAAAAGAAACAGAGTCGATTTTGAACTCCGCCAAGAAAGAAAAATAGAAGAAATGGAAAAGAATGACAAGTTCCGATTGCGGTGGAATGAGGCACGTGACGGTTAGAAAACGGACGGAAATAATTTTTAAGCCGCGGTATTTCATCTTAATGTATTATTTGAAATAGCTTTCTTTTTCCAAACAACGATTAACACGTGACTACAAATTCGACAATTGGACTTGCTATCGACAATTTTTGACGAAAAACACGGATTGTTGTCAATATTTTCTATTGTCAATATAAACATTTTCAATCGACAATGTCGACATATTTTGTTGACAATGCCGACATTTTGTGTAGACGATGTCGACATTTTTTGTTGATGATGTCGACATTTTCTGTTGTCAATGTCGACATTTTTGTTGACAATGCCGACATTTTTGTTGACAATGTCGACATTTTCTGTTGACAATGTCGAGATTTTCCGAATTTGTCGTTTTTCTCTGCAGTTTTGTCAGCATTGTTTTTTCGACATTTTCACGTAACAATCTCACGTGACAAAAACTCTTTTCCAACCCCATTCCTGAAGCAAATATAAACGGCAAGAGAAAGTCGCTCCTTTGCCTGATAAAATCTACAAAAGTAGGAAGACATCCCACCGCGTGCATTCGCCGCCCCACCCTTCCAGATCGTTCTTCAAGAGCCAAACACACGTGCTGCTCAAAATAGCCTTCTTGGCCCACGTCAGCTTCGTTCAGGCAACACGAGTCGGGGTAAATTGGATTCGCGAAGTATCCTTTTGGCGAAGCTGCAAAATTAATTTAAAATTAACGAAATTTTTCTATGAAAAATTGAACTTTCAAAAGCCATCTTATTCGAAAAATAATTTCGAGCTCGAAAATTTTCGATTTTTCTTTTGAAAAAATTTTTTCGAAAATTTTCGATTTTTTTGAAAAATAAATTTTCTCGAAAATTTTCAATATTTCTTGAAAAATTAATTTTCCCGAAAATTTTCGCAAATTTTATTATTTTGAATTTGTCTGTCTAAGCAAAAACGATTCAAATCCTCTGACTCGAAAGCTGGATTTATTCGTTGGCGATAAGGCCTTCTGCATAAAAAAGAAGCAGTGGGCGTTATCTGTTACCTCAGCTGGGACGCGCTCCCAAGTCCAATCCTGATGATCCACCACGCCGCAGCAGCTCAGCTCGTTTTGAAGAATGTCTTGAAAGAAAACGAAGTTACGAGAATTCATCATGATCTGTCAATTTTAGAAGAAGCCCTCTTTATTCTTAAATTAAGCAAGGGCACTTGAAAAAGAACGTCCGTGTCGTAGAACGTCTCGAGAGAAAGGGAGAGTGAGACAAATTGGATGGCAGAAACAAGAGTACGCTTCCGCCCTTTTGAATAACATAACCGGTCGGCGAGACATGGAAACGTAATCGACCTTCCAAAGCGAAAGATGATGAAACTAGAGAAAAATTTAAAGGGCCAAAACTCTCTCCAAAAGCCGCGTAGCGGTTCAAAATACGCTTTTGGCGTTATCGAAGGTAGTACCCTTAAGATGTTTCAAGACTTATCACGAATAGCCGCGTAGCGGCTTTTAAATCGAAGCCGCGAAGCGGCTTCGCCAGATTATCAAAGGTAGCTATCTTTTGACTCTGGCGAAGCCGCTTCGCGGCTTCGTTTTTAAAAGCCGCTACGCGGCTTTTCGTGATAAGTCTTGAAACATCTTAAGGGTACTACCTTCGATAACGCCAAAAGCGTATTTCTGCTTTGAATTTTTCGTCTTTTTAAAGCAAAAATTGAAGGTGTACAAACTTATCTCCAAAAACGTGACGGGTTAAATATTAGTGCCAAGCGACAAGTACGGGTTAATCGTAGAAATACGAGTGCCAGTCCGACGTGTGAATAGCATGTCAGACCTGTCTTTTCGCGTGTCTTTTCGTCCCTTAGACGCTTTACAAATATTTTGGCAGCCGAAAATTGGGCAATTTTAAATTCTAACGAAGCGTCTTTTTCTTACCAAAAGTATGAATCTTCGAATGCGGCTCGTAGGTCGCCATGATCTTCCTGAAAATTTTGTGAAGATCTGCGATGTCTTCTTTTGTCTCCGGCGCGCTTTTGATCAAGATGTTCCTGGTGACGGATTGCACCACTCCAGCGAATAGAAGAACGACTCCTTCGGCGACTAAAAGGGAGAATTGCAATTATGGACACTTAGTATCTAATTCAAAATTGTTTTGACATAACTAGGAGTTATTAATAGAGACGTTGTCATTTTCCGAAAGAAGGAGAGGAAAATAGAACGTGGCTATTGATTGTTATCGCGATGTTTTTGTACGTGTTGATGAAGGCTATTTTGGGTATAAAGAGGATTTATGTTTGAGGAGCCTTAGGCTGATAGTATCAGCCGATAAGATACAATATACAATTCTTGATTTTCTTATCAGCAGATATTTACATACAGTACTTTTAGAAAACAGTATATCTACAGCCGTAAACATCCAAAAAATCGACAAAAATACGATAATTTTGTCAAAAATGAAGATTAAAAAAAGGCCAATCAGATTGCCTTATTCGACTGAAAGGCAAATCAGATTGCGTTATTCGGCTAGGGGCCAATCAGATTGCCATATTTGGCTGAGAGGCCAATCAGAGTGCCTTATTCGGCAGAAAGGCCAATCAGATTGCCTACTTCGGCTGAAGGGCCAATCAAATTGAAGAAACATAAAAATTCGAGTTTTGCTTTTTAGATGAATATTTTTTGTCGAAAAATCGACAATTTTGAGAGAAAAAAAAATTTTGACCCAAAAGCTCTGTTATGTACTGTAAATTGCTCTTTGTTCAAAACAACGAAAAAAGTATTCGCTCGTTTGTCCCGAGCGCGACCTACAAATTGCGACGACGTTTTCCCGCGCCATGCCGAGCACTCCAATGCCGAACGAAATGAGCAGCAGAAATCCCGAAACAATCCACAAAATCGGCGTCGTGAAGAAAATCAAGTCCAAATATTCGTGGCTGAATAAAAAGAATTGAGCTGTTGTTTCAATTTTCAATAAATGACAGAACGATTAATCTGATAAAAATATCGTCGCGTCTTTTTTGATAAGCGCGTTGCCGTGAACGAAAATTTGTCGGAATAAATCAATGATTCTGAATCATTGATTCAATTTTTATGTCGATTTAGAGAAAAAAATCTGAGTAATTTCGGAAAGAGCACTTGAAAGTGGCAATTTCGCCGTGGACCGGAAGCTTCTTACGATCTCTCCGGACGAGATTTGGCAGTCTTCCTAGCATTCCTGACATTTTCTTATCAAATGGATGGAATTTCCTTCATTTGCGATTTTTGCAAAATTTTAATTTAGTCAAAAATGGGGTGATAAAATTTAATTAAGAAATTTTTCATATAATAATTTTTAAACCGTTATTTCTAAAAATATCATAGCGACACCCTTATTTTTTCAAGTCAAAAGAAGGGCTGCACCCTTATCTTTCGTGGAAAGATAATTTTGGCTGAATAATTAAGGGTGTCTCTATCAAAAAATTGGAACGTTAAATCTTTTGCGAATTTCGTAGTGACACCCTTATTTTTCGAGTCCAAAGAAGAATTGCACCTTCATTTTTGGTCAGAAGTTAATTTGGCTTAAACATTAAGGGTGTCTCTATGTAAAAATTGAAATGTTATAACTTTAGCATATTTCATAGTGAAACCCTTATTTTTCGAGTTAAAAGATGGGTTAAGCCTTCATTTTTGGTTAAAACATTATTTTGGCAGAAAAATTAAGGGTGTCTCTATGATAAAAAAGGAAAAATCTCTGTAATTCCTCTGGAGAAGCTAAGAAAAGGGATGAGCTCGGGGGATATAAAAATGATGGAAATGCATATTATGAAATTTAGAAAGATTCGCATGGCGATTTGGCAAATTGGATCGAGAAGTTGATTATGTTTCTTTTGGAAACATCGGCCGACACGGCCGCTCATATATCCGATTTTCATGAATCCGATTTCCTTCTTTTTTCTTCAGTAATTTAATATAAAAGAATGAAGTTCATGATTTCGAAATCAATTGAAAAATGCGGTTATAACCTTGTTTTTGCCAAAAGCTTGTTTTTCCATGTTTTACAGCTGTGGCGGGAGTTTAGAGACATCGATTTTGAGATGATCCAAAATTTAAACATGACTCACTCAATTTTCTCGGAGATCATTACGTGCATGTGTTTTGTCTAAAAACACCGCCGTTTTGGGCTGCTCAACAACGGATGCTCCAATGTTTAGTTTTAGCTCCGTGAAAAATAATCTCGCGAGCAAAAGAAAGATGATTGTCTTTGTGTAAATCATGTTTCTGAAATTTTTTTTCTATAAAATTTTTAGGATAAGGGTTACTCCGCAATAATAAGGGGATGGCCATTGAATTAGTTTTATTCATGAATTTTTGCATAGAAATCCCCTTTTTTGGTCAAACAAAAAAACGGGAGTGATTTTCTAGATCAGGGTTTTGATTGGCTGTTAGGCATAATGCAGCAATTTTATTGGTTATCCGAAAATACATTTTTATTTTTTGGTTTTGTCCCTTATTTTTGCTTAATTTTGGAGTTGTCAAACCTGTGCATTTTTGGATGACCAATAAGATTGCTGTATTAAGCTTACTGGCCAATCAAAAGCCTGATCCAGAAAAATCATTGCCGATTGTTGATTCTGCCCTTGATTTTTTGCGAATTTTTTTTGGCCAGAAAGGCTCGAAATTTATAAAAAAATTAAAACTGATTAGAAAAAATGGCAGAAATATCATCATTTTTTCTCACCTGAAAATGATCATCTCACTGAAGCCAGCATAAATAAACATGACTCCGAACAAAAAACTCGCAAATTTGACCACAAAATTGATCGTCTTCAAAACTCCGACTGTATCTATCTTCTTTATCTCTCCTTTAACAATTTTTAAGTAATCTTCGATTATGTAGAAATCTCTCATTTTTTTTTCTTCTAATTTTGCGATTCGGTTAAAAATGAGCTTGTTATCCAAGTGTCGTTGCAAAACTAGAAATAGAAAGAAAAGCAGCGGTGGATTGCGGCGCGACGCACGGTCGAGAAAATGCTATGCGCGAAATTGGTGGCGCGAGAGGGCGAATCTTCTAGCGCGCATCTGCGCGCCATGAGTTGTCATGATAAATAAGTGGTAATTTTATTAGGATCAGTTGTAGTTTTTTCTGAATAAAAACGAATCTCTTGGCAGAAATGGTTCTTCGCAATTAGGGCATATTTTTAGGATCCATTAACATCAACAAATCCGTGTTTGGGTGTATTGAAATAAGGGTTTCATCAATTTCGGAGACAAACTTTAAGGGGGTGGTATCTTGAACCGACAAAAAAAAATTCGTAAAATTTTGCGTTGGCGGCTACTCGGCTGCTTATTGGCCGGTTTACCGAATCCAGTCTTCTGATTGGTTTAAAATTTCCACGTAAAATTTGTCGAAATTTTTGTCGGTTCCAGATTCCTCCCAATTTTAAGGGACCTTTTTGTAAAGATAATGTTTTATCTTTTTAAGCATATTTTCGTCTTGACATTTTTTCGAGTCTAAAACGCTCAATTAATCTTTGAAGCAATTAATTGTAAAAAAGTGACATTTTTATGAAAATAATCGGCATTTTAGCGCGTTGATGATTTAATGATTTCAGAGATCTTAAATCGAGTACTGAACTCAAATCGCCTTTCGAAAAGGAAAATTTTCGACGTGTGGTCCTTAATTTGACAGTCTGATCTAATCACCCCTTCTCCGAAGCTCCTTTAGTACAGTCAAAGAAGCAGAGAAAAAAGAGGGAGAAATTTGGCCAAGAGAAAAGATCGCTCATTATTTCGTTCGATTCTAGAGTATATTTCCAACTTGCTTTTTTTGGGATAATTTTCATTCATAAAATTTAGAGAGAAACTTCTAGGAAAAGCGATGAAAAAGGGGCCTCCTATAATGCTTTTTTCGTAAAAACGCTTTTATTTTTGACATCGTAAAACTGTGTAGCTTTTCTTCCGTCTTCCTTCTTTTGTATCACCTTGCAATTATGCTTTTAAATACTCATACTCGAACGTAAAAAAAAACTCTTTTCAGAAAAAAAAATTGGAAGGGAAACAAAGAAAGTGAGCCCGTCTGAAAAATTGAACATTTGAAGATTCAACAATATCGTTTTGACCTTTTCTCCGCGGCGAGAGATCAAATATTCGCGAAATTCTGGAGAATTGAAACAAAAAACCGAGAAAATGTGAAAAGGAAAAATAATGAAAATTTATAGACGACTGAAACTTTCTTCTCTTATTGGCTTGGCGGCTACAGGAAATTGGTTGCTTACATTTATTGAATATGAGTTAAATAATAATAAATAAATTATTTTTATGATTTTTTAGCAAAAAATTATTTAAAAAATTTTTATACAATTTTTAATTGTTATTCTGAATAACTTATTCATAATAATAATTTATAATTAACAACTTATAAATATCTTTTAAATTAAGGACCCCCGTCAGCTCTTTCCTTCAAAAAATGGAATTTTTCAAAAACACCATATTTTTGGTTTTAAATGCATCCTCAGGTTAAACTTGTTTCAAAAACTTGATAGGAGGAATATTTGACCAAGAAAAATCAATATTTTTGCCAAAATAAGGGCGAATTCGTCATTTTTCGACGAAAAGTCCAATTTTCAAATGCGATTTTGGGGGTGTTAGAGTCGAGATAGACCCCCAAAAAATGAAGCCCGGGGTCAAAATTTTAAAATTCCGAAATTTGATTTTTCGAAAAAAGCTGACGGGGGGGTCCTTAATGAATAAAAATTTTTATTGAGTAAAATTTATTTATGAATATTTTTTATTTCAAATTAAACAGAATAATCATCGTTAATTGAAGTTGATAGTGATGATTTCTCGATTTTTGAATATTAAATTGACCATGAAAAAGTCTTCCTCTTCACAAAATTCGCCGAGTTTTGCAATGAACAAAAATTATTCCAATTTCAATTCACAATTTACGATTTCTACGGCGAAAATAATCCCGAGCAAAAAGACTACGGGCCAATTTGGTCGAATTCGCTTGGAGAGACGCATCTTCTCATCGGAATTCCAACGGTCAAAAGAGCTGCAGAAAGCTATCTCAAAGGTACAGAACATTTTTGAAATCAACAATGACGATTTTCTTCTTCTAGATACGCTGAGCTCAATAAAGACTGATCTAAAGAACTTCAAAGAATCGGAAACGTTCAAAATTTCGATCGTTCTTTTCGCAGGAAAAAGTGACGAGGAATATTTCGACGAATTGAAAGAAGAGTATCAAGATGAACTTGGGGAAGATTTCGCGGTTTTAATGGCTCCCGATGATTATTACCATGAATACTTTGACAAGCCAATCAGGAAGGTTTTGCTTATTTGGATGCGCTGATAGAGGTCGTTTTCATGAGTTTTCACGATAAAAACTGGGAGTTGTCAGGGACCACCGAAAATCCAGACAAATTTTGCGAAGAAATTTTCAGCCAATCAGAAACCTTGATCCGGCCAACCAGTCAATCAGAAGCCGAGTAGCCGACCACGCAAAATTTGTCGTGATTTTTTGTCGATTCGTGAGACCACGCCAAAAAATCGTTCAAAAAAAAACCTCGAAAATCTCGCAAATCTCGAAAAACAAAGCCAAAAAAGCCCAACTTTCGGCGATTCTGTCGAGCGAATGTCCTGGCGAACCATGCAAGCTCTCGACTACATTTTCCTCTGGGAAAACGCCATGAAATTTCCGCTCTATTTACAACTCGAAGACGATGTTCAAATCAACGCCGGTTTCTTCAATTTCATCAGCAATCAGTTAAAAAGTCTCGAAAAAAAAGACTGGTTTTCGCTGGAATTTTCACCGCTTGGTTTTATTGGAAAATTGTTCAAAAGCGAGAGTTTGCAGGCGCTGACGCACTATAGCAAGTTGTTTTTTGATGTAAAGCCGATTGATTGGATCTATTGGAGTTATATAAGAATGAAAGTTTGCTCCCCCGAGGTAGAAAAACAGCAATTTTTCTTTGATAAGAAAACGAATCATTTTGAAGTGGGACAAAAAAAAGTGCCAAGCAGAAATTCGAAAAGTCGCGATTTCCTGCACCTCGAAAACTCCGCTCCTCAGTCATATTGGCTCGATTTCATCGCTCGACGGAAAAGTCCAGCATCTGGTGGAAAGGGCGCAAGGAAACCCTGATGCCTCGAAAATCTGGTGCACTGACAACATCAATTTATCAGACTTGGAAGCGATTTACAAGTGCGTTTTCTTCCTTGATTTCAATTTTCAGAACCATTTTAGGTCTTCTAAGACAATCGAAGTTGTTCCAGTAAAAGATAAGAAGACAACAATTAAAATTTCTTTCCGCCACCTTCAGTCGCCAAAAGACTTTATTTTCTACCACGGGACGAAGGCCGCCGGCCAGCCGAGCAGTCGATCTCAATCGAAAATTCCGACAACAACGAGGATCTTTGCGGATGTGAATGGAGAAGGATGGAAAGATGTTTTGGATTTTTCTCAGTGTTATCATGGGAACGGGTTTACTTTATACTGACACTTATAGTTAGTTACGTTTCAGTTCCAAATTTATGATAAAAATAATAATTTTATAGTTTTTTCTTTAGAAAATCTTGCTGCAAATAATTTCTTTCCAATTAAACCCGCTGAAAAGCGCGAAAACAACAAATCTTGGCGTAAAAACAACCTGTTCAATGAGCAAATACAGTTCTGGAGAAACAATCATCAACGCCTTCAAAATCGAAGTCCCAAGTGGCCACGAAGCTTTTCTTCTTCATAAAATCGACATCCATAGATAACGTTTTTGCTGTTTTTTTTTCTTTTTAGAATTTTTATTTTATTTTCTGTAGTCTTCAAAGCTAAAGTTGCGAAAAGGATAAAAAATCGAAAAAATAAAATGTTTTTTCACTTTTTGAACTTGAAGTTTTTTTATATTTACAGCGTTAAATTATTTTCACTTCTTTTTTATACAAGCAAATTGTCCGGAACAGACGGAATTCTTCCCAATAAGCTCTCATCCTCTCTAGAGCTTACGATCGATTCTGCTTTCTTCCTTGATTTCACGGACTGAGAATCAGAGTTTTCCGAGGCCGATTTTCCGACGAAACTTGAGTTTGTCAGGACCGAAGAGGCTGTCGAGCTGCCCCAGCGTTCTAGAGACTTTCGATTTGCCGCCCAAACGAGGGGAGCGAAAGCGGGAAGGAGGGGGAGGAGCTTTTCGAGGAGGATAAAGGCGATTCCTGATGAGTTTGAGCCTGAAAAAGAAAAATTAGAAATGCGCGTTTCTGATTGGCTGGACGCATGTTTTCTGCTTCTTGATTGGTTGAAAATGAAGAAAAGGGATTAATTACCTTCAAGAACAGCCATTTCCCAGACCGCTTTATGATCCGCTTCGTAAAACTTGACCAACAAAAAGGCAGATTTCGGCAACATGAAGAAAATCGTAAACAAGATGATTCGATGAACAACAAGAGCAGATTTCGACTTCGGAGCAAGATCTTTTCTCAGCGCGTATAAACCCGCCATGAAGATTGCTGAGCCAGTGAAGAAAAAACCAACAGTGGGGAAGAAGAGGAGGACCCAGTTGGCGAATGTTGAGGTAGATAAGGCGCAGGAGTTGAGGTAGGCATCGCCGGTAACGAGTCGGTGGTACAGAGCAGTGGAGGTCAAAATGGCGGGAAAAGTCCAAGAAAAGAGATGGAAAAACGGGCCGATTTGGGAGATGGATTCGGAGGACCACTTGAGAATGGCAGCCAGGGCCCAAGAAATCATCAGAATTAGCCACCAGCAAAGTGCAGCACCTTCAATTTTCAAGTAAAAATAACGAAATGGCAAGAAAAAAAGTACCTGTAAAATAAAACTTCGCCATAAAAATCAGCGTGCAGAAGTTCTTATCAATTCCATTCACCAGCCCTTTTTGCTCAAGAACTTCCCCCGTGGCGAGATTTTCGAGCCTGTTCTTTGAGCAGCCGATTCCAGAAGGACTGACGATTCCGAGTAAAATGAACAAGCAGATTGCAGAGTAGCAGATGGCGAAGTAAACTGCTGGCTTTTCCGGGTACTGGAATCTGAAAAGGGAAATGAGTGGTGCTAGAATCTCAAAATCTTAATGGAGCGTGGTTTATGCTTCGGTGAACAGAATATTCAAGAAACGGAAGTTCCTCGCGGAGCTGGAACTACCGACCGGAGTTCCGGGAAAAATACTAATTGGAGAGCCCGGGTCGTCGATTTACCTTTTCTTGTCGACGAAAAAGCAAACGACGCAAAAGCAAGAAGAAATCGCTCCAGCTGCAGCGACGATTCCGACAACTAGCCGAACCAGCTTTGTCTCTGTTTCCGTCGTTTCTTTCGGCTCACAAGGGCCGGTGCATCCAGCGATTCCGGCGTAGGAGATTTCCAAGTTTTCGGTAATCTGCTCTGCCGGGCAAAAACGAGAGTGCTCATCAGCTTCTTGGGAGTTCTCTTCGTTGATTTCAGTCGACGTCCAGGAGAGTTGGAAAGGAAGTGGTTTTGAGGAATCGTGAGGAGGGATGCACTGAGCTTCGGAAATTCTTGGCAAGCGGTCGCAGGAGAACTCGGCAGGCCATTGGATGTCGAATTCGGTGATAAGGGAGGCGCAGGAGGAGGTGACGAGTTCGCACAATTCTCGGCAGGGTGGCACGGGGACGAGATAAGGAAGTGTTCCTGAAAATATGTTGAAGGAGGGTTAGGGTTAAGATTAAGGCTTTTGAGGGTGATTCATCCTTTTTTTGAAAATCTTTCGAAAAAAAAAATCGGCGCCAAAACAAAATATCACGAAAATGTCATTTCTGGTTGCAAAGTGTGACCACATTTGGAGATAAGCCAGAAGTAGGGATGAACTTCCGGCGGGGGACACGTGTTGTTTGGGAAATATTTGGCGCCGAATTTTGAATTTTGTCTTTGGCGGGCGCTCAAATTCTGCGTGAAAAATTCAATTTAATTATACACCCTTAATTCGCTTTTTACCTGATAAATCGCTGTCCACGCATGCAGGGGAAAGTGAGGAGCAGAGGAATAGGTCCAAAAGAGGGGAGCATTCCATTTGGCGAAGAGGGTAAAAATGGCCAAAAGTGACGTCGACTTCTGTACTCGACCATTGACCGAGAAGATTTGGCCAAAAAGAAGAGCTGTAAGCGGCGAAGTTTGAACCGCATTGTTTGTGAGTTCCTTTGGTGCAGAATGCGGCGAAGGATGTTTGGAGGAAGATCAGGGTTAATCTGAAAAACATTTCGTCAAAAATTGTCGACAAATTAAGATTTATGTCTTGTAGACAAAAACTGTCTACCAGAAAAAAATTGTCTACCAGACAAAAATTGTCTACCAGACAAAAATTATCTTCCAGACAAAAATTGTCTACCAGACAAAAATTCTCTAGCAGACAAAAATTCTCTAGCAGACAAAAATTGTCTAGCAGACAAAAATTCTCTAGCAGACAAAAATTGTCTAGCAGACAAAAATTCTCTAGCAAACGATAAATGTCTAGCAGATAAAAATGTCCAATTTTGTCTTGTAGACAAATAAGCTGTCTACCAGACAGAAAATGAGGTTTTTCAAATTTTTTATGGCCAAAAAACTCATTTAGCTAATATGAAGGCTTCATTATGTAAAAGTTTGCATTCAAATGACTGTCAAAATGAGAAAGGAAAAGGTCACGTGGGAGAAGTTCCACCATCTGTGCGATATTTAAAAATATGCGCGATGGGGAGACAGCTTCATACACTACTTTGGCATTTAGTTCTCCTCTTTATATCGATCGGATAAGATGGGATCGGTGAAGTGTGATTAAGGTGATGAGGGTATTTAAAAAAGTAGTTTTTAAGAGTTTTATTAAGAATTTAAAAAGCTCATAAAAATATGCCGATCAAAAAATCTGTAAAAAACGCGAAAATAAAGATAATTTTCAAAAATATTATCAATTTTGAGGCAATTATTTTTGACCTTGAAAGTACCGTGGTTTTCCATTTTAAGAGCGTTTTTTGGATGACAGGCCTCGCTCAAATCGCTCTTAGATTGGAAATTTTTCAATCAAGGTAGGATGACAGTGGGATTTTTAATTTTTCCGTTAAACAAATTGTAAATGTAGCTATGTCATTTTCAACCCTGTGACAACCTTGTGTTCTGCAAGTACAAAAAAGATCCGATGTTTTCTTGACGATTTCATCGTCGACCATGATCATCTGATTATCAAGGAGGAAGATCTAGTGAACAAAGCCAACGAAATCTTCATAAACATGAGTCCAGCAATCTTCAAGCGCTCTTGGATCAATACTGGGCTGATCAAGGAGGAAGAATTCGAAGGAGCTGTTGAAGATTTTGAGGACTTGGATGTTTTGGAAAGTTTGCTGGAGAAAGAAGACGAGGAAGAGCTGGTCGAGCATTTTCTGGCGCTTCAAATCGATGAAACACGAGCCGCGACCCCGATGGAGATTGAAGAGGAACCTCAAGTTCAAGTGATAGAGAGTGCCGACACTGCGAAGCCTTCGACTTCAAAATGACCAGAAAAGCAGTGAAAGATTACAAACTTTTTTTATAAATGATTCACTGTCAGTCTGAAAATTTTTTGATTTTTAATAAAAATCTTCAAAAACGCTCTTAAAATGGAATTTTGGCAGATGACAACATTTTCAAATTATACGAAAAAACGCTCTTAAAGTGGGCGCTCTAAAAATGGAAAACCACGGTATAGAAAAAAATCGTCTGTCAGACAATTTTTGTCTGGTAGACAAAAATACTGTATTGATTATTAAAAGATTTCGAATTACCTCATTTTCTCGAGTTCTAGTTCTTCTATTCCATCAATTTTCAAGTCTCTTTATTTTTTTTGAGTTCTCGGGCTTGGCTTGTTTCTTTCTTTTTTCAAAATTTCGTACTTGTCGTACCAGTGTTCAAATTCAAGTGATAAAAGCAGCTCGTCGTTCTTGTCCGGGTGTCGGCGGTTGCGCGCGCACCCGGGATAGCGCGGCGCACCAACGCGCAGAAATACCGTTTGCGCCACCTGTACTGTTTTTCTTCCTTCGGTTTACCTGCTATTTTGCAGCTGCTTTATTGGAATATACAAGTACAGCTTATTATTATTTCTTCTCTCCTGGGAATCGGTCTATAAAAATTTTTTCAACTCATTAATGCTCATTTCAGCATCAAAATTTTCGATAAAAATCGCAATTTTTTCCAGAATTAACCTAGTAACACCCTTAATTTTAAGATTCAATCGAAGATTGGTCGTCTTTTTACGTCAATTTATTAATTATTTAATTTATTAATTATAATAATTGATAAATTGACTTAAAAAGAGAACGAATCTTCGATTGAATCTTAAAATTAAGGGTGTCACTAGTTTAATTCCGGAAAAAAGAGTGATTTTATCGAATAATTTTTTTCTTGATTGAATTATTTAAATTTTCCCTGCGAAAATTTTCCATCAAAATCCCCTTCTTGGCTTTTATAATAAATATTGCCCTTAGTTTTGGTCTGAAACACCCTTATTTTTCGAACACCAAGCTAGAAAGAGAGAGACATCTTTCAGAGTCCGAATATTTTGCTTTGATCCAATCATTACCGTACTGAAAAAAACCTCATTAGCAGCGAAGCAGGCGGGGAATTCATCTTCATTACTAGCACGCGCACAGTGCCAAGACCGAATCAATAAGGAAGCCAATCTTTTGTCAATTAAAAATTCCTCTTTTGTCATTTCCAAAAATTTAAAATTCATTTGGAAGTTCCCTCCCTCGGGAAAAGACCTTTTTCTTCCTTGTTTTTGGCTTTTTTTTCAATTTAATTTTTTAATAAAAACTTAAAAATAATTAATTTTTGGTATTTTGAATTCCATGTTCGTCAATTGAGGTGCCCAGCATTTAGTCCGACAAATCTCAATTATTCACGGATAAACCGCTTTAGCATGTCTGTTTTGGAAGCAAACATTTTCAACTCTCTGGGAGAGGCTTAGGTGAATGTCGTGTTTTTTCAACCTCTTGCCAGGCCGCGCGACCAGTTTTTTCCTCGTGGGAAAAGATGGATAAAGACTTCTATTTCTGAAAAGGAGGATGAAAGTCAAGAACCCGCTGATTTGATTTTTGAGCTTTTGACTTGGCAAAATTTGAGTCAATTTTTCTGATAAAGTTGAAAAAGAAAAATTAAGGGGGTAACCGTCGAATCTTGATTTTTTCGTCGAATATTTTTTGACACCCTTTAATTCAGTGAAATTAACCTACGAGCGTAGGAATGTCATTTTTCGGACCGAATCGAGGATTTCGAGAGATTTTTCTTAATAAAAATTTGTTTGCGGATTGTTATCGCTCAGCAGGTTATCTCCAGCCTTGTCTCTTATCGCCAATCACCATCGCAATTAGCCGAGTTGCCCAAAATAGGACACGGAAGTAGGTTATTCCCTGCGTTATCGAAAATCACGCCCCGGTGCTTATCGACCCAAAGCTAGAATTTTTCCAAAATTGCAAAAACGGATCAATCTCGGATTAATTGTGGGGTTTTCAGGAAACGGATAGGAAGAGCTCTTATTGACAAAATATTGGGAAAAAACGGTTGTTTTGAATTTGAAATTGATTTCAGCCAAAATTTTGATTACCGCTTGGATACCCTTAAAAATCCTCTGGACAGAAATTTGGCCCGACTTTTCGCCTCCAAAATTTCATAATTTTTGGTCGTTTCGAAAACCATAAGCAACTGAAAATTGCATAAGCCCCCTTTGTCATTTCCAATGTCAAAAATAGAATTTGGCGCTTCCCAAAATATATAAATACCGGTAGCAAATTCAAATATTCGATCTTGAGTTGACCTAAGTGAAGGGATAAGACGGCGTCTGCTCGGCGGGGGCTTTCAATTGAAATAAGGGGATCACCTCGTTTTGAATAAATGGGGATTAGGTTTGCTCTTTTGTTGAAATTTTACGGTATTGAAACGGCCTCGTTTTTTAGGTAGTATGTGGTAATTCGTCGGGCTATGACTCATAGCAAAGGAATGACCCCGACGAATAGGTGTGTTTTTTATCTTCAATCTGTCGGGATCGACCCCGACGAATGACTGTTATTTCATCTTTCATTTGTCGGGGCGACCCCGACGAATTACCACAGACTACGGTTTTTTAAGCAAATGAAGAAAAATATGACTCTTTTTCGAAGTAGCTACAGAAAAGTGCATTTTCATCAACGACTCCCTCTTTTGAAATAAGGGTGTCAATACGTTAGTTTCCATAAGGGTGTCCCTTATGATTTTTTGAAGAAAATTTTCGAGAAATAAGTGATCACTTCTGATCACAGTCAAAATTTCAGGCAACTAGTCCTGATAGTAGTATATATCATAGCATAGGGTGGTGTCACGTGGCTTAGAGATGTCCACTTGATAAGATGCGCGGATACTTTATGGTGTTAATTTTACTCGATCAAATTCTTCGAGTCGAGGTTGTCAGAAAGAAACCATGTTCTCAGTGATTTTAGAGAACTGTATAAAGAAAACTGGCGCGTTTCCAAAATACAAACTCGTTTCCACCACATTAGAGCAATCCTGCGCTAAATCTGCTGAAGCGCATCCTTTGAAGATCACGTGTTCAGTGTTGTTTCGCTGTTTATGCTTTCTTTTTTGCGCTCCAAGGTTTTGTGTTTTTGTTTCAGCTGTGATAGAATCAATGACCTTTTGACCAAATCACCTGAAATTAAAACCTTATTTTGCCCGATTTTGTGAATAAAAAATGACATTTCAAATTTCCATAATTCGGAAAAAAGGTACTCGAAACGCTTTGAAAGAGCCGAGTATGTTCAGCTTAAGACTGACGTATCTAAAGATAAAAAATGCATGTTTGGGATGATGAAAAAGCGCAGGTGACTTTTGATGAAGCAAAAACCATGTCTTATATGAAAATTCAGCGGTCAAGCTTGAATTTCGTATAAAAGCGTAATAATTTCGTAATAAAGCGGTGAAGAGCTTTAAAAAACTCTACAATTTCAAAAATATTGCATAGTATTTTTTCGGCATTTTCAGTCGTTTTTCAGTCGACGCATGTCTAGCCATTCGCATGGTGGCACTTATTTTCGCATTATCTCAAGAAAATGTTTTTGGGGGGCTTGCGCAACTTGACTTCTGTGAACGAGAGAGACAGCAAATTAAGCCGCATAGAAATGCGCCCCGTGTTTGTCAAAAATGTTCAATAACATCTCATTTCAAAGCGTCGTTTTTTCAATGTTTTTACCAAAATTTTATTTATGGGTAAATCTCGGACCAGGCAATTACTACGCATGCAAATTTTAATCAAACTAGTTTTTGATCAAGAAAATTTATTATTGGCTTTTTGGCATCAGATTTTTGGGGAAATAGATGAAATTTCGTAATATTTTTGAAGCAGTACCCTTGATTTTCCGAAATCCTCGTTGTTTCTACGAAGGATTTTTCGGACTCACTAAAAATTTTTGATAAAGCGAGCGAATTTATTAGGGGATTTCAAACTGTGATAATGTTGCTCGTCAATTTTTATTTTTATTCGAATTTGAACAGTTCCTTTGAAAATTTTAATAAAAAAAGCTTCAGAATATCTTCAAAGCAGTATTAGAAAATTCCCTTATAAAAATTGCGCAAACATAATTTCCATTTTTTTTTCTTTTAGACAACGTGGATTTTGTCTCGCGGATTCGCAATAATCTCCAAAAAGAAGCCTCGTTGTGTTTTTCATCGTTATGCTGACGTGCGGTGGTGGTGGAGGAGAGCACCACCTAGGTTACGAAATGCGTATTTATGCTCGGGTTACTGGCGGAAAAATCATTCACCAGAGAGAAATCATCCGATAATGAAGGTAAAGCAAGATTTCGGAAACAATAAAAAACCAATTATTTTTTCAGTAAATGAGGAAATCGATTAAGCATTTTGTTTAGATTTCAGCCAGCCTCATCGCCTTGACAAACTTGGCCACGAATGCTGCCGCCAGCTCGAAAAAGAATCCGACCAATGCCGTCGAAAGCATCGACGCTCCCAGAACCGTCTGTGGCGGCCTTATCACTGGCGACGGCATCATCACCTCTCCTGGATTCGACGATCCAGGACACTACGAGAACTACCTCGACTGCACCTGGGAAATCAACATTCCCGGCGTTTCCGGCTTCACGATTCACCCCTAGTATTTCGTCGTCGAACAAGAGCGTTATTGCTCCTACGATTCGCTGACCATTACTTTCGGAAGCTCGGAATTCACTTTCTGCGGATATGACGATGCAGATTACGACGATAGTTCTAGCTACAGCTTAAGCAGCTCCGGAAGCTCCGGCTATACCTCAAGCTCATATTACAGCTCCAGCTCAAGTTTAAGCTCGAGTAGGTCCGGAAGCTCTGGCTACAGCTCAAGCTCAAGTTCCAGCTCATATTCTAGCTCAAGCTCAAGCTCTGGTAGAAAACGAAGAGCTCCAGTGGAGGGTGTCCTTGGCGCCTCAGGCAACGGAAGAATTGATTCTTCTAGCTCCCCATACCTTGGGGACTTCCTCCAGCCTCTACGGGTTAGAAATGACTCATACGGTATGAGTCATACCGTATGAGTCATACGTTCGTCTTATTTATTTTTTTCTTCGTTAGGTAGAGGGAAACACTGCTACACTCCACTTTACAACAGATGGATCTCGTGTTTTCAAAGGATTTAAGCTTCGAATCGAGAAGGACAACAACATCGGAGAAACGGGATGTGACCAAGTCCAATCCGGCTCTGGATCTTTGAGCAGTACGAATCACCCGGAAAATTACGGAAACAATGAGCTTTGCAGGTAAATTAATCTTTGCGGAATTCTAGCTCTCATAAATACCTGGATATACTCTGAATGCAGAGCCAGGAAAGATAATCAAAATCGACTTCGAACACTTTGACGTCGAGAACAACCGAGATTGCGATTACGACTCCCTACGAATCAACGGCCGAAAACACTGCGGTAGAAAACAACATGGATTCGGCAACAAGCGAAATCCACCGCAGACCGTTTACGTTTTTGCTGAATCGACCGAACTTGAGTGGATCACCGACGGCTCCGTGACCAGAGGAGGTTTTGCTCTTTCCTGGGAGTCTGTTGTAAATCCCAATGGATCTGCTGCTTCTGGTCCTTTGGAAAGCGCCGCTGGATTTCATGAACATATGGAGGTGAGGAATAAAAGGCTATTTAGAGCAGGGCTCTGTACTGAGTCAGGGTCTGAAATATCGATTGATTGATTGGATCTTATTTTTAAGTCTTTCTACAACCAACTCATCTACCAAATGGAATTCCGTCGGCCCTGGATGTCCAAAGCCCTGGCTCGATTCTGGAGCAACATCCAAATCGCCAAAGACTACTTCCAAAGCGAAGGAGAATGCGAATGGGACCACGCCAAGCCTTCATACAACACATTCGATTTCAAAGAATTCGATGATTCCGCCTCGAAATGCGACAATTTAAACAATTTCGCAACAAATGCGAACGCGTTTCTGAACAATTTCGTGTGCATGGACGGTCATGAGCTTCCGAAGAGAACATGGATGAAATGGAAGAATTCGGCTTCGAAGATTTTTGACATCGGGTTTGCTTTGGCAGACCATTGTTAAACAACTTTTCCTGCCAAATGTACAATCATCGATTATTCATTAATAAAATATAATTTTGAAAAATTCAATTCTCTTTCTAATCAGCATTTTTTATTGATAAAATTATAAAAAACAAAACAAATCAAAGAAAATGAAGAAGATCGAATTTTGATATAAATATCATGATCAGTATCATAATCACAAGATAGAACATGCTCTTGATCTTTTTTTCTTCTTCGGATTCTTTTTCGTCGGCGCTTCCTCCAGTTTTTCGATTTCTTCGAATTCGACCGGCAAAGGCTCCTCTTTGATTTCAGTAATCGACGAAATTTCTTTCGGAATGAGAGTGAGAGTGTATGCTTCTTGGAAGAGATACCATTCATCAAATTGAATCCGTCCATTCGCCAAATTTTCGTCAGTAAAATAAGGGTTGAACTGAGAAATTCGAATCACTAAAAGACTGGCTTAGATTCTCTGTAAGGTTCAAAATTTAAGACTTGGAGAGTCAGCTGAGAATTCATTATTTTGGAGAACATATTCGTTGTTTTCAATTCGGTCCATGGTCATTTGGTGATAAAACGTTCTTTCGTAAAGATGTTCGCTATCTCGGGGAAAAACCATGGCGGCTGTGACTGTGACCGGTCGAGTGAATTGAAATTGTTCGCCCAGAATAACTGAATTTTAATAAAGGATTTATGTTTTGTTTTTAAGCTTTTTTATATCTGCAGATTGATTCAACAGGTTTTGGATTATAATCTTCTGGTCCACCAAGAAGTCTGATAATATCCCAGCCACTTTCCATCAAATAAGTTTTCTGACAAAGTCGCTTCAGAAGAATTTCGATTTGATTGATTTGTGCCTGCTTTTCTTCTTTATTCGGGTTCAAATTAAGCCCAACCATGCTTCGTGGATAAACGATCATCGTCAGAGTTGACAATATGTTTTCAAATGAATGAGTAGGGTATTTATCAACAAAACCAAGATCTTTCTTGATCGCATGTCGTAGAAGCGTCGTAACAGAAATCGGCACGCAAAGCTGACTGGTCTTTTGATCGAAAATATTTTTTGTTAAATTTTTCATGTCTTGGTTGGCACATTTTGTGATGTCTTGATTTAAAGAAGACATTTGGCAGGATGTGGTTAAGTTTGGATCGTCGAGGCAGAAAGAAGAGTCAGCATCGTCTAAGTCGATGATTTTTGTGATTTCATCGAAAACTTCAAGGCTTCCATCTTCGATTTTATGAACTGTCAACGCATTACAGCTCTTAATTGCAAAATTGTTAATTTTAATAATTTCATTTATTAACTTTAACAAGCTGATCGATTCCACTGCGCTCTTCGTCATCAATCGGTTTATAAAGCAGCGACCAGGTTGTTTTCCAAGAACACAAGAAAAAATACCAAAGATTATCGATTCTGTAACCTTGACCATTTGTCAATTGACTTTGAAAAGAAAAACCGGGCAAGCCAGCAGCTAAAACAAATTATTTTCTTACTTCGAGGTTAACTTACAAAGAGAACAATTAATTCTATTTTTTGACCCTCTTCTGCAGTAGCCCATTTGCCTGTAACCTTCTCTTCCTGTCAATTCGTAAACGAGGCCGAAATCAATGATTCGAGGAACTCCATCAAGCAGAAGAATATTTTCCAATTTAAAATCAAAGTGATTGATTCCAATTTTCTTCAAATAAACGAATCCCTTCGAAATTTCCAATCCGATTCTCTTCCGCTCATCAATGTCAATTTTTTTTTCTTTCAACAAACTTCTTAAATCTTTTTCCGCTCTCTCCATTATTGTGATCCATCCAAGACAATCTGCTTGCTGCTCATCGACTAAGAAATATGTTTTCGAGAGATGAATCTGATTGCAAAATCATTCGATGAGTTGAGGTTTGCTCAAAGCTTTCAATCTCTTCTTTGTTTACATCAAAAATAAATCCTCGGTCACCGACAAAACCACAATATTGCCAGTGATAAGCATTTCTATCATCTTCAAAATCCATCCGTTCAACAGCCGAGATCAATCTGCATTTCTGAGTCCTCGTTGTTGTCCTCTTCAATTTCGGCAGAAATCCAGCCAGCCATTCCTCGATCTTATCTCTTTCAATCTCGGGCGGATGATCATCAATTCTCTCATTATCCATGATCGCAGAATTCCGTCGAAGTAGAGCCAAAATCCTGCATTTAAAGAGTCCTTCTTTTTCGATGATATTTACGTTGCTATCGTAAAAATAGCGCTAACAGATATTTTCTTCCGTTTCTGACACATGGCCCAGTGATGCAACAAAGTTTGAAATTGATGAAAGAATGGCTCTTTTTCTTGCGAGTTCAATTCTTTACAAAAAGAACCATTCTTTACAAAGGATGGAACCCCCTCTACCATTTTAAGGTGACTGTCAGCTCAGTTTAGCTCATCTCAATGATTCTTTGAAATGAGCCAGCTCAGCTCAGCTCAAAAAATGGCCAGTTTAGCTAAGCAAGCGCAGGTTGTAAAATCCTCAGCTGAACTCAACAATTTTCAGAAAAGTCTCAGCGCAGCTCATTTATTTTTTGAAAAAATCAGCTTACTTTTGAAAGAAGCCAGCTCAACTCAGCTCAGCTCAATTTCGACCTCAGCTCAGCTCAGAAAAATAAAACTCAGAAGATAGCAACTCTACCCTGAAGTTCTGCTAGTTTTTTCATTTTAGCCAGAAAATAACGGAGCATTACCTTGTCCACCAAAAGGTCATGTTTTGTTAAAAATACCGTGGTTTTCCATTTTTAGAGCGCCCACTTTAAGAGCGTTTTTTCGTATAATTTGAAAATGTTGTCATCTGCCAAAATTCCATTTTAAGAGCGTTTTTGAAGATTTTTATTAAAAATCAAAAAATTTTCAGACTGACAGTGAATCATTTATAAAAAAAGTTTGTAATCTTTCACTGCTTTTCTGGTCATTTTGAAGTCGAAGGCTTCGCAGTGTCGGCACTCTCTATCACTTGAACTTGAGGTTCCTCTTCAATCTCCATCGGGGTCGCGGCTCGTGTTTCATCGATTTGAAGCGCCAGAAAATGCTCGACCAGCTCTTCCTCGTCTTCTTTCTCCAGCAAACTTTCCAAAACATCCAAGTCCTCAAAATCTTCAACAGCTCCTTCGAATTCTTCCTCCTTGATCAGCCCAGTATTGATCCAAGAGCGCTTGAAGATTGCTGGACTCATGTTTATGAAGATTTCGTTGGCTTTGTTCACTAGATCTTCCTCCTTGATAATCAGATGATCATGGTCGACGATGAAATCGTCAAGAAAACATCGGATCTTTTTTTGTACTTGCAGAACACAAGGTTGTCACAGGGTTGAAAATGACATAGCTACATTTACAATTTGTTTAACGGAAAAATTAAAAATCCCACTGTCATCCTACCTTGATTGAAAAATTTCCAATCTAAGAGCGATTTGAGCGAGGCCTGTCATCCAAAAAACGCTCTTAAAATGGAAAACCACGGTATTTAGTCAAACCGTTTCCAGAAACATGATCGTTTTTGAACGATTGGAATTATTATGAAAGACGCAATTTGTTCATTGATGTTTGAAGTCCAAACACTTCGTGTTCCTGACTCTCTGAGCCACTTTCTCCCAATCCAGAATCGAAAACGGTACTAAAAAGATCACGATTAAAAATATTTGTTTTTCAGTTTTTCTTCTTTTTTCCTACTTTTTGGTCGGTTATTTTTCGTCGCATGGATTCGACGAAATTGCGAAAGAGCTAGAGAGAAAGAACAACGGCTGTAAAAACGACGTAAAAATCGGAGAACCGGGGCAATTCAACTGGATTCTGATTCTTTCCGTTCAAGGATCCGGGAACACCTGGACGAGGCAGCTTTTTCAGTCGCTGACGGGCTACTACGCGGGAGGAGTCTATCACGAGATTCATGAGGCGCTCGATACTGACGAATTATACGAGCAATCGCCCTTTCCCGGAGAGCATTTTTCTCCTGAGTCTGGCAGAGTTTTAGGTAAAGAGAGACGTTTTTTCGTGCTTTTTTTGGTGTCAGCCAAAGGTGAAAATAAATTATCTTTATGAAACACGCAGAGAACTGTTACGAAAATAGTTATGATGGCGTTAACACGTTACGTTATTAGTACCAAGTCATTGAATTTAAAACTAAGGGCGTAATTGAGGATTATTATTCCTCGATCAAGCTTTTAACAATTTTTGATCCGAAAAATAGTTGGGTAAGAAAAGGGTTCACGATATTATTCCCATACTGACGCACTTAATATATTTTTCGTTTGGAAAATTGAGACCAAGAGCTAGAGAAATAGGCGCATGTTTGTTTTCCTTTTTTTAAATCATCTTTTATTTATCCTTATTCGGAAATGACAACAATTTCGAGAATATCACGCAATAATAAATTGCTCTTGGTTGAACGAATATTTAGTGAAAACAAAAACTTCCAAACGGAAAAGCCAATCAGAGATGTCAAGTGCTCAAAAATGTTGTCAGCAATGTTTTCATAGATAAATCATACATGCCTAATCATATAAAAAAATCATTTCAAGAATCGAATTGACTTTACTAAAGTCTTTTTTTTCAGGAATCAAGTCGCACGCTCGAGGACACATCCGAAAAGCCCACGCCGTCGTCCTCGTCATCCGAAACCCCTACGACACCATCAAAGCGAATTTCAACCGAATCATGGCGCAAAAAGAAACCGGCGACGGCCATGGCGCGCACACTGGCACCATCGACCCAGCGCTCTTCAAATCGCTAAAATGGCGACGATACATTCACAACACCGCGGAAATGTGGCGACAGTACTACAAAGACGCGGTCCATCTGGCTGTCAATAGCGAGAAAAATTTTCATTTTCTCTGGTACGATTTGCTGAAAACAGAAAAAGAGGCGCAAATGCGGGAAGTTTACGCTTTCTTGGAAAACGAAGCGGTTCCAAATGAAAAATTCGAAGTCGAAAACATCGACGAGCGATTAAATTGCATCAAAAACGATAATCTGGACAAATTTAAAAGAAAAAAAGTTGAACTCGACTTTGACATCTACAAACCAGGTAAAATTGGCCAACGCTCGCTTTGTTTTTTATCAAAAATATTTTATGAAAAAAAATATGGAGCACTTGATCAATAATGAAATTGGCTTGACTTTGTTTTAGATGAAATAGAGATGATCAACTCTTACATCCGAGAATATATCGAATTCTTTCGCGAAAATGATGTTGAATTTCCAGAAAAAACTGTCAAAAGCTGGCTTAGATAGCAGACCCTTAATTATTTTGTTCATTGAGTTCACAAAAATAAAAATTTTATATAACGCTCAAATCGAAGTTATTCGCTTAAAAAAAAAATTTATTCTTTAAAAAAAAGGTTGAGATCCTGGCTCCGCAACCTGTGTTGAGAATCTGAGTCAGGGGTTTATATCAAGAATCGGATTTCTTGTCAGTGTTTTCTCAAATTTTTAACATAGTGACCCCGTTATTTTACTGCTCAAAATTTATTTCAGACAATTTTCTCTTTCCTATCGAAGCCAAAAATTTGGACTTCTTGAGCTTTCGAGGTGCTACAATGCAAATCGGGCATCTCCGAATGTCGTCAAAAAGCCTATTTTAGGAAAGTCAGCGATCTTTGACGAAAAATTTTGTTAAAAATTTTCTTGAAAATCGAAATTTCGGCTTCCATAGGAAATAGATACAGGTCTAAAATTTTTATTTCCAAAGTAAAATAAGGGTGTTACTATTATAACTTTGGGAGAAAATTCTGACGGAAAATCACGATTCTTGATATCTACCTCCTTAAAAAGCTTTGAAAAAAATTTGATGAAAAGTGAGTGTTTTTCGAAGCCAATGACTTTTGACGCCAATCTGCAGCATCGAATCCGCTGCATAATGCCTGTAATCCAGCGATACAAATGCATAGAACAAACATCAATTCAGAATAGAAGTACTAAAGGCCAGTTTTATAGATAGAAAACAAACACTTCCCCCATTACGAAAGGAGAATAAATAGTGAGACAGAAGTGAGAATTCAGACACATTCCTTCAATTTCTTCAATTCATCAATTTTTCTCTAATTTAATCGGAAACCAGAGGCGCTGGAGAAATTCAAGACAAAAGAAAAAAGTTGAAAAGCGATGGAAAAAGAGGCCGAAAAAGAGGAAAAGAAGGAAATCGAAGAAATCAACGAAGAAAGCGGCAAAATCAGCTGTTCAAAAAGAGTCGGAAACGCGAAGCGAATCGGGATATTTTTCCTTCTCAATGCAGTTTTCGTCGGAATCGGGACTTTTTCCTTCCACGCTTTGGAAGGCCCAAATGAAGACAAAATCTGCGCGGACTCCCGACAAGCGCTGAAGAATTTCACCGACTCGCTGATCAAAGAGCCGGACGGAACTTACAAAGTTACAGACGAGCAGCTTCTCAATTTGGTCAAAACTGCGGAGATTTACGCGGAAGAAGGGGTCCCGATTTCGACCTTGATCGACCCGGAAAACGAATGTCCAAAGTTGTGGACTTATGGCGGCGCTGCTTATTTTTGCGGGACGATTGTCACGACTGTTGGTTATGGAGACACAGCTCCGAAGGTTTGAGAGCTCTAGAAAATTGAGGAAAAAATTTTTTTAGACAAATGAAGGAAGACTGCTGTTTTTGTTTTATGTCATTCCGGGAATCGCCATTTGCGGCGCTCTTCTTGGCGAAATCGGACTTTTGGTAATTTTTTTCTTATTTTTGAAACAAAAAAAAAGACGATTTTTAGATGGCGAATGTTTCCTACAGAACTCGAAAGCGGCTGAAAAACGTCCCGACCGCTCTGTTTTGGACGCTGAACAGTTTGTTTGGAATTGGATTTTTGATTTTTCTCCCTTCGCTGATAATTTTCCTCAGCGTTGAAGAGTGGACGTATTTTGAGTCGCTGTATTTTATGATGGTGACTTTCACGACAGTTGGTTTTGGAGACTTGACCATAACAGCTTATGATTGGAAATATGCGATCATGTTTTTCAGCTATCTTGGGTATTTGAGATTTGATTTGATTTTTGATGATTTTTGAAGACTCTCTTGGATCGGTTACATTATTGGGACCATCACTGACAGCGTCAGAAATCGACTAGCAGCGGACAAAAACGAAGAAAAAGACGAAGACGAAGAGATTTTCTCTGAATTTTGAATGCAAAACTGATAATTGACGATGATGATGAAATAATAATTTGACACTTTCAACGCTTTTCTTTTTCGAGCCAAAAGCATTTTGCCAACCGAAAATGTCACTACTTGACATTTACTCCCGCGCCCACGCTGAGCTGTAGTACCAGCCGGTTTTCGTACATTTTTTAAAATGATGAAGAATGATTCAAACAACAAAAAGCTCCTTCCTCTTTTTCTAGCGCTCTTGGCCATTTTTCTATTTGACAGAGTTTTTGAAAAGTGCAAGGTTGCTGTTTATGACAGAGAAACACCGATCGTTTTTGTCGGAGGAGTCAAGGGCTCTGGGACAGAATACATTCGCGACTTACTGAACACTTCAAAAGACATCAATTGTCAAAAATCAACCATTGGTTCTCCAGCCCTCTTATGGATGGCATTCAACGAACTGCGGCGAGAAAAGGAAATGAAGCGACTTCATCTTGCTGGAATTTCTGAAGAGTTGATGTTCAAAGCCACTGGCGAGGGAATACTAGAAATCGTCTTTGGAACAAGGCAGGCGAAGATTCCTTGTTTGGAGGAACCGATGATTTTGAATCAAATGGAGTTTCTGGCGGAGAGTTTTCCGAATGCGAAGTTTTTACGGACGATGATAGACAAACTAATAATTGAAAAATTAAAATATTTATTATTTTATTCATGTTTCATCATCATTTTTGAGATATAAAACGAAACGCTTTTCAAGTCGCAAATGCCCTCATCAACGACCGGGAAAACATCTACCAAACCGACGCAAATCCGCCTGTTTTAAAACTCTCCCGCTTCCGAGACGGCCTGGTCTACTGGAATGAAACTGTAACAGTCGTAGACGAGTACTGTAAAAAATACCAAAAGCGATGTCTTACGATCGAATATGAAAATCTCCTCGACCATTCCAACGCGATCGCTAGAAAAATTGGGCAAGAACGAGTCTTGAAGTTATTTTTAATGACTTTTCTTCAGGAAATTCTTGAAAACAGATCTTGACAAAAGCTGGAAGCCAAATCCGCTCAAAACTTTTTCTCCCAAAAACCGCGGCGCTTCAAAAGAGCTCAAGAAAGTGCTCCAAACTTATGGAAAAGAACTGACTAATCGAGCATTCTTCCAGCTCGCGAATTTTGGATGGGAAGACAATTTGAAATACGAGGAAAATTTTGAATCATTCGAGAAGCCGAATGCTGAAATGACAAAAAAAGAAAAGGAGATTGTAAAAGAACTCGTAGAAAATGTGAATTTGGATCGATATCAAAATATATTGAAACTGAGTAATTATGAAAAACTCATTCGATTTTACAGAAATTTGTAATAAATAACCTTTCGAGATGATGTAATAACTATTTTCTTCCTGCCCGTTAAGACGAATAAAAACACTCAAAGATTGAAGGCATTGATTGACAGTTTAATTTACAGTTTTTTGCAATAAGCAGCTGGTTTTGATAGCAAGTAAGATTAAGAAAAATCGTAAGAACTCGTGTTCTTGTTCGGTTTCTTTGCGATTTTCGGCTTTGGCTTCGGACTGGGAGTTACGATTGCACTGGAAATTTGCGGCGGTAGAGGCGGGAATGTGGGTTTTGGAGGGGCGGGCCACTGAAAGGCGTTCGAAACAGCGGGAGCGGACGGGACAGGAGGAGCAGGGCGAGAGGGACGACCAGATTGATAGTTGATTTGAGCTTCTGATCGATTTGTTTGTTGGAAAGGCGTGGAACTGAACGCGATGAATGAAGAATGAAAATGTTTCATGGAAAGTACCTTGTTTCTTTGTCACTCTTTCGGAAGAATTTCAAGTAGACGAAGACGCCAAGCGCGAGGATAATCAAGAAAATCGCGGCGCCGAAGCAGAACCAAAGAATGAATTTCCACTTGCAAAACTCTTTCTCTTCGCAATTTTCCCCGGTATAGCCGCATTCGCAGGAGCATTTATTATTTGTCAACGGCTCTCCCCTGAAGAAGGAATGAATAATATAAGTAGAATTGTAACTGATAACGGTCAGCTATCAAAACTCGTTTCATTATGTTACATAAAATGTTACATAATTTATGTACCTTGATGAGCAGACATCTTCTGGAATGTAAAACATGCATTTCGGACTAAATCCATCGAAAACGCAAATCGTCTCGTCGTGGCAAGTTTGATCGCAAAAATCATCTTCGTATCCTTCTGGAAGCTCGACATCCTCGTCTTCTATCTTTCGCTCTTTTTTGCACTCGCCTTCGTAGCAATACTAAAACTCTCAAGACTAATTCTTCTTCGTTTTTCTTTACCTTTTTTCTTCCGCATTCGTATCCATTTCTGAAAAAAGTCGCGACGGGGCAGTAAGAATCCTTTCCAGAGCAGTAGAGATCTGGCTCGCAGGAATTCGTACTTTCCCGGCAGAGAGAAGAGGATTTCTTGTACTCGCATGTTTCAAGATCACAGCATTGACCATCGGTACACTCAGCAGAGAGAGGTTTCCGGCAGGAGTCGCAACAAGGACAGATTGGCTAGGAAAAGTGGACATTCGCGAGATCAATGCCTAGTCGATTAAAAATACCTGTCCGCAGTCGCAGTCTTCTCCTTCCTCGACCACGCCGTTTCCGCAAACCGGTTCGCCAAACACTTTTTCTGGCTTTTCAAACAAGCTTTCGACCCTGTTCAAGTTCTCCCTCGCGTATTTCTTCGCATATTCGGACCATTCGTAGTCGCTTTTGCTTCCATGAACAGCACTCATGATGCACCCCGCCGGATCGTTGCAAGTTCCCGCGTGTTGCCGATCGTCTTCGTGACTCAGTCCCAAAATGTGGCCGATTTCGTGAGTCGCCGTTAGCGCAATGGACTGATAGTTTCTGCATGAGTCGATGATGCCGGCCATGCTGGTTCTTCCAAGAACATTTCCAACTGTGCCAGTGTAGGCGTATCCGACAACCATGGGTTGGAAGAACTTTGTGTTGATGAAACCGACGATGGCATCGTATTTTTGAGGAAATGATTCGTACAATTCGCGCCTAGGAAGATAATCAGTATGAAAATTCTTGAGCTAAATTCGAGAAGCTGCGATTCATATTTTCTTCTTTCTTCGAAATCGGATGCGAACTTACCTTTGAAAAGAATTGAAATCGTTCAATGATTTCTCCGCGCTCCATTTCGTCAAAATCCGCTCCGCTTCTTCGCTCGACAAAAACTTGATGTCCAACAAGTGAAAGTCCAGATTCAACTCTTTGAAGTCCCGTCGCATTTCGTCCCTCACGATCGTGTTGAAAATCTTCGCGATCTTTTTTCGCCCTTCTTTGAGATCCTCCATCTTGTGTTTTCGCATGTGGTACTCGACGACATCGTCGAAAATGACGAACGCGACTTTTAGGTGCAAATTTTCGCCGAAACCGGTTCGAACTTTTTTCGTTACGGGAAAAACTGATTCTTCTCCAGCCGGATTGAGGTATTTTTCAGGGCCAAGTTGGGTCCAGATTAAGTTTTTGGCGAAGCCAGAGATCGTGAAGTTCGACAAAAATCCGTCGATAGAAGAATCCTCGAGCAAAATGAAGAGTTTCCCATTTGGTGAGCTATATTTACAGTAGAAATCGGTTTCGGCAGATTTTTGGAAGGTTTGAAGCTCATCGAAGGGCGTTGAAAGACTAAAAATACGATAAGAGAATGTCACATTCGGAATGTTGTTTTAACAACTTGAAGAAAAAGCCTTTTTTGTTTATTTTGAAAAAGAGGAGGCAGAACCAACTGTGCGCTATAAGAGCTCAGCGGGGTACGTTTGCCTTGTAAAAATTATTATACTGGTGACTGAAGTGTCTTTTCGTAAAAAACTGAAGTCAGATTGAGAGTCACATGATTCGAATCGGCTTCATTTTATGGTGCTCATTAGGCCGATTCATCGAAAAAATATTTTGGTACTTATTCATTTAACTGAAACTTTGTCAAATAGACTAAAAATCTACCATTCTTTTCTCGGGGCAAACGCTTGAAATACCAGGGAGGGTCCTCTAAAATACGACCAAATCTTAGTCCAGGGGGTCCCTAAAATATTGTTAAATCGTTGGAAAAGCGTCCCCTAAAATATGATCAAATCGTGTTCTGGGGGTCCCCTAAAATATGCATCCACAGTCACGGACACAGAAACTTACTTGGCGCTTCCGTGCTCTCGGATTTGCCCGTTGACGATTATATAAGCGAATTTTATAAGATTAGTAATGTTATATTACTCATTCGTTGTCATCGAAATTGAATGTTCCAATCAGAATACATAACACGCTTTTCTCGTACGTGACCTTGAATTCATATTTTAGGGGACACCAAGAACACGATTTGATCATATTTTAGGGGACGCTTTTCCAACGATTTAGCAATATTTTAGGGACCCCCTGGACTAAGATTTGGTCGTATTTTAGAGGACCATCCCTGGTACTCGGTATAAAGAAAGACCATTTGAAAATTCTCAATCAATATCTCACCTGAAACTTTCAACACAGCCATTTTCAAAATCGCCTTCAATTTTCAAACTCGCTCCACTTTTCTCTGCCCTATTCAAATGAAGAAAACAAAGAATAAGAAACATCATCCTTTCTCTTCTCTCTTGTTACATTTCTATCGTCTTTGAAGCGTAATTCTTTTACGAGAGAAAACAAAAAAATCAGCCTCAGCAAATATACGTTGTAAAAGAGTAACACGCCCGCTTATTCATGGCTGGGACACAGTTTCATGAATAGACTCTTTCAAGAATTACTCTAAATTACTACTAATTCGAGTTGAAAATTAGTCCTTTGAGAATTGAGCTGCGCTGACTCATTTTTAAAGAGTTGACCTTGAGGCAGCTCAGTAAAGGGATGAAAAACAAGCATTTTGTGGGCTCGGAAAGCTGTTTTTAAAACCTGAGTCAGGGTCTCGGAAGAGTTCAAATATATTATAACACATTTTTCAGACCCTGACTCAGGTTTTCGAAGGAGGTATGTGAAGCTCAGGATCCTGACTCAGGGTGCCGAACTCAGATATTTTTACAGTATAAATTGATTTATTAATTTGTCAGTTTTTGATCAAAGAACCATGAAAGAATGGGAATTTTTCTGGAAGTTGCGATATAAAATATTGAATAATTGAAGAGAAGAATAGCAGCAGAGTCAGACAGAATGGAAATTTTATTCATATCCCATGAAGTGATTGATTCCGTGGACGATCGATGTTATCACTGGCATCCAGCAGACCATGAATCGACACCAGTCGAGAAAGCCAGAGTACATAACGTAAACTTTCTGAAGGAAAAATCCGTTACAGTCAGCTTCAAGGCGGAAAAGAATACGATTGATAGGAATAGAAATAGAACATAAATATAGATGATGATTAACCTCCCAAGGAGTGGAAGAAAACTGCTTCAAGTCGACTTTTTCTTTGCACATCGGGCAGGTTTGCTTCTTTCCGACGATTATCCAGCCGCGAATACAGTAGTCGTGGAAGGAGTGGCCACAAGCAAGCGTATGCTACAGTTTGAATGTTAGTAAAGAGTTGAATAGACGTCCCCTTACCTGTTTCTCTGGGACGCCTTTTTCGTCGCATCCGATGTTCGTTTCTCCACAAACGCCGCAAGTGTCTTTATTCAAATGCTTCATCGGCATTCCCTCGTCCGTGACAAAGCCCATCGTTGAAGCCATTCTATCCGTGCAGTAGTCCGCCAGGTCTTTCGTGACAACTCCTAAATAAGCAATTCTTAATAACGCCATAAGTCGTCAAAACTCACCGAAATAGACGCCATAGAAAAGCAAATTCAGCGTCATTTCCAGCCACGCTTCGGCGTGCATCAGCAGCCCTGGGAAGCCAAAAAACGCGATCAGGAAGCCGAGATACCCAGCAGTTCCAACTCCGTAGGTCAACTTGAAGACTTTGAGAAAATATCCGTAAACGACTCTTGGCGTCCATCTATCCAGCGGTTTTCTTGTCGCTTTTCTGGTCAAAAAGGTTAGTAGTAATAAAAAAGCCCATGTTTCCGGAAAGGTCACCGGAAGTACTACACCGGAAGTACTGACTGATAAGCCGAAAGTGTGAAATTGATCAGTCAGTACTTCCGGTATAGTACTTCCGGTGACCTTTTCCTTTTTTATTGTTATCTCCAAAAACACCGCCTTCCACGCTCATTGGCTCTCGCGGTGAGTGCGCAATATTTTGAACTTCTCTCGCTCTCACCCCAAGGTCTCTAGAACTTTTGTTGATTCCGGCTCGCCTGTTAGAAAAAGGTAATTATGAATAAAGAGAATTTATCGAAGAAGCATTTTATAATATATTGTTATAATTCATCTGCCAAGATTAAAAATAATTATTAAGTAAAGTTCAAAAATAAAAGTTATTAGTACGCCTAACCGGCGGAAAATAGCGGTTAGTACGCCTAAATCGGCGGAACATCATGCCAGTACGCCTCATCGGCGGAAAGCGCTTTTATTTTGTCATTTTTACTATTTGAGCCCGTTTTCACGGGGTTCAAGTTCTAAATCTTGGGCTGCTAAGCTTTTAAGTTTGGGGTGGTCTTTGACACGATACCCTGCCTCTCACGGTATTTATGACGGAACTTACTTGCTCATAGCTTTTATATGGTAGGATCCCCATATTCTGCATCTGAGTTTAATTTTTTTTTTCTTTGGCAGATGCTTATAATAATGTTCCTCGACGAAATGTTCAAAAAATATTCGCTTAAATAGATTTTTAGCCCAGATGCTGGGTATATTATGAGCGATCATAATCCACTGGAGCATCTTAGCACCTTCTTGATTTCGAAACGAAAGTCAGTTCTCAAAGGCAAAAACTACAACGATTGTATGAAAGATATTGGCTCTACACTGGCCAAGAATTCTGGAAACTTTACAGCTTCATGAAACGACCGATCTTTAGGTAAGCCATTTCTTTTCGATTCAACTGACACAAATGATCGATTTAGATATTGGGAGAACTTCATCATGGTTGAAGAGCAATTTCGATGAACTCTGTGGAATCATTCTTTCGCCCCTTGTGATCAGGTATTCATTCATCAGATGAATCAAGAGTTTTATTTAATCGATAGCTTTCTTCAAGAAAAATCAAGAAGATTTCGGACTCGCTTAGAAGAATTTTGAATTTCGGGAATGGTGTAAACGGACCAGAAATACTTTTACATTGCAGCTTCGTCGTCGATCCAGACAAATGCAAAGAAAACATTGATTTATTACTAGGTCAAATTCAAGAGGTATTTATTTGCTTTGAATTCCTTTCTCTGACAGAATTTCAGCTAAATCCCCAACCAGCTCCTGATGCATGTTTCCTGCCAGTCGTTCAAGTCGCCGCTCAAGCTTTTGATTCCTGCCAACGCGCTGGTAAATTGTTCCTGTTCCACTCTTCGCTGCCCACTGTTGCCGCTCCCGGAAAATTGCAAAACAGAGATGACAGAAAACTCATAGGTGCGGTCTTTCTTGCTTCTTATTTATAAAAACAAGTTTATTAGCCACTGACAAGGAAAAGTTCCTCTTCCAAGCTGCTGACAAAATCTACGAAAAGGTTGGAAAAGATCTCGTTAGGCAACTTCTGTGGAACTCTTCCTCTTCCCATCTCAGTATGTTGACGTTGCTTCTATTCAAGTCGCACTGCTGTACACTTCTGTCGAAAGACGACTTAGAATTCACAATTTACAGGTTCCTTAACTGAATACGTTTCGTTTGTCAACTTTCCTAGCTCGGCGTAATCAGCCAACTAGCGGACGTATACAAAGTTGCAGAAACAGATGCGATGATGAATTTCTTTTCCAAACTGGCGGTCAGAAGTTGCAGAGACACCTCGCCACAGAAGCTCAAAGAAGGTTAGCGGCCCATCCCGTTTCAATTTTCTAACAGAAAGTCTTTAGGAATAATTCAACGCTTTCCTATCGCTACCTATCGAAAACATTGCGCTGATCCTAGCTCAATTGGCCAGTTGATTCTCCCTGAAAGACTAAAGGTAAGTTCCTGTCCTTCTTTACTGTCTTAAAAATCGAATCCTAGGTCATGCCAGCATATATGAACTCTTTGTTATGCAACGACGACATTTTCCCCCATCACGAAACAAATACGGACGACTGGGCTTATCTCAGACAGAAAATCTTGCAGATGAATGTTCGAGCTTCTTGCGCATATTTCTATGCATGTGTTTATCCTATTCTTAATACTGCGTTGGATCCCGCACTTCCAAAACTTTCTTTGAGATGTTCTATCGAAAGATTCAAACAAGAACAGGTAATATTCACCCTTTAGCAATTTTTACGCTTTCTAGGTTTATGTTATTGAAAATGGACTTCAATTGTACATCTGGGTCGGCGAAAATGTCACTCCAAACGGCGTGCAATCAATTTGGGAAGTCAACTCTTCCCGACACTCTTTCAAAGCTAGAAACCGAGCAAAGACGTCAAAATAACAGAATCGCGAATGCAAAGACTAATGGTTAGTTTTGAGTAAGAAATTTGCGCTAACCGATTTTGTAGAACGAAGACAGTAAAGGCGCTGGCACGACCTCCTACCTTCCCGTTCACGTACACAAAGAAATCCATCAGTTACTAACTGCGAACTAGAATTTTCTGAATCGTGCAGCCTACGTATGATCCTCCTTATTCTCTATCGCTGTTGTATCTAGGCAAAATTCATTATTTGAAATCTCGAGCTTGTTAAACCCCATTCTATTCTGTGCTTTTGTTCATCTCAAACTCGCGTGCAATATAACTTATATTTCCAAAAGATATCTAGTATAAGTAAAAGTTACGACTGTAAAAATTGCCAAATTATTTCGTCGCCGGTGAGTTAATATATACGGTGTGTACCATTCTATTTTCAGTTTATGTATCTTCAACACAGCTGCTCGCATGATCTTTTAGACTTACCTAATACCGAAAGGAAACAAAAAGGCATGAAAAACGTACTTCGCTTTCTTTCTTTCCAAGTTCTAGCTTTGTAGTCTGACGCCTAAATAATTGAACTTCTAGCTTCTTGAGCGCAATTCAACTGTAAAAATTCCTTTCTATACCTTTATTTTTTAGGCATTGAAAAACGAATTCAGAAATACGCAAAAATCCTTTTCAAACTTTCATGATAATTTTCTTTTATTGGAACTCAGTTTATTAATAGATACAGGCTATCGGGATCTCCTTGACGACAAAGAACAACTGCTTAAATCAGGCGCATACACAGAACAAGACCAAGTCATCCAAGAAAACTCCCTCATCATGCCTTCAAAGTGGCAAAATTTAAACAAGACGAGACTGCAAAAAGAGTGCAAGGACCGCGGGCTTTCAGTCGCTGGCAAAAAACAGGATCTCCTGTCAAGGCTTTTGAAACATCATGAAAATGATGAAATAAAAGTCAAGAGGTCATCCAAAGGCGCGTTTATGAAACGGCTAAGTGGATGCGACACCGAAGAGATTACTCCTGTGATGATATGTTATGCGCAGCTCCCCGAGATCAACCGACATTTATCTATAACGCCCAGCACTTTTGTATGCGTTATACATTTGACGTGTGCAGAAGATGGCAGTGACGTGCAGACTGACTTTATGATTGAAAGAGCCGACCTTTGGGATACCCGAAACTACTATCACTCACGAAGGCACTTCACCAGCCTCAAGACAGCCCCACAAATCAGAGCACGGGTGTTCCCTGTTGCGTATTATCGATCAGTTACGATGAACGAGGAAACGCGTAATCATCGAATGACGAGAAAAAACACAAAGATACTCCGAAAATTCAAGCCTTTGCATATAAACGATCTGTTGTCACACTCTTTTTCGGTTTTGGGAAAAAGCAAAGAAGATCAAAAAATCAAGGAAATATACGATTCACTACCGCCCGTGACCAACTCTCTCTTCTATAAACGATTAAATCGCTCGATGGAAGATTTTAATCATGCCTTCTCCGGCAATATTTTTTTTGCAGTTCTGATTTGTCTGTTGGTGATTTGCCGGGAATCGATGTATGACATTTAAATTGTTATAGCATTTTGATATATATTTTAGGAATTACAGGATTGTTTGTTCGACGAGGATGATCCATCTGAGGACGAGGGTGATGACGATGACGATCCATGGTACGTCCCGAGCGGCGCCTCTGATAATGACGAAGGTTTAGTTGAAACTGTATTAGAATCGTTAGTAACATAATTTCAGATGGAAAAGGCGAGAAATCCGACACTCCATCAGGGGAGGAATCCGCTCAATCGACGGAGGAATCCGACCCTCCATCGGAGGCGGAAGACTCCGATGCTCAATCGGAGGACGGCATTGAGCCGGAAAACGAAGAAGAGCCCGCTCCAAAAGTCGCAAAACCTTCCGTTGAAATCGAAACAGAAACTGAAAAGAAGGTATGAAAAGTTCTGGGTCCAATCTTGACTTGAGTAACAGTTTGAAAAGCCACAAAACTAGTATTTCCCGGAAAGCAGCTTTTTTTTTCTTGAAAAATACTAATTCAACTATTTAGGGAGGCGAGAATAAAAACGAGAGTTTAAATGCTACGAGTGCACCGATTCCTCTTGTTCTTCAAGCGCCAGCTGTTCCTTCTAAAACGAGTGAGCCCTCCAAACCATTGTCGAAAAAGGAGAGAAGAAAAAAGAGACGACGCGAGCAAAAGCCTCGACTTCGCTCGACAACATCGAGAAAATATAATAAAAAAGGTTTGAAGTTTTCTTATTTCAATTCATTAATTCTGCTAATTAAGAGAACTCTGGCAACGACGCCGATTCTGAAGACGCTGACGATGTTCCTCCTCCAGCCCCCAAAATCGCCAACCTCGACTTCGACCCAAACGTCCCGGGGCCATCCCGGTTCATCAGAGCATTCGTGGAAAAAGTAACGGGGCCATTCAAAAAACCGCAAAAAGGCTACGAAGAAGTTGGATCAGACAGTGATTAGGTCGCAGAAGAGCGCAATCACGGACAAATACGCTTTCTTTTCCGACCGATTCTTTTAGCTCGATCTTTTTGTAACCTCACTGCCCATTTATCGAAATAAATATAATGCACGACGGAAATAAAGAAGGAGCGAAAACTCCTTCCGACTGAGTTAGCATCAAATTGCCAGTTTTCAGAGCATCTACTCGTGAAGTTGATTAGTTAGGTTTGAAATGAAGTTGAAGCATTTTGAAGAATTGAATTTTTATTTGAAAGAAGCGAAACGAGAGCTAAAAATGGTCTTTGAACACGCGAAAACTGTTTACGGTAATGTACCGAAAATATTAGGTCGAGCAAGAGACTCTCTTTGCCGAAAAATCGTCAAAAACGAAGGCATGAGCTCGATTACGCAGAGAAAATCCGCGTGGTCGGGCTGGACTCGGAAGAGCCCTTCATCCAAGTCAACAACAATTTCTTCAAAAGAAACTACGAAAAGACGCTCGGGACGACGATCTTCTTCGACGGAAGGCGCAGAGCATAATCGGCCAGGAAATCGGAAAAACCAAAAGGAAACTACTGAAGAAAGTTCATTTGATCAAGAGGCGCGACTCCTTTCAGGAAGCAGGTTTGAGTCATTTTTGAAATTTTCGATTAGTAATTCTCAAAAGAGTGCGAAAAACGATGATTGATGCCCCATCATCAGCAAAAGAAAGAAGACGGTTTCTTCAAAAAAGCGCGAAAGAAGAAGTTTCCAATGTTTTCTTTCAACGAATGAAATGGGGCGAAATGATCAATCCAGACGACTACAAAACGCACGAGCTAATTCCTGAAAGTGATCCTTCAAATGACGATTTAGCTGGAAAAGAACAGTCTGTTACTTTTGGCCGTCACAATCCTAAGAAAAAAGCTGAGGAAGAGGAAAAAATGCCGACAAAGTGTATCAAATCACGAGAACAGGTTACTTTTCTCTATTTTTTCGTCCGGTCATTCAAAATTTCAGGTTTCAATTAGATGCAACTTCGAATTCATCGATTTTAAGTCGACGGCGAATCTTAACTTCACATCCTGTCGACTTTCAAGCCAAAAGAATTGATCCTTTTTCGCACGAAAGAAAAGTACAAGGACAAGCTCATCAAATAGAGAGTCCAGGAAATAAAAATTTATATGCAAGTGGTAAGTTCTTTCTTCTATCTGCCAGAATTTCATGGACACTTTTCTAGCATCACGAATTTATCGACGCGACAAAGGAAAGCTTCATCTACCAGCTGAAATCGAAGGATTCTCTTTTGAGCAACTTGAATTTTGTTCGTGTTGGAAGCAAAGATATCGAAGTCGCGAGAATTAGAGGAAGAGTGCCCGGTCGACTCGAGCTGCAGGAAGAGTCCGATGAGCCGAGAAAGCTGGAAATTGATGATATTCCAACTTTACAGGTAAAGAAAAGAGAAAAATTGTCTGTTCTCAACTGTTTTTGTAGCCCGTTTCAAATACCTACTCGAGTGGGCACGATACTTTCTTCATAAAAGATACAAAGCTTACAGATCTCAAGTCAAAGCTAATCGTAATGGACATGCAAGCCGAGTTTATTTGTAAGATGTGATCTTTACAAGCCCACCGACGCTACTACCAATCCTTCACTTGTTCTCGCTGCAATGAAACTTGAAGATAATTTCTATGATAAGCACATCGAAGCCGCTGCCGAATACGCTAAGAAAGCCGAAGGAGACGACAAACTCGCCATTCCCGCTCTCGATCAGTGCTTGGCCACGTGGACGGTTACTATCCGGTCTTTCGAGGTTATCGAGTGAAAGTGGCTGATTTGAACACGCGCATCTCAAAGTACGAGCTAGAGAAGGAATTGGATCGCTATGGAAAGATTATTGATCTCATTCTCATCCGTCGCTGCCCAACCGTTTGCTTTATCGTCTACAAACACAGGTACAGTCTTAAAAAACCGTTTTGAAGTTAATTTTCTTGGTCTTGTCCCCTAAAACTCGCGTTTAGCAATGACGCAAGAAACGCTGCCAGAAAATTGCATAACCTTTCGATTTGGTCAACCCGTTTGCGCGCTGAACTGGCGAAACCGAGCGGCAAGTCGAGGTAAGGATTATTTTCTCGGCGGCAAAGCACCCAGAAATTAAAAGTGCAGGGGTGACGTTGATTTAAGAGTGAACGATTGCACGATCCTACGATTAGTTCACCACTTTACGAGAGCGATACTGTAGTCTCTGTCTGTCTAATTCGCCTTTTCGAAAACTCGCGCCAAATCGAAAAGCAGACACGCCACTTACGATTCTTAAAAGGGCGATACGAATTTACGAGAGAATTAGCAAGTGCCGAAAAGAGACGGTCACCGAAAGAGTCTCAAAAGTCGCCCAATTCACGAGTGTTCAATTATCTAATGGAAATTTTAGAGGACGTTCTCGCTCGCCACGGCGGAGACGATCTCGCTCTCCTCGGCGGCGGTCTTTTTCGGGGATCGAAGACGTCGACGCTCAAGATCACACTCTCGAAGACGGTCTGACTCACGGCGCCGCTCAAGATCGACATAGTGTACTATCGATCACGATTTCTTCTGGACCGATCCTATGCCTTGAAGGTACCTACCATTGAAAATCTCAACTCACAAATTCCTAGAAACGCTAAGCAAACTTCACAAATCGCTCTTCGACTTCTCCGAATCACTTCCTCAGCAAATGAAATACGCCCAGCATTCCGCCGCGATAAAGCCCGCTTTTACCAGACTTATCTATCGAGTCTTTTGATTCTCAGCAAAAGTTCATTCAATTCTTCGCTACTGTAAATTGTTGCTTCAGTAAAACAAAAAAGCGAACATAAGAAACATTATCATTGATAATAAACTTGACAGATACAACCTCAAAACTTTCTATAGAGTATATTTACACAACTTTATAAATAGAAAGACAAGATCATATCCATTTTGGCAGGTTTTCATGACTCTTAGATGCCCTAAAACTTTTTCTATTGAAACTTTTAAAACTTGCCCCCCAGTTCTTCGCGTTTTTCTTGGATAGCGTTTTTTTACATCATCAAATCAATTTTCAAGGCATCCAAAAAGCCTTTGATGAATCTGCCTCTTTTTCTTCGCTAAATTTCTTTCCTGCGCTTTTAGTTCAATATCAGTCGGAACTTGATCCCCCAAGAAGACGGAGATAATTCGCATTCATTAATAAGTGTATTTGAATTGCAGTACAGTGTAATCGCGATTGAATAATTACTTATTCAGCTTCATTTGATTTTAAGAAAAATAATGTTCAAAATTGCTCTCTTTTTTTTACTTGCATTTGAATCATTTTCAAAAAGTACTCATCATGTTTTTCCTGCAAGTTATAAAAGCCCCACTCACCAAAAGAGGGCGTCTAGAGCAGCTATTTTTAGAGCTTTTATATCCCACCAAGAGGTCACGCTATTTTTAGTAACATTTGGTTCGATTTGCCTAGGACTTCGCCCCTTCCTTGGTCTAAATTCTATTCGCAATTAAAGTCGAAAAGAATAATACAAGATCAATTGAAATTTTATTACAGCTTTTTTGATTTAATAACTATTTGGATTGACAGGAAAGTCTCATTGTTTGGGACGTAGCTCTTCTGCATGCTAAGCGATTTAAATTAACTTGATCGTAGATTTTGTCTTACTGGAAGCATCTCCTTGTACATTTGATGGATGGTAACTTCAGAAACACCAGTAACGTCACTGATTTCCTTGGCGGTTTTTCTTGTTTTTGATGTCTGAACCTCAAGAAGTTGTCTCAAATATAACTTTTTACCTGTGAGGCCATGTAAATTGCCGCTGCGGCAAGAGAAATCGGGGATCTACCTTCTGCCAAATCCAACTCGACGGATCGCTTGGCAATTTTAGTTGAAACAGCCTCGACTTGCTAAACAAGCGAGATATTGAAAAATTGATTGCAAAATATACTTTTGTGAGGTTGAGCGAAAAGCAAAAACGCATCATGAAGTCTTCTGACGAGATAGTTTTCACAGTTTTTTCGAGAGTTTTGATGATCCACTTGAAGCAGCGACCAATTTCTTTCTTCGAAACCGTACAAACAGCGCAGATTTCCTTCAGATCAATCAGGTTTCGATTTATTCTGATTATACCTTGAATGTGCGCGGAGCTCCTATTTGTCGACAGGCAACATAAAGACAAGCTCCGGCGATAGCTTCGTGTGACTTTTGTCCTGCTTGATCGTAAATTTCCTTGAAATTGACTTTTGCCTGATCCAGAACTGATCCAGAAATATTCAAACGATGAGCCATAGCCCTTGATATTGTAACTTTTGCTCAAATTATGATTTTGTTGTACTCAATATTTCGATATGCCGCTAGAAGGGCTCGATCAGTAGCGTTCATGCGAGCTCGGTACTCCTCGTTGACAGTTCTCAGATCAGTCGACAGATATCGGTTTTCAATTTCACCGACTCGGGAAGATCTCCATTCACTACTTTCTTGTTTTTTTTTTTCAAATTCTACTCAAACCTTTTCACATCAATCATTCTGTCGCCCACAACGAGTCCGCATTCAGTGCAAATTACATCGCCTGCTCGGTAATCGTCAACTAAAGCTGCTCCTGGATGATACGGACATTCAAACATGCTGAAAAAAGAGGCGACATGATTCAAAAAAATTAGTTTATTTCATTCATTTTGCAGAGGAAAAGTGGTGCACAGGATAAAAAAAAACATTAATAATGTTACATTATTCTTCTTTGTCTTCGTTGTTGCTCTCTTCAGAAATCGTAGTCGTGTCGAATCTCGCCATTCATCAAGGCCTCTCTGATGAGCTCGTCCCGGGCTTCTGGCCAGTTAAGCGGTCGCTCAATCAGCATGATGTCTGGATCGTTGAGGACGATGATCTCCATGTCGTCGTCGCTGGAAGAGATGATGATCACTTCATTGTCATCGCTGATTTCGATAACAGAGGAGTCGCTTGAGTCGGCGTCGTGATCGTGCTCGGTGTCGTTTTGCTCGGCGTTTTGTGTGTAGTCTTGACAGTCGCAGTCCATGTCATCAGAAGGAGGAGGGGTTGGATTGTAGTCTACGGTCTCCAGAGAGACGTCGAGGTCAATGTCGACGAGTGATGGCGATTGAGCCGGGTAGACATACATATCGGAATCGGTTTCCCAGCGATCAGACATTCTGGTTTGAAGGTTTTTGTTTTCTTGAAAGTAGAATTTTTTTTTTGACTGAATGACCATTTTTGGGTGTGGTTATATTCAGAAGCTCCAGACGCTTTGGCGCCAATCAGTTGGATCGATCTAAGCTGGCGCCAATGTACAATCGGAAATACTAATCTGATTTTAGTGAAGCGATCAGCGGGGGATTAGACTGCATCTGTTCCCAGAATCGGCAGATAGGCCTTAGATTTCCGCCGGATATGTTTGTATAATTGACTTTTCACGGCTTAGCTTCACTCAACCATGGAGAAAATGGTATATAAGTAGCTCTTAACTCACTAATCTCATCAAATCCAGCAATATGCCTAAATTCGAAGTTTCTGGCTTTTCTGTCCGAGTTTCCAAAACCTACGGGTTTTTCGTCACCATCACCGGAACTTGCGCGAATCGAGACGAGCCTATCAAGCTCAAGAAATTCTTCAAGAAAGATGCCTTTGCCGAAGTTCTCCCCGACCTTGTCGCTGGAGAAATGAACGTGGTCATCATTGGCCGCCGCAACCAGACTGACTTCGAAGCTCGAAACAACATCCAGTACTACGACTTTGTCCTCGAAGACATGGACTGGACCGACATGTAACTCACAATTCTCTGCGAAACCTCCCTCTCTCTTGTCACGTGGTGTTTTTTCTTGCGCTTTTTTTTTGTGTGCTTTTATTTCCAGAAATAAACTTTTCTCATTGTAATTTTTCAATGTATATGTTGCAGGTCAATAATTTTCGCAGTTGATAGCCAGATTCATTATAATGACTTTGATTGCAGTGAGATCTTGAAACAAGATCAGGAATTTCTGACATAGGAGGAAGTTCGTTGACGAATTTTTCAAAAGAGATATCATCTTTGATCAGATTGATGTCCATCGGTAGACTAGTGCTGCGCTGCGCCCAAGAGTACCGAAATCTCGCCGATTCATCGGCAGCATCTGGTTTTTCAAGAAGAAAGGAAAAGTCTATCAGAAGACGAAATGGTGGGGCCAAAAACTCGATTAGTTCCATCAGGATTTCTTTCATGTCGAAATTAGAATCAACAAGGAAAATCAGTATTGCATTTTCCACAATTCTGTTTGGTTTCGGCGGGTTGATAATGAGATAATTTCTCAGCTGCCGCAAATTTCCGATCTCTTCGAAAAAATCTAACTCGTCACGCTCAAGTTCGAGTTCTTGACTTCCAAAAAGAGAAGGCATTTTTTGCAACTCATTTCTCTCGGAAAAATTGAAAGGCATTATATTTCAATTGAAAGATTTGAGCAGTTTTAAAGGAAATTCATCACGCATGAGTAATTTTAGAGAAGTTTACCGTCCTTTGAAAGTGGAGTGCACGTTATCTTATCGTTATTTACATACAGTTTAAAAAATACATCGCTAAGAAGTCTTTTTGATGTAGAAGTTCGGCAAACTAAGCCGTTTGAAGGTTGACGCCGCAGAGCGGTCAGCTGGAACTTGTTTTCTTCAAGATTTACTCCCTTGAGGCAATTCAGCATCGCTTCGAATTCGATTTCAACATTGTGTGGGATACCTTTTGATGATCGTTTGTTCACATCTTTTTCAGGATCAATTCCAAGATATAATTTATTTCCCAAAGCAATAAGAGCGCCGGATTCTGTTGACCATTCCGCTGAAATGATTTAATCTCTCTTAGTTATTTCGAAAACGCTCACTTTTCATAAGACCTGGAGTCTTGTCATTTCGCGTTGTATCTTCAATAACAAACCAATCTTGCCATTCCCGGAGAAACGCTTTTCGGAGATGCGGTTTGACAATCGGCAGAAAGGTCGATGCAGTCTTTGATTTTCGAGTCTCTCCGGATGGAGCAGTCTTTGTCGTTGCTATCAAAATTTTAAGGGGATAAAAGCAAAGTTATCTTACATATAGCGAGACTATCAGTATCGCAGTAGTTGAGCTTGAAACTGCCTTTTTCGAGATATTTGTGGAGGAAATCGTAAACGAATCTTAAAAAGAGCAATTTCGATTGCTGCAAAATGGCAACAGCCAGCACGACAGGCTTGTCGTCAAGAATCTTCGCTTTCTCCATCGTCACTTGAGAAAGCTCGTAATCTCCATCTTCTCGGGTGAGCGGCTCCGAAAATTTGTAGTGCGGTTTCTGAGCTGCGCGCGCGACTTGATCCTCGTTGCAAAAATTAACTCGCGGACGATCCACAATTTCCCCCATCTTTCCATACCCGCTTATTTGAACATAATTAACTACAATTTGAAGACGGCTTACCAATTCCCAACCGTTTTAAAAGCATTAGCAAGAGCGGCTTTCTTCTTCAGAATTGATTGTATGCGTCCCTCTGTGATCGACTCGCAAAATTCTCCAAGGCATTTGTCCGATCTATACTGTACAAATCGAGACACGTTCGAGATTTTTAGACCAAGAGACATGTAGAACTTGGCGAGCTTTGTTAAAATCAGCAGCTGCTTCCCATTGAAAGTCTGGACGACTGTCTCTTGTTCGATCTTTCGATCTGCCATCTTTGCTCTTTCTTTCATGTAGGGCGAAACCAAATCTTCAGTTATTTTCATCCTTTGGATCACTGGCGGGAAATTCATGTGCTTGATTTCCGATGCGATGTCTTCAGGTGTATTTACATCGGCAACAATGAATCCAAAAACTTGATCATTTTTGATTTCATCAAGAAGATCACCCTCTGTATGTTGCTGGTACATTTTTCCCCAATGGCGAGAGCGCATCCGGATGTTCTGCTGTTTTTTACGTTTCCAAACGCATTCATGGATGAAAACAAGCGTGCCGCGTTCCATCAAGACATTTTTCTTTCGTTCCCAATTCTCATCAGCTTCTCCAGGCTTGCAATAAGGACAGCAAGAATGAAAAAAACAACCAAGAAACTCAAAAAAGTATTTCTTCTCGTCAACACAAGCGTATCCATCTATTGTCCAGTCAAACACTTGGAACTCACCGCGATAATATTGATGTTGAAGAGGAACACGTTCGCCATTCTTCGAAACAAGTAGATCACTGTATTCATCAATATACGTAAGCCATTCCAAAGCCACCAGGCTGTTTCCTTTGGCCATAATTTGCTTACGGAAACTATCACCTTCGCGAATCCAGCGTATTCCTTAATTTAAATTCTAAACCGTCGAACAATGATGATTACCTGGAGTTGTTGGCATTTCTTGATTTTGAGCATAAAGATAGAGCGCATTGAAATCAAGAAATGTTATCTTTGTGAATCTGTCCCCGTTGGGCGCGTACTTTGCATTTTTCGGAGCAGGAACATCATCTCGTAGTTCAGTATATCGCGAGAAAACATTGACAAGGCCGCCGATAATGTTGCTGCGAAACAGTTCGTGTTCTTCAGTGCTCGTTATGCCGAAGGAGTCTTTATATATCTTAAGTCAAAATAAAAAATCAACTACTTACATGAAAACGGAGCTGTCTTTGAGTAGTAATTGAATAAGCAAATCATCGCATATTTCGGAAGGCTAAAGCATAAAGACGGGTCGACTTTGAAAGCTTTAAAAAAGACTTTGAATTGAGATTCAATCGCTCTGGCAAATGGATTGACGTCAAGCATGTTGTAGTTCTGGAGCCAGTCGACCATGGAAGTTTGAGGGTTGTTTCTTTTCATTTCTTCAAATTTTCCTTTTTCTTCCAAGTAAAGATCGTGATCAATATTAACGTTCTTTAAATGAGAAAAGAAGCAGTCATAGTCGGGAAATTCGTGGCAGGTTTCAATCTCCGAAATTGAGTGAAACAGCTCGTACGGCCAGATTGACTTTGTTTCGCCGATTCCTGCTTGTTCCAGGTACTTTGCAAGTCCGATCGGCGAACCAAACAGCATGGCGTCTTTGAAAGCAAATTTATCCGTCGAAATCGAAAAGAAAGACGAGCCCTTTTTGATAACATTGAATGATTTTGAGTATCTTTTCTGCAAAAGAGGTATCAAATAAGGAGCCAAGACATTGCAGTCGAATTTGGCGGAGTTAAAGCCGTAAATATCCATGGAACAGTAACGCTTTAGTTCGTTAAGCAGAGACTGCAGCTTCATCTTTTCTTTTAGATTTTCTTCTTGAAATAAGGTTTTAGTCTGTAAAAAAAAATGTTTCTTACCGCTGTTGGTGAGTCCGTAAAGTTTTTCAAGAGCAACTGAAAATGCGGGTGGAAGAGACATTTCTGGCGACATGGTCAACCCTTCAATTGTAAGAACAAACTCTTCTACCATGTTCTCGGCATGAATTGATGAGTCTCCTTTACGCATGATGAACTTGTCGAAGCCAAAATTTGATCCGATTCCAATCGACAAAAGTTTCAAAGATGAATGAATTTCAGTTTCTTGACGTTTATCTCCGAGTGGGCTCTCATAAGTTTCAATATCAAAAGTAACTTAACATTATTATTTCAACTTATTCAGGCACGGCTTACCAAATTTCGTCTTTCGAAAAGACTTGTATTTTTCTTCGAGGAGTCCCAATTTTACTAGCTCGCTGATCGGATTGATATTCTTTCCATATGCTTTGAGAGTCGGTTCAATTTCTCGATTGGCTCTTTTCCTGCAGATAGCTTCATGTGCATCGCGAGTGTCAGCTTTTACGAAAGTCATATTGCAGTTTGTATTGCTACATCGGTAGATATTTGACTTGAACGCTATAAATATGTCAGGAAAAGTCTCAAAGAAATTTTAAAAAAACCATTTGTGTTGTAGACAACAAAGATTCGCGAGGGCTCATCTTTTTTCACAAACAAGTAAAGCGGTTCCTCGACCTTGGGATTCTTGACCCGAAATCGTCCTATTCTTTGAAAGGCGACTCGCTTCTTCAATTGAAATTGATTCGAGTTTGTGTAGAGAATGATTTCACGCCTGATTTCTTTAGCAATGGTAAAGTAATTATCGGGAGAAAAAGGTCCATGATAATTGAAGAATTTGAGATCCGGCATTTCAATAGCAAAATCTGCTATTCGTTCAAATCGTTTTTCCATCATCTGTAATGATTTGACCAGCATAAAGTACGGAATCGGGTGGAATAAAACTTTTCCATTTGAGACAATCTCGTAATAGCAAGTCTTTGGTGACCAGAATGCCTCAAGCGTGAATTGGTATTTCCCAGTTTTGTTTTTATCGTAAGCTTTTTCTATTTGAATAAATTTGAGGGTATAATGCTCTTCGAATTCTTGTTTTGTTGACAATGGACAGTCCCTGGAGAGATTACGAACGTAGTTTACAAAACCGGCGCTTGTAAGTAATCCATCGCTGTCAAAAAATATCTGGTAAGGTGTCTCTGAGCGTAAGAGTTCCCCAATTATCAAAAAAGGGGAAACATTCTCTACTGTTACATTGAATTTTCTCATGAGAGTCTGAGCTTGAGAGATGCTTTTATTGCTAGGAAATAAGGTCAATTGTATCACCAGTGTTTATTGATAAAAGATTGGGAGCAGTCAAACAATAGGAAAAAGGTCAAAAGTGGCAGAAAAGAAAAGAAATCGCAAGAAAAGGAGTAACAAAAAAGGAGTGAGAATAAGAAGGAATGACAGAAAAAAGTGTTTCGTGGAGAAGAGTTTATCATTGTTTCTTTGCTGGTGTTTCTAAATATCATCAGTGTTTGAAAATAAAGAAAACGCTTACTTGGAAAGAGTCGTCGAGGCTTCATTCGTCTTGGAACAGGATTCTTTCGTTTGATTTTCCTTGCAGACTCGATAGGGTGCATTGTGTGAGCTGTCTCCACCATTTGTTCGAGAACAACGTAGTCAGAATTGGATGGTTCAGTGGATCCTTCGAAGAAGACCTCGAGGTCATCATCGCTCGGTATGTTGATGGCAATTGATGAGTTCGATGTTGCGTGAAGCCGTTCAAATCTAGGAACGACCATTTCCACTTCAGTTTGAGTTGATGCGTCTCGCATAATAGGCTCGTCCTCGTTGTCATCGTTACATTGCTCGCATTGACAGTCGTCTTCAGACATGGCAGAGCTGGAGTCGTCGGAGCTGTATTGCTCGGCGCTGTCTGCTACGATTTGCCCTGGTAATGGAGCCCATTCTGGATCAGCGGTCATGTCGGAGTCCGAAGAGTGGAGGGAGACGCTTTCATCATCATTATCAGCAAGGATCATGTTCTCAATGAGTTGAACTCCATCATTATCGAAGTCGAGATTGTCTGCAAGCTCTCCTAAATGAAACTATAGAAAAGGTTTGAAATTATCTAACTCACTTGTTAGTTTGTTGAAGTCATCAGCGTATTCAACTGGAACATGATCGGCTTCCTCAGCGTACTCGAGTGCTATTTCATACAATCGGAGATTGTAAATTTTAGAAGTAGCAACCATTTTATCGGCTATTTTTTTTAGATTGTTCATTTCAACTGATGACCTGCTTTTGAAATTTGCGGTTAAATACGAGAGTTTATGGTTCAGTTGAATCGCAATTTATTCGGGAAAACAAGATTACAGGTCACGGTTAAAACGGAAGAATGGCAGCAGTCTGAGATCAAAGAAACAGTGTAAAAGGCACGGTGCGTTGGCGAAGCAAGAAGAAAAAAAACGGAAGAATGGCAGGAGTCTGAGATCAAAGAAACAGTGTAAATGGCACGGAGCGTTGGCGAAGCGTGAAGAAAAAAAAACGGCGGATGATTTTTGGCGGAAGTGTTGTATTTACATCGGATTGTCTTGAGGAAGCGGAGGTCTGAACATGTGTAAAATGTAGTAATCCGATTATTACCTATTCGGATTTGAAACGTTGTGGGCTCTTGCGGGCGCGGAGAGATCGTCTCGGAAGTGCCTGAAAAAGGATTATTAGGATTATAAAGTTTGAGCAATTACCTGTTGTCTAGCCGGGGCGCGTTGTCTAGCCGGGACGCGTTGAGGAGTCGGGGCGCGTTGAGGAGCCGGTTCTCGTGCGAGTCGCGGGATTCTTCGTCGTGGCTGTCGAATTGGCTAAATAATAAAGAAGATAAAGACTAAGGATCATTCTTAACCTCTGGTAGCGGATGACGTGGCCACCATCGTGGAAGCTGAATATTCAGGTTGTTGTTCATGAAGTCTGCGAAGCCTCTCGGGTTGACTTGAAAGTTATTAATAAATATTTGAAAAAACTCAATTACGTAGGACAATCTTCAGGCAATACAGCAGCCAAGCCACCAGGAGGACCAGAAGAGTAATGCGCCAATCATAAACCTCAATTTGGCCAGAAAAGAGGTCTGAAAGAGACTTTAAAGAAAAAACATGGAGGATGTGGGTTACTTATGATTGACGAAAGCCCAGGTCTTGGGGTGGTTGGCGGGCGTGTTGGATCGTTGGGGCCAGTTGGAAAGGCAACCATCTCTAAACTGAAAATGGTAAGTAAAAATATTTTTTTTTTTTGGACAGTCATAAATGGCTCAAATTGATCAATTGATCAAGATGGGCCGCTTACCACCGTCCGGCACTTTTTTTTATACGAAAACAAGAAAAAAGATCAGGCCTAAAATTTACAGAACTAAAACGGGCAATTTATAAAAGAGGAGCTGGCGGGTGAAGGAATCGATGGTGAACGCGGAGAAAATCACGGCGCAGCAGTCGAAGAATGTGAGTGATGATGGATGTTAGGACGAAAATCGTCATCATGAGGGCGGTGATCGTGGCAAGGAACCAAATGTCCGGTTTAAGTAAAACCTTCCTCTCGTCGAGGAGGATTTCTACCAAAACTTTTTGGAAATTCGGATCCGAGTCAAAATCCGATGGCAACGCATCGTCGCGTATGCAACTCGCCATTCTAAATATGTAAAATGATTAATTCTTTCCCTTTGACTTTCTTCTAATTTCGTTAACGTTCGTCAGTAGTACAAAAAACAATCGTCATTCTTATACAGTCTACATTCTTATACAGTCGACATTCAATTTACCCCGCCAAGTTCACCGCTTATAGAGCTATGCAATATAAATGGTCAAAATGACGGGGGAAACAAACTTCCTAAAGGCGGGCTTCTTCTCGGTTGGTAGGAGTGGCGGTCGGCTGCTGCTCAGCGGCTAAAATAACACTAAGTTGCCATATAAATTGAACTTTATTCACCTTTGAAAGCCTTTCTGATTCGTCGCCAACAGTTCTTCAGTTTGAGTTTGATGCTTTCAGCTCGCAGCTTGCCGAGAAAAGCCAACACATAAAGGGCTAAGACAGTGCCGGCGAAGGATGAGCCAAGGTTGACGCCAACGTCTGAAGCTCTTTAAACTTTCTATCAGTAAAACGCTGATCACCTTGAACCCATGTAATGCCTGGTTCACCTTGAACCCATGGATTGCCTGGTTCACCGGGCTTGTACTTGTCCATCACGAAACCCGCGTTTGGATGTGGGTCATGGGCGGGCGCTGCAGTGGCTGAGGCCGTCTCGGTTGTCGTTGTTGGCGGCGTGATGGTCGGATCGCTGCCTGGAAGTCGGAAATAGCCAAATTTCAACATTCTAATTAGTAAAATAAAGAAGTAAATTTGATAAGAGCTGAAAGATTGAGTTAACAATCATTCAGATATAATTTTTCCGTGTGACTTTCTTCTTATTCCGTTTACATTCGTCAGTAATACAAAAACTTTCGTCAGTCAAATACAGTCGACATTCAATTTACCCCGCCAAGTTCACCGCTTATAGAGCTTTGCTCTTTAAATGGTCAAAATGACGGGGACAACAAACTTCCTAAAGGCGAGCTTCCTCTCGGTTCTGCTCAGCGACTTAAATTCAACTTAGTTTCAATACAAATTGGATATTATTTACATTTGAAAATCCTCTTGAATTGTCTCCAGATGATCTTCATTTTGAGTTTGATGCTTCCCGCTCGTTCGTAGATAAAAGCCAATGCATGAAGGGCTAAGATTGCGAGGTAGAAGGATGGTGGAAGGAGTATACTGTCTAAAACTTTTTTTTTAATTGATGTCAGTCAAACAGTGATCACCGTTTCGCCCTGGATTATATCCGGGCATATAAACGATCATCTCGACTCCCGCGTTTGGATGTAATTCATCGGCGTGCGCTGCATCTGAGCCCGTCTCGATTGTCGTTGTTGTCGGCGGATCGCGGCCTGGAAGTCGGAAAGAGCCAAATTTCAACATTCTAATAAAAATAATAAGTTAGAGAAGTAAATTTGATTAGAGCTGAAAAATTGGGTGAACAATCGTTCATCTCTAACCAAACTTGATTTTTTTTAATAGGCAGAATTACAGAAAAAAATCATAATCAATTACAGTTCCTTATTATACGAAGCAGTTGTTGTTGCTACTGTAGTTGTCGGGTTTTTTCTCTCATTTGGTCCAATACGAAATCTCTCATTCCGGGGAAGAAAGAGGAGAAGAAAAATTTTTGATATTTTCATTTTTTTGTTATGACACTTCTGGCAATGAACCCATGAGCGAGCTAGGATAGGGCGCCCTCCGGCGCGCTCGCGAACGAAAACGGAAAAAAGCGCGAAGATAAAAATAGAAACTGCGAGTCATCAAGAAACAGAGTGATGGAGTCAGCTTTTCGAGACCTGATTGAGACTGCAAACTACTACAACGATCGAGATGACGAAATCGCTGATAAGGACAAACGAATAAGAATCAAAACCCTGATCGACTTGGTTATCCACGAAGAAGACGCCTTCAAGTTATCGGAGATGATGGGTAAATTATCATGCATCATAGATATAAAATTTCTTTAGAAGCTGAACCAAAAACCAATCCTGCCATTGAAGAAATCTTACAAGTCATCGGAAGCTGCCTTGAGAACAAGTTTAACCTAGGTTTGACAGATTATCTGCGCATAAATTATCCTTTTTTTCAAGATGAATACGAAATCATAGATGAGATCTACGAAAATTGATACTGTTTTTTCAAGTTTATTCAATAAAATTCAGACATAGAGTTCTTGTTCGGTTCTTCTTTTGGTCGATTTTGAGCATGACAGAATAAATGTAAGCAGAGAAATATATACAAAGTATCCAACAAGGTAGGCGCAGAAAGTCTTGTGGCTCGCAGACCAGGTAGTTACACTAAAAAATATATTAGTTAATGCAAAGAAAACTAAACAAATACTCTGTGATGTTTGCGGACATCTTTTTTGAAAACATAAAGAATTTACCTCGCTTATATACAGATCGAAATTGCCTTAGGCCTGGTTACAGAATTCCAGAAATTCGTCGAAGCAGCTGACATTTCCAAGCTCTTGCTCAATAGACCTTTCTTCTTTTATTTTTTCCTCCTTTTCGAGGGTGGAAAGAAACTGAGTGACATCTGCGTCGCTCAGATAATCTAATCCGCTGTCGCTGAATTTGTCTAGTGTTTTCTGCATCAGCTCGTCGACTTGCTCTGTCATCGATTTTTTAGCCGGGAGAATGTCGGTGGATTCAGAATTCTTTCTTTTTCGAGACTAAAATATCTTTAGTTTCATTTGAACTCAGAGATAATCTTACTTTAGTTGAAGGTTCGCCATTGATGATTGGCACAGCGTTGATGAGTGATGCTAGAATATGTTTTTAAAGAACATAATGAATCGCTTGTTCTTACATTTTGGTTGCTTTGGTTGCAGATTTTCAACCGAGTCGATAGTTGAATTCGCTAGGATATTTTTAGAAATGAATGTCTGGGAACGACCTACCATCGAAATCTAATCGATTGCGAATTTGCACCGTCGACTCATCGCGTTTGATTTCTGGGTTTATCGGGGTCAGAGTTAAATTGGGAAGAGTTTCCCATGATTTCATCGGTGTAGATGTGGGCAGCATAAACCCTCTGATGTCCATCTGACGTAGCGAGTCATCATCATCGGATGAGATAATGATTGGAGAATCTGGCGAGTATGAAATCAACCTTTCGAGGGGTCGAATCGCGTCGGGCTCTTTTTCCAGAGCTTGAATAAACTCCTCTGAAAAAAAATTTTAAGCCATTATTCTTAAGGCTAGATGTACTTGTATATTCGAGAAACTGTTTGAGGTTCTCGGGGGCGACTTGCTCTCCAAGATTTTTGAATTTGCGGCTGTGGCGAGCCATTTCGCGGTGATGGAAAAAAATCTTTTGTTTAGCGATCGAAAGCTCTGTTTTTGCAAGTTCCATTCTCTATTTTGTAAATAATTTTGAGTGATGTGTTGAGCCTGCTGACCTTTATATGGGCTTTGCAGTTTATGCGCGAGTAACTTGAGAAACATCGCTCTGCAAATATTTCCGGTTCTAGTTGGATTAGATTGTATATTCCATCCGGGCATTTTTCTCACGGCTCGCTTTCAACTCAAGAATTATCCCTGAAAATTGTAGACCAAAGACACCGCGGGTAATCTTTTACTTCCTACAATGCCTTCGGTCTCCTACTGTGACAAATGCGACGCCCTCTTACGGAAGTAGATGCTCATTTATCCTGCAACTGCAACCCAAATAACAAGATTACAAAATGCTTCAATAGCTCTTACTGCTCTTTACAGGACACTCTTCCTGTCACTTCATCTTTAAGCTTGTTACTTATATAATGACCAATAAATGACATTTTTGAAAGTTTTTTATTACAGTGAGATTACAGAACTTCCTTTTCGACAGTGCCATGCTCATCGATCGTTATTTTAACTGAATGGCACGACCACATGACCAAAGTTTGAGCTTCCGTAGTTGGTTCTTTGAAATCAAGGACGAGATTCATCCAACCTTGAGTTTCTTCTGTTCCAGAAAACTCGTGAGCAAATATGGACGATTTCTTGAATTGCTCAAGGGATAAGGTGTTTGGTGAAGTCGACGAGACAAGCTTGTCCATGACATCCATCAGTCGAAAATATGGCCAAATCGGAAGTTGGTTAGTTATTCGCTAAAATAGAATTTTTAATAAAATTCAAAAAATTCTTTCTACCATTGGATATCCAAGGCAAGACTGTCCATTTAATGTGAGATTGATGTTTTGCAAGTCTTGATGGAATCCAAATGCTGTCGTTTCCTTATCAATAGCACCCTGGAAGGATTTCGTATTAGTAAGCCCGAAAAAAAGAACCGCGGGTGTATTCCCTCCTTTGATATTGTGGAGAGTCAGATTCCCAGTTTTCTCAGGAATGTCTCTAGTTGAAACGGTGATTTCTTGATATTTGTACGAGATAGGCTTTGATTTTATTCGTGTAAAATAGTTTCGGATCGACGGGCTCGATACATATTCACAAACAGCATAGCAATCCTTTATCTCAAGAGGCTTGCCCTTATGGGTGGCTTGTTCAGGGGTCGAACCGATGTAAACGGTAGAAAACTCTGATCGTAGACGGTTGAATTTAAGTTTCATTGTTGTGTTTAGTGGCAGAGGTTTATTATCCAAGCAAAATCCATTACTCGGAAAGAAAACAAGCTCATATACGTAGTGATCTCCGTCGCGAAAGCATTGCGGTCGACGAATCTGTTTGAGAACCTCTTTATCAGGTTGCGTCAAGTAGTCATAGACTTCATGATCATAATAACCCTCAATCTGATAAGCTGATGAGACGTAGTCGCGGTTAAAGTTTCCGAATTTTGTCATGTAATCAGCAAGAAAATATTCGCAGCTAAATAAGAATTAATTTCGTCAGTCTCTTTCACGACAGCCTTACGTTGTTTTTGAGCTCGAAATGAGTTGGGAATTAATTTCAACTTCCATGACTCCAAATTGCTTAGCGGCAAATCCATTACTTGGTATGTAATCTTCATGTAAAGATACAGACATATGAATCGCAATTTTATTTTTTAGGAGAAACAAATTCGGGTCACTTTCAAATTCAAAAGTAAGAATTTCCGAAGACTGAAGATCTTTCGGAAAATGTTTCTTTAAAATGCGTTGGTCGTAAGCTTCATCCATTTTTCTAAATAGAGAAATAAACTTAAAAACGTATTCACCAAATTTTGTTGAGCTCAGAAAAAAGAATTTCGTCATTAACAGAAAGTTTGCGAGAAAATTTAGAAAGTGTTGCAGAAAAAGAATGAGATTGACGGTACAGAATAAAGAAGCATGAGTACAGCCCGCAGAGAAAAGATTTGGTTGGCTGTATTTTACGAATTTTTCGAATGGGCTTGGATGAGAGATATGATTTGATACTGTCAGGATAATTTCTGAGGTTGAGACTGTCGTAAACTTCGATCAAATTTTCGTCTTCTCGGATAGCGAGCCAGTGTGTTCCTTTTTGAGTTGACTTATCTGTGTTTAAAACAAAAAATGAAGGAAAGGAAGAGCACTTAGGGATCTCGTCACTTGGAAAAGATCCGATAAAAGTTTCGACACGTTGAAGACGTTTCACAATGAGATACTCACTCATCGTCTTCTCCTTTTGGATCGCTTCCTTGATTTTTTCGAACCGCCTATTTTTCGTGGGTTCCTTTTTTTCTTTGTTGATTTCTTGATTCCGGTTGACATTTTTGGAGACCATTTTCGCTTTTTTTTTCCCTCACCACTTTGTTGAGAAGGACACCAGATTTTGCTTCTCGATTGAAGCGCTTTATTGATCTTCGCCATTCGATTCTCTGATAAGAATTTGGAGAAAAATATCAGAAAATTTAATTTGTCCTTTCTTCACTTTGACTTCGAAGTAAGTGGCACCGAGTTCATTTGTTCGCAGAGGAAAGAAGAGTACTTTATAGCCTGAGGACATTCTGAATCCTTTATTGCCAGTGAGTGTCATCAACAAAGTGTACGGGTTCGGACCAGGCATTGCTTTGACTCCGTTGTAGACAAGTTCTATGAGCGAATAATTGAGTTGCTCTGTTTCAACGGTTGCACATAAGGAAGTGACCGCTATTTCATAGTTCTTGTTTTCATCTAACACGATATCCGGAAGTTTTATCTTCGGTTCAATTGCGTAAAGACTCAAAATCATCAGCGATCTTGTTTAATTCGTAATAGTACTTGATTCCTTCTTGTCGATTTCCTTCCAAGTCGGCAATTTTATACCAGACAACTCCTGCTATTTGCCTCACGTCAATTATTTTGTAAAGATCTGATGACCAGTTTTGTTTGTAACCTTTATCGAAAATCTCTTTGTTGATTTTAATTCTGACAATATTTCCGATTTTAAGTCTCGGAGCTGCAACGTCGTCGATGTCCGGATAAAGACTGGCGAAAACTTCCTTGCGGTTTGACTCGTTAACATCCTCAGGCGCCATTTTTATCGACGAATGGGGCGTTGAATTGTATCCCTTGATGATTTTTTTCAGGTAATCTATCCATCGTTTCGTCTTGTTTTTCCTCAGACATTTTTCAATTCGCCCCTTTATTGTCCGAATGGCACGCTCAGCAATGGATGCTTTTAGTTTTGTTTTGATACTATAATGATGTATTCCGTATCGCTCCAAGATCGACTTGACCTTGTCATTGTAAAATTCTTTTCCTTCGTCAGTTATCAAAGAGTTTGGCCAAGTGTCGAAATCTTGAAATATATCATTTAGACAGTTTGCGGTGGTAGTTTTTTCTTTATTTTTCATCGGTCTTGCCCAGATATATTTTGTGAAACAGTCGATGACCAATAGAATGAAGGAATTACCTCCGTTATTAAAGGAGTCCTTCTGATATTCAATAAGATCAGCCATAAAAATCTGCTTGGGATATTTGACAATAATTCTCCGCCGAGGAAATTTCTTTTTGACGATGCGTCTATGAGTACTGTGTATTTTATTCTGACGAAGAAAATCCGCTATTTTCGCTGTAAAAGCTGGAGGATTTTCGACGTTTTCGTACAATTCTTTCACCGTCAGAGTCTGACTCTTCTGAAGTGGAGGAGTCGGTTTCTGAGGAAGAACTTTCGTATTTTCTACGTTTTTTTGACTTTCTTTTTGTTCGACGTTTTTTCTTCCTTGATTTCGAGATTCTTTTTGTTCTCTTTCTTTGTTTTTCGATCGGTTCTTCAGCCGAGCTGCTCGAGTCATCGGTAAAGCTGTCGATTTCTTCCGAGGGTTCTCTCTTGCGAGATTTTTCTTGGCAATTTTGTTTGATCTGGTCTTCATTTTTAAGTTCGCTTCAAATTTACGCGATTTCTCTTCAATTTCGAAAAATCGCGAAAAATCAGTTTCGTTAACAACGTAACCTTTCATTCCGTCGACTGAGAAAACAACTGGATACTCGCTAAATATATCGGTATAAAACCGATAGCTCGAGGCAAAAGCTCGTGGAGACTGGTCGATTAAAAAGTACGGATATTGTTCATATTGGGTGTCAGATTCTGCCGCAGCAAGCGCTTTAGAAAGACCAAGTTGCTGGCAGACACGTTTGTTGATTCTTGTGTCGACATAATTTCTCAGTAAAATCGTGATATTACACTGATTTCGTATATCACGGGTAAATTTACCAGATGTAAAATTATTCTGTGTCATTATCATCACGTTCAGCATATGTTTTCCGCTAGTGACTCTGAAGAGATGATCCACAGCGGTACTTTCAACTGCTCCATCGTAATTATCATCAATAACAATTGTCGTATCTTCATCCATATCCTCGATATCTTCCTGAGAAGGAATGCCAATTCGATAAGACACTGGGATCTTTAAAGTGTTCTCCCAATTCACGGGACGCTGCTTTATAAAACATGGATAGTAATAGATGACTCGCTTTGCTTTTCGTTCAAATAAATCGGTTCTCTCAAGAATTTTTCCGGCAAGATACGTCTTTCCGCTTCCGGATGCGCCACTTAGCAAAATTCTGTATGGATAAGCGAATTTTGTTTTTGGGATTATGTCTCCATTTACAGACAAACTCATTTTTGTTATAATTTTAGAGAACTCACTTGAATTTATACTTTTTAAAAATGACCTAAGGCATTTTTTGAAATTCGTTTATCTTGAAATATATCATTTAGACAGTTTGCGGTGGTAGTTTTTTCTTTATTTTTCATCGGTCTTGCCCAGATATATTTTGTGAAACAGTCGATGACCAATAGAATGAAGGAATTACCTCCGTTATTAAAGGAGTCCTTCTGATATTCAATAAGATCAGCCATAAAAATCTGCTTGGGATATTTGACAATAATTCTCCGCCGAGGAAATTTCTTTTGACGATGCGTCTATGAGTACTGTGTATTTTATTCTGACGAAGAAAATCCGCTATTTTCGCTGTAAAAGCTGGAGGATTTTCGACGTTTTCGTACAATTCTTTCACCGTCAGAGTCTGACTCTTCTGAAGTGGAGGAGTCGGTTTCTGAGGAAGAACTTTCGTATTTTCTACGTTTTTGACTTTCTTTTTGTTCGACGTTTTTCTTCCTTGATTTCGAGATTCTTTTTGTTCTCTTTCTTTGTTTTTCGATCGGTTCTTCAGCCGAGCTGCTCGAGTCATCGGTAAAGCTGTCGATTTCTTCCGAGGGTTCTCTCTTGCGAGATTTTTCTTGGCAATTTTGTTTGATCTGGTCTTCATTTTTTAAGTTCGCTTCAAATTTACGCGATTTCTCTTCAATTTCGAAAAATCGCGAAAAATCAGTTTCGTTAACAACGTAACCTTTCATTCCGTCGACTGAGAAAACAACTGGATACTCGCTAAATATATCGGTATAAAACCGATAGCTCGAGGCAAAAGCTCGTGGAGACTGGTCGATTAAAAAGTACGGATATTGTTCATATTGGGTGTCAGATTCTGCCGCAGCAAGCGCTTTAGAAAGACCAAGTTGCTGGCAGACACGTTTGTTGATTCTTGTGTCGACATAATTTCTCAGTAAAATCGTGATATTACACTGATTTCGTATATCACGGGTAAATTTACCAGATGTAAAATTATTCTGTGTCATTATCATCACGTTCAGCATATGTTTTCCGCTAGTGACTCTGAAGAGATGATCCACAGCGGTACTTTCAACTGCTCCATCGTAATTATCATCAATAACAATTGTCGTATCTTCATCCATATCCTCGATATCTTCCTGAGAAGGAATGCCAATTCGATAAGACACTGGGATCTTTAAAGTGTTCTCCCAATTCACGGGACGCTGCTTTATAAAACATGGATAGTAATAGATGACTCGCTTTGCTTTTCGTTCAAATAAATCGGTTCTCTCAAGAATTTTTCCGGCAAGATACGTCTTTCCGCTTCCGGATGCGCCACTTAGCAAAATTCTGTATGGATAAGCGAATTTTGTTTTTGGGATTATGTCTCCATTTACAGACAAACTCATTTTTGTTATAATTTTAGAGAACTCACTTGAATTTATACTTTTTAAAAATGACCTAAGGCATTTTTTTTTTGAAATTCGTTTATTAAATCCCTGATTTGCAGTGGGTTTCAGCGAAGTTAAGCATCATTTTAAGAACAGTATATCGTCAATAATTTTTGAATAAATTGTCTTCGTTTGATGATATCGGTATCGTTTCTTGTGATGATTACGCCTTCATTTTATGATTTCCTCATTTTGTGAAGAGTGATCCCCGCCGCCAAGCTAAGTAAGAGCACGTGACCAAAAGATGTCGCTAATACGTTCTCGGTATGAGCTCACGTGTCCTACTTAGAAACTAGGCAACCTCAGCGTGAAGTCAGCACGTGGCTCCCTCTTTTGGATCAGTTCAGCTTAAAACGCTGGCAACAAGAATGTCCATCACCAACTTTTGAAATGAATCAAAATATATTTGAATTTTTTCTTTTTCCAAATCCTTAAAATGAGTCAATAGGGACTTACAGTGATCGACGAATACTAGCAGTTTTTGTGAAATAATGCGATAAAATGACAACCAGAGAAGATAAAAATACTGCAAAGAAAACGGCCTTTTTATAAAATGCTGCCTGATATTTATTAATTGTCATTGTCATTGGCTTTAATAAAACGAAAAGAGAATTGAGTTGGTAGTTTATTTTTTGACAGTTGATTGGCACAATGGACAGTTATTTTTTTGTTCGAGCCATCTTTTTATACAGGAAAGGTGAAATTCATGTTGGCAGGAGGGGATCGTCCCAATAAGAGTGTTTTCCATTTTCTCCAAGCAGATTGGACAGGGATCGGTATGTCTTGCGATACTTTGTGACAGAGCGGCGCAGCGCTGCTCAACTTCTTCAGAAGGAGCGCGTCTTGGCCAAATTAACGGAGGAACGATTCGCCCGTCTGGGGTGATGTAGATTCCAGAACGTCGTCTCGGATCTCCTGGTGAAGGAAAAGTTGACGCAATGAATTGATCTTTTCCAAATACAAAGTTCCGCTCGACAAACTCGCTTCCACATCTGATGCAACAATATGGACGGCAGATAAAATTGCTGTCGGACCCGCATGCAATACATGAATAAAGCGGCATTCTTAAAATTTCTAAGGGTGTATTTGGTTACTAGCAAGAAAGAGAAAATTGGTTATCAGAATATGACAGTAAGTAAGTAGAGAGAGTAAGAAAGTAGCTGGGAATCACCAGGAAAAGTCGCAAAGAAAGGCAAAAAGCATTACTGAAAAAGTTACTGAAAGAAACCAGCGAAGAGATGTCTGTTCTCTCTTATGTCCACACCATGGTAGCGGAATCGTATGTTGCAAGTAACACATTTTTTCTTCAGCGTTTTTGTTTTCTCCACGCAAGATGCGCAATAGTAATGGCGGCATGGCATCTATTAAAGGGTTAATCATAAGCGTATTTTTTTGACGAACAGGTAATAGTCAAAGAAGGCAAAATGACTCTATTTTTAATATAAGAAGAAAACATAGTTATCATTTCGCCGTCTTTGAAAATCACAGCTTCAATTTTATCTCTCATAGTATGAATAACCCTACCTCTAAAGTCGGACCTTTCTCGAGACAAATAAGACAGGTATTTTTCTCTTCGTCGGTTATTTCCTGTTCTCGAGCCATTCGCAAATCGGCTTTCCGAATAATTGAGCCGGAAGGTTCAGCCCAATGATATTCTAATGGTCCCCAGTCGCGAAAAGCTCTGTGAAAATCGCGTATGTAGACTTTTTTCCTTGTAACGAGAGCATGTTTTAGAAGTTGCTCCCATTCCAAAGGGGAGAAGGGTCGATAGAAGTGATCTCCACACTTGTCGCAGCAATCTTCAACATCGAGAATGGGACCTTCCGCGGGGAATCTTTTTGAAAGAAGTCGAGTCTCTGTATCGCAAGCCATGCAGTAGATATGAGCATGGCGAGTTGTCACAACATATTTTTCTTTAAGAGCCATTTTTTTCGAACTGATATTTTTTTGACAGTGAGAGTACTTATATATCTTCAGCGAGGTTCTCAAGCGTAAATTTTTATAGAGCAGAACATCCGACCTAATTCTACAACCTTAATCCAATTTCTTGTCAAGAGATAAAAACGACCAGCCAGTCTGTCTTCCGGAAGTGCGGTAATCCTACTGATAAGCCGAAAGTGTGAAATTGATCAGTCAGTACTTCCGGTATAGTACTTCCGGTGACCTTTCCGGAAACATGGGCTTTTTTATTACTACTAAGGTTCAATTTTTGGCGGCTTTTTTGTTAAAAAATGACAAATTTCCGTCTCGAAAAAGCTCTTATTACAGATTTTCAGTCAAAAATTGGCAGTTTTTCGGAGATTTTTGAGCAACTTCGAGGATTTTCGAACCCTTTTCCTAACAATTACAGCCGTAACCAGCGAATAAATCGTCCAAATCACCAGAAATCGTTTAAAACCCGCGCTAATAGCCCAAATGACTGGAATTATCAGCATTCCAAGAAGAGTAGCGGCGTTATAACTTCTTTTGTGGCGCTTCTGCCAGACGAATAGAATAATTTGAGCGGCAAAAAGGGTTCCAAAAAGCACAAGCACCATTTTCGTATGCATATCTTCATGACCTTAGGAATTGTGTTTGGGTAAGATTGTCGATTTTGACAGGAAAAAAGCGTTTTCGATGCAACTTAAATGGTCTTGCTCCCTATTTTTGTGTCAAAAATACCTATGAAAAGTGATTTTTGACAGAAAAAATTAATTCTTATCATTTGAACATCTTTTGTTCGCTAATTTTCGCTCAATATAAAGGAATTTTCCCCTGAAAATCGCATTTTCGAGTGAAACTTGACAGAAAAGGTAAACTCCTTTGAAAAATTTGAATAATTATAACTAACCTTCATGTTCTTTCAAATATTTTTTCTGCTCTTCTATTCTTTTCATTCTTTCTTCTACCGTTTCTATTCCCATTTTCTTCAAATTTCTCTCTCTTCAATAAATAATTCGTCTTTTTCAAATTTTCCTTTTTCTCGCTGAAAAATGACTCATCGCGCGCTCCACCGCAGCTGGCACCGCTGAGTCATCGTTTTCTCAAGTGATTCACTTTTCGGAAAGAAAAAATTGTATTTTAACCCTATTCTAGAGTTCACGATTTCAACCAATGAGAAGTCAAAGAAACGGAATTGATTAAAAGTTAAAAATTAAGGGTAGGGTCCCCGTACAGGCCCAAAGCAGCGAGACTCTCCTCCGAACCTATCAATGCTGGGAAGGCGTGTAATGGCTCAAATGAAATTTCAATCTTAGATCTTCTGATTGACACGAGCTTTTTTTGAAATTCCAAGAGAAAATTCACGTGCGGTTCGCTCAAAGTTGTCGTCTCACCCAAAAATCGCGAAAATAGCCAATATTCAGGGCGACTCTCCTCCAAAGTGAGCAATGAAAACCCCCTCGACTCTTTTGTAGGGTAAAGTTTGGACCCTAATCTTAAAAATGACACGAGCTTTTTTCGATTGGTCAAAATTTTCAATGTTAAAAATTTTAAAGTACGAAGGTACCCATTTTCCGTCCCTCTGACTCCGTGAATTGCCTTGCGGGCATAGCCCAAAAGCCGCCGTTCTCATCTCAAATAGATGTCCTGAACGTGGGCTTTCCAAAATATGACACCCTAACATATGACACCCTAACATAACGACTAAAAATTGTAAAAATTTTAATTAATATTTCCGCCTTTTAGCCAAAATGCACTAATTTTCGCCATTTTCGATTGCAATTTGTGCGAAAATGGGTTGAGATAGAGATAATACTCATAGGGAGTTTTTTGCTCAGAATTTCATGGAGATTCAGAAAAAGTGGTCAAAAACCGATTCTGAGACTTGACCCTGTACGGGGACCCTACCCTTAAAGTCCGACAAAATTTTTGCGCTAATCAAAAACCAACATTCAGGCTGAATTATTCAGCCAATCTCTCAATCAGGGGTCTAAATTCGCAGTGCGAATTCGCATTATTGCGAAGCGATTGCGATAGCTTTTTGTTTGCACTTTCAATTTCCTTTAGCTTCTTCTGCTTTTGGCTAATTCCTGAAAATAAAATGTATAAAGTTTACTTCCAAAGAAAATGGTCCAAGGATCAAACAAAGAAAGCATCGAAAGAAAAGCCCTTTTTCGCCTCAATTTCTTTAATCTACCTGTTATTGCTAAAACTGGTAACAAGTTTCTTTCGAATGTGTAGGGCTTGATGATCTTGAGCATGCATCAATTTATGAATAACATCCTTCAAATCTACCCCAGCCGTCCATAAAAACCCTTTGACTCCGGAAATCACTGCTTTAATTAAAATCAATTTGAGCTTTAAGCTCTCATTTTCTTTTGAAAGGTCCAAAACAACTCCCGAAACTCATTCTCTCCTATTGTAGAATCTTTATAATCTAAAGAGTTTTTATCCTAGCAGGGTTCGAAATGTAGCAATATATTGCTGCTACATGCTACACGTGCTACATCCCTCAAAAAAAGTCCCTGCTACATGCTACATGTGCTACACCCCCCAAGATAAAGGAGCAAGCAGATGCGCACGCGGCTTGGCGAAAACAGAAAGGAATTGAGTTTCGCTTCGCAGAAGAGCAGCATCTCTTGGCGCAGAAAGATCAAAAGACCAAGTCTGAAGAGGCAAAACGGAAGAAAGCAGCGTAAGTCCACGATTTCTCAGTCTTTTTCACCGATTTTAAAGGACAAAAGCAGCGAATATCGCGCGTCAAGAAGCAAGAAGCCACCCAAAAGTGCACTTGGACCTTCGATCGGCCGAGGACAGATGCTCCAGCAAGCTCGCCAGAGAAACAACCCACTGGACAATTTGGCGTCCGGGAAGCTCCAGCTCCTGAGCTGAGAAAAAAACAGGAAGAACAAGCCTGGAATCTAGAAAATCACGTCCACAAGGAGCAGCGCAAGAAGGACAAATGAACTGAAAGACACGATCACTGTCATCAAGGGAAAAATTGAAGACGTCGAGCTTCCTAAAGGCATCGAAAAGGTTATTCCGAATAACTTATTCGTTATTATGCCATGCATTCGTAAATACATTTCTCTAGGTTGACGTCATCATCTCAGAGTGGATGGGCTACAGTCTCTTTTATGAGACAATGCCACAAACAGTTATCTACGCACGTGACAAATGGCTTGCAAAGGATGGGATTATCATGCCAGATAAGGCTTCTCTCTACTTCACCGCTCTTGGTAAGACAAACCATTTCTCCTTATATTATCATAACCTCGATTTCAGAGGATCGTAATTACAAAGATCAGAAAGTTGAATTCTGGAATAATGTCTACGGCTTTGACATGTCGATCATGAAAGATGTCGTCGTGCGAGAGCCACTGGTTGACACGTGCGATCCCGCGCAGTTGGTTTGCAAGCGGTCCACTGCCAAAGTCATTGATCTTTAGAAGGTTTGTTTGTTTTTAGGAATACTTCGTTCAAAAAATTGTGGATCAAGCAAGAGGACTTGAAGTTTGAAGCAGAATTCACCCTGACAGCCATGGAAATGACTACATTCACGGCTTGATCGTTAACCAGAACTGACAACCTTTTAGTGAAAATTTTACTCATGAACCGATTACCACTGCCTAAAGATCCTTCAGTTGATCCCCTCTTAGATTTAACCCTTATTGATCTGTCCTATTCTAAGTTCCTGAAATTTAATTTTGGAAAACGTCCGCTGAAAAGCGTTGAGTACTGTAAATATTTTACCTTCAAAATATTGAATTAAGAATAGTCGCTGCTACTGATAATGGCAAGAAAGTCTTTCGACAGGTCGAGTACTATTTCGGCGACCTGAATCTCCAGCGAGATAGATTTCTCATGGACGAAATGAAAAAGGACGAAGGCTGGATTTCACTTGATACCATGATGAAGGTGTGCAGCTATCTCTATCCGAAACGCTTTTCTTTTTTTTAGTTCAAAAGGTTAACCAAAATCGTTGACAACAAGAAGGAAGGTGTCACCGCCGCTCTCGAATAGATCAGAACTGATTTGATTGAGGTTTCTGAATATAAAACCAAGATCCGACGAGTCACCAGCAAACCCATCCCAGTCTACGATGATAACGACAAACGACTTCAGAAAAATTTCGGATCTTGATTTCTACGTGAATAAACCTTCAGATGTTCCAACAAGTATCTTCTCAAAAATGTAGAAGATGCTCTGGCCGGAGCCTTAAAAACGTCTCTCAACTCGTAAGGTCCCTGAGGAAATCTTCTGCCACGTCTTCAACCGTCCTCAATTGTCACCCACCGACCCAGTCGCATCCCTCGATCGCCTTGACAACTGGCTAATCGACCCCTACCAAAGCATTCTTTACACCTTGTGAATCACAAGTCTTAAAACGTTTACGAAACTTTTAACTGTATAAAACTCTGTATCTTGTGCAATATGTCAACTTCTACGTTTGAACCCTTTTTGGACATCGGGATTCTTAGAAAATATAAATACAACTCATATTCTTGAAAATATATGGAAACAGATTTCTTCGACGAAATTTGCTTCTCATTTTTTCTATGAAACCAAAAAGTTTTTCGATCTCTTTGAAAGCATGAGCATATTTTTCTCACCATGGTATCCGCATTAATATTTCATAATCATTGTGCAAGGACTCGTTATCAATTGTCAAAAATCGAATACTCAGAAGCGATATGCACAAACTTCCGCAGGTGCTTGAGATGCATAAGTAAATATCTTTTTCTCACTTAAATTTTCCGGATCTTCATGGCAGTTCGGAATCCAAACCGTCTCTGAAGATAAAGAATCATGTTACATGTATCCTAATAATAAAATCTAATTATAAAATCTGTTTCGGTAAGAATTAAAATGTTTCAATCTGCACACGGAATTCGAAAAAATGTAAATCGCAGTGAATAGTCAAGAATCGTGATACTGAGTCAGTAAAATATTTATCTAAAGCCGGAAAATTCCTTTCCGGAAAATTGATTTTTCTGTTGCTGCGCGAAGCGACCAAATCCACCCAAACCACGTCCGAAGCCGCCTCCGAAGTCACCGCCAGAATTGTTGCCAGAACCAAATGAGCTGCTTTGTTGGTTGCTAGTACCAAAAGCGGATGAGCCGAAAGCTGAGCCACCGAATGCAGTGGGGCCAAAGCCACTTCCGCCGCTGCTACCGAAGGCGCTGCCTCCAAATCCGCCACTTGAACCTAAATAAACTTCGTTTCTGATGTCTATTTAAAACTTTGATACCTCCACCTGAACCGGAGAAAGGAATAGTTGCCCCGCTTCCTCCAGAAAAAGGACCAGAAGATGATTGTTGATGACTAGAATTCGAGAAGTTCGAATTCTTACAAGTTTAAGTTTAAAAAAATCGATATCTGAATAACATACATTTGCTGACATTGAGTCCAAGGTGGCATTGGGAGCCAGTGGATTCTCGGCCAACTGAAGAGAGGCTGTTCTCGTTCGGCGCGTTTTCACTTGACCAATTTCAGGCGGCTCTTCGTCGTTCTATATTATTTTACCATATTTTTTAAAATTGTTATTCAAACCCCGATATATCGCGCGCCCTCTTCCCAATTTTCGTTGCTGTGTCCGTGACTCATGATTAAGTGCTAATATAGTTTGGAATTTTTTCACAATCCTTATCTTTTAGGAAAGCCTTAGTTTGTATAAAGGGAGTTAAGCTCTGCAAGTTTTGTAAAGATTTATCTAAAATAGGGGACTGCCTTAATCGTCGTTAAAGCGTTGCATCGGCTGCCTTAATCGTCGTTAAAACGTTGCATCGGACTGCTTTAGTCGTCGCTAAAACGATGCATGGGCTGCCTTAGTCGCCGTCTGACTCATCTTGCCTTTTTCAATTTCAAGATAGGTAGGGGCGCGCCAACCAGCGCTTTCAGAGTGTTTCTAGACTTTCCAGATTCTCCCAAGACGACGATTAAGGCAGCCCAATGCAACGTTTTAACGACGACGATTAAGGCAGCCGATGCAACGTTTTAACGACGATTAAGGCAGTCTCCTATTTTATGATACTTGAAGAGCAGACCAAAAGAATGATTTTGAAGGATGAACAAATTAGAGGATTTTGAAGGATAAAAAAAACTGTATACAGAATTCGGCAGAATCGCTCAAGCTTCGGAATTCTAGAATATAAGCTACGATTACAGAGAATGGCAGACTCGAACTCTTGCGGAGGAAAATATGATTGAAGAACTCGCAAGTTGAAAAGTAAAATCAGTTTATTTTAATTACAGTTTGTTTCCAAATTTCCGGACTAATTTTGTCCCCAGATTTCTGAAAAATGTCCGGAAATTCGGGTCACCTGAAAAAATGCATGTCCTACCAACGATCCTTAAAATTTTTCAAAATAAGGTGAGTTCCTCGTATAGGACTCGTCTTTACGCAAAAACAGACGAGAACAAAGTGGGTAGGATAGGAGAACTCAAGGATAAGCACAAGAAAGTCAATATAGGACAAAATAAATCCAATTTAGACAAAAGTGTAAAATTTTTCCAATCAAGTTTATTTTGCCATAAATGAATTCAGCGTGTTCGAAAACCCCGGAAAACCTTTATTTCCGTCTTCCGGTACCAAAAAGTGATAAGCGCGGCGCTTCAAAGTGCCGAAATCGGAAATTTTCGAAGTTTAGTTTTGGGAAGAAGTAGAGTAGATATCAAAATTCTAATTTAACAGAGTTTTAGATAATCGTTTGAACCGCCAGGCAAACGTTTAAAAATATAAAATGTTTATGTTTAACTCCTTTTTCTAGCGCTCAAAGTTGACCTTATTTTTGTGAGCGCGCGCAACACTCATCTTCGCCGATCGACTCGCTCAAAATACTTGGATTTTCATGAGAATTAGTAGACATACGTAACTTTTTCTCCTCTTTTCAAATCAATTCGAATTTTTATTTAAGCTTATTTTGGGGAGAGTTACAGCGGTACATAGAAGCTCAAGTTCAAGCACGCTAAAAGGCATCAAATATTATCCATTTCATAATAAAACTAAGCTCATTAAAAAGCTCGTGTTTTTATGGAAGAAAAATTCATTGGGGCGCATAAAGACATTATCGAGACATAATGATAAAAATCGGTCTGTTTATCTGTTTGCGCGCAAAAACTCAGCGGGAATCCACCTCTCTTTAAACAGGGCCGGGCGCACCGGGGTGTCAACTAAAATCTCTCGATTATTCGCAAAGTCAATATTTCTGAGACAAATTTTTACATTCAGTTTTGTAGAGAATTAAACGGGCTTTTTAATGAGCTTAGTTTTATTGTGAAATGGATAATATTTGATGCACTTTAGTGTGCTTGAACTTGAGCTTCTATGTACCGCTGTAACTCTCCCCAAAATAAGCTTAAATAAAAATTCGAATTGATTTGAAAAGAGGAGAAAAAGTTACGTATGTCTACTAATTTTCATGAAAATCCAAGTCTTTTGAGCGAGTCGATCGGCGAAGATGAGTGTTGCGTGCGCTCACAAAAATAAGGTCAACTTTGAGCGCTAGAAAAAGGAGTTAAACGTAAACATTTTATAATTTTGAAACGTTTGCCCGGCGGTTCAAACGAAATTAGAATTTTGATATCTATTCTACTTCTTCCCAAAACTAAGGAACACTCCACTTTGTGTCGCGGTCAAAACTTCGCACCTGGAAAACACGAGCAGGATGAGCCATTGAGTAAATATGATCACATGGCACATTGAGCCCACGCACGGACCAAAATCGTGATAACCGGGGTTAAGAGTATTTTAGAGTAAATTAGGCAAGATTTGACCAATTTATATTTTTGGCGTTTTGAGGCTTATACGCCGCTGAGCTTGATCTTGGACTGAATGTGCCCTGTACTCATACTTACTCAATGGCTCACACATCTCGTGCCGAGAGAGCAGTCTCTGCAGGAGTTAGCACATGTCGTCGAACTCTTGCATCCTATTTGCTCGGCTGGAGATCCTACCCGTACTTTCCAGGTGCGAAGTTATGACCCCGACACAAAGTGGACAGCCCCAAAACTAAACGTCGAAAATTTCCGATTTCGGCACTTTGAAGCTCCGCGCTTATCACTTTTCGGTACCGGAAGACGGAAATAAAGGTTTTTCCGGGGTTTTCGAACACGCTTAATTCATTTATGGCAAATAAACTTGATTGGAAAAATTTTACACTTTTGTCTAAATTGGATTTAATTTGTCCATATTCAACCTTTGGTTCCATTTTTAGAAGAAAATATATGAATAACAGTCAAAATTTTTCTGAATTTAAAAAAGTCCGGAAATTTAGGTCATCGTCAACTTGGCAGTGTCTCACTCAAACCCCTTAAAATCTGAAAAGTGTCCGGAAATTTTGACTCCGGAAATTGGGCAACAAACTGTAATCGATGTTTCGATTATTCCTAAATTAATGACACGAATCGCACCGTGCTAAAAATAAGCTAGCGGTGGATTTACTTCTTATTTGTCATTTGAAAAAACTTTTGCGAGCTCGAGACCTTCACAAAGCTGATGATTTGGGATTTCACGCCAGCGCCCATTTCATCAAACTTATATTCCCCGGTGGACTTTTTAAAAAATTAAAAATTCGGGCTGACACTGACAATGTCGCCGAATGTCGCTGAATTTCACTGAATGTTGCCGAATGTCGCCGAAAAAACACCATGTTCTAGAACTTAGATTCTTGGTCATAATATCGTTTTCCTTAAAAAGATACTGCTCCGATCGGTAAAATTACATTTTTAATAAGCATAAAACTAGCCATAAGAAACCTCAACTAATCATCCCTCAAGAAACCCACGTGCTCTTCGCACCTGGATAGTAGGAAACTCAAAGAGTGAGTATGCCAATTTTTGCGTTTCCGTCACTTCATAGAACAAATTTATTTTGATAACAAACCATTTTTTAAATTTGAGGCTATTTTTAAGAAAATGGCGAAATTCGGCGACATTCGGCGACAAAGTCAGTGCGTCCCAAAATTCGAGCCGATTATGAACGATGAGAGCTACCCAGTTTCATTCAGATTCTTGGACAAGTCGGCAAAACGAGTAGATTACTTTATTGACGTCTGTCAAGACGAATAAGCTCTACGATTAGATTTTACAAGTCGAGTTAGCCTGCAATTAAAGGAGCCTACCGACGCCCATTATAAAGGTGTTGCTTTTCTGAAGAGCACTGGAGAGAACAATCATGAAAGCAACAGTGTTGATCTCTACGCCCAGAAAAAACGAACAGGCTTTGCGCTAAAGCAGTCAAAAGAGTTCTTCCTGAGCTGGGAAAACTCGACTGACGTACGAACTCAAACACTTTTCCTATTCAAATCAGGAACAAATTTCTAGAAGAAATCTTTGAATTTTTAAAAGGCGGATATCAGATAGGTTATCTTCAAAATCAGGAAAAACTCAAAGCTCTTTTTTGAGATCCCGCTTCAAATACTGCTCCTATTTTTTCTTTCACAAGAATTATCAATTGTCCCAAATTTTTATTCGACTTTTTCTGATAAAAAGTAATAAGGTATCTGGAGAGACCAACATGGGAGAAATGAAGGAAAAATCCGATGTTTGAGAAAATTAGCGTCAAAGACGACCCTAAGGATTCCGGCCAAACCCTCAGAAATTTCAAAAATTTTACTGATGGAAAAAATTGTTGAGATGAATATTTTGAGGCCAACGTGGAATAAATAAGGTTTCTATGTAGATATACATTGAAATAGCCGTTTTTCCGAACGTTTTTTTGTCAAAAATTTTAATTTTCAATGAAATTTTTGAAAAAATAAGAAAATTCGGAATTTTGAAGCTTTGATTACTCAGATCTGCTACATTTACAAACATCTCTTAATAAAATTATTTGTTTGTTTAAGTGCGAAAAAGATATTTGAAATTGTGAAAATCTCGACTTCTTGACCTAAAGTCAATTTTTTATTGATTTAATTTAATTTTTAGAAAGCAAAATTGCAAAGCTTTTTATGCGGACTTTGCCTACTTATGGCTATGGACCATAGCCTATGGTTTTTTCGATTTGCTTTCGATAATACTAGTCAAAAATGTATTACAGTCGTGTATTACAGTTTTGAGCGGAGTGGAGCGGTGAGTGGATGCCCAAAAAAATGGTTGAGCGACTGGAGTGGGTGAGCGGAGTGGATTTTGAGTGGATTTTGAGCGGATTTTTAGGGACGTTTGAGCGATTAAAAAATATTTTTGCATTTCATGCACCCTACAATTCACTCAAAAAAGAGTCCAGAGGCCGGGTTTTTTCATTCTCATATTTTTAGTCAATTTACAATTATATTCTCGGAAGCATTAACTAATGGAAGATATATTCTTAGCAACCTTGAAGTTCATGAGGTACTGAGGAACAAACAGGTTCGTTTCATTCTTAAACGCTTAGGTTAAACCCATTATAATGGGTGGTTGGGGGGAGGGTTTAGTTATCAAAAAGGTTGAAAGAGAGCAGAGGAACAAAAAAGGTTCGACCCCCACGAGCAGACAGAAACCGAAGTCATCTTTGCACGCCGTGAGCAAGCCTTTCCTTTTCTGAAAAAGGGGTTTTAAGAAAGAGGGGGGTTGAAAGAAAAAGAAAGAGGGTCGTTAAGAAGAGAGGTTGAAAAGGTCGGGCCCCCACGAGCAGACAGAAACCGAAGTCTTCTTTGCACGCCGTGAGCAAGCCTTTTATTTTTCGAGATAAAAGGGTTTTAGAGGGGGTCTGATCATCAATATCTTATGAAAAAGTTGGTCCTAAATTAAAGGTTGATCCTGAAATTATATCAGTGATTTATTCTCTTGATTATCCCCTGAGAGAATGTGATTCTTTATTTAAAAATAGACAAAACTCGGTCTCCAATCAGAATACGAGAGAAGGGGCGCTGAAGACAAAAATCCACTCCATCCGCTCAATATCCACTCCATCCACTCAAAATCCACTCCATCCACTCAAAATCCATTCCAAAGTAGATTTTACAGGTTGGAGTGGAGTGGAGCGAATGAGTGGATACTAAATATAGGCTGAGCGAGTGGAGTGAAGTGGATCCACTCCGCTCACGCTCCACTCCACTCCGCTCAAAATCCACTCCATCGCTCAGCAAAATTGGAACCCTGATTTCAGGAAGTATTAAATTTCCAATAATTAAGGCCATTTCGACCTCCGGATCCGTTTCACTCCAAGTCAACTTATTAGAGCCAGTCACTACTCATTTTGAATTGAAAATCATTTAAGGGACACGGGCGAGCAGCGCGGAGCTGAATTTCACGCGCTCGCCATCATTCTTGAAAATGAGATTTTTCAAAATTTCTTTTTGCAAATATCATCTATAACTATTCAGCTTTCTATTCCAGTTCTCAGTTTGTCTCTATCACCACTGACTGACGAGCTAGCGAGAAAAAGAGAGGCGCAATTTCAAAAGGCATCAAGTCCTTCAATCTTCATCCTATTTTCATTAAATTAGCACCATTGAAAAGCCCATTAAGGGATCACCCCCCGATTTTTCAAAACTTTGGCACCGGTCATTATTGCCTATGATTAGATTCCTCGTTTTCTGAGGATCATTTTGACATATGATTGTACCCCTTTAAATAAATGCATCCCCAAAATTTTGGCTCCCAAAGTTTGGGAAAATGCATATGAATTGTACTTAGCGTGAAAATCGCAATATTTTTCGAATTTTCATTGCCATCGAAATAAGACAAGCAAGGGGTCTTACGAAAGCTTAGAATGGGTAGATTACGAATATAATAACCGCACTAGAATTTTCGGCCAAGTTTTGGCGCTAGAGAGCATTTAAACAACCAAAAAACGGCAAAAATGGGTTCAAAAAGTTTTACAACTAGAATTTTTTTATTTACTTATCCAATCATGCTGATTCTGAGCAGATCATACCTATAGCGCTTAGCTGAAAATGTACTCATTGCGCAGGACGCGCTGATTTACCTAGGAACTTAGTGCGCGGCCGCACGGCGGGGCGCTCCGATTTAACTATTTTGGGCTTCTTTGACATGATTCCCGCTGGGCGCGCGCTAGGTTACCTTGTTTATCTGCTCTTTATCGTCAATAAGAACACTTTCAGCTTAGCGCTATACGTATGATCTGCTCAGAATTTAATGGGCTTTTCAATGGTGCTTATTTCATGAAATAATAATGAAGATTGAAGGACTTGATGCCTTTGGAAGTTGCGCGTCTCTTTTTCTCGCTTGCTCGTCAGTTAGTAATGATAGAGAGAAACTGAGAAGTGGAATACAAAGCTGAAGAGTTGTAGATGATATTTAAAAAATTTGAAAAATATCATTTTCAAGAATAATGTCGAGCGCGTCAAGTTCGGCTCCGCGCACCTCGACCGTGTCCCTTAAGGGGAGTATCACGGATTTTGGGCTAAAGGGGGTCGGAGATTTTCTCATATTTCTATATCAGCTTAGCTAACGCTAAAATTCCGATAGATATGACCAATATCTAGTGCCTTTTTTGGAATTTCAATTAACTCAATCGAGTATTGCAGAAGAGAGCCAAGAGTTAAACCCGTTTTTGAAAAATCGCGATTTTCGCCTCTCGGAGAATTAAAATTTTCTTAAGGAGGGGGTCGACGAGAAAAATTTTTCGCTTTTTCAAAATTTTGGTTATATTTTTGGATTCCTTAATAAAAAAGGAGCATTTTTGGCCTCCAGCTTTTTTGCATTTGTTAACTTTTTTAACAAAATTTACGATTTTGTGTTTGGAATTCGAGATTTTACAAAATTTAAAAGTTGGTTATTTCACCCAAAAACAATCTAAATCCGATTTTTATTGACTAGATATTGTTTTTAAATGGTTTAATTATTATTTTCAGTAAAAATTCCGAGTCTCGGCGCTTTTGGTGAAATTCTCCGTGAAAATGAGCAAAAATGACGATTTTTAGGAAAATCGCATATTTTTAGTCAACAGAAAAAATTTTTTAGTAAAAGCAGCCCGTTTTATATTGTCGCCGCTGTATTTTTAAGGGTTTCAACTTACTATTTATTTAATTTGACGAAGAAAAAAATCCCGTTTTCGAGATTTTTTGGTTACGAGTAACCCCACTTTGACCCAATTTTTGAAAATTTTTCCAAAAATAATTTTTCTAGTTTTCGCCGCTGTATTTTTCAAACACTTTTATTTCTACCTGAAAAGTCAGAATTTGCCTATCTAAGCAGGTTTTTCCGGATTTTTGGTTACAGAAATCCCGATTCTCGTCGACCTCCCCTTAAGAAAAATAAGTCTGATCATGGAATTCTCAGTGGATAAAGGTAGATCATCCCCTTATCTAATGTCGTTTTGGAGGAAATTTTGTTTGCCCAAAAATTCTTAACAAAATAATTTTTGAAGAAGTGGTTCCAACAATAAAGATTTTCATGAAATCAATCGTTAGTAAAAAGAGACGCTTGGGATATTTTTTTTCTATTTTCTTGTGAGAACAATCATCTCTGATTAAAAAATCATAAAAATGAAAATAAAGTCTACTATTCTGGACAAAAAAATTATCCAGAATGTCGCGGAAAAATTTCACTAGGTGCAGGTTAACAACTCATTTTTAGGGTATTTTTTCTGAATAATACGAAAAAATTTGAATATCTTTTTTGTTAGTCGAGGCGAAAGCTACAAGAATCTTGAGAGAGATTATTAAAAACCAACTTTCAAAAAAGCGTGATACCCCCTTTAGAGACGCGGTTGTACACTTTACGCTCCCAGATTAAGAAAAGGATTTTGAAAAAAATATGATTATTGGTTTAAATTCTCAATAATGATTATTATGACCGCTTTCCTCACCGTTTAATCAATTAAAAAAGCATAAAAAATTTTAAAGTTCATATTTCCAACCATTCCTTCTTCATATCATACTTATCCCTAAGCCGGCGCCGGCAATGAAGACATTCATGTCTTCGCACAGCATCATGGGCGATTTGGTGACGTGCCGCCTTCGTTTTTGTGGGGAATCGGCGCTCGCAATAAGAGCATCCGAAGCGCTCATTCTCATTCCCGATTCTCATCCCGAATCCGAGAGTCTCGTTGAGAGTCGTGTCCTGGAGCCTAAATATCATTATAAAAATTTAATTTCAAAAAATCAATAGAGTTAGAACTGGAATTTATAATGTGGATCAAAAATGAAAATGTTCAAAAATTATTTTTTCTTTATTGTGTAAATGTAACAATGAAATATTCTGATAGAACAGGTCCGAAACTTTGCGGAATGATTCTTATTTCATCAAAAAATATATCTACGCGTTCTATCAGCGTAATATTCTAATAAGATCTGAGGAAGGTTTTGGAAACATTTTGTTTCATGTTTCATACGTATTCATTGGTAAGTAAACATAAATGCGACGCAGTATTCCTTGTAGCACCGGATTTACAGGTGAAATCGGTCAATTGATAAATTTTCTACACTGCGTCACCTTACAATTATCACCCTATAAAGCTGGAATTGTTCTCACTAAAGACGAACACCTAATACAGACACGACCTAAAATACTGTACACCCAAAATAATGTACATTTTGGCGAAAATGCAAAACAAAAATTTTTCAAAGGATTTTTATTTCCCTGGTGCTATCACTTTTTCGTAAAGAAAGAAGTTCTTTGACAATTTCCATTATCGCTAAGTGTAATGGTAGAAAGATTAATCCTATGATTGACCTTTTAAGGGACCTGGCCGAGCAGCGCGCGCCCGAAATTCAGGCGGACGCAGTACCTGATAAAAATACGATATTTTAAAAAATTTTTTGGTAAAGATATCTACAGTCTCTCAGCTTTCTTCTAGTGTTTTTATTTTTCACTAGCATATATAAAAGACTCAAAAATTTAGAAAAAGAGCAATAAAACTTTAAATTGCATCAGTTTCTTTAGTACAGTTAATTATGAAATTTTTGGACATTTTTTGTCCCACGATTATCCCAAAAATGTCCAAAAATTTGATACACGCTGCCGAAAATGTCCCATCCAAATTGCTTAAAAAATTTTTTGAAGATAATCTCAATCATCATGTGTTTCCTCCTTCTTCCAAAGACAAAAGATATTCTAGGGGTACGAGATTAACCTCCAATCTTATCTTTCTCAAAGAAAAAGTAAGATTTTTGATAAGAAAAACGTCATATCTGACAAAAAAGCAGAAAATTAATAATTTTGGCGTAGAAAATGTCCAAAAATTTGATACAAGCACTTCTTAAAAGTGTCCCAAGAGAACCCCTTAAAATTACAAAAATGTCCGAAAATTTGATGTCCAAAAATTCCATAAAAAACTGTAACAACAATCAGATCACGAAAATTAGATCATTGAAAAGCCCATTCAATTCTCTACAAATCTTATAGACTTAGCATTTATGAATTGTTGTATTTTGGTTCGTGCGCGCTGATAAGTCCGGGAACGTAGCGCAGTCACAGCGTGAATCTCCCGCATTTGCACTATTTTGGCTCGATCGAGGCTCAAAATCGCACCACATGGGGGCAAAATCGAAGCAATATCGTTACTCTGAGTTCTCGGAAGCCAAACTTGGCGTTGATTTTGCCCCTTTTTGGGGCTTCTTTCGGCGCTCGTCCTCACCTGTTCTACAAACTGGGACTATGGGTTCAATGACTTAAGGGATCCTCCCCGGAATCGGCAACTTTCACTTGAAATAACTTTCGTTTGGCCTTATGGATTAATGTAATTCAAACTGCATATAGAAGTTTATATCTTCATTGCAATTCGCAAGTAGCTTTAGCTCATTTTGAAATGTCAAACATGCACTCAAGGGCTCTTGAAAAATTCGAATTTTTGAAAAACGCCTTTTAGGGGTATTTTCAACGCGAAATAACTTTTTATTGGGCTTTTGATTTGCTCTAAAAACAAGAGGTTCAAGAAGAATGGACGCTAAACTACAGTTGCAAGTAGCTTTAGCATGATTGATCAAGTTATAGAAATTTTTCCCATGAAAAACTTTTCAAGTCAATTTATGCCAATTTTCGGCATTAAATTGCTCTCTAGCGGAAAATAACGGCCGAAAAATTTTGTGCGGTCATTATATTCTAAATCGATACATTCTAAGCTTTCTATAGAACCCTTATTTGTCTATTTTCGATGACATTGAAAAGTCGAAAAAATTACGATTTTCACGCTAAGTACAATTTACATGCATTTTTGCAATTTTCGAAGGCCAAAATTTCGGTTTAGATGTTTGTTAGGGGCAGGGTGTCAAATCGCGGGGGAGCGAGAAGGGATCGCGCGAAAACGCTCACGCTCGATCCCACGAGCGAAGGGATCGCTCGGGCGCCTCTGTGAACGAGAAGGGATCGCGGCAAAAAGCAAGCCAAAGGCCGTGGGCTAGCGCCAGAGTTCATGCGCGAGATTTGCTACAACCGAGTTCGCGCCGCTTTTTAAAATCTTCGTTATTGTCTCAAATTTTATGAATTTTCCAGATCTAATGTAGTTTTTCTCCTCTTTTTTCTCAAACAACAAAATTTTATTCAAATTTATTTTTTGAATTTAAATGAATATTCAATTTGTAAGTTTGAATAGATAAAATTTTGAATAATTTGCCCGTAATGATAGTCACTCTCCCTTAATCTAATTTCAAAAAAAATAAGTCATATCATAGTAATAAGTTTCGCTTATTTTTCCAGCCGGAAAACTACTAAAAACACTAGCGCTTTATCCCCTCCCCGGGACACTCGAAAAGCCGTATAATCTCGGTGGGTGCACACTCTGACCTACTGTAGGTCTGTCGTCGAGTAACGACGACTGTAAATCTGGGTCACCTAAAAATAAACAGTTCTCGGAAGTGGTAAGCCATCTGTTTGCGACAAAAATATTGAATTTACGGTCAAGGATAACCTCTAGAAGTGACAGTTATTAGAGCTCACTTTTTGGGACTTAATCAGTTACAAGTCGTTAATTACTCCGAGACTCAAAATATTTTCTACGTATTCGGAATGAGCGGAAAATGTTCCATGTGGAGTCCATATTTCACTGAAATGGACTATATTGAAACATTTTGACAGTTTACAAAGTTCGCTTGTCCTCAGAAAATTTTGATCCCTTGCGCGAAGGGATATCCCACGCGCGAAGGGATCGGGGCGATCCCTTTGTTTTTGTGAGCGCTCCCTTCTCGTTGCCTCTCGCTGCTGGGCGATCCCTTTCACTCTGGGAGCGAAATGGCGCTGCGGCGCGCGATCCCTTTTCGTTCCCCGCGATTCGACACCCTGGTTAGGGGTACTATAATTTATAAAAATGATCCTCAGATAACGAGGAATCTAAATATGCGACAAAGAGACCCGTTATTAAGATTTGAAATTCCGGGGAGGACCCCTTAATGAAGTATTTATCCCTTTCTGGGCGCTCGAAAATTTCCAGCGCTATTTTTTCCTTTATATTGAAAATTGGTAAAAACCCAAAATAATGTTTATTTTCTCCAATTTCTTTTACAAAATTATGTTCAGTATTTTGGGTCGTGCCCGTAAGCACAAAATCCACAGTGAGATGCACACGCTTGCTCTATGTACAGCCAAGGTTCTAAATTTGACAAAATCTCAAGTCTAGTCTGTCCGTGTCCGGTTGGAAAAAATGGATTTTTCTCCGGTCTAGTCCCGGACATGTCAGTTCTAGTCATTTTTCGTCCGTAAAATCCGGACATATTTTTAAAAGTCTGGTCTAGTCTGGTCTTTGCCGTGAGTTTCCGTAAAATTTAATGGAAAAAACTGGAAAAAATTTAAATGGAAGTAAAGCTCGACAAGACCAAAAAAAATCTTTTAGAAATAAATTCGACAGACAATACATCAAAGAACTGAATTTTTCTCAAGCCAATTTTAGAAAATCAAAGGACTGGCCAGGGACAAGAGACTTAAATTTAATGAGCGACTGTTTTTCAGGAGAGGCTAGGCTTAGCCCAAAGAATTCATAAAATTGCTAGCTTAGCTCAGCATCAGCTGTTAAGGAGGTGTGGGGGTTTTCGGGAAATTGGCCATTTTCAAACAGCCCTCAGGCTCAGATGGGTAAGAAAAATTTTAAAAACTCTTCTTCTGCTTGTAGAATTGACCTTGAACTAGAGTTGAAAAATTTTTCAAAAAATTATCAAGGGATTTTGGCTTTAGAGAGCTCAACATCGAGTGACCACGGTGAAAATCCCAATTTTGCGTCATTTTTGAACGCGATTTTTTGATAAAAATATTTTTATTTTTAAAAACTGAGATGATGGAAAGAAACTTCCATCAATGTTCTAGGGTTGAATTAAAGGAATTAAATTTTAGGGAAAAAATGCTTATTTAAAAACTTCAATCGAAAATTGGGTTTCAAAATGTCATAAAAATGAAATTTTAAATTGCGCTAACTCGAAATACAGTAAGATGACTGAGTTACTGTAGTGATAAAAATACTCAGCGAGTCGTGAGCTCTCTAAAAATATAAAAATTATTCCATTTTTGAGACTTTGAAAAATATGATTTAACGAATTTTCAGAAAAATCCCGATTTTCAATCCCGTTTTTCACCATGTTTCGCTATCGTTGAGACAAAAACCTAGGGACCTTTTTGACGCTCTTGACGTGGGCTATGTGAAAATAGAAAGAAAAATTAGAAATTCGACTTTTTGCCCTACCGCCCCACACCTCCTTAAAAACCAGCTCTTCTCTGTCTTTTGATGATACATTTTCGAAATAGATCACTTCCAATTATTATTAGCTGCTTGAATCAAAGTAACAATCTTCGAAAAAGATTGTGGTTAACAAACGATTTCTTCTAGCTGAATTTACGAACAAGAAGGGCCTGTCTGTTTTTGCTGTTTTCCAAATCTTCATTTTTGAAGATCATCCAGGCTGAGCTTGATCATGATCTCTGGCTCAAGATGCCCCGACTTTATGTTTACTCAAGGAGTCACACCGAGACTTGCTCCAACTTTGGCCCAGGAGCAGTCTCTGCAGGAGTTCACACCGGCGGCGTGGTCCCTTGCATCTCTTTTACTTGGCTTGACACCTCGGAGGTGACATTCATACTCGGCGGGAGTTGGGCCAACCGAATCCGTTCTCCCCCAAAGAATACCTCTCAAGCTGAGCTTAGCTGTATGTAAATTTGCTAAACTGAGCTAAGCTTGCCTATTCTTGATGTCAGCGAGCTGAGCTGAGCTGCTCAGCCTGAGCAGACCCTTTTACAGCTGGTGTTATCCAAGCTGATCTTAGCTGGCTTTTTGAAGAAAATCTTGGTCTGAGCTGAGTTCTCTCAGAAATGATTGAGCTGAATGCCTGAGCGGGCTAGCCCAATCGCTGACTCCTCTACATCTTGAACTAGCCTTTTTCGAAGATTGCTGAGCTGAAAGATGGCTAATTTCGCTCCGCTCAATAAATTTGCAACACCAGTCCAAAATAAGGAATTCCAATTTATAAGCGGAATAAATAAAGTCCTAATGTTCTTATTTTAACCAATTTTCCTTGAGAATCGGTCCTCAAAGTTCCGGCTTCGCAACTTCAAAAGACTTATCAGTTAAAATTTATCATCGATATTATTTAGGGAAAAGTCAAAAATTTTGATAATATAAATTTTTAACCAAAAACCTGGTTCATTTCAACAAAGAATCACCTTGGGTTACGCTTTTAGGGAGACGGACGGTGCCGGTACCAAATTGGTACCCGGTACCAAAATTAGTACCCGGTACCAAAAATTTGGTACCCGGTACCAAAGTCAAGCCTTTCATCTGACTCATCAAAAAACTAATGTCCGCTCCGCGGCTGAAGTGTGAGGAAACCTCATTTATTGACCGAATACACCTTTTAAAACAATTTTGGCATGTTATCCTGAGATTTTTGGCACCGGGTACCAAAAATTTGGTACCGGGTACCAATTTTGGATTGGTACCGGCAACGTCCGTCCCCGCGCTTTTATGAAACAGATTCGAATCCGAATCGTGCTTAGGGTTCGCACGCAAATAAATTTCTTGATTTTCAAGTTTCTTTAAACTCGTTGATATGAAAATTTACAATAGTAATATTGCCATTTTGAAGAAGTTAAAATTCTTTAAAAATATAAAAAAGTTTTTTCAACCCTTTTTGCTAAAAATATTTAATTCGTCTTTAGGCACATTTCTAGTGAAGCGGCACTAACGAGTACTCGATATATTGTAGTAAATGCCGTAACGAACAATCTATGAAAGTTTGGTTAAAATCGGTTGGTACTCCTAGGCGCCGTGGCTCTTGAAAATATGAAGCCTGCAAGTCTTTGTTATTGTCTTGGAGGACCCCCTTGGAGGACTTCATCTGCTGGAAGACCAATATTATGAATATTCAATATATGGCCGTGCTCGGCCGGTATATGGCCACCCATGGTCAACTTTGGTCAAGTTCGGCCGGAGGACCCCGGAGGACCTCCTTGGTGGAAGACCATCAGCTGGAAGACCAATATTCAAAATTTTCAATATATGGCTGTGCTTGGCCAATATATTGCCACCTCTGGTCAACATTGGTCTAGTTCGGCCGGAGGACCCCGGAGGACCTCCCTGGTGGAAGACTATCAGCTGGAAAACCAAAATTATATAATGAAATCAAATGTCTTACTAGGCTAAGAATTGAAACTTTTGCAAAATTTGGTCACTTTTTGCCGAAGGACCCCGGACAACCCCTTTTGCCGCAAGACAATCTACTGGTAGACCAACATATAAATAAATAAAAATCAATCACCGTCAATTCAGTGATTGATCATTGGGCCACGCCGACCCCAAGGGGAGGCCACGCCCGTTCATTCTTTTCAATCATATTCAGGGCGAAGCCGACCCGAAGGGGAGACCACGGCCGTTCATTCTGCTCAATCAGAGTCAGGGCGAAGCCGACCCGAAGGGGAGACCACGGCCGTTCATTCTGTTCAATCAGAGTCAGGGCGAAGCCGACCCGAAGGGGAGGCCAAGCCCCGTTCCTTGATTTTTAATTTAAGGAGCTTGACGGCCCTTCGGGCCGTCTCAGCCCCGTTCCTTGATTTTTAATTTAAGGGGCTTGAGATCGGCGTTGGACTCTGAGGTGATCAATCTCAGTTATGTCCCCAACCCCACCCACACCCATTCAAGGTTTAAATACAAATTATTCAAGTTTTTCTTTTATTATGGTTTTTATTTAGTTTTTATTTGCGGATTTATCATCTTGCTTCGACTTTTTCGACTCGAAAAATCATTTTTGAGCTTTTAAAATGATAGTCTAAGTTTTCTCAGGCTTAATTTTGCAAAAATGAAAAATCGATTTTTCGACCCTATACCCTCAATTTTTCGAAAATTTTTTTGATTTTTTCTTGATTAGGACCTCAGAAATATGTCCACAAAATTTCATCACCCAGGTCAAGTGCAAAAAGTCCATTTTTCCACTGGCGCAACCCCACTGATAAGACTTTCAGGAGTGATAAAGAAGGGTTCCTGCGTTTTGATTAAGTTAATTTTTTAAGAATGGCCCATTTACGTTGATTTGATTTATCTGCGAAAATTTCAAAATCAGGGTCGAAAAAATTTTTCGAAAAAGTTACTTGAGCCAAGATCTTGGCGAGCGGCGGCACTTCAGCACACGAGCGCCACCCATCCATCGCGGCGCGGCGCGCACACCGGCGATTTTTCGCCATTTTCTCGACTCTAGAACTCGGGTTCTAGTAGAGATTTTTAAATTCTGATTTCAGATTTGAAATCAGTGGAATGAATAAGGGGGGGACTCTAAAAATGGTTATTTGTTAAGCATTTTAAAATTTTAAAATTATTTGGGTGCGAACCCTAATCGTGCTTTTTTACAGATTTTTCGAACTCTGTCCGCCATTAACAGACACGGATAAAGGTCTGGAGTTGTCAGGATTTCACGGACAAATACGGACAAGTACGGATTTTGTCCGGATCGTGACAAAAGTCCGGGCTAGTCTGTCAAAAAGTTGAGAAATACAATAACGAAAGATCGTTTTTTCGGGGCAAACTTTAGAGCTCTTTAAAAGATTTTTGACTTTGACGGATTATGAGAATTAAAAAATTGCGTCTAACCAATCGAGGAAATTTTCAAATAAGGAGGGGATCCGGCAAGTCAAATTTTGTCTACTTTTAAGGACATTGAAAAGTCGATAAAATTTGCAATATTTACGCTAAGTACAATTTACATGTATTTTCCCGATTTTGAAGTGCCGAAATTTTGGACATAGATGTTTTCTATGTGGTACTATAAATTATAGTCTTTAATTTGATGTATTCTAGTCTATAATACATATAAGATATTAATTTATAAAATTATGATCTAGGAAACACTAGGCGTCATAAGGCGGTTCATTCTGGAAACTCAAATGTAGCACCGTGAAGGGTTTGTCAATAAAAAGTGAAGATATAGTTGTCAAACCTACTGAAGACTACAGTAAGAAACTAAATATACAGATTTTTCCTCTTTTTAAGGGGTTTTTAAGGGGTTTTAGTGGGGCACTTTTAAAAGATAATGTTTCACTTTTGTGGACATTTGTTCAGCCGAGAAAATTTAAAAGGAAGAAATAGAGTGTTTTTTCAAAAATAAAGATGTTTTTGATAAGAAATCAATGGCTTATGCAGTTTATTTGACCAAAAATGGTAAAAGGGGCAGAAAAAGGCGTTTTGATGATGAAATTTTCCCATTTTTGAAGAAAATTTTATCGAAGAAAAATTTTAAGGCCCTACGGCGGGACAATTTTTTGAAGACTCTAGCCCACTTTTGTAGACATTTTTATGAAAATTTGCGACAAAAAATGTCCACAATAGAGGAAAATAACTGAACTCGATATTCGATGCAATTTTGAAACTGAAAAGCGGCGGAACTGCGGATTTTACAAAAATAATTCCAATTTTTTGTGAGCTGATTCTCAAAATTTTTCGAAATTTGACCAAAAACTCCCAAATTGCCCACTCCCAAATTGACCACCCCTACTGTAATATTAAATTTTAAATAAACAAATCGAATTGCAAATAAGTCGATTTTTAAAAATTACCTTGCCATCTCCGCGTCGGAGCAATCTCCTAGGTAGTTAACAGGCATTTCTCTATCTGAATAAAAATATAATTTAACCGTTATTTTCATAAAATTTTGTTACAGTCTGTCTTCGGATAAATTACAGTTTTCTCTCAATTTTTTCAAAATTTTGCGGCAGGCGGAAAACACCGGATTTCGAAGATTTCTATCGCGTGCGCGCGATCTAAAAATGAATCAGAAGCCTTTCGAAATTTTGTGACAGTCTTCCTTGATTTCCAATTTTGTCAAGTCGAAGAGCCTGTGTGCGCACCGAGCCTGTTTGGTAGTATACGTTTTGGAGTTATTTACGTATTTTTGAGCGAAAAATATTATTGAAAAATAATATTGAAAAAATTGGTAATAGATTACCAGTTTTTGGTTATTCATTACCAAAAATCTTTGTTAATTTAGACGAGCGTCCCCGTTCAGAACCGACCCAATCCAGAAACAACGACGGCACTGAAAATGTCACGAATGTCACGAAATTGACCTATTCATTAGTGACATCGTTAGTAAGAGCGGCCGAAAAATTTGAGTTTTGCGTGCAGTAAGAGTTGGGCCCCGCCAACACAATGAGTTATCTATCAAAAAATGCACGACGTTGCCCCTCGTGAAGCTACAGTCAAATTTAGCTAAAATTCCTTCTTGCCATTCCCTTTCCCTGTTTTGTCCATTCTTAACATTGCTGACAAACTCGACGTCAAGAATCTCAACAAGAAACTTAGGACTCACTTCGCTCAACTTCAAGCCAGAGACGACAAGGGTACTTTCCGAAATAACACCGCAATCTGCCTCGGGAAGATCTTCAAGTATCTGAACAAAGAAACTCGTCAGAAAGTTGCACTCTCCGCCTTCGCGAGAGCTCTGAAGGATCCTTCCCTCACGCTCGATCAGCTCGTTTAGAAGCAATCATGAAAAACGCAAAATTTTAAAGGCCACAAGAAATTGCTGAAAGAATACTTCCGGCTGTCTCACAGTCTTTATGTGACGCAGAAAAAATGGTTCCGAGATTTGAAGTTTTGGAAACTTTTGTGAAGAAACTGAAGATTATCTCGGATAACACGGAAAAAGCTGCTCAGTACTTGCCAAAAGAAGCGAGACAGGCGACGCCGAATAAAACTGCCGTGCTAATTGCTCTCGCTGGGGTCGCTTTGATTCTAGCGCTCGTTTCCCTGCTGCTCATTAGAAGGACAAAGTCGAAAGAAGCGAAGTTTTCAAAAACAGTTTGTCGGGCGCCGAATTTTTATGCAGCGAACAATATATTTCTTGAAAGCTTAAAAATTCCTTTTCAATGATACCCATTAGAATATCCCATTATATATATATTAACCCATTAGAATCTAGTATGGAAACCCCGATGGAATGGTTCAGTAACAGCCTCGTTTGCGGCTTCGCCAAAAATCCTTGTTCTTTTTGAACCAGATTTTGATAAACTTGACTTCTCGAATACTCAAGTGTTCAAAAAGGATTTTAAAAAGCTAACGATAAAGCCTTGATTGAGGACAAGGGCCCTTACGAACGGAAAATTGAAGAAAGCGACACTTCATTTATTTTACATGAGACAGAAAAAGCAGTCTAGCAATGGTCTTCCAAAGCAAAACCGATGTCAAAAATCTTCGAAGCCGGGGTCTTCCATTTCATCCATGTTCTCTTCGGAAGCTCATGAGTCATAGACTATTCTGAATTGATGGTTGTTCTATGCATCTGTATCGCTGGATTACGAGCATTCTCTGCATCTAACAGCAAGCAAATTTGCGTCAAATGGCCCTGGCTAGGAAAAAGTGTGGCCTTTTAGCAGTTTTTAAATTGATTTTTATGAAGTAGTGCATTTCTGAAGCGAAAAGGCAAATTTCAGAGTTTCACTTTTTATTTTTCATAAAAATTTTTCATTAAAAATTGCACAGTAAACAAGAAAGGTTCATTATCTTAGCCAGCTTCTGACAGTTTCTTCTGGAAATTCAACGTCATTTTCGCGGAAGAATTCGATATACTCTCTGATGTATGAGTTGATCATCTCGATTTCGTCTGAAAACAAATTCAACCCCATTGCCAATAAGATTAGTTAATTCATCAAGAGGTTCTTTTTGACTGTTTTGTCCAAAATAGATCGAGAAATCTTACCTGGTTTGTAGATTTCAAAGTCGAGTTCAACTTTTTTCTTTTAAATTTGTCCAAATTATCGTTTTTGATGCAATTTAGTCGCTGATCGATGTCTTCCACTTCGAATTTTCCATGCGGAGCCGCCTCGTTTTCCAAGAAACTGTAAACTTCCCTCATTTGCGCTTCTTTCTCTGTTTTCAGCAAATCGTACCAGAGAAAATGAAAGTTTTTCTTGCTGTTGACGGCCAGATGGACCGCGTCTTTGTAGTACTGTCGCCACATTTCCGCGGTGTTTTGAATGTATCGTCGCCATTTTAGCGATTTGAAGAGCGCTGGGTCGATGGTGCCAGTGTGCGCGCCCTGGCCGTCGCCGGTTTCTTTTTCCGCCATGATTCGGTTGAAATTTGCTTTGATGGTGTCGTAGGGGTTGCGGATGACGAGGACGACGGCGTGGGCTTTTCGGATGTGTCCTCGAGCGTGGGACTTGATTCCTGAAAAATGATTTCTTTGGCGATAAGGGTATGTATGATTGATTTATGAAAACAAAGTGTGGGATGACTAAGTTCGTGGGGACTAGGTTCGTGGGACTAGGTTCGTGGGTGGCTGGCTGGAAAACGTGGTTCGTGGGACTAGGTTCGTGAGTTTTTGATTTTATATGTATATTTTTATTTATAATGATTAAGTGTTATTTATATGTATATATTTATTTATATATATTTATATATATGTATTGTAATTATATGATCATATAATATAATATTGCTATCTAAATATAGGTTCGATGGTTTTTGATTGGTTAGAATTTTTATTCTATAAGGAAAAATATGTGCGACTAGGTTCGTGGGACAAGGTTCGTGGGTTTTTAATTGGTTATTATTTTTATTCTATAAGGAGAAATTATGTGCGACTAGGTTCGTGGGACTAGGTTCGTGGGTTTTGAAATTTTTAATAAGGAAAAGTGGGGTGCGACTAGGTTCGTGAGACTAGGTTCGTGGGTTTTGAAATTTTTATAAGGAAAAGGGAGGTGCGACTAGGTTCGTGGGACTAGGTTCGTGGCTTTTAAAAATTTTTTTATTTAAGGAAAATGGGGTGCGACTAGGTTCGTGGGACTAGGTTCGTGGGTTTCTATTTTTAAAGGACGTGCGACTAAGTTCGTGAGGCTTAGTTCGTGAGACTAAGTTCGTGGCGACTAAGTTCGTGAGACTAAGTTCGTGAAATTTAAAATTTGAGAAATTTAAATTTATTGAGTTCTCAAGCCTTAAATACTTTAAGAAAAAGTTAGCTTGCTAAATAATTCCGTTATAGTTATCACCAACTCTTCTAAGGCAACCATTGTTATTCAGCGCTAACATAGAAATTCAGTTAAAGAGCCTAGCGGCTTATTTTGGGGGTGGGGGTGGGAAAGTCATTTTTACCATTCAACTTTACCCAATTTTACAATCCACGAACCTAGTCCCACGAACCTAGTCGCACTCAACTGTTCCTTATAAAAAAATTTCAAAACCCACGAACCTAGTCCCACGAACCTAGTCTCACGAACCTAGTCTTCACGAACCTAATCTTCACGAACCTAGTCCCACGAACCTAGTCTTCACGAACCTAGTCTTCACGAACCTAGTCCCACGAACCTAGTCGCACCCCCATTTTCCTTATAAAAAAATTTCCAAACCCACGAAACTAGTCCCACGAACCTAGTCGCACTCAATTGTTTCTTATAAAAAAATTTCAAAACCCACGAACCAAGTCCCACGAACCTAGTCGCACTCAATTGTTCCTTATAAAAAAATTTATAATTTTTATAATACTTATAATACTTATAGAAAAATCTCTAATTTCAAAACCCACGAACCTAGCACCCCTACGAACCTAGTCCCACGAACCTAGTCGCACCACATTGTTCCTTATAGAAAGGAAACCATACCCCATCTTGCATACTTTGGCATAACCACCTACGAACCTAGTCCCACGAACCTAGTCCCCACGAACTTAGTCATCAATCCCAAAACAAAGCTAACAACTTTTTGGAGCACTTGAATCATCATGTTTAATTGACCTCTCCGATTGGATTCCCGTTTGGAAGTCTTTGTATTCACTAAATATTCGTACAACCAAGAGCTATTGACTATTGCGTTTTTCTCGAAAATATTATCATTCCCGAATGAGCACAAAAAAGGAGGATTTTAAAAAGGAAAACAAACATGCGCGTCTTTTCTTTTCTGTTTTTGAGCTCAATTTTCGAAAGGCAGAAAAAATAAAAGCATCAGTATGGAAGAAATTTCGTCAACCCTTCTCTTTCCCGACTCATTCTTCGGGTCAAAAATTGGAAAACGCTTGATCCAGGAATAGTTATCTAGGCCCTAAGTTTGAGGTTCTTAAAGACCAGGTTATACAATAACGTAGCGTGCTTACGCCATCATAATTATTATCGTAACAGTTCTCTTCTTGTTTCATTTAGATAATTTATTTTCACTTCACGCTCACATTTTCGGCCTTACACAAAAGTCTCGCTTTACCTAAAACTCTGCCGGACTCAGGAGAAAAATGCTCTCCCGGAAAAGGCGATTGTTCGTACAGATCGTCATTATCGAGTTCGTCTTGTATCTCGTGATAGACTCCTCCCGCGTAGTAGCCCGTCAGCGACTGAAAAAGCTGCCTCGTCCAGGTGTTTCCAGATCCTTGCACCGAAAGAATCAGAATCCAGTTGAACTGGCCCGGTTCTCCGATTTTTACGTCGTTTTTGCAGTCGTTGTTTTTTCTCTCTAGCTCTTTAGTGATTTCGTCAAATCCATGCGATGAAAAATAACCGACTAAAAAGTACGTAAAAAGAAGAAAAACTGAAAAACAAATATTTTTAATCGTGATCATTTTGTACCGTTTTCGGTTCTGGATTGGGGAAAAGTGGCTCAGAGAGTCAGGAGCACGGAGTGTTTAGACTTCAAACATCAATGAACAAATTGCGTCTTTCATAATAATTCCGATCGTTCAAAAACGGCCATGTTTCTGGAAAAGGTTCCATCAAATATTTTAATTCAAACATGACCTTCTGGTGAATGTTACTAAGAAGAAAATTCAACATTTTTATCTCTGGTTGTTCGACGTCGAGTTTGATATTTCTGTTTTGTTATTGTTAATCTTTCGGTCTACTGGAGACCATCCTCTCAACTAGCACTTCTTCACCTTACTAATTGCCAATTAGTAATTGGTTAGAAAAAGGAGCTTGAAGAGACAGTAGGGAGTTATCATACAAGCTAACCCTAACCCTAAACCTAACCCCTTACCCTTAACGGTTTAGGCTAAACCTAACCCAGGGGCTAAGACCCCGGGATCCCCCTAAGGCCTAAGCCAGGGGGCGTCGCCCCCCACCGACTTCTCGTTATGAGTTCCCAGTCCCTTACCCTTACCTAGCCTAGATTCTAGAGATATTGGATGGCTTGAATCATAGGCTCGAATAATAGTCCCTCTCTAAATTTGAAGATGGAGGCAATCTGGTTGAATGCTGGTTGAATGCTAAGTGTGAGGAGGAAATAATTTTCTTTATCACAAAAATGATTATAGTCATCAACTTATGATAGAAAGATACCGGGAAATCCGGGTTCATATTAGAAATTTCATCAATAGCAAACTTGGTTGGTTCACGGATGTGTTCCATGAAGCACGCAAGTTCTTAGATAATCCAATAGGGACGGGGATGTTGCAAAATCCGCTTGAATGCGTCCATTTCCACATTGGCTTCGTAACAAAGAAGTTCAATTTTGCAAGTTTAACGAAATCGAAAAATAACGAAAAACGACAAAAGATAAATTTCTCAAACTTGTTCTCGTCAATCATCATCACTTTTTATTTAATTATGATTTTTTATCGTCAACTTTAAAATATTTAAAAAATTTTTCTGACAAAATTTTGCTCCCGAAAAATCAAAACATTTTTTATATTAAAAAAAGAGACGCTCTTCCTCTTGAAAATCTGAAATTTCCGATCAATCAAGTTATGTAACGAAAAGTTGAAGTTTATAAATAAATAATTGGATTACGATGCAATTAAGCCGCGTTCGCTCCCCGGCTGCCATGATGTTTGACTGTTTTCGACCATAACAAGCCTCAAGCTTGGTTACGGATCGAAAATTGTAGCGTTTTTAAACAAAATGGCGGCAAAAAATGAAATAAAGAGAAAAATGAGATCAATTTTTAATTTACCGACTTTATACGTGCTTTTTGTTTGCTTGTGTTTTATGATTTTTAATGATCAATTCAAAAGAGATGAAAATTTGGAACTTTCAAAAGAGGAAATTCAAGAAGTCGTCGATGAGATGAGAGAAGCCCTAGAAGTAGTAGATTATAACGAAGAAGAAGAAGATTGTAAATCAACTTCACCCAGAAAAATCCGCGAAAAACAGCCAAAATACAATTTGAATCAGGAAAAATTCTTGAGCGCGTTTGTGGCGAGAGGGCCAAACAATCAAATTTATTCGCTGCGAGAAACGATTTATGTTGCGATTGCTTTGAATAGGACGCTCATTTTGCCGCCTTTCTTCAAGCATGATCGAGGCGATCCGACTTCGAATGGGTCAAATACGGCGATAGGAAACGGCTCATATTTGTTGATATTTTCCGAGAATTTATAGATTTTATAATTATAAATAAAATATTATCATTATTATTATTATAGTTATATTACATTATGAATAATTATTATATTAATAATAATATAATTTGATTAAATATTATGTCTAACAAAAATTAAAATTTGATCAAAATTTTATATTATTAAATTAAATTTTTAAACATCTTTATAACTCAAATAAATAATTAAAATTATTATGATTATTTATTTTATTAATTATTTGTTTTTATAAAATAGATAGATACTTTCTTATAAATTCGATATTTAAATATAATAATAAATAATTTATTAAAAATATAGTAATAATATACTAGTAATCAAAAACATTATTTATAATAATATAAATTATATTATTTTATTATATAACATAATATTATATAAAATGAAATTACCGTATAATGAGCGCTTTGGCAGTTGATTTCGAGCAACGAATCGACATCCAAAAACTCACCAAGCTCATCCCCGTCGTTTTCACATCCGAAGCCGCGGAGAAATGCCCAGAAGGATTCGACAATATTTTTGGCGTTCACAATGTCTGCCATTCAAAAGAAAATCCCCGCGAATGGCAGTGACTCAAGAAGAAATGCGACTTCCCATCAACTTCGACAGCGCTGGACTTTGCAAGGACCACAGCCAGGTTTCGAAAATCGTCCCAAATCCGATCGAGCTTCGAGAAGAGTTTGGAGAGTTGAATGAAAGAGACAAGCTGAAAATGTTTCGACTGAACGATCCGGAAAAAGCAAGAGAAATTTTGAGCCCGGGGAAGGAGCAAAATGTGCAGTTACTGGATTTTTTACGAAAGTGTCGAGTTGATGAAATTGGTAAAAAATGAGGATGAAAAAGGAGAATTAGCGAGAGAAATAATCAGGTAAGAAATAGATTTTTACGTGTTTTTTATTTTTGCTTTTTAGATATACAGTGAGACCGAAACACATCAGAAATTTGATCGAAAAATTCGTGACAAAGTACTCGGGCGAAAAAGAAGATCCTTATTATATGGCGATTCATTGGAGATATGACGAGAAGGACTGGAAAGATGAGCAGTGCAGGAGAAGACCGGACTTCAAAATTTGCAAGGACTTTGAATTGATGAGGGATCCGGAGCGATTGTCTGATGAACTAGGAATGTGATCACTTTCACTGAAATACAGAGTTATTAAAGGGGTGGCGTCTGGAACCGACAAAAATTCGACAAATTTTGCGTGGGCGGCTCTTTGGATAGTGATTGGCCAATTTGTTGAATCCGGGCTTCTGATTGGTTTAAAATTTCCTCGCAAAATTTGTCGAAATTTTTGTCGGTACCCCGATTTTAGACCCTATTTTCCAGACGAAAATCAGTAATCTTCAACCCAGAAACTTAAGTCCTTTGAAATAAAATGATCGCTCAAAAGAAAACTACCTCTCAAATCGCGACGAAAACTTCGACTTCATCTACATCGCCGCTCCGCCATCAGAACTAGCGGTCATCGACGGCGTTGCAAAATCCTTCGCTCGCAAAGGCTTGATTCCGATCGTCACTCAAGTCCAAATGAGCGAACTGATGGAGGAAGAATTCAAAGACAGCTGCGGGGAGAAATTCGAAGATTTGCGATTCGAGGTGCTGTCGATGCTGGATAGCGAAATCTGCACCGTTGCTCCGGTTTTTTATTACTCGATTATGTCGAGTTATTCGATGAATATTCAACAGGAGCGATTTGTGAGGACCGATCCGACGGATGCTTCAACTCGATTTGTAAGATTTTTGAAAAATTGTTTTTCAAAAAAAATTCTAGAACGGAAATCTCTTCGGCGATGGAAGATATGCTGATGTTCACTGAAAAGCAAAGACTCTCAAAAATTTATCTTCAAAAACAACTTTTAAATAAATAACTTTAAAAAAAGAAAGAATTGTTTTAAGACCAAGAGTTCGCGAAAAACTGTATCGCAAGTCAAATTTCACGAGATCAAATAGATAGCAGGGCAAGATTGAGTGGTTCGATGACATTTGAAATCTGTCCGCAAAGCGGTCGATTTTACGATTTTCTTGAGTGCCCGTGAGATTCTGGTTATATAATATAATAATAATAATAATATAATATATAACTTATATTCTCTTATCCTGGCCGTTTGGGGGTCCTTATCGGCTGATTTTGATGAAAAAATGAAAAAGTCCTTATATTTAATTTTCAAAATAGACAATTTTAAATTGAAAATTTTGATAAAAATAATTTTAAAATTATAAATTTCAGGCCTCAATAAGAAATTTCAGAGTCTGAACTTCAGACAAATTAAATTTTTTTTTATCAAAATTTTTATCTGAACTTCAGACTCTGATATTTCTTATTGAGGCCTGAAATTTATAATTTTAATATTATTTTTATCAAAATTTTCAATTAAAAAATTGGCTATTTTGAAAATTTGCTGTAAGGACTCCTTCATTTTTTCAGACTCTGAACAATAATTTCTTGGAAAAAATAAGGGTGGTGCTTCGTTATTTTTTGGGTTAGGCGAGGGATAAGATTCTTCTTCGTTCGTCAATCAGCGCTGCTCTTTAGATGATTTTTCTTTCTTTTTGAACTTTCGCAATCAGGCTTCTTGTTTTATCATCCGCCATAAATAACATTTCGGAACAGCTTAAAATTACGGTCAGCGGAAGAATTTAATTTATTTCCACTTGAGTCAATCGACGCAGATCGCGCTTCTTCTGAGATTTGCCCAGATCGCGCTGTTTGCTCGATCACTGTCTGCTTTTATAAATCCACTCTTGACGCGACTGAAATTGCATTTCCATCGTTTTATATTTTTTCTGCTTTGGAGACATCAAAAATACTCATTTTTATAAAGAGAAAAATCATTAAAGAATCAGAAAGCTAAGAAACAGAAAAAAGAAGAGACATGGCTTTTCGCCTGACGAGAAATTCTAGCAACAGAAAAATCAGAAAACCAGAAGAAGTTGAATGCATAGGAAAGTTTTTCTTTCTCTTTTAATGTGTTCTTATTGTTTTGTTGCCCTCGACCAACTATCGGGCGATACAATGAGCGAAAAATTTTTCGAAAATCTTAAGGGGATCACTCCAAAATCGCTGTTTGAAAAAGTTTGTCCCACATGACGGAGGGGTCCTTAAATTTGGGTGTTGTCTGGAACCGACGAAAAATTTCGACGAATTTCGCGTGGGCGGCTTCTCAGCTGCTGATTGGCCGGTTTGCCAAATCTAGGTTTTTGATTGATTGAAATTTCCCAGCAAAATTTGTCGAAATTTTTTGTCGGTTCCAGAAACCTCCCCCTTAAATCCGAATTTCAGAAATTCATGCGTTTAAATGGGGAATCATTTTTATAATCCTTTTTTTCTTCTTATAAAAAAGAGTAAAACTTAGTAAGGCGTCCAAAAACGACTGAAGGAATACTTCTTCATATTTTCAGGAAAATGTCATCTCCTCCAAATTCTCTATCGCCCGAGCGATAAATTTCACAATGGATTTGACATTATAAAAAAAGTGCGCTGGAATGACGAGTCAAAGTTGACCATTTTCAGAAGCTGGCACGAAACTCATGATTTAGCCAAACAAATCAAAAATGAAACGGTTTCAAAATCGGAGCCATTCGAAGTTGCCAAGGAGCTGGAAAAAATTGTCAAACCGCCGGGTTGCTTGAATTTTGCGAAGAGGAGTGCTTACGATGTTTGCGAAAAACTTCAAGGTAGGGCAGTTTAAATAGCTTCCTTCTCATAAAAAAAAAATTCTAGAAATTTTGACACCGAAGTTCCCAATCAACCTTTTTCATTCATCCTTCGCCCTTGATTTTTTCCACCTTACTCCCGAAGATCGCAACAGCGCCGCCTACAGAAACTTCACTTCCTTCCATATCGGTAAAATTAAATCTCCCTCGCACATTTCATTACGATTTCTAGTGAAAGAATCGAGCCAAAAGTCGATAAAAATCCGTCCAGCGACGATGATGGCGACCAAAACTTACAACGTCCGGGAGAGCTACAAATGCAGCGATGACTCAGCAGGAGAAGTCGAGATTCACACTGGAGAAAAGATAAGAGTTCTTATCAAGAAACGGTTTTCAGCCGAAATGGATTTTTTAGCCAAAAACCCCTGAAAACCCTTAAAAATGGACGAATCCGGCTGGTGGTTTATTCAAAAAGATCAGAGCGAAGAAGAAGGATGGGTGCCAGCTTCTCACGTGAGAAAAATCTTTGAAAAAGTATTCAATTGTGAAATCTTAGATTGAATTTTCCAACAACACAAAATCCATGAAAAAGCTGCAAAAATCGACGAACGAGACATATTTGATGATTGAGTCTCACAAGGCTGAAAATGATGAGGAGCTCTCTGTCCCAGCTAATGCTACTGTTCAAGGTAACGGGCTCGAAAAAGCAAGGAAACGCTAAAAATCTGTTCTCAGTGACTCATACTTATGCGAATGGCTGGTGGAAAGTGCTGTATTTGGAGGAAGAAGGGCTGGTTCCTCGGGCGAAAATGCAAAAATACGAAGCTCAAAATCGAGCTGATTTTATTAACAGTCAATAAACTTACAGTATCCTTTTCAATGCAGATATTCTTTCGAAGGAAAGTCCCCACAGTCTGATAGACACTGAGAGCCCTCAATCTAGCAAAACAGGGTTGAAAGTGGGAAAATGAAAGAGTACTTACAGATGCAGTCATAAGACAGCTCAAGTACTCTCGTTCCGAAATTTCCCCACTGTAATAGGCCTCTTCACACGCCCAGGCCTCTTCAAGCATGTCAGGAACGCAAGCATCCCAGCACTCTTCCATACTTGTGCAGCCATCAACACGGAGGCATTGGACGAACTCTTCAGTGTAGTTTTCTAGGCAACGCTGGAAGTCGTCGGAGTCGGGCTCCCAAGTCAAGGAACAGAAGATATCGCCCTGGATGTAGTCTCGGAGACAGCTTTTATTAAAATTCGCGAAACTTTCTCTAAATTTGGATTGATTTCTTTTTGAAAAATTTTCCTGAAAATACAGCTCCATGATTTTTCTTTCTGAGAATAAACTCCGGCAAAAAATAAATAAAAGAAATTCCTCATTTTTGATTGTATTCTGCGCTAAGTTCTAATTATAATTTCAGAATTTAAGCAGATGGTGCTGTCTCAAGAAGTTCAGAATGAAAATTGACTTCTTCTGATTATTAAAAGCAAGAAAGAAATGATAAGCCGCGCCCCTTTTTTGCTCTCTTTTCCGAAGTTTCCCAGACATTTTCGCCGGGTTGAGAATGACAGACCGTGAAATTCTGCTGTTTTAACATAACCCTCTGACGCGAAGATGATCCGATTTCCTTTCAAAACTTTTCAGAATTTCATAATTTGCGAAAACCGCTCCGCATTTTCTTGACATCTGTTGAATTATCTCTTGACATGTCGGTTATAAAGACCGGTGCGGGCCGCGTTCGAAGTCGGTTAGCAGATCACTTCTAGAATGAAGGTAATTTTTCCTTTTTGCGGATATTTTTGATGATTTTTGTGTCTCAAAAAGCTAGAGAATATTATTCAAAGAGATAAAGAGGAATTTCATTTGCAATTTATAGGAGATAATTATCATAAATTATCTTTTATAATAAGAAAACAGCTAGAAATTCTAATAGATCCTTAAGATTTTTTGTTTTATTTTATTTCAAAAATATTTTCAGCTTCTGGCGACCATCAGCTCCGCCCTTGCCGGGTCGCCCGGTATTGACTTTTACCTCAACGACGGTGACTACTGGCCGATTGGTGCATGCAGTTCTGATAAGGCCTGTTCCGCCTGGAGAATCAGCACCAAGCCTGGGTGGGAAAAAACTTGGGCCGCAAACTTGAAGTGTGATCTCAGCGTCGAAAAGTGCACTTGCGCCGATGGTTGGGTCGATCTCGACGGAAAGCCAGAAAATGGCTGCGAATCAAAGGCCGGTGAATCTCTTCTCGGCGGTATGTGCTATTACAGTAGCTGTTTTCTAGAAGATAAGTGCAATGAGTTCCATCCTGGGCTCGTCTGCTCTAAGATAACTGGCTGCTGCGAGTGTGAAGGAGAAGAACCCCTTCGACCAACAATTTTTGGTCAAAATAAGGGTTGTCTGGACAAGAATTGCCCAGAAGGAGCTGTTTGGGATAAGGAAATAAAATGGTGCCTCTGCGAAGATGGAAGACTTCCCCAGTACAACTTGCCTGACCTCGATGATAGTGTCTGTTGTCCACCAGGACTTTGGGGAAATCCATGTGGTTGCTCGAACGGAGTGATTCCGGACCTTACTGCCGAAGATCCTTGCGACCCTGGGTGTCCGGAGAATCTGTATTGGGATCCAAGCACGAAACGTTGCGAGTGTCCTGGGAATCTTGTCTACGATCCAAGTACTGGACAATGCGAATGCCCGGAAGGTATGCTACCCGGAGTAACAGGAAATTGTTTCTGCCCGACAGGAACTTACGAGGTAACTGGCGTTGAGCCGACTAAGTGCTGCCCTATCGGAACCTGGTACAACCCCCAAACAGAAAGATGCGAAGAAAATGATCATGACAACTGCCCCCCAAATATGTACACAGTACCAAATGTGATTCCACACCAGTGCTGTCCTGATGACAGTGTTTGGGATCCCGTGACACAAGAGTGTGACTGTCCAGAAGGACATTATCTAACAACCGATCCTTTGTATGTTTCTATTGAAAGAAACGTTTGCTGTCCTGATGGAACTGTTTACATTCCTTCGTTGGATAGTTGTGATTGTCCAAATGGTTCCTATGCGGTTCCTGACGAAAGTCCGACACAGTGTTGTCCAGACGGGTCTCAATGGCAAGCCAACACGCGTACTTGCGAATGTCCTGAGGGAACCTATCTAACAACTGATGATTACGACCGAGAAGTTTGCTGTCCGGAAGGAACTAAGTGGATTCCACACTTGGACCGATGCGACTGCCCTCCTGGTACTTACGCTGCCAGCATCAATCCTATTCGATGCTGCCCAGACGGTTACAATTGGAATGAAGATTTCAATGACTGTGTTCCAGATGACGGGCTTTCTCATTGCCCAGAAGGAACTTATGCTGTTGCTGGAATCACCCCACTCCAATGCTGTCCCGAGGGAACCGAATGGGATCATGATAAAAACATGTGTGTCGATCCATCTGATCCAACTGACCCGACTGGATCCCCTTGCCCAGAAGGAACCTACCCAGTTGCTGGAACAAATCCTGTTGAATGCTGTCCTGAGGGAAGCCATTGGGATTTTGAGAAGAAAACCTGCCTCGATCCAACTGATCCAGTTGACTGTCCTCCAGGACATTACCCCGTTGCCGGAACAGACCCTGTCGAGTGTTGCCCTGATGGTACCCACTGGGATTTTGAAAAGAAAGCCTGCGTTGATCCAGTCGATCCTATTGAGAAATGCCCTGAAGGAACATACCAAATTCTTGGGATTGTCCCTCTTAAATGTTGTAAAATCGGCACTTTCTGGGATCCTGATCGAGAAATTTGCGGTGATCCTACCGATCCAGTTGATCCAATCGAGGAATGTCCAAAAGGCTTCTATCAAGTTGCTGGAGTAACTCCTCTTCAATGCTGCCCAGAAGGAACAAAATGGATTCCAGAGCTCAAGCAGTGCATGTGCCCAGACGGATCTGACCCAGTCGCCGGCCAATTCCCTCCATGCGAAGACCCTGAGCAATGTCCAAAGGGAACCTACCTTGTTGAATTTGTCTTGCCACAAATTGTCTGTTGTCCACTTGGTACCAAATACGTCCCTGATCGTGACGAATGCCTCTGCCCAGACGGCAATCCAGTCGACGACCTTGGCCTCTGTGTTGACTGTCCAGAAGGAGAATACGCTGTTTCACGATTCCCTGAACTCATTTGCTGCCCAGAAGGAACATGGTTCGATAAGGAGATGAAAGAATGCCTCTGTCCTGATAAAACGAAGCCGGACGAGAATGGCGATTGCGTCGATCCTTCCGATAAATGCTTAAGACCATTAAAATACGATTTTATCACTGGAATGTGCGTTTGCTGGAATGGAGAACCACCAATTGAAGGCGAAGCTACCGTCCCCGTTGACGAATTTGGCTGTCCACCAAATGACTGCCCTGAAGGTCAGAACGCGTTCTTCGACAAGAAAGGAAACCTCCAATGCTGCCGAGAAGGACTTGTCTACAATATCCAAAAAGACACTTGCGTTTGCAAAGACGGAACCCTTCCAACCGCCACTGGCGATTGTGGATCTTGCGAAAAGTGGCAAAACGCATTCTACATCGAAGATCAGATCATTTGCTGCGGAGTTAATGAATACTACGCTGCTGATCATAAACACTGCATGTGCACTGACGGTACGCATGTAGAAAAATGTCCTTTTCCATGCAAAGACAACGAGATTCATGAAGTTGATCCGACTGGAATGACCGCTGGCGAGTGTGTCCCGATGTGCGATGATGGACACGTTTTCAACAAGCTCACTAAGACTTGCCACTGCACTGATGGCCGACCAATCGACGAGGGATACCCTGGCGGATGTCCTCCTATTGTCGTCGATTGCAGCAAGTTTTTCGGTGACGAAATTCATTTCTTTGGTGATGAGATTCATGGCCAATGGGTTTTTGTCCCATGGGATACAAAAGACGGTCCAGTCTGCTGCCATATCGAAGCTCATTACAATCCTGAAATTGGCCAATGTGTCTGCAACGACGGATCCAAACCGGATGAACGAGGTTTCTGCGGAAAATCCTGCCCAGAAGAGCTCGTCTTTGCTCCTTATCCACCAACTGGAGAGATGGCTTGTCTTTGCCCCGAAACTTTCAAGTTCCCCAACGCCGATGGTGTTTGCATGGACAATCCATGTGAAAAGGGTCTAAACCCATTCAAGCTTCCTGATGGTTCCGTCGCTTGCTGCCCAGAAGGATCATATTTCGATTACGAGATGAAGTCATGTATTTGCTTCTCTACCAAGCGAGCTCCAGATGAAAACGACGAGTGCCCAGAGAAATGCCCAGATGACACTATTCCAGTTATCGATGATGAGACTGGCGATCTCAACTGTGTCGCCGTCGACTGTGCTCCTGGATTCTACCTTGCTTACAAAGAGATCTGTTGCCGAGAAGACAAGATCTTCGATAAAGAGCGATTCCAGTGCGTCTGCCCACCTGGACTTGCCGATTTCGAAGGACGATGCCAGGAGAAATGCCCTCTCGGATCCACTTATGACGGAGAAGAATGCGTTTCAAAATGCCCCGAGGGACAGATTTTCCGAGAAGGAGCTTGCTACTGTGCTCTTGATGGATCTCTTGCTTCTCTAGACAAACCTTGCTGCGAATTCGGACAAAGCTGGGATGCTAAGAAGGGTATTTGCACTTGCGATGGCGATCTTTTCTGCGAAAAAGCTTGTCCAAAAGACCGACCGAATTTGTTCATCGACAAGTTTGGCGATCGACAGTGCTGTCCCGAGGATATGGTCTTTGACGTCATCAACCATGCTTGCATGTGCAGCGGTGGTGTCGACAAGCCAGCGTTCAAGCCTCTTGATGGAAGCTGCAGATGTCCCGATGGCGAGCGACAAATGATGAACGCCGACATGACTTCTTTCGTCTGCGTTGATGGAGGCTGCCCCAACGGACTTGTCGTTGATGAGATCACCAGCAACTGTGTCTGCCCCAAGGACTCCTGGCAATTCATCAACTCGATCGGCGTTCCAGTTTGCTGCAAACGAGACCAGAAGTGGTCCGAAGAGCTCCAGGAATGCATCTGCGTCGAAACCAATCTGCCAGCTCTCGATGATGGAACATGCGAAGATCTTGGCGACGAAAAATGCCCACCTGGATGGACTTTTGTCAAAGAAACCATGCTTTTCAATGATCAGCCTTTTCGTTGCATGCCAATTTGCCCTGAACCATCGATCGCCTATGTCAAGCCACTTGATTGTTTCAGCGTTGTTAACGCCGCTGAATGTCTTGCTACCGCTGCTGTTGAGTGCATGTGCAAGGGTGATTACAGATACAACGGAACAGCTGACAACATGATCGACTACATCCTCTACGGAAGCTGCGAGATGGAAGAGTGTCCGCCAGGCCTTGTCCGATCTGATGACATTTTGACCTTCAACGAATGTACTTGCCCATACAAGTGGCAGAAGCAAATCCAAACGGCTTCCATCCCCCCTCAGATAAAGTGCACTTGTGATGATCCAAAATACCAGGTCAACGAGGAGACCGGCATGTGCGAGTGTAAACCACAAATTGCTGAATACAGCGTCACCGGATTCGATGGATCCTGTGATTGCCCACGAAACATGCTTTTCAATGCCGAAAAGGATGTCTGCGAGGAGATCAACACTGGAACTGTGGTTGAGATTGACGAAAACTGCTGGTACTACGATTTCGAAACTGAAGCTTGCTTGACGAAGGAGGAATTCGAAAACCAGTTTGATGCTAAGCCTACTGAGGTAAACTTTTCGAAGTTGCTTGAATGAATCATTCTTTTTAGAACCCCTTCACTCAAAACGACAAGGACTGTCCCGGCTTTGAAGTTGGCTGGAAGGGACTCAAGAGCTCCAAGATCCAGTACAAGTCTCCAACTGGCTACCTGATCCTCGTAAACATCCTGAACAACCAGGGCAATGTCGATGTCACAGTCGATGATTACATTGGTTTCATCATTTTCAGCAAGCGATATTGCGGAATCGACTTTATCAAGGAGCTCGACAATGGCAACGTTACCGTCTCTTTCTATGATAAGACGCCTTCTTACGACAGATCAGATGTCTACGTCCGATTGGACAAGGGCCAGTCGCAGACTGCTATTCAATTCACGTGAGTTCAATAACAATCTGCAATTATTTCATGATTTTTCAGGACGAAACACGATCGAGACGCAGCTGGCAAACCCGACTACCATTTAGGTAACACGAAGAAGGATCAGTTCCTCCTCCACGTCGAGTTTGATCATGAAATCAACTTCGTCGACACGCCTGAAAATTGCTTGACCCGATTCAACATCGGTGTCATGAAATCCGAGATGGACTTTACCCAGGACTACACCCACTGCGTCGCCAACTCTCTTTGGTGGAGCGCTCCAGTTTTCAACTAAACTGAAGACAAAATTCTCATTTCTTTATATTCTTTCCTGCAAATAAAATGGAATTCTCCATAGAAAGCCATTAATCAGAACCAGGGGTCGAAATCCGTTTTAAAAATTGAAAGTCTAGTCTAGGCTGGGCTGGGCGATTTTCCAGCCTTTTTAGGCTGCTAGTCTGGGCTGGGTATTTCGGGAAAATGAAAAGTCTAGGCTGGCCAAGGCTGACAGACTTAGTCTGTTTTAGGCTGAAAGTCTGCAACCTAAAAATTCATAAATTTGGTCAAGTCTGCGACTTTAGTCTTGAGACTACCTTTTCTAGGCTCGTTAAAAATGGCCCATTTTAAAGAGGGTTAATATTCTAATTAATAATAGACTCGTTATTTGTCGAGGATTTTTCTCAAATAAGCACTAGGTTACCTAGTCTAGGTAGAGAAATGTCCGAATTTTTCAGAAAAGTGAAAATTTTTACATATCGCTAAGTTATTCGTAGAGAAATCAGGATTATTTCGCGTACATGTAGGTAGGAAACATGGTCAATACTGAAAATGGCACGAATGGCACGAATGGCACGAATGGCACGAAATCACTGAAAATGGCACGAAAACAGAGACACATTTTTTTGCGAATTAACCTTGAGGAATATTATGAATTAAACGGATTTATTTGAAACGATAGTTATTAAACAACTTAAAAAGTTCATTAATCATGATCAAAATCAAAAAAAAAAAATTTGAAAATTTTTTAAATTGACCGCAAATTCAGGCCCAAAGAGATTATTTTTTGAGTGAAATTCCTCAATTTTGCCATTGTCATTGATAAAAAATTGAAATAATAGTGATTTTAGCATAAATGATCAATTTTTCATTGAATATTCAAGTAATAAACGCCCGCTCCGCGGGTTTAATGGGAGGAAACTCAAGGGTTGAAAAACAATAACAAAAAAGTCTCTAGAATTCTACTGAAAATGGCACGATGAAAAGACATGTTTTCGTGCCATTCGTGCCGTTCGTGCCATTCGTGCCATTTTCAGTACTGTCGGGAAACATCCCTGTATGATAAAAATCATGTCTGGTGCTTTCAAGGACTTTTCAAATTTTCTTCCACCATTCATGCTTTGCCGCGAATTCCCAATGAATGGCGTCATTACTCCACCAACAGTGATGCTGCCGACGAGTGGAGGACTCTCGCCCAAGTGGACTCTCGCCCAAGTGGACTCTCGCCCAAGTGGACTCCCGCCCAAGATGGACTCCCGCCCAAGTTGGGCGAGAGTCCTTTGGGCAAGAGTCCATGTAGAAATTTTCAACAATGAGAAACAGAAAGTTGGGCGAGAGTCCATCTTGGGCGAGAGTCCTCCACTCCAATTGTTAATGACTATTCAATGACAAAAGAAAGCAATGAGCTGTATGTAATAAATATGCAATGTACTTTATATAAATTAAAGTTAGGGTTAGGGGCACTGGGCAAAATGACAGAACAACCTTACCCGAGGGGGATAGACTAGGGTTAGTTAGGGTTACTGAAGGTAACCCTAAGTAACGTAGACTAGACCCCGGCATCTTAGGACCTAAGGGGCGAAGCCCCGTAGTAAGGGCAATTAGATTTGATAATTTCTGATGAAAAGTGGTGCAGTAGGACTGACCTTCTCTTTCAACCTAGTCGAGGATTAGCACTTTTTGAGAGTTCCAGTTTTATTAGCGAAGCGCAATATTTTTTCACATCAAAGAATTTATGCTTTCGTTTATCTTGCTGAACAAACCGAAACTGGAACTCTCGAAAAAGTGCTAATCTTCGATAAGGTTGAAAGAGAAGGTCAGTCCTACTGCACCTCTTTTCAGCCAAAATTATCAAATCTAATTGCCTTACCGGGGCTTCGCCCTTAGGTCCTAAGATTCCGGGGTCTAGTCTAGGGTTACTTAGGGTTACCCTCGGGTAAGGTTGTTCTGTCATTTTGCCCAGTGCCCCTAACCCTAACTTAATTTATATAAAGTTCATTGCATATATATTATATACAGCTCATTGCTTTCTTCTGTCATTGAATAGTCATTAACAATTGGAGTGGAGGACTCTCGCCCAAGTGGACTCTCGCCCAAGATGGACTCTCGCCCAACTTTCTGTTTCTCATGGTTGAAAATTACCACATGGACTCTCGACCAAAAGCTTATTTAACATACTAAAGACACTCCCTACATGGTTCAAAAGAGATAACCAAAATAGCTCAACTCTTAGACTAACCCGCTGAAAAGCGCTCCACAATAATGATGCAACGTCAAAAACCTGTGAATATTAAAAATTGATCATAAAAAATGAAAAATATTCGCCGGCATTTCGATAGTCTAGATTAGGGTCAGGCATTTTCACGTGATCACCGCTGTACACGCTAAATTTTTTGGTTAGTAGCCTAGGGGTACTGATTACAAAAACATAGCGGCCCTCGCTTAACCCCACAACACCCTTACCATTTTAACCCATTTTCTGTTTTACTCGTTTTTTGCCAATTTGAAGGAGAAAAGGTATTTTTTCTCAATTTTATGCGTACAGAAATAATTATTTTATAATTTTTATAGAGCTAAAAGTTAAAAAATAATTTAACTTGGGATGCCTAAGGAAAAAACGACTTTTTTCCATAATAAAGACCATAAATAGGCAAAAAACAAGAATTATTTGACTTTTAATAACGATGGGTGTGGGTGGGGTTGGGGACATAATTGAGATTGATCAACTCAGTGTTCCAAGCCTTTGTCAAGCCCCTTAAATTTAAAAATAAAGGAACGGGGCTGAGACGGCCCGAAGGGCCGTCAAGCCCTTAAATTTAAAAATAAAGGAACGGGGCTGAGACGGCCCGAAGGGCCGTCAAGCCCCTTAAATTGAAAAATAAAGGAACGGGGCTGAGACGGCCCGAAGGGCCGTCAAGCCCCTTAAATTTAAAAATAAAGGAACGGGGCTGAGACGGCCCGAAGGGCCGTCAAGCCCTTAAATTTAAAAATAAAGGAACGGGGCTGAGACGGCCCGAAGGGCCGTCAAGCCCTTAAATTGAAAAATAAAGGAACGGGGCTGAGACGGCCCGAAGGGCCGTCAAGCCCTTAAATTGAAAAATAAAGGAACGGGGCTGAGACGGCCCGAAGGGCCGTCAAGCCCTTAAATTGAAAAATAAAGGAACGGGGCTGAGACGGCCCGAAGGGCCGTCAAGCCCCTTAAATTGAAAAATAAAGGAACGGGGCTGAGACGGCCCGAAGGGCCGTCAAGCCCTTAAATTGAAAAATAAAGGAACGGGACTGAGACGGCCCGAAGGGCCGTCAAGCCCTTAAATTGAAAAATAAAGGAACGGGGCTGAGACGGCCCGAAGGGCCGTCAAGCCCTTAAATTGAAAAATAAAGGAACGGGGCTGAAACGGCCCGAAGGGCCGTCAAGCCCCTTAAATTGAAAAATAAAAGAACGGGGCTGAGACGGCCCGAAGGGCCGTCAAGCCCTTAAATTGAAAAATAAAGGAACGGGGCTGAGACGGCCCGAAGGGCCGTCAACCCCCTTAAATTGAAAAATAAAGGAACGGGGCTGAGACGGCCCGAAGGGCCGTCAAGCCCCTTAAATTGAAAAATAAAGGAACGGGGCTGAGACGGCCCGAAGGGCCGTCAAGCCCCTTAAATTGAAAAATAAAGGAACGGGGCTGAGACGGCCCGAAGGGCCGTCAAGCCCTTAAATTGAAAAATAAAGGAACGGGGCTGAGACGGCCCGAAGGGCCGTCAAGCCCTTAAATTGAAAAATAAAGGAACGGGGCTGAGACGGCCCGAAGGGCCGTCAAGCCCTTAAATTGAAAAATAAAGGAACGGGGCTGAGACGGCCCGAAGGGCCGTCAAGCCCTTAAATTGAAAAATAAAGGAACGGGGCTGAGACGGCCCCCAGATATTGGTTGAGAATATATTTTTACTTATTTTTTTTATTTTTTTTTATTTTTGACACGTAAAAAACAATATTTACACTGAAAAAATCATTATTTTTATGAAAAATAGGGATTTTAGCAAATGGGTTAAAATATATAGGACGTTTTTTGGTTAAGTGAGGGCCGCTATGTTTTTTGTGATCAGTACCCCCCAGGCTATCACCCAAAAAAATATTAGCGTGTACAGCGGTGATCACGTGAAAATGCCTGACCCTAGTCTAGATAAAAACCAAAAAAAAAGTCTGGAAAAGGACAATTTAAGTCTCCGCAAGGCTGACAGCCTTAACAGCCTAATTTGATTTAGTCTGTAGTCTGCAGACTTTTAAGTCTAGGCTGGGCTGAAAACGAGCCTAATTTAGGATGCGATTTTTGGTAGTCTGTTAGTCTGGCAGCCTTAACCTAGACAGACTAAGACTTTAGGCTGGACAGACTAGTCTGTTTCGACCCCTGATCAGAACGTCTTCAAAATTTCCTCAATTTTCTTTTTTTCTCTAATTTAAGAGCTTAGGTGTCTATTTTCCACGATTCTCGTGCTCTTGAAACCGATAAGAGATTATGCTCTAGAATTTCAGCCGGCAATCAATTTCAAGCACGCGCTTATCATGCGCTCTCGGAGTATAAAAAGGGAAGATAAATTTTGAACCTCACTTTTTCTATTCGAAAGTCAATTTTGATAATTCGAGAGAATTGAATAAAAATAAAAAATGAAGATCTTTGCCTTCCTTTATGCTTCCGCCTTGGCGTACCCTCAGCTTTCGAACCAAACTGAGCAAGTCTCGAACCAGGTCGAACAAGAAACGAATCAAGTTGAGCAAGTTTCGGACCAAATCGAACAGGTAAAAGCTTCTTAAAAGAAATATTTGCTGATAAGATTAAGATTTCGAACCAAACTGAACAAGAATCGAACCAAGTCGAGCAAGTGAGCAATCAAGTTCCCCAGGTAAAATAAGGATGGTGTCTGGAAACGACAAAAATTTCGACAAATTTTGCGTGGGGGCTACTTGGCTGCTGATTGGCTTGTTTGCCAAATCAAGGCTTCTGATTCGTTTAAAATTTACACGCAAAATTGGTCGAAATTTTTGTCGGTTCCAGACACCTTACCGTAAAATTTTTCGTAAAAACAAATTTCAGAATTTTTGATTAATTCATCATTTTTTCCTATAAAAATCGATAATTTGACTCTTCAACTCATGAAAAAATCTAGATCTCGAACCAAACGGAACAAGAAACCAACCAGGTGGAACAAGTCAGCGACCAATATCCACAAGAATCTGACCAAGTCGAGTACTACGAACAGCAGTACCCACAAGGAAATGGAACTCAAGGTTATTAACTTCATCTTCCAAGAAATAAATAAATAAAGAATTTCAAAAAACTATCTGAATTTTATTTCTACTTAAAAAGTGCTAAGATAATCATGAAAACAGTAGTGCTGAAAATTGATTTTGTTGCATCACTTTTAATTGTCTCTGTCTTCTTCGTTGTCTTTTCAGGCTTTGTTTTGGCAATATTTTCCTCTTCGCAAATACCATGAGATGTCATTGGAGCATTTCGTCGTCCTCGGTACTCGTAAAGATCGTAGCCGTCGTCTTAAAGGTCAATTATAAACAATCACGATTAAGGACCCCCGTCAACAATTTTCCTCAAAAAATCTAAAATTTCAAAAAGCCATATTTTGGCTTCATAGTGCGCGGCGCACTATGCGCCTTAAAGTTCAATTTATCATAAAAACTTGTTCGGAGCATTTTTTGACCAATAAAAACCTAAATTTTTAGCAAAATCGGGACTTTTTCGTCATTTTTCGTCAGAAAGTCCGATTTTCAAACGCGATTTTGAGGGTGTTAGAGTCGAGATAGACCCCCAAAAATGAAGCCTCAAAATCGTTCTTTTGACTTGTAGAGTCCTTTTCCGGGGTCAAAATTTCGAAATTCCGAAAATAGATTTTTCGAAAATTGTTGACGGGGGCCCTTAAAGCTTTTTTTGCTTACTCAAGCTGTTTTTGCTGTTTTCCATGTCAAGCCAGGATTGATAGGATTCCCAAGAATCGAAAGTCTGGCACCTCCACATTCCATCATTTGTTGTGCATAGGTCCCCATCTGCATCAGTCGTCGATTGTTGTTCAGTCGTCACTGCGGCGGCTTCCGTTGTCGTTGTTGTTGTTGGCTTGCCTGTTGTTGCCGGAATGATTTCTTGGGAAATCTCATGAGTGCAGTTTTGAACCCTTTTTTGAGTTTTCGATCGAATAAAAATTTCTCTACGAAAAAATTAAACTCATTTCCTATCGAGATAATCCGCTAAATGATCGTGAGCTCGAACAAGAACAAGAAAAGTTATCACGAAAATCGACGCTTTCAACATTTTTTTCGCGAAAAATGAAGACCCAACTGAAATCTTGGTTAGGTTTTTTACAACTCAGGAAAAGTCAGCTTATCAAAAATGACAGCTTTTGAAAATGGCGCGATTTTCAAGCCAAAACTGAGTTCCCTCAAGAATGTTAAGAACTGAACTTTGAATATTTGCGGCTAAAAGTGATGATTTTTTGAATCACGTATTAGCAATTAGAATTTATTTCCTAATTTCAAATAATTTTGTTCAAAACTCCATTAGTTATTGTCCAAACAGTTCAAACTATCGTGCAAGCAGAGTGGCGACATAATTCTTTGAACGTGATCAAGTACTGGGTATCCAGTCTTGCTAAAATCATTGATTAGCCCGAAGCTACGGAAGCAGACCCTCTCTCTTGTTATAGAAGCGTCGATTCGGTATTCGGCTTAAGAAAGAAAAAGACGGGATTTCGTAGAAGAACTCATTAATAATAACAAGAATAAATGATATAAATAAATTAAAGGATAAATCAAAAATGGAAATTTTTACAAAAACCATAGTTCTGGTTGTTTATGCGTCCTAAGAGCTTCAAAAACTTGATAAAAAATTTTAAACCAAGAAAAGTCAATATTTTTGCCAAAATCTCGAAGAATTTCTTTCCGGGGTCAAAATTTCGAAATACTGAATTTTGATTTCGAAAAATCAGATCTCGGAATTTTAAAATTTCGACCCCGGAAATGGATTCAACGGATAAAAAAAAAAAGATTTTGAGGCGCCATTCTTTTGGGGTCTTTCTCGACTCCTTCACCCCCAAAATCGCATTTGAAAGAAATAAGATAATATATATATTGTATATATAATATATCTAGTAGAAAAAAAGTGTTATAAAGAAAAACTTCCGGAATTGTCCGTTTTGTCTTATTCATATTATGATGATTCATAGACGTTGAGGATAATGTAAGTTTTAATAATTTTGAATAATTCACACGCACATTTTTTTTCTTGACCGAATTACGAAATTTACCCTTCTACGTGAGTAGCAGAATTCTCATAAAATAACGTAGAAAATACGAAAACGGCGCTATAGAGCTCACCACGCGGTTGATTACTTGCTGTTTAAATACCGCTCTCACTCGATAAATTTATCTTTTGAGAGAAAAGCTAAAAAAAGATGAAGGTAAGATTTATTATCGCAAGGCGAATGAAAAATTGATTTGTGAAAAAAAATTATTTTATTAATCGCAATTTTTACGAAAAAATCAGAAATTATGGACCCCCCCGTCAACAATTTTGGAAAAATCTATTTTCGGAAATTCAGAATTTTGACCCCGGAAATGGATTCTACAGGTCAAAAAACGATTTTGAGGCTTCAATTTTTGGGGGTCTATCTCGACTCTAAGACCCTCAAAATCGCGTTTGAAAATCGGACTTTTTGACGAAAAATGACGAAAAAGTCCCAATTTTGCTATAATTTGAGATTTTTACTGGTCAAAAAGTGCTCCGAACAAGTTTTTATGATGTATTGAACTTCCAGTTACACTAAGAAGCAAAAATATGGCTATTTTGAAATTTTCGATTTTTCGAGAAAAATTGTTGACGGGGGTCCTTAAAAACTCCCTAAGTGAACCATGTTTAAATTTTCATTAAGATTCTTGCGACAGCTCTTGGCACAGCCGCCACTGCCCAATCCTTGGATGATCGAGGTTCGGTCACTGCTTGGGTCGCGATCGAAGATGCCTACAGCAGTCTCTACGACGCGATTTTGAGCGCGTACTCGGGTACAAACATTGGTTCCAGGAAGGCCAATCGTTTTCGTGATTTCTACAACAAAGTGAACAATTTTCCTTCCCGAGTTTCCGATTCCTGCGCCAATTTCGCTGGCTCTGGCGATCCAAACGCTTTCGTCTTTCCACACTACGACGAGAACGACATCTGTCACTCCCTCAACAATCTCATTGCATCTATCATGAGCTTTCACGATGCGTTTGTGTGCATGGACGGTCTCAGCGGATATGCTCCGCAAAGAATGATCCATCTCATTCATCGCCAGCGCTCGATGCTCTTCAATAGAAAATTCAAGCAGCTCAATTGCGATCTTCCTCTCGCACCCACCCCTGCTCCTTGCGAATCCGATCCTTGTGACGGCCTCGAAAACTGCGAAACTTTCATCAACGGCTGCACCTTCTTCCCCGTCCGAAACAATCTTGTTTCCACTGTCCAATCGGCACTCGACTACAAGTTCTCTGCTGAAGTACTTTGCAACGCGGAGCCTAATGGAAGCTTCTACAATCTTTTCCACGTCACACGAGGTGGAGATTATGGAGAAGTTGGCGATCGAACATTCGCTCTTTGGCAAAACTTCTTTGGCGGCCTCCAATTGAGTGTCAACGATGCTGACAGCAGCTATGGTCAAAGATTAGACGCTTTCTCTTGCAGCTATGGCGAATGGGAAACGTACTCGGTGGAAGTGAGACAGATTTCCGGAAGTGGAGATGTTGAGTACGTTACGAAAATTGGAGATACGACACTTCACTCGTCGCGGTACAGCGCTTCCGCGCTTCCAGCTGGTTTGGATCTCCAAGTCTTCGTCGCCAGTGACTTCAACAATGCCGCCACTAACTACGGCCTCCGCAATTTCTACTACCAGACTTTCGATCCCTGCGCAACCAGAACCGATCCATGCACCGATCTCGCCAGCTGCACCACAGTTGTCGATAGCTGCGAATTCAACCCAGTCGACAATGTTGCGAAGACCGTCGTTAGCGCTGCTGCGAATTACAAGGTTTCCGCCGACATTTTGTGCCCTGATAGAAACGCATGGACTAACATGGTTCATCTCACCAGCGATCCAGGCGCATTCGACGACACAAGCTATGCTGGAAATCGACAATTTACGGTGAAAAAATCGCCAGATGCTGGATCCATGGAAGTCAGTTTCCACGACCCGAATTGGACGAACAAGAGGTATTACTTCAGGCAACTATGCACTGTTGGCGAATGGAATACATACTCGCTGGAAGTGAATCAAGTCGAAGGTGATCCATCGACGCTGCGTTGGATTTTCAGATTTGACGGCACACAGAGCAGGGTTCTCGATAAAGCAAAGCTCTTGATTGAGTCAATCGAGGATTGATTAAGCACGTTAATTATTCGTCGAAAACCCTGATAAAGATAAGGACGGGCACAAACACCCTCAGCGGAGCGTACACAAGCGGCGATCTCAACGCTTTTGTTTACGATCTCCTACCGAACTCTGTTCGAAACTTCTCCTACCAAACCTTCGACAATTGAAGATCCAGCCGTCGACCGGTCAAACTTCTGACCAACCGCGATCTCAGCGCGATCGTCTCTCATAAAATTTTTTGTGCTGTTCCCTTGTTTCGGAGTTTTCAATTTCTGAATTTGAAAAAAGATCAAATTCTTGAAAATTCTTTCTCCTGTTTTCTCTTTAAATCAAAATATAATCTCTGTTTTATCAATTTCTCAAAAAGTGACACCCTTAAGTTTTTTTATTCGAGAGATAATTTAAGTTGATCTCCTTCTTTTCGACCAAATTTTTGTATAAAATTATTCTTTAAAATGGCTGAAAATGCTAAAAAAAACCTTAAGGGTGTCACTGTGAAAACTCAAAAACGGAGTAATCTCGTCGTTTTTTAATTTAAAAAAAAAAGTTCTCTGCTTCATTTATCTTATAATCAATACATTTAAACCTTAAGGCTAGGGTGGTCGATTTGGCCCAAAGCAGGGCTCATAAACTCTGGACTTGTGAATGCCAGAGTACCCCATAATAGCTTTAAATAGAGATCCATCCTAGATCTTATGAACTTATGAAGGAATTTTTTTATTCTTTATCAAGTATTCCAAAATTTCAAGGCATTTTATTTCATAAATCTGGTTTAATCAATCAGTTCCATCTATACATTTCTCCGCAGCAAATAATAATAATCCATCTCATCTCTTCTGATCCACTCTTAGACGAGCAGCCATTATCGCTCCCGACCTCCTTTTTCGTTTCAATCTGAGAAATGAAAGATGAGAGACACGCTCCTTTCGAACGAAAATCTTTTTCTGCTCCAGAATTTTACTTTTGCACTGATTTTAGCCACGGTTTCAATTACGGTATCAAAATTTCTGTTAAAAAAATACTTGCGAAGCCGGGAAAGCAATCTTTTTCTGCGTCTTTATGCTGATGAACTACCTAAGAATGACAGTAAGCGACGTCTTGAAATTTCTTCTCGAAATCGCGCGGATCAGCCGTCAAAAGACATTTCTTGCAAGTTCACTTCAGCCACGTTATGAGCTCATTTTCTGAGAATAAAGAAATGGATCGATAACCAATTTATTAAAACACAAGTTGAGGTAAGAATGGAAACAGCTCAAACAATAAATAAACATTCAAACTTTACACATAAACAAATCTTGAGTCCGGCTGGGGACTGCTCGTGACCGGCTGAACTGGCTCAAACGATTCCGCTCTAGAATCTCCAGCCAGAGAAGATTTTTCTTCAATCAAATTCGATTTTATACAGCTTGAAGAAGTTGTCGTTGAATTATCCGACTTCCAGCTCCAGTTTTTGATCGTTTTCGCTAAAAATGGAATTTGAGAGATTCTCTTCCTTGATTTCAATTCGCTTACAATTAGCGATCCAGACGAGTGGGGCAAGACCAGGCGCTAGAACCACAAAATACTTGAAAATTATCAGTCCAGTCGAAGCAGGCTCGATTTCTGACTTTTCCATTGGGCAAGGGACGATTAGTTCCATGCAGTTGTCTTCGTAAAACTTCTTTTCCCAGGATCGTTGATGATCTGCTTCGTAGAACTTTAACAGAAGCTGGATGAAACTCGGGATGAGAATGGACAACGAAAAGACCGTCAATCGCAAGACGAAGATTTGAAGCTTCTTGTTCGAATTTTTGTCGATTTTGATTGTGTCTTTTACTTTTCTTAGAGCACAGAGGCCGATCGCGAATGCGAGGGTTCCAAAGATAGAGCAGAAGGCAAGAGGGAGGAAGGTCATGGTCCAGCGGGAGAAATCAGAGTTGGAGAGAACGCAGATTTCGAGAAAGGGATCCCCCTGGATCTATGAAGAAAAATTGAATAATAAGCCGGTGATACAATTTTTACCTCGTGTTTTGAGACGCCAACCATGGTAAAAAGCGCTGGAAGTCCCCAACCAAACACATGCAACAGCGTACTGCTCGTAGCAATCGCCTCAGAAGACCACTGAAAGACCGAAGAAAGACCCCATGACATCGTCAAGGAAAACCACCAACAAAGAGCGGCCACTAAAAAAAGCTCATTAGCCAGAGTTTGAGATGGAATGATGACGTTTGTGAATTTTGGTAAATTTTTATTTGTTTGACGTCGCTGGATTGTCAAAATACTGTCAATATCTGTTACTACGCCGTTTTTGAAAGAGAAATTTTTGATGAAATTTTTGCTGAATACAAAATTCTGAAAGAAAAACTATTTTTTTTTTGTTTCGAAAATAGGCTTTTCGCGCGTTGCCAAAATTGAAGTGCACTTTTGCGCCATCAAGTGTGTAAAGCCAGTCTTTGGCGAAGTGCCCTTGAGATTGTTGAGAGTGGCCTCTCTTTTTTTGCAAAATTGATATTTTCGTGGCTTATAAAATTCCGTCCGCGCGCCAAGTCAAGATGATATTTTGGGAAAAAGAAAAGAAGAAAACAAGCACTTACTGGAAAAGTAGAAGAAAAGCATGAACATGATGGTGCAGGGCCGATGGGTGGATCCTTGAATTAGTCCTGTTCCTTGGACAATCGTCTTTTTCAAGGTTGAAAATTCTATATTTTCGGGATCGTTTGAGAAAAAAATTTCAAAAAAATGACCCGAAATTATGAGATTTTGGTGAAAATCGACTATTTTCGGTCAAAAATTGGTTCAGAAATTTTTGAACCAATCAGATTTTCGCATTGAGCGGCTAGGCAAATCAGATTTAAAAAAAAAATTCTCGAAATTTTAGTCAAAATATCGGCCGAAAATTGTCGAATCTTGCCGAAAGCCCAATTTTTCGGATTATTTTTCGAAATTTTTCCCTTCTAGAAATTTCCATTTTCAACCCTTCCTGATCCTCATTGACTTCCCTTTCCGAGCAAACGATGCTCTCCGGCGAAACCAATCCGACAACACATATCAGCGAAATCACCAAATAGCACATCGCAAAAAAACAGCGTCGGCCGCTCTGGATATTGAAATCGTTTCTCATCTCGCGAAAACACAAAGATCGAGAAGCCGGAAACCACTGCTGTCAAGCTGGCGAAAAGACCAACGACGATTCTGATCAGCTTCGTTTCTTTTTCGCTCTTGTTCATTGGCTCGCAAGGTTGAGAGCAGCTTGGAAGATCCATGAAGCTCCAGGAGGAGTATTTAGCCCGCTGAGTTGTCGGACATTGAGGCTGATGCTCGACAAGAGAGGATGAGTCATCGTTGTTCCAGCTCAGCGTTCCGTCTGGAAGAGGGAGGGATTCGGACTGGAGGGGAATGCAACTGTGCCCGTCGTTTTCTCGCGGGAAATTGAGGCAGTGGAATTGTGGAGGGAGGAAAATGTCGAATTCCTCAAGGATGGAAGCGCAGTCGGACAGGGATTTTTCGCAAAGTTCTCGGCATGGAGGAACGGGGATGAGAAACGGAAGCGTTCCTGAAATATTTTTTAAAGATTTTTTATTTTTAATAAAAAATTGTTATTTTTTTATAAAAAAAAATTATTACTTTTTATAAAAAAAATATCTTATTTGTAAAAAATATCTATTTATTTAAAAAAAATTCTTTTAATGAAAAATAACTATTAATTATTTATAAAAAAATATTTATTTTTTCCTTCAAAAAGATCACCGAAAGCAAGAAAAATGAAGGAATTGCATCAAAAACGAAAAATCATCTTATCTCGAAAAATCAACAAACGATTAGTCTTAACAAGCCCGTAAAGCAAATTTCCTAAAATCTCCATATCACTCATTTCCAAATCCGGTTCCCACGGATTCGTTTTTTACCTGAAAGATTTTCGTCCACACAAGCAGGCGACAAAACGGAGCAAAGAAACAGGTTGATGTATTTTGAGCATTGCATCATTTTCAAAGGATAAAACTTGGCGAATGACTCGTTGGATTCTTCTGCTGACCATTCGCCCAAGAGATTTGGGTAGAAAGTCGAGTTGTAGGCCTGGAAATTGGAGCCGCATTGGGCGTGAATGGAGTTGATGCAGCGAGCGGATTCGGAGGAGTAGATCAGCAGAAAGAGAAGAAATAGCCTTAAAAGAGCGTCAGAATTCGAGCGACACTGGGAAAGTCGCTGAATGTCGCTGAATGTCGCCAAATGTCCCCGAATGTCGCTAAATGTCGCCGAATGTCGTTAAATATCGCGACATTTACCGACATTCGGGGACATTCGGCGACATTCGGCGACATTGAGCGACATTCGGCGACATTTAGCGACATTTGGCGATTTTAGGCGATTTTCCCAAAGACGCCCTAGAATTTAATCTTATAGAAATTAGTTTTGGTGATGAACGAAAAAGTTTGTTACTTGACTTTTTCGGCCAGCCTGTTCAAACATTCAAATATTTTCTTTGCCCCATCAAGTTGCCCCTCTTGCCCGGGCGGGTCATGGGTTAGTTATTCTGACTGGCGAAACGTTCTATTGTTCAATGTCTTCGGATGTGTTTCTAAGGAGCGATGGGATTCACGGTCACTTGGCCAAAGATCCGCTGCTGAATTAACTCAACTCAAAGTTAATCAAACAGAAATAAAACAACCACCGTTTTATGATCTTCAAAAGACTCTCGATTATCGTTCCCAGGGCTAGGGTTCGGCAACCTGTGAAGAAGACCTGAGTCAGGAATCTGAGTTTTTAATGTTTTCTTAGGATCCTGGCTCAGGTTTTCATAAGACAAAATATGCCCGGAAACCTGAGTCATGGTTCTGAGTTTTTAATTACTCTTTAGGACCCTGACTCAGGTTTTCAGAAGCGAAAATCAACCCTGATCACGGACCTGTGTAAAATCCTGAGTCAGGGTCATGAGTTTCTAGTGTTCTTTAAGGACCCTGACTCAGGTTTTCTGAGAACGAAATTAACCCTTGTTTTGACTCAAAAACCTGTGAAAAAACCTGCGTCAGGGTCCTGAGTCTTTTTTGTCAAAGCTTTTTCAGGACCCTGACTCAGGTGACCTACACACGTTTCTTTCGTATCGGGTCATTCTTATGTAATTATGAGCTTTTAATGAAGATAATCCTGAAAAAAAAGCGGCGATGATTGTTTACCAAATTCGAAAATAATCTGCGGCCGGTTGGTGTCAACTCATCAAAGGGAAAACACCGCGCGTCAATCAAGTTTCTAAAATTTTCGCCAAAACAGTGCCAACTCGGATTATGCCGCATTTGTGGATCATCGCTCCTCCAAGAATAAATAAATCCGCTTTTAAATAATAACTCCAGTCAACAAAATCGCAAAACCAGCGCTCAGTTTCTTCAAAATGACAGTAATGGACGAAATTAAGCTCCAGTATAATTTCGAGAGCTTGTTGCATAAATCGCAGCCAGGAAAAAAGTCGGGTCCGAAAATGTTAATTTCCTGGCTCATACAACTCAAAAGGTCAAACCCAGCCGATGGGAAGTTTTGACAGCGGGCGAATTTCGCGTTCGAAATTGGACATTTTCCAAAAAAGAATTTTCAATATTTTTTTAATTAAAATTTTTTTCACTTCCACATGCTTGAATTCAATCTTAGTATTTTGAATTGTCGGATCAATTTTTCGAAGGTTACCCCCTTAAGACCATCATCGCCCACTTTTGAGAATAAGGGTCTGACTGTATAAAACATACAGTATCATATGTCACATATGATACTGTATTTCACATATGCTACCGTATGTTTTATACAGTCAGACATTTATTTTCAAGAATCGGCGATGATGGTCTTAAGGGGGTAACGTTCGATAAAACGATCCGACAAATTGAAATACCAAGATTCAATTCAAACATGTGGAAGTGGTAAAAAATTCGCATCAAAGCGGAAATTTCAAATTCGTCAAGCAACGGATGCATTTTTTGAGTTTTGTGACACTACCAAGCCAAGGGTAAACAAACTCTCGCCAGATATCACTTCCGGTGATGCGAAATGCCCTTTTTCCATTCGAATTTCTTCTTGGCTTTTTTCCGCTTATCACCGGCTTAGAAATCGAAAATTTCTGGAGAGAGATTTTTGATTTTTTAATCCGTGATGCTCTTTTTAATTTTACAAGCCGCAAGAGTCTCCCACCACGGCGCTAGAATGCTCCGGCGACCTAATAAGATTTCGCGGCGGAAGTTTCGCAAATTATTCAAATCAATTAGCCATGGAATCGAGCATCTCCTTCCTCGCTCTTTTCAAAAGCCTTGTTCACCCCCTTTTTTCAAGGGGGCCGAAAAATGGCCCCTTAGTTACGAGCAAATATTTTTCGCGAAGAAACAACAAATTGTACCGCTATCGCGTCAATTAAAAATCGCCTTCCCGAAAAATGCCCTAAGTTTGTTTTTCTTCAATAATCGCCATTTTTGGGCCTTTTGCAAAGTTTCAAATTTCGATTCTTGGAAATTTATTTTTCCATGATTGGGGGAGAGGGAGAGTGATAAGGATTTTGAAACAGGTGGCGGCGCGGGTGAGCCTTCCGCTTATCCGGATTTAGGGGCAGATAAGGGACAAAGAAGCGTTGAAGAAGCGGTTAGGGAAAATCCTATAAATTTTTGACGAAATGGAGGGTTCGGCGAGAAAATGTCCGATTCGCTCATTTCTAGCTCGAAAACCGCTCTGAATCCGCTCAAATTTTTTGAGTCAAAAGTGCTATTTGAAGAAAAAGCTCAAATTCAGCTCATTTTTGCTCAAGCTCAGCTCATTTTTGCTCAAATTAAGCTCATTTTTGCCCAAATTCAGCTCATTTTTGCTCAAATTCAGCTCATTTTTGCTCAAATTAAGCTCATTTTTGCTCAAATTCAGCTCATTTTTTCTCAATTCAGCTCATTTTTGCTCAAATTCAGCTCATTTATGCTCAAATTCAGCTCATTTTTGCTCAAATTTCGCTCTTGCTCCGCTCAAACTGAGCCCATTGGGGAACGTGAATTCTAGCAAGAAAAAACCGATCTCACTCTTTTTATTTTAAAATATTCGATTCGATTATTCGAGCAGGTGTTTATCGCTCGGTTTTGGTATCTCAGCGGTTTGACCACAAAACAACTCTTTGACATGCTGTTTCCTTATCAGCCCCTGCCTTCTACGACAAACAATTTCTTCCCTTTCGGGATCGATACAAATCCTCTGAGAAGCCGATAATTGACACTGGCGGAAACAAAATGCAAATGTAGAAACGCAATTTCACGTAGTGCAAATATCAAGAGTCGAGCAACTAGATTTTCAAAGGCCGAAAATATAAAGAAAATTCTGCGTCACTAGAAATTATTCTCGAAAAAAATATGAAAAAAACGAGATTCTGCATTTTTTAGTTTTCAAAATGACACCCTTAAGTTTTTTCGCATTTTAACTGAAATCGGTTCAAATGATTTTAAGATAGTGACACCCTTAATTTCTTTTTTTAATTCGAAGGTTAAAACCAAAATTTCAGCCATTTTTAGTCAATTTTGACCAAATTTTGGTCAAAAATGGCCTTAAAAATTGTTGAAATTTTGGTTTTAACCTTTGAATAAAAAAAAATTAAGGGTGTCACTATCTTAAAATTATCTGAAACGATTTCAGGGAATTTATATTTCCCTGCATATAAACCCTAGAAAAGAAAAAGGGGTGCGGGTATTTATCGAATTTCAATTCTTGTCGTTTGTTTCCCAAAACACAGGATTTTCGTGAACCACTTATTTCCCAAACAATTGAAAGTACAAACTCAATTACAAAAACCGAATTCCCCCTTCTCTTTCGCCATAAATTCTAGTTGCAGCTGAGGCCCGAAAAACTGTCTGTTTGAGGTCACAGGTGAGCTTGTAGGCAATAAATGGATTTTCCTGAGTACTGATTGTAAATCAATTCTTTGATTTGAGCTGAAAGAGCTCTTCAGATTTTGCTCTCACGAGCGCATTCCAAACATTTTATTTTCCAACAGAGGGTTTTTTGGTCTTCACAAAACTTTTTTTATAATTTCAAAAGGGGGTTCGATTTAGGGTTAGGGTTACGGTAAGAACTTCGTTCAGCACTAGAATTGCTGCATTAGGGTTAGGGCTAGGGCTTTGTTCGGCAATTAGACCTGTGTTAAGCCTTAGTCAGGCCCCGTTTCCTGTTTAAGGGCCCCCCCCGTCAGATTTTTCTTCGAAAATGGAAATTTTCAAAAACACCATATTTTTGGTTCTAGATGCGGCATCAGGTTAAAATTGCTTCAAAAACTTAAAAAGATGAATTTTTGACCAAGAAAAATCAATATTTTTTGCAAAAATTAGGGCAAATTCGTCGGTTTTCGGTCAAAAAACCAATTTTGTCTCGAGGGAGTCGACATAGAGCCCAAAAAATGAAGCCTCAAAATCGTTTTTCAACCCGTAGAATTTATTTCCGGGGTCAAAATCAAATAATTCTGAAATTTTATTTTTCGCAAAACGCAATTTATAATTTTTGTTTTTTCATTTTTGAAAATTATTACCTCATTTGCCCCATTTTCTTCATCTGTCCAAACATCCTTCTTTACTATCTTCTTCACTATAAAACTCTCTCATTCAAACATTCTCTCTCTTCTTTTCCAAAATAAAAATCTTTTAATAGCTTCTTATCAATCTTGAGTTAATTCTACGATGCGCAAAATTCAGCGCTGCGTTATTACCCGCTGGCCAGGTTCGCCAACTTTTAGCGTAGCCAAAGCGCCACAGCGCCGAATTCGCAAAAAAAACGGAATAATGTTCAAACAAAGAAGACAAACTTCGAATAATGCAAAAGAAGAATGGCCGCTGGACTTGGAAGGCCGCAGCGAGGTGTTGAATTATTCTTTTCATCCTTTTAGGAATTTTTAATTGTCGCGTTTTTCAAGGGTTTTTCGAGGGTTCGAGGCTTGCTTTATTCTTTTATGATGTTTTTTCTGAGTTTTGACGCTCAAAAATGATAAAATAAAATTGAAAACTCAGATTTTAAGACCTCGAAAAAGCAAAATTTTGATAGTTTTCTGTCAAGAAACAAATTTACTTGAAGTATTTTTTGAATTTTTTTTGTATTTGAAAATCGATTCTTGAATAACTGGGAAAATGTGTGTTGGAATCGGCTACTGACAAAATGATGAAAAGAAAAACGGCGGCGCCATCGACAGAATAATCAAATCGGTCTTCATTTCTGATCGGCCACTCAAAATTTTCAGCCATGATGGCGGCTTTCGTGACGCTCTGCTGGAATAATTGATAGACCTTTTTATGGGTTCAAATTTTAAATTCGCAAATAACCAAGGTCAAAGCTTGAAACTAAACAATTTACGAGCAGTCCTCTTCGTCTCCAGGTGAAAATGGCGATATCGCTTTTTTACTGTTCCGAATAAATATCAATGTTCTTGATTTCAAATAGAAATTTTTACTCGAAGCTGTTCTCTTTTTGGCCATTTTGAAGAAAATGAGCTGGAGAAACAACCATCCAAAGCAATTGAGCAGAGAAAAGGTTGAAAACTGGCTTCGAGATTTTTTGCCTAGATTGAAAAGAACAACGACGAGGACTCCTCAATGTCGGTTGATTTCAAGCGTAGAAAGACATGAAATGATTGATGACGATGATAGTGATGTTGTTGCCTTCAGATGGCATTATTTATTTTTCGTCGAACAAGAGGAAGATATTTTTGCAATTATTCATGAAAGCAAAAAACATTATGGTTTACTTCTTGCTTCAAAATTTCAACAAGAACTTTTGGCAGCAAATGCTAATCTCTCGGGCAAAATTTTAAGCCGATGGGATATCCTCGAAGAAAAAGGAAATTGGATTATCGATCAGAGTTTTGAAGACGACATTATTTCAGAAGGTGGTGAAGCAATAATTATTGCTCAAAATTTCGAAGATCTCAAAACTGCAGTCCGTGTTCATGTTTTTGATCCATTTCTTTTTACGGAGAATTTTTCATCAGACTTGCTTGATTATGAGATTCGTCTTTCTTGCGGTAGGTTTACGAAATTTAACATCACTGACATATTTAAAATACATTATTTTTAAGACTTTGAAAAAGCAGTTGATAAGGAAGACGGCATTATACAGGTTCAGAATAGAATCTTGGAGAAAATACCGTTTCATGAAAATGTTATCAAGCATTTCGTGAACATAGAATTCTTTATCAAAAATGATGTTGATCGTGAAGATTGTATTGGATGGATAACAATTATGGAGAAGGCGGATATGAACATACGAGGATTATTGAACCAAAATAAGCTCAGCATTAGAGAGAGAAGAAAAATTGCCATTGCTGTCTCTTCTGCTTTTGATTATTTAGCTAATAACGGTATCCTTCATCTTGACTTGAAAATGGAAAACATACTACTGCTGAACTCTGTGCCCAAAATATGTGACTTCGGGATCGTTCAAGAAACAACGAGAAGGCTTGGTTATCGTCAGATGGGATACACTCGGAGAGGGTCAAAATATAGATTAGGACCTGCTCTTCGTACGACAAACCAAGCTGTTCTTATTTAAAATATATTTTAGATGCAGGGTCACCTGCATTTGCAATCATGACGCAGTTAACAGCTGGTGATTTTCTACCCCAATCGATTTGGATATTTTTAATCTGCCGCTGGAAGACGGCATGGAATCTTTTATTCAAACCAATAAGCCATGAAGAGGAAATTGAAATTGATGGCAGAATCAAGGTTTGCTTTTTCTATCAATTTTACATTGAGAATGTATTTAATGCAATTATTCTAAGGAATTCAACGGAGAACAGCTCAAAGCAATCTTTATGAATAATAAGCAGTTTACAACCGAATTCTTTGAAAATATCGAGTTGATTTCTCTTCCAGAAACCGACGATAAATTTTGCCTTGATGACGAGAATCTTACACAGTCTTGCCAAGTATCAAGCTTGAAGAAACGAATAACAAAATTCATCAATTCCGAAATGAAAAATGTGACGAAAAAAATGATCAATCAAAAAGACAGCAATCTGTGTGTTCCGATATCAGTGACGAACCTAATTCGTTTTGCGATGGACGCAGATCTAAAATTCGAAGAAAGGGATATATCTCACTCGTTTGAGAACATTTTGATGACAATAACAATGATTATTTACCCGAGAAGCATGTCTGGTTTGAATCTAAAACCACGAGAAAAAGAAAAATCAGGGCAATTTACTGACGTTGAGATTCTTTTGGAGCGAATGTGCAAGAAAACATATCTGATGCCGAGTGGATGGGACATTATTTGTGACCTTGGTAGTCGAAATTTAGATGATGGTCGGCCAGATTTAGATAATCCACAGCCACCGAGATCTTTTTGCGAATATAGTTCAGGTAATATTTGAGAAGATATAAGAGCGAAATATCGTGATCATCATCATCTTGTTTTATCTAAGATTTATTATTTTTAAAAATAATCTAATTCTTTAGTAATTCTCCACCAAGGATTTATCTTTACTCGACCTTTAACAGCAACTGGAGTTTTACTACATATAAATGAAGAAAACAAAGAAGAAGTGTTTTTTCATCAGATGACAATCGACAGAGTTGAAGACGGATTATACATCCTCCAGAACACTCAATTCTCCACAGAATCACCGAAAGCTCACGAAACACCAACTGTTAAAATTCCACTTTTTGATCCCTACTACGTGAACGCCGAAGACTTCTGGCATCATTATCAAATGAATGGAAGAGCAATTTTGATCGAAGATGACTATACAATTGAAATTGTCAATGAAAGGCACCCTGACATGAAAACAGGAAGATGGTATCTTTGTCCGGAAGCCTATTCTCTTGAGCTCATTGAAGAATTAACCGAAGAAAGTCGGATTTATTTGTAAAAATGCTGCTTCTAAAGATTGATTGAAATTATCTTGAAATTATTTTATCTATGAAATAAAGTCTGATTTCGTCTATTTTGAATTGATAGCTTTTCAACGCTCTTCAAGGTTTGACTTGTTTTCCAGCTAGTGCGCGCGGAGGACTTTTCCCACTGGTCTTCTCTGAGCGCGGAAATGTCGCGGAGGAACTATAGAAAAAATAGCGAAAACCTTCAAGTTTACAAAATCAGCTAAATGAATATTTCTAGTTCAGTTTGTTATCGAAATCGTTTTGAAAGAAATTTGAATCTGCCAATGTCGTGAGAGAGAAAAGGAAATTTTGAAGAAAATGAAGTTTTTTCTTGCCTTTCTCTTGGCTGTTGAAGGATGCATGCCGAAAATGGAAGCCCTCGTCGAAGGAATTTATTGCGGAAAGGAAACTTGCTACGAAGTTCTAGAGGTGAGTTGATGAGAAATGGATGAACGGCGAAGCATGCATTTTAGGTTGATCCTGAGTCGACAGATAAAGAAATCAAGAACGCATACAAAAAACTGGCGAAAGAAAATCATCCTGATCGGTTCTCTGGGCAGAATTTATCGAACGAAGAAAAGAAAGATCTCGACTTGAAATTCCAGCGAATCGCCAAGGCCTACGAAACTCTCAAAAGTAACCTCCCTTCCTCTTTTCCTTCTCAATAGTTCTAGGCGAGCGGGAAACTTACGATGATTTCTTACTGCACCCAGAAGAGTACTACCATTTGTACTATCAATACTACAGGAGCAAGTTTGTCTCGCCAGATGTTGACATGAGACTCGTTTTCTTCGTCCTCGCTTGTGGTGAGTTTGTTTCACCTTTCTAGGGCTATTTTCCGCTTTCAGGAATTTCATCTCTTCAGTGGATCGGTTGGCAGTCAAACTACAGAAATGCGATTGATTATATGGCGTCAGTGGATAAATATAGACTTGGTAAGCAAAAAAACTCGAAGAATTGGCACTGAATTAGTCTTCTAGCGGCGAAAAGAGAAGCAGAAGCTCGAGGATTGATTGGAAACAAGAAGCAAAATCGTGGGAAATCGCAGATGGAAATTAAGGAAGAAGAAAGAAAGCACATCCTGGCGATTATCGAAGAGAAAGTCGACATTAGAGGAGGCTACCAGAAACCTGTTTGGACTGATATCTTTCTGGTTTGACAAAATTTTCGGCCCCTTTTGTTGCATTTTTTAGGTGCAAGTATGTATGTACCCTCTTTACTTGTTTCGCTGGGTGAAGTGGCATATTCGTTGGTATGTGTTGTTCACGATTCAAAAGCAACCGTTTGGAGAAGAAGAGAAATTGTACCTCATGAAGAAACATCTGAGCCCTCCGTCGAACGCGGCATGGGAAGAAATGCTCGATAAACATAGAGACGTCTTCTTCAAGTAAGAACTTCTATTTGAAACTTATGCCAATTCATTTTTAGGCGAGGACTGTGGATAAAATCACATGCGGAAGAATACATAAAAGAGCAGGAACAAAAAGAAAGAGAGGAAAAGTATGTTTCTTCATGAAAAATTAGCTTGAGAATCAAATCCATTCTAGGGCTAATTCCGCGAGATGGAAGCAATATCGTCGTTACATGAAATCAGAAGCCGCCAAACAAACGATCACTTTTGAAGATTAGACGAAATCAATTGAAAATTTTCGTTTTAGAATTTGTTAAATTAGCCGAATACGAATCCGACACTTAGACAGTTCATTTATCTATTTGTGATTCCCTAGAAAGCTCCTTGTCAGTTACCTATCAACCCTTTTTATTAGCAGCTGTACTGTGCAATACCATTAAATACACTATTTTCTTCGATTATTTCCGCTTTTCGAACAACGAATTTTTGCTTAAGAATGTCGAAAATCTTGAACATCAACGTCGGCGTCCTTGGCCACGTCGATTCCGGCAAAACCACTCTTTCAAAGGCTCTTTCCCAAATTGGCTCTACCGCGAGTTTCGACAAAAATCCGCAAAGCAAAGAAAGAGGAATCACGCTCGACCTCGGATTCAGCAGTTTTTGATGAAGTCCAATGCGCCCGAGTTCGATCAAGGTGAGAAATCATCCCTTTTTTGAAGAGAAAGAAAGAAATTTTAAGTGAAGTGAGATTCACGCTCGTCGACTGTCCTGGACACGGCTCCTTGATCAAGACCGTCATCGGTGGTGCGTGTATCATCGACATGATGATTCTAGTGATCGACATTACTAAGGGCGTCCAAGCTCAAACGAAAGAATGCCTGGTTATTGGAGAAGTGATCAATACTCATCTCCTGGTCGTGTTGAACAAAGTAGATCAGCTACCGGAGAAAAGTAGAGACGAGAAAGTGAAGAAAATGACGAAACTTGTGAAGGAGAAGATCCTCTCGAAAATACAGGTGATATTTTTTTCCCTATTTCTGCCATTTAAGTTCAAATTTTAACCCCTTAAATCTAGTTCAAAACTGCTGAAATCGTTCCCTGCTCAGCCTTCTCTGGCAAAACCGAAAAAGTCGTTGAATTCTTCGAAAACTTCAAGTACTTCCCTGATCGAACGAGTCTCCTTGAAAAGCCTTTTCTGATGTCAATCGATCACTGCTTCCAAATAAAAGGCTCTGGATCTGTGTTTACCGGAACCGTTCTCGCTGGAAAAGCCGCCGTTGGGGAGAACGTCGAAGTTGTTGGCCTTGGAGAAGAGAAAAGAATCAAGTCGATTCAGATCTTCAAAGAAGCGAAGAATGAAGCGGTTTGTGGCGATAGGGCGGCGATTTGCGTGTCGAACGTGAGCTTAAAAATCCTTTTTCATTCAATAATGAGTTCTAGTTTGACGCGAAGAAACTGGAACGCGGTCTTCTCGCCTTCCCCAAATCCATCAAAGGCATTTCCCATGTCATGGTCAAGCTGAACAAAGTGAAACTGTACCAAGACGCGATCGAGTCCGGTCAAAAATTCCACGTAACATGTGGCCATCAGCTTGCGAATGCGAAGATAACGCTTATGAAAGATAGGAAAGGCGAAAAAGTAGACTTGAGCGAGGAGAGTTTCTTTGAGGGGAAGATATTCGATTTTGTGGACAAATTCGAGCAGGAAGATGAAAGCATTTTGGCATCTCTTGAATTCGGTAAGATGTCGATTGCCGCTTTTTGATGCCATTATATGTAAACAGAGGATACAGTCATTCTTATAGACATAAGACTTTGAATTCATCTCAATCTTCAGATCGGCCCATCTACTTCCTTCCAAACGGACTGCTGATCGGTTCGCGACTAGAATTGGACGCAAATACAACGGATAAATGCCGCATCGCGTTTTCTGCTTTTCTTGAGCCCCTCTCTACGAAAAACCCGAAAGAGCTAGTTGTTGTCAAAGAGAAAAGCAAAACGGGAACGGTAGAACGACTTCATGACGACAACACGCTAATTGTCAAAGATTTGTTCAAGAAGGAAACGAATTTGGACCTATTCAACAGGCTTAAAGGTAAGAATCAGAGGAGCAAAAGGTGTTGAATCAATTTAGTATCGCTTTCAACCGGCGAAAGTGCAATAATCGACGGAACTTTTGGAACATCAGGCAAAATAAAAATCTACAACTCTGATGGATTCGCCGAAGAAACGAAAGAACGCTGTAGAAAACCGAAAAAGGGCGAAAATCTCGGAAAACGAGAAGCGATAGAAGTGAAACTTGTATTTTTCAAAAATGTTAATTCCGATGACAAACACTGTATTCTTCAATTGTAGTCGCAAAAACATGATCTTCTCGAAAATTCCCGAAAAGGCGGAAAAGGATTATCGCCAGGCTCGTGATATTTTTTGCCTTGTTTGTTTCTAGAGTCTGTCTTTGGTTTGCTTCAATTTCAATTTCGTTCATTTCTTTTAGAAAGAGAAAAATAGAAAAATGAGTGAGCCAGAAACAAGTGAAAAAATGGAAACAAACGAGGAAGAAATCGTCGGGAAAAAGACCGAAAAAGATTCAGAAACACCGGAGGCAGAGGCAGAAGAAGTCGAAAAAAATGGAAGTTCCAGTTGAGCCAGAGTGGGAAGCGCCAACAGGTAAAAATGCCATTCTAGATGAAATTTACGAAGAGTTTTTTTTTAGCCGATGAAATGCGCGCTCGCCGACTAAATCGACTTGCCGCTCAGACAAATTCTGCGCCGCAGAATCCAACTCCAAGAGTTCAGCCGCCGCCTGAGTCTCCAAAAAAGCCAACTATCTCCGACGCGCCGCTAAAGAGAGGCCTTTCTTCGCCGTTGAAAAATCCCCCGGCTTCACATCGACTGAGAACGCTTTCCGGGCCGCAAAGCGTCAATAGAGTCAGAACGGCGAATGAGATCCTGTCGAGCTTGTTCAACGCGCATGTTGAGTTCTTGCAGTCGCTAAACGAGAACGACTGGATGAAGCAGCCGATTTGCGACTGCGAAGAAGAATTACTCGCAGAAACGATCACAGCGATTTTGATGAGGGAACTGTATTACTTGTCCCAGAACGATTCCACAGATGCTGCAGCGGCTCTTTCCAATAATGGTATATATTGAAGCAATTCTTGAGCTCTTAATAATCATCATTCTAGCGATTTATTCGCCGCCAACGTCGAAATTTGCAAACGGATTGCTCTACCTCGTCAAATGCCACCAGCGCTGCTCGACTCTCATCGCGGAGGGTAGTCCTGCAGAGCAGAAATGCGGCCACGCAACTCGTCAACTCATCGTCTCCCATTTCGTCCTCGTCTTCAGCGGATTCCTGGGCGTCGACTCGAAGGTCTCTTTCGGCGAGCTTTTCGGAAGACTGATGCTCTCGCAAAGTCTTTCTGAGGGGCTCCTCCCGGCTGTTCTGGAAGAATTGAACGAGCATGGAAAAGAACTGTTCGATGAGATTTTGACTGACGCCTTGAACGTCATCAGAATCGCTTCAGAAGTGACATCCTCTGCCTCCGAATACGCCGCATCACCGAGCACCTGTCTTGCAAACCTCGTCCAGTTTGTCCTCCCGGGAACAAAAATCCGTCCAGTTGTAAGTCTGCTTGTTCAGCGGGAAGACTGGCTCGTTACGGAAACTGAATCGAACCTGGTTGCATGTGAAATGGCTTGCAAGTCGTATTTAGGCTCGTTTTTGAGCTTTGGTGTTTCGGATGATCCTGATATTTTGGCTTCTTTTACAAATTTGGAGGACATAAATCACAAGTAAGTCAAAGCGCGACCTAAATTGATATAAATAAAATTTAGGGTCCGATCTCATATCGCCAAAAACCTCCTTCTGCGCCTCGAAATCCCGCGGCAAAACTTCTTCATCATCATCGAAGGAATCCTGAAAAACGGCGATCCAGCTGTCCAGTCCCGCGAGAAAATGGTCTCCTGGCTAGCCGAAATGGCTCAAGTCAACTTGAAACGAGCAGGATTGATGGCAAACGAGGGACAACTCGCTCCTCTTTCGATGGTGCTCAATATTATGCATGTTTTGCAGCAGATGTCGTCCAAAATCGCGACTTCGAAAATCGACGAAAAGTATATCTTCAGAAAAACTTGCCGGACAAAGGTATATTTTCTTGTAAATCACTTATTAAAATCAATTTACAGCCGCTGAATGACACGACAATCGCTTCAAATAACACGGACCTGGAAAAGTTCTCGAGCTCTCTTCCCGAATCTGAATCAAAGTTTCCCACCGAGTGTTTTTGGCTCACAGTTCTTTATCACCACATTTGCCTTTCATCCTGGGGTCGGCAAAAAATGGTGGAAGTGGTGGGTGGGTGGGTGGTGGGTGGGTGGTGGTGGGCTTCCCACCCACCACCACCCACCATCACAATTCTTCAAAATTCGAAAATGGTGGGAAATGGTGGGTTTTTTTTTGGCCGAAAATTTTGGGAGCCCCAAGTCAAAATTTTGTTCTTGAACAGTTGTTTACTAATTAGAGCATTTTGAAAATAAATTGTTCTAGATTAGCAGAATCACTGTTATTGTCATCAATTAGCACTAGAATTTGTTAAACATGGCGTCAGATGGTCTTGGAACATGGTCTTGGAACATCTCAAACAACAAGTTGTCTGGAGAGAGGTTTCAGTAAGACATCAAGTCTCAAAAGACATCAAAGAGAGAATCTGACGTACAAAAGATGTTTAGCGATCCTTCGTGCAAGAGTCTTCAAACGAGCAATAGATTATTTGAAAACTATTTAATATTTAGTTACTTTATTTTCTATATCATGAATAAATATAATCAAAGAATTTGAGATAAAAGTAATCTATTTTGTATTTTTGGGCCCCGAAAAATTTTATTCAAAATCATCGACCCACCCACCACCCACCCACCATCACCATTGGAAATTTAACTTTACGAGTGGCCCACCCACCACCACCCACCAGCGATCGGTGGCTTGCCGACCCCAGCTTTCATCGGAGCTGAAGAGGATAGACAGGAAAATGAAGGAAATGACCCATTATGTCCGTGAGCTCAAGAGGGTCAAAAACTCGAAGCCGAAAAATAACAGCGAAGAAATAAACAAAAGGTAATGATGAAGGACCAATATTGCCTCCTATTCAATTTTTAAGCTCATCACCCAAAAACTCACGACGATGATCAAAAAGTGCATGCGTGCCATAATCGCCACCGAAGCCTACTACCACAATGAGCCCTTCTACGAGCGCACGCTTCATTTTTCGCCAAATTCGCTTCGATTCTCAAGAAATTCATGGTCGGCGGCGATGGTTACTTTGAGCTCCCTCTTCCGGATCAGCAGCCGCCAGAGTGGTCTAACTTTTTCGAGTGCTTCATTGAGGATTTTATTGAATTTTCGATCTTCATCTCAAGACAGGTACTGCCATCTTCATTCTTTCTTACAGGTACATCCTCTCTTACTAGTCCCTCACCGCAATGGTCGTTATTTTCAAAGAGCATCCAGAGTTTGTCGAGTTCATCACGATTTCCGCCACGTCGCCCAGTTATTATCGAAATCCGTATTTAGTCGCAAAATTCATCGAACTCATTTTCAACCTCCACCCATCGTAAGAGCGCTCCTGCTTGTTTCATAACTTAATTTTCTCCAAAAGGCACAATACGGCGAACGACCCGATTTGTTTCAACGGAATTGTGCAGCATGAATTTTCGAAAAAGCGATTAGCTCCTGTTTTGATGAAGTTTTATTCCGATGTCGAGCAGACCGGCGCTTCCAGCGAGTTTTATGATAAATTCTCCATTAGACATCATATTCAGGTGATTTCGAGAAGCAAAAATCATCTTATAGACTCCTTTTTTCAGGTGATTTTAATGACAATGTGGAAAGACCCGTACTACCAAGAGCAAATCGTCTCTATCGCCGAGTCCAGCCCCGAATTCGTCCGTCTAGTCAACATGCTCATCAACGATACGACATTCTTGCTCGACGAAGCGATTTGCAGCTTGAGAAAGATCCACGAAATCCAGGAAGAGATGAAAAGCGCCGCCTGGGCGTCCATGGACGAAGAGCAAAAGAGCGAGAAAGAACGGACCCTAATGTCGGAAGAAAGACAAGTTACAAGTTATCTGACGCTGGCGACGAAGACGCTGCAGACTTTTGGCGAACTGACAAAGGTCATTCAGAAGCCGTTCTTGAAGCCGGAACTGGCCGATCGACTGGTGGCAATGTTGAATATCAATTTGAAGCAGTTGTCTGGTGCAAAAGCAAGAGAGCTGAAAGTCGAAAACAAGCAGAAATACAACTGGAAACCCGAGCAAATGCTTTTTCTTCTCGCTGAACTGTATCTCAACTTACAAAGCGCATCGTTCATCGACTTTGTCGCCAAAGAAGAGCGCAGTTACTCGCCCGAACTCTTCACCGAAGCCGTCCAAACGATGACGAAAGTGATGAACATCACTCCTTCGTCACAGTTCACCCCAGAACGCATCGCCGAATGGGAAGAGTTTGCCAAAAGTTGCTCTTCGGCACTCGGAATTGCAGGAAGACGAGGAGGACTTTGAAGACGCGCCGGACGAGTACTTGGATCCGATTATGGGGACACTCATGGACGATCCTGTTTTGCTGCCTTTGTCGGGAATGGTGATGGACAGGGGAAACATCATGCGACATTTGCTCAACACGGAAAGTGATCCGTTCAATAGGAAGCGTTTCAGAGAATATTAGAAAAAGGAAAAGTTTTGCTCTTGAAAGTATAATCTTTTCGAAACTCATGTTAAAGACAGCCAATGACCGCTGCAGATTTGCAGGATCAGCCTGAGCTGAAAGCAAAGATCGAAGAATACCGTGCCTCCAAGAAGAAATAGACCCTTCAACAGCAACTCACAGACATGTCAAAGTTATCACCTGCTTTACCTTTTTCACAACTCCACCTTAATACACTTGGTTTTAAATAAATATTAATAATAAGTGCTACGATTGGTTTATTTCTATAATTATGCATACTTTAGGCTTCTTCAGACGCCCACAGATCCTTATCACTTTTCATGAACAGGTTGATATTGAGTCCAAAGTATTTATAGAGATCCGATCCAAGATTCGGATATGCTCCGGGCAGAGGAGCGACGGAGCAAACCACCCCGGGTTTTTTCTTGTTTGACCAGTCGGCAGCAGCGGGAAGGGTACTAGGATCGTAACCAAAGGCGATGCTAGCGGCGCGGCCCTGCTTGGACAAGAGCTTGAAACCGGGGCGAGAAACGAATGTGTAGATCTTTCCGTACTCGGAAGCTGCTGATTCTGATAGCGGAAGGGCGATCTCATCCGTTTTGAGCAATTCCAGCATTGAAGGAGAAGAGGTTTCAAAAGGGCAAGCGACGAGGAGGGTGAACTGAAAGTTTTTTCGTGAATTTATAACAATTGTCGCTAATTTTTACCTGCTCAACTCTCCAGCTGTTTTTCGTGATGACCATGTCTCCATAGTATTTATCGTTATACCACGGTTTGAGCTTGAGTTTATGAACAGCAAAATTTTCATTTTCGGATGAATACAATTTTACGATTTTGTGCGCTTGAATCGGTGACCAGATCGGCATTTGAGCGTCTTTGAAGCTCACGCACTTCGAATTTTTTAGATCAATGAAGAAAATTAACTCTTACTTTTAATTCTCTTGAGAAATCATTCAGGACGCATTTGTCGGAATCGCAGCTGCAAGAAGCCTTCGCGTAGTTGGAATTGATGTGTGAAAGAAAACCGTCACCGCAAATGACAACGAGTCGTTTTTCTGGAAGAATGATCTCTTCTCCTTGTTGATTGAAAGTGACATCTTCTTCTTTTTTCGGCTTGAGTCCTTTAGGAAAATTGCTGACGAGACAGCCCTCTGGACTTGAAATCATTGTTGTGGTTGTCATCGTTGTCGTCGTTGCGGAGTCAGTTGTTGTTTCTTCGCAGTCAAGTAGCTCGAATGCTTTTCCAGTGCAGACTTTTCCAGGGCATTTTCGAAAGCGAATTTGTTTGCCGTTGACGCATTCTTTCTCGGAGTCACTCCACTCTTCCCATTCAGAGTCTGCCTCAGGAGATTCCGAACACAACGCAAGAAGTTCGAATTTCTCCGGCTTCTCATAATCCTCTGATCGTAATTTATCAAAATCCATGAATTCATCAAGGAAATTTTTGCAATGAAAGAGCCCATCTTCCATCTCGTCTCCCGTGAAATGCATCAGAACCGCGTGTTTGAACTGAGCAAAGTATCCATCTCGAAATTGGACAAAATTATAGAGCCCCAATTCTGGGGAAAATTGCGAATGGTCAGAATCCGCGATTGCGCTGTAGAAAGAAACAAAGTTGTTCGTAGAAGGGTCAGAGCAGTATTCGGGGATTTGGACGACTTTGATGTCCGAGCAAGAGTAGTCATAAGATGCTAGATATAAAAATGATTCAAGAAAAGCAATTTCTACAAACGGCATGATCCGGAGCACTCCTTTTCTTCTTCCTCTTCATCTTCTTCCGTTTCATCGCATGCATCTCCCGGGCATTCTCGTTTTCTTGAAATTTTGCCTTCAGACCCACACTCTGCATCACAAGTTGACCATTCTCCCCACTCAGACCAGCTGCAATATGAGCCGCATTCCTGTTGCTCGTATGTGCTTTCCGCGCCTAGAAATTATTGTCGAAGGGGATATAGAGCTCACTCTACCATCGCATTGATCCGGATCCCAGTGGTCACATGATCGTTTTCGAATTTGAGTTCCGACTTCTCCGCATTCATCAAGATCCACATCCTCGCTTTCATCGTTGCTGCACGAACTCCACTCGCTCCAGGCTCCCATGTGTGGCTCGTAGACTTTTTCGCAAGTGTATCTTCAGCAAAAGAAATATTATCTATACTTGGAAAATCAACATACATGTTGTCGTACATCCAGTTGTAGCCTTTTTCATTCGGAGATCCAAGAGCTGGGCATTCTCTGAAGCTCTTGACGTTCAATTTGTCAAGCCAATAAATTGTCTCTGCGTATTTGTTATGTTGAATCGTTCCCTAAAAAAATAAGGAATTGGAATATCAAGGAAATTACCTCAAGAAGATAATAGTTGCTCAAATGCTGAAAGTAAACAAGCGACATCTCCTCCGGAAAATAATATCCCCCAACGTGCCGCTGAGTACATGTGTAGGCCATCGCATCGTTCACCCAAGATTCAAACTCGCAAGCAATGACATTGTTCAAATTCGTCTCCATCACAACAGTTCGGCAGCAATCATCATCGCCAACTGAGGGATTCGGTTGGCACTCGTAGCCGTCTTGAAGATCCTTACAGATCTCGTCTTCTGTGCAATTGTGAGAATTCGACTCGCACTCGTTTTCTGGGATCGTGCAGAAGCCATCCTGGATGATAAAAAGAGGATCAAAAAAAATGGCGTACCTTCATGAAATTTGGAGATTTACAAATGCACTCTCCCTGATCAAGTCTGTTCACACAGACTAAATTGCCAGCGCAGACTTCATCCGCGCAGAAATCAGTCGTGACTGGTTTGACCTTACATGCCACGGCATTTCCTCTATTCCAAACTGTTTGAGGCGGGCACCAATCTCCTCCCTCGATGTCTCCCTTAATATCGTCAAAATATCGCCAACCGTCAGAAATGTCTTCAGGTTGGGGTCCTTCGCCGACATACCAGGAGCCCGTTTCCATGACAAAATAGATCGACTTGAGATTCAAGATGTTTCCGTCGTGGCAAATCCAGCTGTCAAAACCGCGGAATTCTGAGTCATAAACGCACTCTTGTTCATTGAAGAACATCGTTTTGCAACAGCCCATCGAAGTTGTCCCCCGACAGCTTCGCACGGGCTGAGTTCTCCATTTTCATCTTCTCCGTTCGGGCAATCGCGGAAATTATCACACAAGCGGTCAGTGAACACCGAGTGCGTCTTTCCAAGAATATCCGAGGAGGAACATGAGACGGTTTCTTTTTCAAGCGGAGCAGCGCAGTATTTACTGCTCACTTGAATTGCATCTGTTGTCGTCATTCTGACACCACCTAAAGAGGGATTTAAACAGGGATTTCTCAGAATTGAAAAAACTGACTGGAAAAAGTGACGCCGGTTTTCGTTGTCATTACTGGATAATCAGACGAAATTGATCCACAGTAAGAACAGTATGTCATGACTGAAGATATGTCGATTTCATGACCAGTTTCGATCCAAGTATCTCGAGCGATTTTGCGGAAGTTGTGCGGCGAACTGGCGGCAGAAACGTCCACATTCAAGTAATCATCGCGATCGGGGCGATTGTGCTCGTGATGGACACCCAAAGCGTGCAAGATCTCGTGCTGTACGGTCCTTTGTGATGTTCCAGCGCAACCCTCAGAGAGAGCGATAGCCTGCCATGTGCTTGGATATCCGAATCCGCCATCGTTGTAGAATCCTTGCGCCACGCCAAGAGCGGAGAAACAACCCGACTGACCGATTTCAGATGCCTTGACGAAAATGATCCCGTTTGTCCATGAAGTATCTTCTCGGCGCATTTCTTATTCAGGTTTACCACGAAATATAATATAATATAATATAATATAATATAATATAATATAATATAATATAATATAATATAATATAATATAATATAATATCGTTTTTATTTTCAACCCTCTCCTAAACAACCCAAGTCCGGATTCATCTTCAACGCTCCATCCGCTATCTTATCCTTCTCGCTTTCTGACCAAGAGTTGGAAAAGCCAAAAGGAATGATATTTTGTCCATTCTCGTCGATGTTTTCCCACTGCCCAAAGATCGCGCTGATTCCTCTTCCGAGATCAGGATTGTCAATATGATCGGCAGCGCGTTGAAATCCGGTCGTATCGATGCCATCTTCTTCAAATTGTCGGAGGGTAATCGGCGAGTAAAAATGTCGTTTCCGGAGAGCTTCGGGAGGGAAACCGTTTTCCCTGAATTCTTTTTCGAGGAAGCATGATTCTCCCTGGCTTCTTCATCTTCCCGCTTGCGATTCTCTTCCTTCCGGCTTCGGTTTCTCTGAACCCCCGAGGAGGAGAAAGCATTTTAGCGTCTTCATTGAACGATCTGAACGATCTCGAACTTCGAGCTCGTCTGTTCAAAAATGAATTGAACAAGGCGCGCCCTGGCGAAAGTGATCAGAAGGGATGAAATCCGGCACCGCGGATAAGCCCCACTAAACATGCCCATTCGCGAAATCAAGTACCTGTTTGATCTCCAGCTGAATTAAATAAAAGAAATGATAGAAAATCGAGGACCAAAAGAAACTTAATAAATTCTTTGAAAAATATAAAAAACAATTTTCTTAATAAAAAAAAATTTTTAAAAAATGGAAAAACGGAGAATTTTTTTACAGGTTAAATTCCAAAGTGTCCAAACGATGACTAGTTACGTCAAATGCGCCTCGCAAAAAGTACCTTCAGAAAATATTTGCAGCTGTGTTTATCAAGCTTTTATCCTTGCAAAATTTTGCTCTCAGAGCGAAAAAACAGCCTAGAGAATAAAAATGCGGCTAGCAGTTTTTCATGTTTTCTTGCGCCTAACACTGGCCTTCGAAGAAAGTTCTAGCTGCGCGAAAGGCTGGGTTGCCGGAGATGAAAAATGCTACAGAGTGATTCCCGGCCAGCCAAAGCCACTCAGGCAAGCATGGTCGACTTGCTTGAAACTTGGCGGGAATCTTTTCGCGCCGAAAAACAAAGTCGAAATTCAAGAAATAACGAGAATGATGCTCTTGGGAGACAACGACTTTGGACTGTCTTTTTACAAGGACCATATTTGGATTGGATACAGATTGAAAGACTCCAGTGACAGAAGCTTCCCGCCAAAGTTGGAAACAATTATGCACCCGAGAAAGAGTGCTCCGAATTATTTCACGACTTTAGCTGCCAAGAGGGTTTATTTTCCCGAAGTCGAAATGTAAGCGAAAAAATAACTAACCAAATAACTCCCCTTAGAAAATTTAAATCAGGGGCCATCGCTCGTCGACAAGCAAAATTCATCAAAATGGTTCGTGGATCATTCAAACTAGCAGCACCAACAGAACGGGGCTTCTCAGCTCGTGTTCTTTGCGAAGCCCCGAAATCAAAGCGAAGTTGCGGAGACTCTCGTTTTTGCTATCAGCCAAATAGCATTGTCTGTGACAAAATCGAGTATTCGGGAGAAACGGCTGTTTCGGAAATGGGTTATGAATGCGCCGCATGGAACGATGAAAGTGTTCATCCTCACAAATTCACTTTGAATGTAAGTCGATCGGAAAGATTATAAGCTAGCGAGAAAACTACTCAATCAAGAACGCCTCACATAATTTCTGCAGAAATCCGACAAATGATCAGGACGGCCCTTGGTGCTACACAACCGATCCTGATGTCAAGGAAGAGAATTTCAAATAAGCCAATAGGCAATTGGCAATAGGGGAGGGAGATTTAGGGGAGGGTGGTGTCACGAATCGACAAAATAATCTCGAAAAATTTTGCGTAGGCGACTTCTCGGCTGCTGATTGGCCAGTAAGCCGAATCTAGGCTTCTGATTGGGTGAAAATTTCAACGAAAAATTTGTCTGGATTTTTTTGGATGCTGAGACCTCCCTGGTTTTGGAGAGCCGCGAACCCCTCAGTTAGGGTTAGGGTTAATGACGAGCAGCTTGAAATCGCCTAACTACCATGTTTTGGATCTCTTGAAAGTGGGATCGTTGTGCGATCAACCAATGTCTCCAGCCAAAAAATGAGTTTCTTCGCGACCAAGCTGACTGCGGAAGACAGCCGCTGAAAACGCTCGCCCAAAGAGTTGTCGGTGGAAGAAAAGCAGAACTCGGCGAAGTGCCATGGCAAGCGCGGCTGAGATACAAGCAAAAACAGCGCTTTGGAACAGCAATTCGCGATCATCAATGTGGAGCGACGATCATTTCGAGCTGCTGGATCGTTACTGCTGCTCATTGCATTGTCTTTCCTGACTTCGCCCGGAACAGAATGAGCGAGTCGCAAGCTGAGAAAGAATGGCGCGAAGGAATGAGAGTCGATGTTGGAACCAGATTTCATCACTCAGAGTAAGTTTCATTCAGCCATGACGATTTTATTTTCTCATTTTTCAGCACAACTATTGATAGTTTTAATGCAGACCATGGAATTCGATCAGCAAAATTCAAAGACGCGCTAAGTTTTCAAAGCTTCAGGATTAAGAAGGTCAAGAAGCATTCTGTAAGCTAGAATTTAATGATTATCATTATTTATTTTTTCAAGAGATTTAATAATGGTCAACACTTTAACGACATAGCTCTACTACAGCTTTATCCGTCACAGGAAAGGATGAAAGGATTATTATTTTCATGTTAAAATTGAAGAAATAAGATTCAAGCCTAAAAAAGGAAGATGAAAAATGCATAATTTTCGACGATCTGACTCAACCAGCTTGCATCAACAACAACGAGTACAAATTTGGCATCGAAGATGATTGCCAAGTATCCGGCTGGGGCCAAACGAGCGCTGTTTGGCGAACCGACGGGGGAAGACTTCCGAATCATTTGAGAGTCGCGAGTGTTGCGGTGCAAGACTTCCAAGACTGCAAGTACAACTATTCGAGAATTAAAGTCAGTCTTCGAGAAAACATGCACATGTGTGCGGGTTCTCCGGGCGTCGACTCTTGTCAGGTAAGGAATAAGGTCGGAAGTCAGTTAAAACTACTCTAGGGTGACTCTGGTGGACCTCTTATTTGCGTCAAACATGGAAATTGCATCGGCAGCCACTGTAACAAGGATGACGAGCGGGGTTATTTGACCGGAGTTGTCAGCTTTGGAAAAGGTTGCGCCCAGGTGACCTTACTATAAACGGAAGTATAGACAGAAAAATTGATTTCAGAAAAACTACCCTGGTGTTTACGCTCACGCTGGAAAATACTTTAATTGGATCAAAAAAGAAGTCGAATTTGCCGGCGAAAATAACTATGATAGTAAATTTGTGTGTCATAGTCCTGACTGCGTCTAGCTTTTGCCTGACAATGAATCTTCCCTCCTGACATATTTTTTATCATTAAAAATATTTATTAAAGAAAAGAAAAGCTCAAATTTCTCTTTCATCAGACAGAAAGCAGCCCTCAGAGAAAGATTTTTCTTCGATTAGTTTTTGAAAAAGAAAAAGATAAGCAGAAGCAAAAGCGCGGAAAACGAGTTCATTTCTCCAGCGGAAGACTCGGTAGAATTCGCAGTGGTAGACTCTACACTGGAGCAGGGATCAATCTAAAATTCATGGTAAATCAATTTCTCTAAGTTTGAATGTACCAAAGTGCAGCCACTTGGTGCAGCATCTTGAAACGACTGAAAGGAAGCAGCCAATAGGGCGTCAGGTTGATCACAGTAGTCTTCCACAGCATCAACACTTGCTTGGATCGCTAGTTTTGCAGCATCACATAAACTCTTCAATAAATTCATGAAAAATGAGAAGCAGATATTTCAGATAATCAGTACCTCATTCACAGCGACAGAAACACTGGAAGCGCTAGCAGTGCTGGCAGTGGCTGTGGTTGTGGTTGAGGTTGTTCCGGCTACAGTTGAAGTTACAGTTGTTGTTGCCTCCTCGGGTGTAGCGGCTGTCGTCTCGCTCATCTTTTTCTCGCGTCGATTTTGAAGATATGGAATTCTTAGAGGTTCGGATCGCGTTGATTTTAAATAGGAATTTTAAGAAAACAAAATTTTAAGCTCCCTGGAATGAATTGAAATTAATCCTCTTGATCACGCCCGTCGCCTGAGCTATCATTATTCTCCTTGGATAGCTTTTTTTGACAGCATCTGGATTTGAAAAACGCTGTTTTGTCTAAATTTTTCCATGATCCAACAATTTTCTTTTCAGTTTTTCACCTTTGAAGAAAAAGCCCCAGAAATCCGGGGCTGTATTTTCAATCAAAACAGACCAAGTGCCGGTTTGTTCAGTTTTGATTTGTTTGAACGGGGAACGGGACTCCTGATCCCTTTTCGCGAAAATCCGCAGGTGTTCGTGCACCTTGCATCAATTCCTGACATTGTCAAACTCTTTTTACGAAGCGGGCTTTGTTGCATGTTTTTTGACGTGTTGTGACGAAAAAACAGATCATTGGAAAAAAATTTTCAGAAAAAATTCTTCGAAATTTTCGATTCGTCTCTAGAAGCATGCTTTATTTTCCTCCTAAGTTTGGTACTCCAGCCAGTTGCCAAAAAGCCCGAGCAAAGAAGAAGCTCCTTGCTCGGAGAAACTTTCTCGATGCGAGAAAGTTTAAGCCCTTCCTTGAGCCCGTTCCAAGATCTCGAAGGCCAGAGAAGCTCCACTGTCGAGGTAAAAAATCCTCGCTGAGAAATGAAACTTACCGACAATTTTAGCTAAGACTGTCAAAATACGACTCTTCAGATGAATCACTTTTTGGGAAACGGCGAACGACCATTTCATTCGGTCAGAATCAGTTGAAAGAATATGTGCCAGAAGTTGAGTACTTCTGCTGCTGCTTCAAGGATGAAGGAAAAGGGTTGAAAGAATGAAAATATATATAAGAAATATTTAAATATATTTTATTGTTAATAATTTGTTATAAAAGATTGAATAGAGAGGCCAACGTGAAGAAACCTCCAGGGTTGGAAATGAAGCAGTGTAGTAATGTAACAATGTAGCAATCGCTACATTTTTGCTACATGCTGATGTAGCACGTGATAAATTATTACAATTATATTAATTCGAATGTTATTCTTCAGATAGAATCGGCGATGGAATAGTGTATTTTTTCTACGGACCTCAGAGAAGATCGATGTGATCCATAGCCTATGGACCATAGGTTCATATCAATCATTTGATATCATTATACTTATCATTTTTTCTTGTTCATAAAATCAGAAATTTCATCTTAGATTCAAGACTGGTAATCAAGGAGCACGAGCAATTTTTAGACTCAACCTAGCTTCCTTTTTGGGAGTCCCAAACGAGCGGGTCAAGGAGTGTCTAGTTGAGTTTTTAAAATAATACGTGGGGACCACCGTAAAAATAAATTAACCGTCGACCATGCCAGATCTAGAATACGCTCGGTTAGAATACCAAATGGTATTCAAATACCAATTTTGGTATTCAAATACCAAAGTCGCCAAAGAATACTAATTTCGCCTACCAAAAAATGCGAGTGTGCGCTCCGCGCCTGTTCTATAGGAAGATCTAGATGTGATTCACCGGTTTTTCAAGGAAAAAAATTGTTTCCAGTAGAAAAAATTGGTATTCGAATACCAATTTTTGGTATTTTTGGTAATTAAAATTTTTGGTATTCTAACCGAGCGCCCCCGAGCCAGGGTTCGACCCCCTTAATCGAGAATGGTGATTTCACATTGAAATCCTCATTCTCGATGAATGAAATTATGAATAAATTCTCATTTTGTTTAAAAAGGGAGAAAATGTGGTGCCACAAATTTTGAAGAAAAATTATGGTTATCATAACACTTCAAGTTCGAAAATTATTACAAAAAGACATATCAAATAACTTTTCTGCACAAAATCAAGTGGAATAATATTCGTAGGGTTGACGGTTTTGATAAGTTTTCTGGATGTTTTTATTGATAGATCTTTCGGAGTTCAAGCTCCATCATCAGTCAGGCACTATTAGACAGTTAACAAAAGTTTAAAATAGTCAGACTTACTCTCAGGAGAAAGCAAAGTTTCTAAAGAGAGAAGAGAGAAAGAGACCGGCGAAATAAGTTATCTAGAGAATAGTTGAGTTTTGGCGCTCGGAATTCTTTCTCCAAAACTCAACTATTCTCTAGATAACTTATTTCGCCGGTCTCTTTCTCTCTTCTCTCTTTAGAAACTTTGCTTTCTCCTGAGAGTAAGTCTGACTATTTTAAACTTTTGTTAACTGTCTAATAGTGCCTGACTGATGATGGAGCTTGAACTCCGAAAGATCTATCAATAAAAACATCCAGAAAACTTATCAAAACCGTCAACCCTACAGATATTTACAAAATGGCTACACGACGTACACTTAACACTTATGACGAAAACAAAGTAAAAATCGTCAGACAAAAGAGAAAAATTCACCGCAGCGAACAGCACATCCGATTTCTCTCCGATTGTATCTCCCACGATCTCACGCCCGAATTTACGAAGTTTACTCCCCAACAGCTAAGTTGTGTCAATTGGTCCCCCCGAACCCTTCATGCCAAACGTATGGAACGCGTAAAGCTCGCCCTTTCGGATCAAGAGCAGAAATATCAATCTTTTAAACTGACTCTTTCTTCTATGATTTCTGAGCTTACACATTTATTTCCTAATATCAATCTCACTTCTTTTTTGCGTACTTGTGACCGTGAAGTAAGGATTAATCAGAGGCCCTATGATATTAAACGTCGTGAAAAACTAACGCTCCTTAAAAAGACGAAACCGCGAAAATTCACGAAGGTTAATATCATAAATGAATCCCAAGTAGAAATTCCTCCCGAGATCATGGATATCTTATCGAAAGGCACAAATTTTGCCCTAGGTGGCTCTCCGAATATTTATACGATGCTTGCCAATTTTGAGACCTTCTTTCAACGATGGCGTGATCATGCTGTCGCCGTCGGCATGGACACATTATCGATTCTAGAAGTGAAACATAGGCTAGATCTAGAATTCCATGCTCTTCGAAAAACCTTCACGAAATCTTCGGATTTAAAAACACTCAATAATTTTCTTGATGCTCATCCTGAGATAACAATACTTGAGGTTGACAAATCCAAAGATCTCACTATCCTCCCCACATCGCTTTATCAAAGTAAACTGGAAGAAGAATTTGACTCTCCTAATTTTGTTAAACTTTCGAAAAATCCTTTGAAAAGTGATGTTGATCTTTTTAACAAATTAATTAAAACTTTAAAGCCATTTCTTTCTTCCGCCACTTTTAATCTAATTCGACCATCTCATGGTCTAAAGCGAGCTTTCGGTCTGCTCAAGCGACATAAGGAAGGAATGCCTTGCCGCCCAATCATTTCTAACATAGGAGCTATAACCTCGGGTTTGGAAGCATATCTACTTCCTATTTTGAAGAGATTTGCACCACAATTCAAATACGAGGTCAAAAGCACGAAAGATTTTAAGGATGTTTTTCTCAGAAACCGTCACAAATTTAATCCTAATGAACATACAGTTGTATCTTATGATATAACTAAAATGTTTCCATCAATTAATCTGAGTAAATTGATCCCTAAAATTTGCGATAAAATATATGAGTCCCCAGAATTCTATTTTACTACTGAGTTGCGAAAAGATGGTTCAAAATGTGACTTTCCTCCACGCCAAATTTTTGAAAATGTTATGACCAAGGGTCTACAATATTTCACAGCATTTGCAACCCAAAACAATTTTTACAGGCAGTTGTCGGGTGCCGCAATGGGATCCAGTACTTCCCCGGTTCTAGCCTCGATCCTTTGCTCTTTTTTCGAAAAAGAATGCATCGATCATGAGGTAGCGGTTGGGAGTGTATTGCTATATTCCAGGTACGTCGATGACGTCTGCGCGATTGTGAGGAAGGACAAAGTGGATCATCTTCATAATATTTTAAACTCTTGGGACCCAGATATTAAATTTACTGTAGAACGCCCCGAGGAAGGACGATTAAAATTTTTGGACTGCATTCTGTATTACGATAATCATTCTCAGCAACTTGAAATGGAAACATTTCATAAATCTAAACTTAACAGACCACTTCAAAACTTTCAATCTGTCACCCCCAAGTCCCAAAAAGAAGGTTTATTGATTGGTGAGATTCATCGAATGAATAACACTTGCACTAATGAAACCAATCTTAATAAATCATTGCAAATTCTCACCAAACAATTTGTCCTTAACGGCTACCCAGCTCATTATGTGACTGAAAATGTAAAACAAGTTCGAGATAATAAATTTAAAACACGGGAAAAGGACCCAAATATTGAGATAAGACATTATCTCAAACTTGATTTTACTAATCCCCGGTGCGATAAAATAGGTAAAAAACTCACCCAGATTGTTCGCAAAGCAACCCCGAAATTCAAGCTCATTGTAGCTTTCAAACCGATCAGACTCAAAAATGCAATTTCACATCGACTCAAGTATAAAATTCCTGAATCGGAAAAATCGGGACTTTGCTACCAATTTGAGTGTCACTGTAAATCAACGTATATTGGAGAGACAGTTAGGCCTCTTCGAGAGCGCATTTCTGACCACTGTGTCCCATCAAGCATCTCCAATGTACGTAAACATTTCGAATCCTGCCCCCAGTTTCTTAATGTATATCAGTCCCAGATAGCTGAGCCAAACAGCTCTAACCCACGGATTTTTACTCAATTCGCTAGATCCCGCTTCAAAATCGTCTCCTCAAACTTGAAGCATTATCGACAGAGAACCCTCGTGGAATCTTTTATGATAAAGCTTAACCAACCTAAACTCAATGATCAAGTCAAGTTTGCCAAGACGATTTTCCTTTAGAATTCCGAGCATTTAATAGTTGAGTTTTGGCGCTCGGAATTCTTTCTCCAAAACTCAACTATTCTCTAGATAACTTATTTCGCCGGTCTCTTTCTCTCTTCTCTCTTTAGAAACTTTGCTTTCTCCTGAGAGTAAGTCTGACTATTTTAAACTTTTGTTAACTGTCTAATAGTGCCTGACTGATGATGGAGCTTGAACTCCGAAAGATCTATCAATAAAAACATCCAGAAAACTTATGGAATAATATTGTATATATTCTTTAAATAATTTATATTTCCAAACCCTTTTGAAGAAACCGCGAAAAACTTTCAATTCATGCTAGTTGTCATTATCTTCCTCATCGTCATTGTAGGAATAGCTGTCTACACAAATTTATCGTCAGAATAACCAACTCAATAAACAACAACAAGAAAAAAACACATGCTTCTTTATTTCTCTAGAAAAAAAAGGATTGATCATTCGCAGTTGTCCAAAACGCACATTTTGCAGGCGATGGATTTTCGGTCAGCGCCACAAACTTTCGGGCATTTTTCATTTTCGCACTGATTTTTAGCGCCGCGGGTTTTTTTCAAAAAGCGGCCGCAGTGGCTTTTTTGGCAGCTTTTGCAGTCGTCGTCGATCACCTTAGCTTGTTTGTTTGATGATTTTGAAAGGGGATAACCTGGCATTGATTGTTGCAGTGATGGTTGACGCATTTTCGCATGTGATTTTTCGGCTCGGAGCAGTTTTTCTCGCCCATGCAAGTTTCACAGCCATCAGAGAAGAAAAGATTGTTGTCGCAAACATTGCTGAATTCTGGGCTCGGCAACCTGTCTAAAAACCTGAGTCAGGGTCATGTTAAAGCTCTGATCAAAGCTCTTTTAAGATCCTGACTCAGGTTTTCGACACAGGTTGCCGAGCCCAGACTGCATGGTTTCATGCATTCCAAGAAGGAGAGATATCGGTCCTTTTCTTCCTGCGTTCCGAAGTACGCTTGTTTCTTGGAGGCGAAAATTTGGATGAAAAGGAGGCTAAAAATCTTCATTTTTTCTCTTTTTTATTTTCAAAACTGAGAAGTTTTGCAGTGTTGGAAATGTCAGAGAGCTTATTTTTGACCTTTCAGATGATTCAGATCTGAGCATCTTTTTTGAGAAGATTTGATGGCTACGAATCTAAGCACCAAGGATTGCCGATCCAGGGTTGAACCTTGCGACAAGAAATGCAGTGTTTTGCGCGATCGGTATCTGTTTTTGGTGAAAACACAGTTCACGTCATCGCCGAACTACCAAAAACGAATTAGAAAGCGCAGCAGTCTCCAACACAAATTCAATATCTCGTTTAATTCCTGATCCTCTGTTTGGGATGATTTTTCTCTTCGCATATTTTTTCTCAAGATCATCTAAAATCAGTAGAAATCAATATTTTTAATTTTATGTCTGATTGAATATTTTTTATAAGAAGAATTAAATTATCAATAAATAATTAAATGAAATATATTTCTCATTTTAAAAAATTCAAACTTGAAAGAAAAATATTTTAAAGATTGTTTGAAATGAAAAAAAAAGCAAAAAAATTTTTTTTAATTTTAATTTTTATCTTTAAAACTCTTTAAGCCACTTTTTCTTGGAAGCCTTATTTTTAATTATCCTCCAAAAAGTTGCTTTCGATGCAGAAAATCAAGGTCGCATCAAAATTTTTATCAAAAATTTATCGAGATTTCGCCTGCCTTTGCTCTCGCGCGCCCCTTTTTTTCATCACCATCACCAAAAGCCGTAGCTTTCCCGCTCCAAATTGAATCATTTTGGAGAGCTCTCCTTTTGTAAATTTTTGACATTTCGTATTCTCGATAAGAGAATCGAAAAAAGAGAAAAGCTGAAAATGAAAATTTTTCTTAGCTTTTTCGCCACTGCTGTTCTTGGCTGCGAAACTGATCGGGTTTTTGCTGAAAGAGAATTGAGCAGAATTGTTGAGCACTCGCAAAAAGCGGTTAGAAAGATGAAAATTTACTAATTTTAATTACCTAATATTTGGAAAAAAATTAAAAATAATTTAACAATAAAAAAAATGAATTTAAAAAATAAATAATTTATAAGAAATAATAATTGAATAAAATATTTTATCAAATAATTATATTTTTAAAATAATTTCCAGGTCGATGAGTGGCTCGGTTGGTCCCCATCATCAGATTCCTTCAAACGTCGATTTTCAAAAATCGGTGGCCAAATGCTCGACGCCTTTACCGCCTGCCACAACGAAACTAAAAATCAAGATCGCGAATACCACCACGACGCTCACGCTGAAGGCCATCTCCTGCTCCACCACCACGAGAACATCTTCGGCTGTTCTTCAAAACTGACGATTGTGTCTCCTCTTGGCGATTTGACGCATTGCTTGATCCCTGTCGATTACAACTCGTTGGAGATTTTGAGGAAAGAGCCGCCGTGTGTCGAGGGGATCACGTTTGGGATCAAGGATGATCTCGTTTGGACGCAACTAGGACTGTGATCGAAAATATCAACGACTCTCCCCCAATTGTTAGGAGGGGGTCATTTGCCCCTAACTCCAACCCTAACCTAGGGCTCCGCCTCCAGGAAACCTCCCCTTCCCCCTTAGTCTTACCCAGGGGGCTTTGCACCTCGGGACCCCCCCTAACTTAGGGGCCCTAAGGCCTAACAGAGGAGGCTTCGCCCCAAGGGAAAAATCATCGGGTAGAGGGGAGTCAAGTCGGGCAGCCCCTTACCCTTAGCCAAGCCTAGGGGGCTTCTTCTCCCGGTACCTCCCCCTGCCCTTAGGCCTATCCAAGGACCCCTCATAAAGTACCTTCAGTCTCCTAACCCTAAGTCTAACCGAAATAGGGCTAATAGAGGTGCACGACCGATAATCCCGCTACAACCCCCGTTTTAATATCATGAATTTTTTCATCACAAAAAGGTTGTTCCGTGGAAGTCTCCTTGACGAAAATCGAAGCTGAATTTTCCCCAGAAGCTCCAGTTTCGACTCCAAAGCCAGAAGTCACCCAATTAACCCTCCGCTGCGAATCGGAACATGAATCGCGAAAACACTGCAACTTCGAAGGCGACTTCAATGATTTCTACTTGACAACTACTCTTGGAGAAGCGAGCTGCAAAAGAGACGTGAGCTACGGCTTCTCGGAGAATATGAAGTACATTTGGGTCGATGAAGGCTGTTTTGCTGAGTTTCTTCTTTTCAAGGAATGTTTCAAAAAATTGATCCATTTTTGAATGAATATTTTTTGAAACGCAAAAAAGCGCGAGCGAAAGCCGCAAAAGTCGACAACCAACTTTCCGGCGACAAAGTCGTAGAAAGCATCGCCGCCCGACTTCTCAAATGGGCCGATCGATATCTCCAAAGCTGCAAGCATCAGTACATTCAGGCCTTCAAAGCCGTCACAAAAGTGAAACGACTCAATCTCAGCGTCCAAAATACTTTCAAAATGTAAATTTTTTGTTGAAGACTTTATTCTGTAAAATAAAAGGAAGAAATAAGAATTTCATAAAAAAAAATTTTATGACGACTATAACCGGAAGGACCAGTAATGGGTTGGAGAATGCAAGGTTGAGAAATTCAATGATATCAGGTCTTAGTAATTTGGGTTCATGTAATTCACATCAGTCCAAGCAATTCTTGGCAAGGCATCCAAGTTAAATGAAGCTAAACAAGTTTCTTTTTGACGGATTCTTTGCAAACACGCAAGTACCTGTGGTCGGATCGAAGCAGGGTTCTCTGTTGCCACACGCTCTCAAGCAGCCGTAGCATGTCGACTGGCCGAATCGTCTTGTCTGAAGCTTGTGCTCAGGCCGGCAAGTACTTTGCCACATAAATGGTGCCATAAAGTTGTTGCTTAAAAGAGTATTAACTCAAGTCTCAGTTTGAATTCAGCGCTTACTTTAAGCTTCTTAAGCATTGCAGTTCGTTGAAGCACCTTATATCCAGCTGCGTTACTTCTCCACGATCCATTCTTACTTCCACTCCACAGATGTCCCCAGCTAGAAATTAAGAGAGTAAAATATTAATTCAAGCAATATTTTGTTCTTACTGTTGCATGACTAGGCCTCGGACGTAAAAAAGACGATTTTCACCATCCGGTCATCGTACGGGAACATGAGAGGGCTCATTCGAAAGGTCTTGATAAGGGCTTTCTATTTGACCGATAAAAAAACTGGGCCCTCCCTTTCTGTTACGAGTTATTTTGAAAAATATTTTTCGAAGCTTACCTTCAAAGTCAAATATCTCGAAAAAGGAGGACAGGGCCCAGTTTTTTTATAAGCCCAACAGAAAGCCCTGTTCAAGAGCTTTCGAATGAGCCTACTCTTGTTACCGTACGACGACCGGCTGGTGGTGATGAATTTTTACGTCCGAGGCCTATGCATGACTGTAGCGCCATCGAGCTTTTACAATCAGCGTAAGTCTGGGCGGTTGTCAATCCAGCACCTGAGCAAACATTGCATTCGGGAAGGTTAGTAACTGTTCGGAAATCGAGGTAAAGAGTGACACAGACTTGGTCAGAATTTCTGTTCATTGGATCGTAGGCAATCGCGCAGAGCTCGGTTGACCTTTCACTCCACAAGTCATCATCGGGCTCCCAGGAACAGTAGGAATCGCCGGTGAATTTGTTGACTCCTAAGCAAGTCATTCCTGGAGGCAAGGAATAAACGATTCGGTCGATGTCGAAGCGCTCCTCATTGTTCCAAGTGTACGAGGCGGTGAAGAGGATGTTGATCTTATGCCAGATACCAATGCTGCGCCCTTGGTTGGGTGTGTTTCCCTTGAAACTCGGTCGACCATCGCAATACGCTGGAAAATCAGCAGCTGGAAACCAAATATTCGCCCTAAGCTGGACTGGAATCGAAGATCTCATATTTCCGTCGCTGTCGAAATCCTCGATTTGAATGGCAATCGGTTGGGTTCCAGGAGAAGCGTTTTGTCCAGGTACGTATGTGATGATGCAATTTTCCTCGTCGAGAACCAGGGAGTCAAATCTGCCGTTTACCCGCGCCATTCCTCCCGCTTCATCGGAAGTTGCCCAGCGACAACGAACACTGTCGCCGTTGTTGTCGACAGGAGCAAGGTTGAATTGTTGGTTGTTGCAGCCGAACATGATGTTCCATCTGTTAGGAATTCTGAGGAGGATTTTAAGGATAGTGTTTTGATTGGCTGGTAGGCCAAATTTATCATGTTTATTGGCTGCTTATTATAAAGCATTCTTGTCGGTTATTTACCTGTATACAGTAGGGGAGTCATTAAAGATGTCGTTAACCTTGGCTTCTATCGTATAATTTGCGCTAGCGACACTGTTACCGTCGTCGTCAGTCAAGTCAGTGGTGCAACAGCCTTCGCCGCGATGAATGAAGGGCTCATTGACAACGAATATTTCGCTATTGGTTCCAAAGCAGTAATGATCGTCAAAATCTAGCTTGTCGGAGACATCAAATTCGCTGACCCGGTACGTCCCAGATGTTCCTGACTGACCAGCATCGAGCAGAACATCGCCGGAAAAATTAACGATTGTCTCATTAATAACTCGATCGCTTAATAAAAAGAATGAAAAAAATCAAGATAGAATCATAAACATACCTTTGTGTTTCATTGAAGACATCGTTCCTAGTACATCCAGAAACGTAGCCAGCTGCGTAACGTTGCCATGCCATTCGTCGTCGGACAGTAAGTCGGCGTTCCGACCACGAGTAACTGTACTCAAATGAGCCAGCTCGATAATCCGTCGCTTGGACAAAAAATTGCGCAATAACATGTAATTGAATGAAAACTCTCATCTTCAAGTTTCAAAAATTTGAATTTGAAGTTGAGATCTGATGTCGAAACTGAATTGCGCCGGATTTTAAAGCAAGAAATACGGACTTTTGCCAGTAAGTTCGTTTTGTCGCGGTAAGCAACAGATAGATCAGGAAATGTTAAGCCGGCAGACCTTTCGAAATGGCGATTGAGAAAAATGAAAAGACGTGGCCACCGTGCGACTTTTCACAAAATAAGCAAAATTCAAGATCGAAAATAAATCTTTTTTATTTCATTTTTCATTAAAAAAATGAGAAGAAATCAATGTGCAAGAATTTCACACAAGAATAAACAAGAAAAGAAGACCAAGAGCAACGCCCATCTCTCGAGCTCCATTGACTTTCATTTCCACATCATTCGATTTCGCTTCGAATTCGCAGTCAGCATATCGAGCTCCAGTTGGTTCAGGAGTAGCCTGGCACTGCGCTAAATCATGTTTTTTTATTTCGACCTTGGAAAAGAAAACTTACGAAAGTTCGGCTCTTTCAAAATCGCATCCATTACATAAAGTGTCCACTCGTCATATGGCTCCAGGTCGATTGTGTGATAAAACGCAGCCAGTTGAAGAATACTGTATGGAAGGTGGCAGATGAACTCGTTCGTTATTTCACCAACGGTGACAGTTACTGGGGGATTTCCAGCGTTGTACTCAGTTACGTAAGCGTCAATATAAGCGTCGAACTTTGAATCTTTGTCGTCGTTTGGTAGCTCTAGAAATGAAAATAGAGCGGGTTAATAGTGCGCTTACTGTTCCAGAAATAGAGCAGATCCCAAATTCTCGGGCCAATGTTCGAATTGTCGTAGTCGAGAAGGCGGTAAGTTCCGTCATTGAGTTTGAAAATATTGCCCAAGTGAGGATCGCCATGGGTAAAGACAGCTGGAGAGGGGGCCATTTCTGCTTGATCTCGTGCATATTCGTAGAACTCTTGTAAGGTCTCCATGTCACCGATTCCTTCCCTTAAATTTTCGATTCAAAGAATGGTCGGTGATCTTTTCCCCTACTCTTGCGCGTGGTCGTGAATAAAGTCCCTCGCTTCTTCGTAGTAATCATCGTTCATGTGCTCCCCATAAGCGACTGTATTCCACGGCCAGTGCTGGCTGCAAAAATCTCTGTTCATGTTTGTTTCTTCATATGGCACCAGATGATTCTTCGCGAGCAACCTGGCTACAGCAAAGATATCATCGTCGGTAGGCAGGGTGTCTTCTAGGTCTGTGCCGTTCAAATACTCTTGAACCACGGCGAAATTCAAGTTGGCAAAAGGCTCTCCATCGTTGTATGTTTTGTAAATCTCTGCGCCGATTCCGTTGCTTCCAGCGTTTTCATATGCGTTGAGGACATCGTCAAGTCGGTTTTTGTTCTCCCTAAAATCTTTTTTTTTCGGCATATTTATGAGTAAAAATACCTGTAAAAGTTAATGGAATCCGAATCGTTATACAATTTCACAAGAGTTTTTCGCTCAAGAATCGTTCCCGAATCCGTCGTTATGTCGTAGGTACATTCCCATAACTTGGCTTGAGCACCACTGAATCTGTATCTTTATGAAAGGTTGCATAAAAGAATCGAATAGAAATACGAAAATTTTGAGAAACCAGACCAAAAACTTTGGGATCACCGCCAGCAACGTCTCTGCAAATCTCTTCTGCTTTTGCTGTTTCGTCGGCGGTAGGATCGGCCAGGATCGAACTGATTGCTACTCATGGTTCAAATCTTTCTTTTGAATTCGGCAATTTTGACTAAGATTTTTAACCCGCATCTAAAAGGAGAAGAAACTTCATGGTAAACCAAACAAAAACAATTGAATCTCATCATCATATTTCTAGAAAATTTCAATTACAGAGTCAACGAAGTAAACCGTAAGCCGTAAGCCCTGGAGCGTGTAGTAAATCATAATTCTCCAATTCAGAATTCTCCTTGTTGATTTTCGTCATTGTTTCAAAAATCCGCCTGATTAACTTTATAAAGCTCCGTCAACAGAATTCAAAATGACCAAATGACCATCGCCGGAGCGTAAAAACGAAAAATTCCAAAAAGAATTCTTCTCCTCGTTTTTTTTTCTCCCTCTTTTGTCTCGCGATTTGTCAGCTACACTCGTAAAAGGTATCATATCTCGGCGATAAAGTTTCATTTGAGGCGCGTTTTTTCAAAAAGAAAAAATCAAACAAAGCCAAAATCGGCAAATTAAACACTTGAAATCGAAGGTTAAGCAGAGAAGTGGTATCCTTATCCTTGTTAAAAAGGGAGAAATCGCCAGAGGGCATTTGCAGCTCCACTAAACCCAACCTAGAAAACTACCGGTCCGAGCAAGAGAAATCTCAAAGAGGAAAAATGAAAACTGGAGAGAGAAAATGATGATCGAAATTTGATTTTACGAAGAAAAAATAAATAAAAAAGAGGTTAGCGAAAAACAGTTTTATTGAGATTTCTAAGCGGAAAAAATTATGACAGTCATGGAATTTCTTAAAAATTATTTTATCTAGTAAAAAAATTTATTTTTAAATTAAAATGATGGTAATTTTATTGTTTATTTATCATTTAAATTAAAAGTAATTTTTTAATATAAATAAAATTTAAAATATTATTATTGAATTTTTAATAAATTTTTCATATTTCGATTTTAAATCAACAATTCTGAATATTTAACTAAAATAGTTAATTATAAATTAATAATTTAATAAAAATGTAAAATGCAAAATGCTTATTTAGACACTCATTAATCCTATGCTATCCTAGCATCAAAAAGCCAACAGTAAAACATGATCTATTTTCAGAACAATGGTCACCAAGGCGGAACGCGCCAACAATAGCTCTCCCAGCACCGAAAAATACCGCTTATCAATCATTCTGAAAATGAAATGAAAATTACGCCGAAAGAGATTTCTCGCGAGATTTCTCAAAAATCAACAAGCTACGAAAATGAAGCTGTCGTGGTCATTGAAGAGCCCGTTCAAGTTGGAACTGATGGGAACCGCGTCATCAACAGAAGCGACATGGTTCTAGCGCCAAAAGGAAGGGAGAAAAATCAAGGAAGGCTTGAATTTCGAGCAAATTCGATTTGTAAAACTAGAATTTTTTAATGAAGGGTTGGGAAAGGTTTAAGCCGAAAAAAGCCGCCGGCGAATTGAGCGACAAAAGTCCGAAACTGAAAATTATCTGAAAAAACTCAACGAATTCGTCGAGTGCTACGGCCGAACGCACAACTTCGATGGAGAGGAGTTCTACAACTTTGGCATTTTCCGCTTCGGGCTCGGAAAGGACTACATTCGCCCGTGCAATTTTGTGATGGTCCGAAACGAGTTGGATCTGAACCCGAAGTTGCACTACGATTATTTGATGCGCTCGAACCCGGCGCCCGGGATGATTCTCTCTGTCCACGGAACAGGCATCAGCGAATCCCTGGATGGCGGATACGCGGCCTCCTTGCTCGTCAAGGAGCAAATCTACAAAGCCGCCGAGTGCACTGGCTCCTGGATCACGACTTCGGGGATGAACGATCCGCTGAACAACTTGATCGGAAGCGCCAGATACGAAGTGGGGAGACAAACGGGCGACAAGGTGCCCATCATTGGGTTTCCTTTTTGGGAAGCGATCAAGGAGAAAAACGGGCTAAAAGTCAACCCCTATGGAAAACCGGAAGAGAAAAGGGAAGAAGAGGAGGAGGTCGAAGTCAGGAAAGAAATCATCATGTCGACAAACGACAGCAGCTTGGACCGGAATCACTCCCAATTCATGATTTTCGAAGGCCGAACGATCCGAACAAGCTCGAATCCGCAGCGAAACAACTTTCGCTTCCACGTCGAAATGAAATTCAAAGATGAAGGGGACGGAATCCCCGTGGCAAATATTCTCGTCTCCGGCGACTTGAGCTCGTTGAAATCGATTATTCTTAGCTGGGCTCGGAAACTTGAGTAGAAAACCTGAGTCAGGTTTTGAAGAGCTTAAATGGAAAGCCGCGTGGCAGGAATAATAATTAATGAAAAACAAATTTAAAATAATATGAAAAATATAAAAAAAGTTAAAGAAGTTCTATTATAATTCAAATTTTAATTTTTTGAGAAATCATAATTTTATTCTGAAATGGACAAGTCGGCATCTTTTTTTAATAATGAGTTTGAGAACTCTTTTCATTTATTTAGTAAGTAATGCCACATTTGCCCAATTTTATCGTAAAGATCAAGTTATCGAGCATGAAATTCCGACTCTTCAATACCGGATATGACCTTATCCACAAATGTTTTAGAGACATGGAAATTTCAAATGGGCAAAAGCACCATAATTCCAAAATTTCATCAAAAATTTGGTCGAAACCGTCAAAATATTTTCGCGGCTTTCGATTTAAGCTCTCCAGAACCTGAGTCAGGTTTACTTGTCAGGTTATCGAGCCCAGATTCTCAGACTCAGGGAAGAAACATCGGTCATCATTTTCAAGGGAGCTGGTGGTGCGGCAGATGTCGTGGCAAACTCACTCGAATTTTTAGCCTCAAAAGCGAGTGAAATGGAGTATTCGAATTTCTCGGCCGATACGAGCTTCGATTCAGACTCGTTGACCGAAAACTTGGTTGATGGGAAAATTCCCGACGCTTCTGATCGGCTTAATGAGCGGATTTATCAAGCAATGACGACGCTGGAAATGATGGAGATTTTGAAGAAATCGTGTATTTCGAGAAGAAGCGCGGTCGAGGTCAAAAGCTGGGTCGTCGACATCAAGAAAATATTTCTCATGCGGAAGCACATCACGATTTTTAATTTGAAGCAGAAAAAGAAGCTCTCGCATGTGTTGATGGAAAATGTGCTCAAGGACAGAGTTGTAAATTATGCTTTATTTTCGCTAAGCTGAGCTTAACTGAGCTGATCTGAGCTGAGCTGAGCTAAACTGAGCTAAGCTGAACTGAGCTGAACTGAACTGAGCTGAGCTGAACTGAGCTGAGCTGAGCTGAGCTGAGCTGAGCTGAGCTGAGCTGAGCTGAGCTGAGCTGAGCTGAGCTGAGCTGAGCTGAGCTGAGCTGAGCTGAGCTGAACTGAGCTGAGCTGAGCTGAGCTAAGCTGAGCTGAGCTGAGCTGAGCTGAGCTTAGCTGAGCTGGGTGAGCTAAGCTGAACTGAGCTGAGCTGGCTGAGCTGGGCTGAGCTGAACTGAGCTGAGCTGGGTGAGCTAAGCTGAACTGAGCTGAGCTGGCTGAGCTGAGCTGAGCTAAGCTGAGCTGAGCTAAGCTGAGCTGAGCTAAGCTGAGCTGAGCTAAGCTGAGCTAAGCTGAGCTGAGCTAAGCTGAGCTGAACAGAGCTGAGCTAGGCTGAGCTGAGCTGAGCTGAGCTGAACAGAGCTGAGCTGAACAGAGCTGAGCTGAGCCGAGCTAAACAGAACTGAACAGCGCTGAGCTGAGTTGAACAGAGCTGAGCTGAGCTGAGCTTAGCCGGGTAAGCTGAGATAGGCAGTAAGCACACTCAGCTCAGCAAATTTGCAACTCTGCTAAAGGATGATTCAGTTCGGCAACTGTTCGTCGCGATGCAGATGAATCTAACCTCAGTTGTGAAAGCTCAGCTTGAGAAAATCAACATCAAGGGATACCGAGCTCTTTTCTCATCGGAAAAGGCTTACGACATGTTTTTCGGAGCGATTGCTGACAACAACATTGCCTTTGTTTCGATCTTTCTTGAGCAAGGAATCGATCTGTCCATGTCCGAAGAAATGGACGGCAAAATCACCAAGTTCTTCAATCAAACTCGGCAGCAACTCCCCGGTGTTTTTGAAAAAGTGAAGAAGCATGAAGACAAAAAGAGGTTGATCGAGCTTCAAAGTCCGAGAAAACGATTTCTTGGAAAACGAAAAATCGAGGAAGAAGAAAAAATCAAACAGATGGACAGTGATTTTTCTGTTTTTGACGTGATTTCTGGCCTGCGAATTTTGAAAAAGGACTATATCAGCAATTACGGGGTCTACATCGACGACCAGGATCCAATGATCCGCGGCCGGTTGAACCCAGTCAAAGCGCTGTTTTTCTGGAGCCTGGCGACGGAGAACTTCGAAATGGCGGAAATTTTCTGGCGGGAGGGGGAAAAAGACGCACTAGTCCTCGCTCTAGTTGGCGCGGCGGCCTGCGACTTTATTTCAAAACTGTCAAAGACGTACGATATCAAATGCGAAATTGGAACTCACAAGAAGAAATTCACCGATTTGGCGATTGGGCTTTTGTCGGAGAGCATCAAAAATGACAACGAAAACACGAGGAAATTCTTGACCCAAATTCATCCGGAATATGGACAATTGACGCCTCTAGAAATCGCTGTCAACGGAAACGTCATTGCCTTCGTCGCGCATCGATTTGTCCAGCACGAGTTGGACACAATCTGGCTCGGTCGAATCTCGAAGCTCGCTTTCGAATCCGGCCGGAATAAAGAATGGGTCTACTACTGCTCCCTCGCCATGCCTTTCGGAGCTCCTTACTGGCTCAAATTCGACACCCACAAACCAACAGCTTCGTATTTGACAAAATTCAGGTGCTTCTTCAATGCGCCGAGAACTGTTTATGTTTATAATTTCATCATGTATACAATCTATCAAGGACTTTTTGGTTATGTCCTGACGATGCAATTTTGCACAAGACCGTTTTTTGCTGAATGGTTTTTGCTTGCTTGGACGATAACACTTATTTTGGAAGAATTTCGACAAATGAAAAGCTCAGGAACGGGTCAACCGAGCTCGAGTTGTATTTTCGGAGCCGCGGCAAAAAATTGAAGTGATTTTCTTGAATCAGGGTTTTGATTGGCAGGTAGACAAAATACAGCAATCTTATTGGTCTTCCAAAAATGCACTCCTATTTATTTTTTTGGACTAAACTAAAACTGGCAGTGAATTCTCGGATTACCAATAAGATTGCTGTATGTCGTCTAACAGCCAATCAAAACCCTTTTCCACAAAATCACTTCCATTTCTGGCCATGCCCGATTTCATCCCGAAAATCAACTTGACTCTAAGAGCCGCGGCAAAAAATTGAAGTGATTTTCTGGAATCAGGGTTTTGATTGGCCTGTAGACCAAATCCAGCAATCTTATTTGTAATCCAAAAGTGCACTTCTATCGATTTTTTGGACAAAACCAAAAAATGGAAGTGAATTTTTGGATGACCAATCAGATTGCTGTATTTGGTCTACTGGCCAATCAAAACCATGATTTAGAAAATCACCTTCATTTTATGGTTTTGCCCGATTTTCGCTGTTTTCTATTCGTCTTTGTTGATCCCAATAAGATGGCAACAGTTTTCTGAACCAACTCCACCACTGGATGCAAGACGAGTGGAACATCATGGACATGATCGGATTCGTCGTCCTCTCCATCGGCGTCGTCCTCAAACTGTCAACCGAGCCCGAAAACACCGACTGTACATTTTTCTCCGGAGGCCCAGAGGAATGCTGCCCGCTTCAGATGTCGCCAGAGTTTCAAACATCTCAGATTTTGTACACGATTTCATTCATTGTTCTGATGATCCGAATGATGAATTTTTACATCGTCACGAATGTCATGGGTCCGAATATCATCATCATCTGGCACATGATCAAGGACATGTACTTCTTTTTGATCATGTTTGGAATATTGATCTACGCGTATGGAGCTTCCATTCAAGGATTACTCTATCCAAACGAGTTCCGAATCTTGGAAGTTTTCGACGGTGTCTTTCGCCGGCCACTTTTGACCGTTCTCGGCGAAACTTTCATGAAAGAAGTCCAAGCTTGGGGATTCGAGGGCCTCGCCGACCCAAGCAACGATCCACTTGAATCTGATCCAGGAGCATACTGTACCAATACAACGACGAAAAGCGGCCTCTTGCAGGATATGGCAGATTTTACCACTATGTCAATGCGATGTCCACAAGAAAACTGGTTTATCAAGGGTCTCTCGTTGTTTTACATGATGAGTGCGAATATTATTCTTTTGAACTTGCTCATCGCCATGTTTACGCACAGTTTCGACGTTGTCAAAAGCAATCGATCAGGTGAAAAATATAGAAAAATATAAAAAAATAATAAAATTTATTTAAGGACCCCCGTCAGGATTTTTCGAAAAATCAAATTTTGACCCTGGAAATGGATTTTGAAAACGATTTTGAGGCTCCATTTTTTGAGGGTCTATCTCGACTCCTTCATCCCCAAAATCGCATTTGAAAATCGGACTTTTCGCCGAAAATTGACGAATTTGCCCTAATTTTGGCAAAATATTGATTTTTCTTGGTCGAAATTTCCTCTTATCAAGATTTTGAAGCAAGTTTAACCTGAGGACGCATTAACAACCAAAAATAAGGTGTTTTTAAAAATTTCCATTTTTCGAGGAAAAAGCTGACGGTGGGGGGCCTTAAATTCAATATTTTGTAAATATATAAAAATAAAATATATATTAATATATATCTATTAAAATTAATTATTATATTAAACTATATTTAATTTTTATATATAGATAAAATTTACAATTATTCTTTTAAAATATAATAAAATATAAAATTCTAAGGTGATATGGATCTTTGGAACTCAAAGCGCTACGCCCTAATCAAGGAGTATTACCGTCGACCTGCCCTAGTTCCTCCCTTTTACGTCCTTCGATTCGTCGCAAAAGCCTTTGAAAAAATCATCCTTCTTTGCTTCGGCAGCAATTGGGACTTGCGGAATCGAACTCGAGAGATTCACCGTAAACTCGAAGAAACCAAGCGCCCCATGAGAAGACATCTTCAAAACTCTCTAGGAGGAGTTCCGACTTATTTCGGAGAAATTCAAGTTGGCAAAAATTGCGCCCAAGCATCGGAAAACATAACAAAATCGACGATGCAAGGACGAAAGAAGTGACAATTGAAGAACTTGAAGCTCATTTCTACAGCGTCAGCGCCAAATTCATTTCGCGGCACAAGAAAAAAGTTCAAGAAAAAGCCGCGCTGGAGGAAAAACTCTACGATTCTAGCGACGAAGAGGAAGAAATTCAACAAAAACTGGATCAAATGGACGAACATATGAAAAAGATGCTGAAGAACATTTCCGATCGACTATCAAAAGTGCAAAAGAAAATGGACAAATCGCAAAAGCCAGACTTTGATCCGGAATTTGCAGAAAGACGAAAAGTTATTGGCGATTTTATGCGAGAAAAACGAGGCCAGGATTTGAGTCGAAATCCTCATCTTCCCGTTTCGAGCAAAAAAGTCCTCAGCAAATTCAACATTCCTGACAACATTCTGACCCGCGGAAATGGCAATTCTTCAGACTCCGATGAAGACGATGATTTGCTCGGTGAAATTCAAAGTTTCAAACTCACGAAGCTCAAGCCAGTTTCTCCACTAGAGCCACTAGAATTTACAGAGCTGACCCTTCAGCACGAAGAAGAAAAACCGATAGAATATGTCACAGTCGTTCACGAAAGAGTTGGAGCGGTTGGCCCGCAAGAAGAAATTGTCGAAATGATGGAAGAAAGTGAATTTGTCGAGATGTCAGATGATGATGTTGAGCTTCATCTCCCAGAAGAAACGTCTTCAGTTTCTGTCGATGGTTCTTTGGAGCCTTCAAGTCCGCGCTCCGAGTCTCAAAACATCGAGAAGAAAAAGAGCTTGTCGATGAAAAAGCGCGCAAAAAAAGCTTCGATCAGAGTTCAACAATCATTTTCAAGAACTCCAACACCAGATGGCAGTCCGAGGAAAAAATCATCAAAGAAAAAGTCTTCCTCTCAGCCTCCTCCACCCCCCGGAGCACCACCGCCACCACCACCAGCAGCGGCACCGTGTCTCTCACAAGTTGGCCCGCCTCCTCCGCCTCCTCCAGCAGCGCCGGCTTGTAATCTTCCTCCTCCAAAGCCCAAGTCTGGTTTCTTGTCCAAAGTCAGTTCGAATGTCCCAAAACCGCCGCCAATGCCGAGTTGGATGCGCAAGGGCGCTCATATGTTGAATCCAATGACGTTGACGAGGAGTTCACCTCCGAGTAAGATTTCCAGTCCGAAGAAAATATCCTCGCCGAAAAAGTACAAACTGGAAAAACAAAGGAAAATTGACAGCAAGTCTCCTTCCTTTTCTCCAGCACTTCCCTTTCCCTTTGAAGATGTGATGCAGATTATCGAGCTCAATCGAAGGTAAAACCTCTGCCCCCCAATTCTATCCCCCTTTTCACCCTTTTCAGACGTTGGAAACACTCCCGCTCGCCGAAATACGGAAAAGTCCAATCGGCTCCCCGCCGCGCTCTTATCACCAACGACCAGATCAGCTGGGACAGCTCTTTCCCCGGCTACTCCCCAGTCACACTGAACCACACGATTAAAACCCAACTTCGTAATCCGGCCGGAAGAACGGGAATCGCCGGACTTGGCTTTTTAGAAAATCTCGGAGAGAATGAAAAATTCGTTTTTGTGATTCGCGATGAGAATCAAATCCTCCTCGAAAAGAGGGGAAAGAATCTTCCAGTGGAGATCATTGAAAGTGGAAGAATTTCGAAGTTTTTGAAAAGACAAAATTTGCAAACTGAAGAATTTCGCTTTGGAGTCGTCGATTCTGAATGGAATACTGGTAAACCAATACGCTAGAAACCATGCTCGATATTTTCAGACAATGCTTGGGTCGAAATGACTGTAATCTACGCCTTCACAGACCTGACAAAGCCCCTTGGATGGGAGTTTATCGGACTCACGCCTTGCCCAATCAAAGAAAATCTCGGAGATTACTTCAAAAAACCTATTTCTGCCAGTGAAAATCTCTAAATATTCGATCACTATAAAAGTGTAAAAACTTTCTGTCTTATCAGTAATATAACTTCTTATCAGTGGCGGATCAGCATGACTCCTTGGCGCAACGGTAGCGCGTCTGACTCCAGATCAGAAGGTTGCGTGTTCGAATCACGTAGGGGTCAAACTTTTTCGATTCCAATGTTTATTCGTTGCAAGCATTTAGCAGGATAAATAAACCAATTTTCGCTTGAGAAATTTTTCTTACATGAGCACCATACTTTGGCTTCTAAGAACTGGCGCCTTTCCTCGTTGTTTTCTGCTTCCTTTTTAGCGGTTTTTCCAAATTTTCGATGGATTTACCGGTGAAAATAGGGGTTTCCCTGAAAAAATCCGAGAAAAAGCGACCTCTAGCGAACGCATTTCATTTTCTTTTCAGTGGCGGAGGACCCCGCCTGCTGGAAGACTATCAATTCTAGAAGAGAAAACCGCTTTCCTCCAATCCAGACCCCACTATCAGCAGCAAATCCAGGGGTCTTTTTCTTCTCTAGTTTCAGAACACCATGCCCTAAAAAAAGTTCAATACAGTAAGTTCACTTTGTTCTTCTTCAAAAATTAATGAAAGAAGTGTGTACCTTTCGGAAGCGCGGAACACTTGTGATCATCGTCGTTTGGCCCGACCCAAATGTCGAAATCATTCAGCCCTGTTCATTGGACTTAAATTTGAGCTATAACAGCATGATTTGAGTGCTGAAGTGCTTAAAAAGTCATAAGCAAGTCATTTATTTTTCAAAGTCGAGGTTCAACAAATCCCTTTCAAAATTTAAGTTATTGAAATTGAATGTTTTAAAAAGTGTCTTTTGAAAGTCCTTCAAGTCCATTCCTTGGCTCTTTGTAAGCAAACCGCGAGCATTTGATCCTGAATCGCCCGAAAGAACCCTGAAAGTCGGGTCTATTTTTGCTCAAGAACAACCGTTTTTGGCCGAAAAAGTAAGACCCGATTTCTGAATGCTTTTTCCGCCTTTTTCCGCTGCGACGAGCTCACGAACTTGACTGGCAAGCTCCGGCGCTTTTGAAAAGTCGCGATTTTGAGGCTCTCGCTGATGTCTTCCACGACAGTTGGTTCCGTTTGAGCCTCGCTTGAAATGCCAGAAGGGCCGTCTCCAGAAGTTATTGACAATGTTCGCACAACGGGCTTGCGGGTATGCTCGTCTTCGCGGCGATTCCGGCCTCGGACGAACAGACAGAGCATCTTCTAGCGCGAATTAAAGCTCAGAAATGATGAAGAGCACTTACGTAAGCAATGCAGTACATGGCGACAACGAGGAGAACCTTATTTCCGGTTGAAAATGAAATGATATTTTTAAGGGTCCACCTTCGATTTCCTAAATGACCGAAAATGTTTATTTTGAATATCGAAGGTAGTACCCTTAAACAGAAATTAACAGAAATCGTAAGAAAGATCCCATTAATTGGTGCCTACCCCTTAAATTTTCCATTTTTCAACCAATCAGAAAAAGAGCTAAGGACAAGTCCAAATAATACAGTGCTTTATCCGACAATTCATTCGTAAAAATCTTCGGCACGGGCAACGGCCTCTCAAATTCTTGACCCTCTTTGCAGGGCATTTTTTATTACTTTGAAAGAGATGAGCTTGAATAAGTTCTGTTGAAGGATTGTCTCTTTAGTTTTTTAGTTAATGATCTCTTAACATGACTTGTTTCGGAACTGAGGTCAGACAGACGAGATCAGATTTGCTAGAACTCGCTTTTTCAAATATTCATTCGAAGACGATTAGTTATTTAGGCGAGTAAGGATAACTGTCATTTCTGCGGTTTCAGGACATCCTCTTTTTTCTTTGATGTGAACATCATTTCATTACTGTAACAGATCATTACAGGCACAAGAATGAATATTGATCAAAAAAATGAAGAAAAAAGTGCATCATTTTCAATTATTTATTTTCAAATCAACATCAAATTTTCAATATGAAAGAGCATGGCCACAAGAATGGCAAGAACGAATTCCACTACCGGTAAATCGGCTGTCCTGACTGGCCGCCAGAACATTTATCGGCGTTTCAAGAAGCTTTTCGCCCTTGTTTTGTCGGAAAATTCGTTCGAGTTCGTCGATAGCTGGGGTACATCGAACGCCGATTTCGTTATCGGAAGCATCTTGGTGGAGGCAGGAGATTTCGTACTTGTCGAATTGATCGTTCATTGAATTGAATGTCTTTTCGAATTTTCGGAGTTGTCTGTTTTTTTCGCTCTTCATTCGAACCCCCTTTTTCGACTCGAAAAGGGAAAAGAAAAGAAATTTCGAGCGAGTCCTTGTTTTTTCTTTTGCATAAGTGTTCAAATTGAATATTCTCTGATTAATATCCTTGAAGCATAAATCCCTGAAAACCGTCAAATTCCAAGCGATCGAGTATCCAAATTCGGTCTGAAAGAAAACATTTTTTACTGCTAGCTTTAAGGGACCTACGTTGAATTTGTGATATCGTTCGAACTTGGTGTCTTTGTGTTTTACCGGCAAATTAATCACCGGGAGGCTGATTTTTTTCATGTAAACGACGATTTTTGCCATGAGCTCGTGAACTTTTGACGAATCATTTTCGATGATCTCTTTTATCGTAAAACTGATGTCTCCGTTGAGAATGACGTGCGAATTGTGATCGGCGGCGAATTGCGAGCACTAGAAACTGAGCAAAGGTCGAAAAAAGGGAAAACTTACAGGAACGAGATCTCGCTGAGTATTTTCCCAAAAGCTCGCGCAGTGGTCTTCTTTGAGCGTGTGCATGGCGAGATCCTCACTTGCCGCTTTTGGGTGAGCTTCCATCAGATTTCGGAAGTTTTCGTCATTTGCCTGGGAAATCTTCATTTTCAGGTACTCCAGGTACGTCTCCAGCGCCTGAATTTTCGGCATGAGCGAAAAAAACGGGAGACACTGAATTGTGCCGCCCGGCGCCGCCCAGTGCCGGTTCCGGACCGGGCGGCGCTGGGCGGCGGAAAGTGGCGCAGGGCGGCACAATGCGGCGCAGGGCGGCACAAGACGGCGCAGGGCGGCACAAGACGGCGCAGGGAGGCACAAGGCGGCGCAGGGCGGCACAATTCAGCTCACCCAAAAAAGCCTATAGTAGTTACTGTACCTCCAGATGCACGTCAAGAATTTTCAAGTTCGTAAACATTTGCCCCAGCCAGTAAGTCTTCATCACCATCAATTTGTTCAAAACAGTGTAGCCGAAAAGACTGTACATTTCTCCTCGAACCTCGAAGATGCTAAAAGCATTTGTCAAAAATTTTCTTTCAACAATTTCAAGCGCCAAGAATTTTGACACTTTTTGGACAAGAAAACATAAATCAAGAAAGAAACCTGTTATTTGATCGATAATTCTGAGCTCGTAAAAGTTCTTTCTTCCATTTTTGAACAATGCCATAGTTCAGCTTGTCGATCAAATTCGTGAGGAGAATGATGTCTGCTTCAAAATCTTTCTTGAGCGTTTTTGGATTGAAGATTGGCTTGAATTCTTGGAACTAAAGGGAAAAGGGTAAAAGCTGATTTTGAGTGGAATTTACGTGAATAAGGGTGTCTCTTCGTTGCATTGAAAATTCGTTTTCTTCTTTTCTTTCGTGAAATTCTTTGTGGCTATGATGTTCTTTGTGTTGATGCGTTTCAAGGTGCTGATGCTCTTCTTCCCCGAAAACTTCTTCTTCCACCACCGTTTCCTCTTTTTCTTCTTCTTGGGCGCCAGAGAAGCGAAGTTTCTTCTTTTTCTTTTTGAAGCTCTCCTCGTCGGTGGGAACGCCCTTCTCTTCCTCCCCCATCTCTCGAATAGTCGAATCGAAATCAGAATCCATTTCCGTCGCGTCAGAATCCAAGGCTTCTGCTTCTTGCTCTCGAAGTAGTCTTGCCCTCTCTCGAAACCTAGAAGCAATAAAAATTTGCTTTCAAGTTCAGCTGAGGGGATACGATTTGGCATTTGTATCTCCGGTTTTTTTTTCCTTGACTTGGCAATTTCAAATTTTGTTAGAAAAAAGTAAGCAAAGGTAAAAAATTATTACTCTTGAAATCCAACAAAACTTCAAGTTGGTTTAGAAACAAATTTTCTTAAGGGACCCCCCTTCGATAAATCGAAAATTTCAGGAGAGCCATATTTTTGGTTCTAAGTGCTTCTTGAGGTTAAATTAGGGTTTAACCTATTTATGGAAGTGATTTTATGGATCAGGTCTTTGATTGGCCGGTTGGCCAAATACAGCAATCTTATTGGTCATCCTAAAATTCACTTCCTTTTCTTGGTTCGTGCCTATATTTTAGCGATCGAAATACTTACGAAAGGGAGCTTTCAATAGAACTCATATTTCAAGGGCAACTAATACAATCTCTCTTGTGAGTGAAACTTGAACACGAATAATTACGAGAAGAATTATGATCTGAATGTCGCCCTTTTCGCGGATCAGGCGTCTTTTACGATTTCTATCCGCAGTCCTCCACCCGGTCTACTTGTCAAAACTCGTTAGTGGTTTGCTTTCTGTTGAAAATTAGCTCATTCGACAAGCTGTTAAAATGTGACTTAAAGTCTTTAAACAAGAAAATCACGGAAGAATTAACAAATAATTTTTTTATTAATCATTTCTTTTTTTTCAGTTTTTTTTTTTTGAGTTTTCAAAATTATCGTTTTTGAAACAAAAAATAAAGAAAATGGTTGCTAGGGAGTCTGATTCCAAACACATAACGACTCATTCTTATTATCTTTCGCACGCTTTCTTTCAACCAAGGTATCTTCTTCCAGACGAAATAAGAGCGAGATTTGAAGAGGATGGAGATCTTGAGCGTCGTCGTCGACAAAAAGGAAGCAGAAGCTATCGAGAGACGAAGACATAGAGAAGCACTTCGGCAGGAGCGAATTTTTAATGTGCGAGAAAGGTACTCAAAAAACGACCCAAAGTCTTGTCCTTATTTCCTCTTATTGAGCTATTTTATTGGCAGTTAAAATTTATAGCAAGATGTTTTTATAGAATTTACTTCAAAAGCAAAGACAATAATTTCGTGGATGGTTTATGAACTGTCGGAAAGGTCGAAAGCCAAAATAAGAATTCTATTCACACTCTAGAACTGTTACTTTAGGAACTTTAAGGGGGAGGTGTGAGGAAACGACAAAAAATTCCGATTTCAGATTCAGATTTTCAATGGAGATTTTCAACCTATCAGAAGCCATGATAAGGCTTACCGGCCAATCAGCAGCCGAGAAACCGCCCACGCAAATGTTTCTAGATGTTTGTCAGTTCCTGACACCACCCCCTCTTTAGAGGGCCCTAAGGGGGTACGCCCCCCCTTATTGAGATCCTTTTAGGTTTGACCAAAAAGGGGGTGGACCGTACTGACCAGAGTGTAATATGTTCAATGTAAGGTGCTAAGTCGGGAAGAATACAGGTGAACAAGCTTCAAGGAAGGAGGATTAGACACCACGCTACCATGAATGCACGGAGATGCAACGGGCCCTCGAATATTGAACTTCTATTTCAGAACGATGGGGGTTGATACTTCTGCCCTGGATCTCCAATCCGCCGAGCGCTCTCGAAGGGAAAAATTCGAGGATGAGCGTCACCAAGCATACGCCAAAGAAATGGTTCGAAACGACAAGCTCGCAACTTTGGCAAGCCTCCGCCACAACCAGGACCTGCGCGAAATGGCGAAAGAGCTCAACAACTTTCGCTTTCAAAATCAACGCGCAGACACGCGCCGGGAATGGGACTTGAATGATCCAGACGCGAAGCTGAAAGACAAACCAGCGAGAACGAGCGATTTTGATCGATCATTGGGACTTTCCGCCGCGCAAGTGTTTGATGGTCATTTTTTGAAATCAAGGAGGAGAGCTTTAACTTTGTTTAGGAGAAGATTTGGCGGCGAAATCGCGCCAAGAAGTTCAGAAAACGCAGCGAAATCAGTGGGCAGGTGCGCTTAGGAGCTTTTAATCCGCGATTAAGGCGATTCTAGAGGCGCAGAAGATCGAAAAAGACTTCAAAACGCAAGTTGAAGAGTTCGAAAAGCACAAATTCGCACAACAACAATTGGAAAATATCGCCTCGTTTCAGAAAATGGAGGAAGAAGCAGAGTCGCAAAAAGCGGCTGAAAGAAAAGCTCTCCGAGATTTCAATCTTCAGGTTCAGATCGAAAAAATAATTTGAAATAAAATATGAATTTAGCAAGCGGAGGAAAGAAAACAACGAGAAGCAGAACGCGCCCAGCAGGATTTGCAAGATAAACTGACCGAAATTAAAAACAATATTTTCGGGGACACCCTAACCGAAAATCCGGCAGTGGCCATGTCTGCTTTTGGCTCTCATAGAGTCATAACTGACCGATGGAAGGTGAGAAATTGCTTTATTCTTCAATATAAATGAGAAAATAAGGGAATGTCTCCTGAACAAGTCGAAGAAATTCGCCGAATTCGTGAAAAGCAAATCGAGGAGAAACAAACCGAACAGACCATGCGAAAGACAATGGAAAGGCAGTGGGATGATGAACGGATTCGACAGGCAAAGGTGGCGAAAACCGATAATTCTAGCTTTTTATGCGTTTTTAGACATCGACTTTGATGGAAAGAAGCTCGGCAAGACAGCGCCGCGAGCAGCAGAAAAAACTCATCGAAGAAAATCGACGATTAGCGAAGGAACAGGCCGCGAAATTGAACCATCTTGACCACGAAGGTAGTTCTGATCGTATTCTTCTTCCAAATGATGTTTTTTAGTTTATACAAATCCACCTACAGCTGCTTATTTTAATCAATTCAACACCACTTCTCGCTGATTTTTCTTTTTTCTATAATTTTTTGTCAATAAACCACTATAATCAAAAATTGCTAAAAGTCAGTTTTTTTATTTTTTTACAGTAATTGTCGATTTTGATCAATGTTGATTTCCTGTAAACATGCCGATAATCCGTTGAAAAATCGTTTTTTCCTTTTGTTTCCAGCCAGAAGGATTTGGAAAGTAAAGAAAACTGCGCTCCTTTGCTTTCAAAAATCTTCGGCTGAAGAAAAAGAAGTAAATTTGCGCCGTGGAAGAGGCGAGAACGATTGCAAGTAAGACGCCGCTGGAAATGGTGAAATCGATGTCGCCATTCTTTTCCGCGATTATCGAGCTAGAGAATTTTTTGATGGAAAATAAGGGAATAGAAAATCTGTCAGGGTATAAAAATCAAAAATGAAAAGCCGCGTAGCGGCTTTTTTAAAAACGAAGCCGCAAAGCGGCTTCGCAATATTATTCTTCAATCTTATTTTTAATTTCTGGCGAAGCCGCTTCGCGGCTTCGTTTTTAAAAAAAAGCCGCTACGCGGCTTTTCATTTTCGTTTTATATCCTGACTCAGATTTTCTACTCAGGTTGGCGAGCTCAGTTTACCTGTAGAGAGGTGTGTTGACGTAGTAGATCGGGAACATGATGAATTTGACGGCGAACAAGACTGGGACCATTTGAGCGGGGCAGAATTGATAGAGGAAGAGGATGTACCAGCTGTTGAGGTAAGTGAGGTGGAGGATCCAAAGAACAAGGGCGAGCGTGGAGTAGCCAGAAGAAGCAACTGGGATCGGAAACCATTGAAAGATGGTCATGGCGATGGCGAGAACTGTGATGATGATTGCCCGGCTGATAAGGGTATTGAGCTTGAATTTATGGGTAAAAATGATGGATACCGGTATTTTGTCTTACATTTTCTCGAAGCTGAGGGAGCGGATAGGACTTGGGATATCTCCCGACGCTCCATTTCAATTTCAACATCATGAGAATCGGCAACAGGGGCGAAAGAATTTGAAGATAGCCAAGAGAATCCATCGTTTGCGACTTCAGGGCGTGAATGTTCTCTTGACAAGTGATGTTTCCTTTGCAGTCGATCACGTGGCTGTCGAAACCACGGTTCATCCAGGGCACCATCCAGCCGATGAAAGTATAGCTGCGGAAGAAGCCGCAAATGTCCCAGATTGAAAGGGCGATGTTCATCGGGTGAAAAATGTATGGCAGGTATTGGCGCCAAGTCGGAGCCTGGACTTTCTCTTCGGCTTCTTTCTCCGCGCCAATCCGTTTCCAACTTAGAGCTCGCCCAACAAGAGAGCTTCGGAAGATGCAATAATCGTCTGGAACGTCTTTTGGGATCGTTTCGAAGGGGAAGAGGAAGAGGGTGCGAATTGTTATCATGATGGAAAGGATCGCGATGATGAAGATATAGGAGTCAAGCGGGTAGTCTCTTGACTGATATGCCAGCTTTCCATACCAAAAAGTCGCGCCTAAATTTTTTTTATAATTTTTTCAATTTTTTTTTTTTGAATTTTTCAAATTTTTTTAAGTCAATTTTTTCAAGTTTTTTTCATGATTTTTCAATTTTTTATGATTTTTTTTCAAATTATTTTAATTTTTTTTCCAAATTTTTTCAAAATTTTGTTTATTATTTTTCCATTTTTTTAATAACTCTTTCAAATTTTTCATTAATTTTTTCAATTTTTTTTTTTCAGTTTCACTCACCTGAGGCGACAACCATCGCCGATAAAAACAAGACCACATATGAAGAATTCTTCTTAAAAATCGGCCCGATCATGGTATTCAACGGAATCCACATGATGACCCCCGTCGAGCTCAAAATCATTCCAGCAAAGAAGAAATAAGGACTCGTCTTGTAAAAACTAATGCAAAAGAGCCCCGCTGTCATGAGCAATCCAAGGATGAGACGGACAAATGCACCGCCGATTTTGAGGTAAAGAAAGCCGAAGAAAAATGAACCGCCGTTGATTGCTAGAAACATCGAACTCTAAAAAGGGATAGAAAGATTGGAAAAATTGGATGCTTACGTAAATGTCTCCGAAAACAGCTTTTGCTTCCTCGCAATAGACGTCGTTGATGATGTCTTTTTCGCTGCACTTTTCGTTCATGAAAAGCTTCTCTTCTTCAAAAATAAACTGAATCATTGGAAAACCTCGAGTTATCATCGGAAACAAAAAGACTTCGATTCCTCCCAAGACCAAGGAGAGGTAATTGAAAAAACTCATTTTTTTTAATTTCTTTTCCGAAAATGCCGAAATCGGGGAATATAAATATGGGGAAGAATATGGGTCATAAAATGTACGCCCATGTTTTTGAGCTCGTAGACTTAGAAAGATTTGTATCTTTATTTCGGCTTATTTGATCGAAATTGTTTTTCATCTAAATTAGACTTGATGATGCAGAACACAAGCGGAAATGGCTCAAAATCAAGGCAATTAATTGATGTTTTTTCTGTTCTGAAAAAAAATAAAGGCTATGTAACATAGCCTATGTTACAAATGCCAAATGTCAAATGTCAAATGTCAAATTTTTATTTCAAATGTCAAATGTCAAATGTCAAATGTCAAAATTTTATGTCAAATGTCAAATGTAAATGTCAAATGTCAAATGTCAATGTCAAATGTCAAATGTCAAATGTCAATGTCAAATGTCAAATGTCTATGTAACATAGCAGAATTATCCGTTTATTTAAGGGTACTACCTTCGATTTCCCCAATTACCGAAAATGCTAATTATTTCATCGGAAACGTGATTCTTCATCAAATTCTGGCCCAAAAAAAGTGGGGGAAATCGAAGGTAGTACCCTTAAATACAAATGCAAGATGGAGAAAAAATTCTCGTTCTAAAATCCATTCCGTAAAAAAACGTGGCCATGTAACTCGAGCGATATTATTCCGCGTAATCTTATGAATACAATCCTAAAAAGGATTTTCCACCGTCCGAGGGAGAAGTAGAGAGACTCGAATACGATTTTGCTCTTTCACTTTTTTCTTTTTTTGAAAATGAAAATTTTTGGTTCCTTTTTGGCCTTCGCCGCGGCTCAAGAGAATTGTGATGGAATTCCGAAGCCGAAATGGGTGGCTAGAAAAGCGGCGCAGAATTTGTTCAGGAATTGATGAAGACATTTGACATTTGAAATTTGAAATTTGTTAATTGACATTTGACATTTGACATTTAACATTTGGCATTTGACATTTGAAATTTGACATTTGACAATTGACAATTGACATTTGACATTTTAATTTGACATTTGACATTAAAATTTGACATTGACATTGATTTAAGAAATATTATGAAAAAAAATTCATCCTAAAAAAGATCGGATTCAACGACCATTATCGGCGTAAAACTTGCCAACTATCGATTTCCAACTATCGAGCTGAGGTAAATCATTCCCATTTCCAGTAGCTGATTCTCAACTGAATTCTAGAGACGAGAAATACAGAGGATTCATGGTCTTTACCGAAAACGTCTGCGGCGCTGATTTTACTTCGAAACTTGCGAGTGGAGAAGTTCAAGTTGATTTGATGGATGCTACAGGCTCGAGTTTGAATAAGACATCGAGAAAATTCTAGAGCCAGAATTGAAAACCTCGAAAAAAGATGCGTACGAAATAACGGATGTTCTGTTCAAAGAAGATGGTCGCTACTCCTACACTGGCTTTGGCTACCGCCTCAAGGTTGATTTCTTTCTTTTCTTTTTCGAAGTCGATCTTGAATTCTAGAGCATCGTGAACAAAGATTACCCGTTCAAGGAGAAGAAGAGCTTCGTAAAGAAAATCGGGGCATATGACCAAGTTCAGATTCTTTTCAAAGGACTTGACAAAGTCACTTGGGAATCAAACCAGGTAGCGACTGATCTTTCTTTTCTCGGATTAATGATTGATGATCAAAGGATAATTGTCTCCTGCGAGTGGCAGCGGGATTCTTGCCAGAGGATGACGATTACCCTGAGAATCTGACGGAATGCGTCTTTGAGAAGAAGCGATTCTTGATGGCGCCTCCTGCGATTGCTGATGGAGGCTTCTCTCTTGATCTCATCAAATATTTCTGAGCATCAATAAAACATCTGAGAACAGAAAACTAATCTTTTTTATCAAAAAAAAGGAAAATGATCATTTTATTACCGATTACCTAGAAAAAATCCGAAAAAGCGACACCTAGCGAACAGATTTTCCTAATTTTTTCTTCGCCGGAGGACCCCTTCGCTGGAAGAATTCTGAAATTGAAGAAGAAAATTCTCTTCCTTTTTTGCTGAGTCAAAATTTTTCCCTTGATCTTGCTGGCAAAACCACGTTTCTAATTGAGTGCCTCCACTAACTTCTTGAACACATCAATCGGACCTCATCCTTTTTCTCACAAAGGTCATGCGGTCGCACTCACGTTTAAAATTGTTCATCAGCAGTTAGAGCTACCATAGACTACAAAAAATGAAGATTTTCAACATTTTTTCTCGATGGCTTTTGCCCAAGAAGGTAGCGGTGAGGGCAGTGGCGATGAATTCATGACCACGGCAGCGACGACGACAACGACAACGACGAGGAGAACGATTCGAAGGGGGCCAATACCTGTCGAATTTGCGATCATTTATCAGAAGAGGAATGCAGAGCTTCTCAGGTGCGATTCGAGAAGAGAGGATTTGATAGGCTCTTCTTGAAATATTATTGACCGATTATTTCAGGTTTTTCACGAGTGCGGAATCGGTATGACCTGCGAAGTCACTTACATAGCCATGATGAACGGAAAACAAATGTACACATCCCGTAAGTCAACTGTTTCCAATCCCCTTTTCAAATTCTCCCTCTCAGATTGCCGAAACGCCGATTCCTGTGAAACGCAACAAGAGCAAAATTTCAACGGCGTGTCAAAAATGCGGAACAGCTGCGTCTCATCAAACTACTTTGGTCGTTACGTCCAGCAGAGTACCTGTACTGTCTGCGTTCCACCTAATCCATTAGGCGGTATTTTCACTCATCCGGGCGGATTTGTCTTGAATATTCCTACTTTTTGGGCGACTACTGAGCCGGAGACGTTTATGGAAGCAATTAAAATGTACCTGTAAAAAAATAACCAAAAATAAACGAAAAAAACAATTTTCTTCTTGCTTTTTTTCGTTGTTGTTTTGAACCCTCAAATTAAATCCGAGTCGAAACCGTGAAAAAAGGGATGAGAAGTTTGCATTCGTCTCCCATCCATTATCTCACTTATTTCGTTCTCATCCGTTTCCACAAGTTACTTACGCATATTGGGCTGCATCAAGCGTGCTACAATCCCGCATATATAAAAGGGCGACGGTTCATTCCATCTTCATCAAAACAAAGAAAACAGAAAAATCTTCAAAAAAATGAAAATCTTTTCGCTTTTTGCCGCCGTTCTTGGCGCCGATTTTAGCACGATGCATATTCCAAATGCAGGTAAAACTACTAAAAATAACATTTTTGCTCATTTTCTTCAATATTTTTATTTAATTTATACTCATAATTGAACAAATTTTAGTTCGTCGGGGATTTTCACCATATTCAATGCTGATGAAAAATAATTATTTCAAACGATCAATCGATGACTCAGGTAAGTTACGTCGAAAGATGAATTTCGATTTAAGGCAGTGACACCCTTATTTTATTCCTCGAATAAACCAGCCTCTTTAGATACCAACCAGCTGAACGAAGATTGGCAAACGCTTTTCAACTCTGCCAGCTCTGACGAACAACTTCGACTCAACGCAATGCTCAACCGGTTCAATGGATATTTACAGTAGCTTTGATTCAATTATCTGATTCTTTTTGATTTCCTTTTATTGTACGTCGGAATTTATTAAACATTAAAATCTTCTCTATGTTATTGTCAATTTTATGGGGTGGTGTCGGCTGCTGATTGGCCGATTTGCCGAATCAAGGTTTCTGATTGGTCGAAAATTTCCATGGAAAATTTTTCGGGATTTTTTTTCGATTCTTGACACCTCCCCAATTTTATGTTCATAAATCGTTTTTTTCGGCATTTTTTTTTCGTTGGTTTAAAAATTGGTGCATAGACTTTTTTGCATATTTCGAACTCAGCGCAAGTTTCTTCAAATATTTGCCCATGCAGATTTTTGCAGATTTTCGATTTAACCAAGATTGAAAATTTTCAGAAAAAAAACATGATTCTTTTTCCCTTTTTATTCTTCCAGCTAGTTTTTTCGGAGGAAAAGAGAAAAGTCCTTGTTGATTGCGACCCAGGAATAGACGATGGCCTTGCTCTTCAGTCGTCGCAGTGACGATTGTCGACGGAAACACAAAGACCTCCCAAGGTGCTGCGAATGCTCTCCGACTTTTCAAGAGCCACGGGGTTGATCCAATCCCACCAATCTTCCTCGGCTCCGACAAAAACACCTCCAGCGATGATTGGTTTGGAAAAGACGGCTTTGGCGACCGGCAAGATCTCGAACCGATGATTTTTAAAGAAGACATCGATCAGGGAAAATACCCAGAAGTCAGAAAAGACAAGTCGGCAGCAGAAGCAATCGTTGATTTTTCTCGAGAAATCGTCGATCTGTCGATTCTAGCGCTTCGGCCACTGTCGAACATTGCCGCGGCGGTTGAAATTGACTCAAAAATAGCCGAGAGAGTGAAAGAATTGACGATCATGGGTGGCAATTTGTACGGATCTGGCAACGCGCCCGGACAAGCGGCCGAGTATAACTTTTGGTTCGATCATCTAGCAGCGGAAAAAGTTATTTCAAGGAAAAGGGACGAAGATTTTTTGAACAAAAAAATTTCATTAAGCTTCTTTTTGACTAAGCCAAATAGGGAAGAGCATTTTCAAATTACCAATAAGATTGCTGTATTTGTCCTCCCGACCAATCAAAAGCCTGCTCCATTAAATTTTTATCCCAAGAAAGTTTTCTTCCGAAAATGACTCCAAAAATAATCACGATGGAACTAGCCACCTCTCATCCCCTTCCCATCTCTTTCTGGGAAAACATGGAAAGCGATTTTCTAAAAGAAATATCAAAACTCGACGCCGAAATGTCTTATCGTAACTCTAGGTATAGAGTGGAAACAGTGGCCCTCCTTAGTTTAGTTTGGCCCCTTCCCCTATTTTCCCTGACCCATTCTCCTTTTCCTGTTTCCTGTTTCTCACCTCAACATCGGCGCTTATAACCAAGCCGCCTCTTTCTCTCTAAACATTACCATTCAACCATACCACATCATCACTTCCAAGTCACACCAATAAACTACACTTTTTACCATGAGTTACGACGTTTATCTTCCCATTATATACTTGTGAACATTCGGTTGTTAGTTAGTTATCCTCTCATTCCGACCAATGTTTCCACAATATACTAGGGTCGGCACCGACCCGACCAAAAAACCCGACCTGGTCGGAAATGGCCGAACCGACCATGGTTGGTCGGTTTTTGGTCGGTTTTAACCTACGCATTTGTGCGATTCATTCAATTCTCTCCGGCAAAGAAGAAAAAATTGACGGCGAGTCCGCGCTAAAGCTCTTGAAAATCTTACTTTTCAGGGCAGATCTACTGCAACAGTAAAATGCTTCAATTTGAGGGCCTCGAGCGCTGTCTATAATCTGCTCTTTTTGCCTTGGCACATTTTTCTTGACTATATTTTGAGTAGACTTCTGTGAAGTATGGTCAGATTAAATTATTTTAGCTCTCAGAATAAAAATCTACAAAAAAATACTCTTCAAGGAAAGTTTTTTTGTGAAATTTCAATTTTTTCCTCTTTTAAAACTTCACGTTGGAGTTTATCCTCGATATGGCTTTCTCACAACAAGCGTTGCTCGAAATTGGTGCTAGGAACAGTCTACGTAGGACATCGCAGCAGGTTGCGCTTGTCGGTGGGCCCGTTGAATCCTATTTGCACAGCTTGACACCTTGCCTGTACTTGGCCACTGCGAGTTTTCAGCAACAACTCAAAGCGGAGAACCCCTTGAAAAACCGACCAAAAAAGCCGGCCCGACCGACCAAACCGACCACGGATTCGGCCTCTTTTCACGGGGACCGACCAAACCGACCATGAAAAATGGTGGTCGGTGCCGACCCTAGACGTAACTATGTAAATTTTTGTGAAAAACTTGCTCTGATGAAAAACCAGTCTAGTACTTTTTCTTCGTGAGTTTTCACGATCGCCCCGAGGCTCGGTTTACTTTCGATGATCGTTCGTTTGTACCGTAGTCTTTCCAAGACTTTGACGGCTTTAGTGTTATGTAATCTCAATATCATGAAAGTAGGGCTTGCTAAAGATGGTACGATCTTTTCAATGAGCGTTGATTCAAAGTGGCTGAGTCAAGTCGCCTTTCCAAAAAGTGCCGTTTATTTTCATGCAAAATAGCGTGCACTTGCAACCGACTAGTTCTTCGTAAAAGAGAGTTTGTTATCCGCATATGCACTTCGTAATTCGAAAGTTCGAAAATGCTGAGCTAGTGCCCCGCCAGAGCGGCGGCAAATTGAATTAGTAAGTTGCTCTCAAGTCAAGTTTCTCTGTTTTGCCTCAAACTTCGAGGTCTCAGTTTTTCTTTCGTTTTCGATCGCTTTCCATTTGTAAAACTCTGAACCATAAATAACCAATGCAAAAAATAGACAGAAACTGCTCTAATAACAATCTATCATCCTATCACGGGAGCGCGGGAGCCCCATTTTCGTTTTCCCAACTTCCCGAAATATGCATCCATTTTTCTTGATTTTTCAGTCTCTAGATGTTTTCGTACCTGCTGATTCCAAATATGACAGAAAAATTGGCAAAAAAATATTGAATGTTATGAAAAACATAGAATTTATCTTTAAAAGATGCAAAATGTATAGTGCTCGTCTTTGCTCGTCATTCTTTTTTCGATATGTTCTCTGTCAGACCCTTCTGCTTAATCTCTCAAAAAATAAATTTACTTGGTTCTACTAGTCGGCCACAATCATCAGATAAGTAAGTAAAAGTGACGGCGCGCTAGTGCTTTACACGCTGCGCGGGGAGCCCGAAAAGCATTAGCGCGCGCCATACTCTCAGTGGGTGCTTGCTTTGACCCAGTACTGGGGATCAGATGCAAACAATACCGGGTGATTAACACAAAAAAGTTCCCAGAAGTCCTAAGCTTCATGTTTGAAAAGAAATATTCGAAAAATAATAAGCAAGTGACCCAGAAAACTCGGGTGAAAAATCAGTCAGCTTTAAGAGTAGTCTTAAGCTTGTCTTCCGCAGCATTTTCCGATCAAAAAGATTTTGGTATCATCAGAATCAGCAGAAAAATTCATACTTATGAGGAAATTTTTACGAAAATCGAAGGGCAATCGTTTTCCCGTGAAAGTCCCTAGTTATTGAAAATATGTTATGGCTTGTGGAGTCGCCGCCAGAGCGGCGGGCAAATTGAGTTAGTAAGTTGCTCGAAAGAAAAAGAGAAATTTTTTTTCAAATTTTTGTAGGAGAATTTTTCAATAATAATATTCCCGGGAAGGTGGAGCGGAGCTCGAAGGGACATCCTTATTCAAAATGGCGGCTAAGTAAGCAGCAGAGTTGCAAATTTTGCCTTATTTTCGCCGAGCTGTAGAGTTGCAAATTTGTTAAACTAAGTGAGCTGAGTTGGCTGAGTAAGCTGAGCAGCTCAGCTCAGCTCAGGTCAGTGATTTTCGAAAATGATCTGATCTGCGAAGCTCAGCTCGGACAATAATCACTCAGCTCAGCTCAGCTCAAAAATTTTTGAACATGTTCAGTTCTGCTCAGCTCAGCTCAGCTCAATGATCTAAACACAATTTTACAACTAAAAATACAGTTTAAAACAGCTCAGTTTAGCTCACCCAGCTGAGCTCAGCTCTAATTAGAATCTGCTCAGCTCAGCTCAATTACCTAAAAAAGGTCTACTCAGCTCAGCTCGATCATTTCTGAAAAAGGGCAGCTCTGCTCAGTTTATCGAGCTGCCAAATAAGTCAGCTCCGCTCAGAGAATTTTTCACGTAGGGCAACTCAGCTCAGCAAAAGTAAACCAAACTTTGTTACTCTCCTGAGCTGAGGTGAGCTGACCTGCCAGAAAAATTCAATGAGCTGAGCTGCCCTTTTTCAGATTTGAATGAGTTGAGCTGAGCTGATCAGACCCTTATTAGAGCTGAGCTGAGGTAAATGAGCTGAACTATGCTGTTTTCTACTCTATTTTTAGTAGTAAAATTATGTTAAAATCATTGAGCTGAGCTGAGCTTAGCGACGAGAAAAAGCATTTCGAAATACGAGAAAAATAGACACCGATTGTTTCTGATTCAGCAGAATAATGCTGCTCCCGTGTTTTGACCACAATTACTAGTAGAGCTCGCTACTCGCGCATGGTACCACACACAATACTTTCTGAGAGGGCGAGGCTTGCCCGACAAGCCGTGGTGCTCGAAAAACATAAAAGAGGAAAATATTTTTTCATGGAAAAAACTAAAATTCTGACGTCTTTATTGGACTTTAAATTTTCAATCAAGAAAATCAAAATTCAAGGCTCTAAGCAAGAGTTTATTGTGAAAATCTTTCAAAATTTTCGATTTAAATTTGACAGCATCAAGATTATAAGGAAGGTTTAAAATGAAATTAACGGGAAAAAGAGATTTTTACCTGAAAATAAATTTTTATGAGAAAGCAATGATTAAGGGGATCCCTCCATAATTTCAAACTTTTTAATCAGTTATATAATAATTATAAAAAATAATAATAAAATTATAAAATAAAATTGTCTAAATGTCAATGAATGGAAAATAGACAAAATTTCTACAGCAGAAAAATTTGTAGTACAAACTTTGTGCCTTGGCGTACGAAAATTATCATAATAACTCAGCATGGCTTACGAGCGCCGACCAGCAGTGGCGCTCCGAAACGAGGCAAATAAAAACGCGAGTTTTCATGAATACGGCAGATCTCATCGAGTCTCTTTTCTGATAAATAATCAGAAATAAAAAAGAAAATGAAGGTAAGAATCAGAGATAATGTTAATTTTTTTGCAACTTGAATGATGAAAATTCTCTAGGCATTCGCTCTCTTCGCATCTGCCTCGGCATGGACCAGTTCAGAGTACGCTACCACGTATTCGTATTGGGATCCCAGCAATATGACCTGCGGCGGAACCATCACCGAATCAACCCTTCTCGTCATTCCAACGGATGAAAATGGTTTCTACTACAACGACATGGACTGCCACTGGGATCTCCAATTCCCAGAGGACGTCAGCCTCTTGCACGTCGTTCCACGCAACTTCGCCGTCGAGGACTGCGGTTCGGGATGCTATTGTGACGCGCTCATTGTCAACGCAAACCAGACCGACGAATCGGGCTACTGCGGCTTCCAAGAAACCTCTCGACGAAGGAGACAAGCCGAAAAGGAATACAGTCTCGAAGGTAGATATAATATATATAATGAGAACTCGAACAATACTGGCATGGATGCGCGAACTATCGTCGGAAACACCGGAACGATCAAATGGTTCACCGATGGCTCAGTTGCCTATCGGGGTGCCGAAGTCTGCATTTACGCCGATGGAGACGATATGGAAGCTGTTTGCCCCCCACCTGCCCCAGCGGCTCCAGCAACTCTTTCTCCAGCCGACGCTTGGGCCCAGATCGAAGCCGCTGCTGCTGATGTGGCCACCGTCGTCAACGACTTCTACGCCGCTCTCCCCGGCCTCGGTGCCAACTCCGTCCTCGCAACCAAGAAGGTCAATCGATTCAACGATTTCTTCGCCAAGATGCAAAAGCTCAACAACCACTCTTCCGCCGATGCCTGCGCCTACCCTGCTGGCTCCAACGATCACTCCACTTTCGTCTCCCCTGTCGACTCCGCTGACGGCTGCGAGGAATTGGCAGGCCTTTTCGCCTCTCTCGCCTCCTTCCTCGACTCCTACGTCTGCCTTCCCAGCGCCGAATCCAGATCAATCAAATGGACTAGACTCATCCAGCGACAGCGAAAATTGGTCATGACCCGAAAACTCAAGCAGATGAGCTGCGGAAACTAAGCGCCCAAAAACGGCAACGAATCGTTGTCGACAAATTCAAATTATACTTTCTGATTTTTCTCAGTTCTGTTTTTTTTTTCTCGTGAAAAAAACCTTCTTTGAATAAATCACAATTCGGCAAATGGTATTTGTGTTTATCCAAGAAAAAATGTGTAAATCGATTTATCAAGAAATGAGAAAAAACGGAGGTTCGACAAAACCATACTCCTGTGTGTTGAGTACAACAACTTGACGGACTCGTTGTTGGCGCTTGCTATTACCATAATTCTGAAGTAGCTTCAAAACAAACTCAGAGGAAGCGGTGGTGTTCAAGTAATTATTAAGGACCCCCCCCCCCCGTCAACTTTTTCCTTCGAAAAATGAAAATTTTTAAAAACACCATATTTTTGGTTCTTATTGCGTCCTCAGATTTAACTTGCTTTAAAAACTTGATAAGAGCAATTTTTGACCAAGAAACATCAATATTTTTGCCAAAATTAGTGCAAATTCGTCAATTTTCGACGAAAAGTCCAATTTTCAAATGCGATTTTGAGGGTGTTAGAGTCGAGATAGACCCCCAAAAAATCGACCTTAAAATCGTTTTTTGACCTGTAGAATCCATTTCCGGGGAAAATATAAAAATTCCGAAATTTGATTTTTCTAAAAAAGCTGACCGGGGGTGGGTCCTTAATAAAAGGGCATTCTGAGCTGTTTTTTTGAATAACGATTTTCTTGATTTTCAGGCGCTGAGCAAGTGATTTTGGTAAAAAATTTGCTCGATGATTTTTTATCTCGAAAAATGATAAGAACTTTGACCATTTTACCGTCGAGGAGGCTCTTGACGGCACAAAATTCATTTTCACGCGCAATGTCTTTTTGGTGAGTTTTTTTCTCTAGAACTTATTGTTTTATCTATTGCCTTGGAAGAAGAATTCTTCAGTTTCAGTTTTCTAAAGGAAAGAAAGTAAGTTGATCTCCCAGATCTGGGTCATTAAACCGTCGCCGGTGAAAATAATTCGTTGCAAAGCCCCCTTAGGAGCCCATTGAAAAATCAATAGCCATGATTTTTCGCGTGACATCGTCAATTATAAATGTCGTAGAGTAAGACTTAGACAGCTGATTTTGAGAAAAACTCCTTTTTCATCTTGAGGGTTTTTTAAATAGAAATTGAGTCATTTCCTTGTTTGCCGCTCTTTCATCTTTTCTCAAATTTGGCAGTGGAGTAGAAAAGACGCTAATTAACCGTAAACAGAGAAAAAATACCCGGAATGGGAGGCTGCAATAGTGAAATATGCGGATTTGGCTCGTTGATAAACCCAGGTAAAAATCAATTTGTTGGCGTATATCATATACGGTATATGTCCGAAAATGGCTTTCTTAATCCATATTTTACGAAACAAGCTGCGGAGTACTCTACTCTTGTCGTGTTTCTAAAGACCGTAGTTTATATTCAAAATAATTTTCTCGAAATTGCAGTAGCACTTGCTTTGACCATGCAAAGTGCACCGCCACAGCGGCGGGAGATCTTAATTAATTACAGCAAATTTCCCTTAATTGTCGTTGAATTGATCATTTTCATTTCAAATTTCAGAAAATCAACAGCTAAATTGCTCACGCTAGAATGGTAACATCCTTTCCAAGGGAAAAGTTGCTAATCCTGAGCTTGACCCTTCCTTTATCGCTCTGAGCAGAGGCAATTATCATTTCTAGCGATTTCGCAAATGCCTTTTATTTATCAGAACAGAGACTTTCTTTTCCTCCTTCTTCTCTTTTCAACTTTCAAAAATGCCCAGAAAATAACTTGTGAATTAAGAAATGGCTGCAGAACTTGCCGGAAAGAAGATCATCTTTATCGTCGGAGGCCCTGGCTCCGGAAAAGGCACTCAGTGCGAGCGAATCGTCGCCAAGGTACTTTTAATTCATTTTCTTTCTCCTATCCAGCTCCAAGTACGGCTACTGCCACCTTTCTTCTGGCGACCTTCTCCGCGCTGAAGTCGCTTCTGGATCTGAACGAGGCCAGGAGCTTCAGGAAATCATGAAGCGAGGCGAGCTCGTCCCTCTCGAAACCGTCCTCGCCATGATCCGGGACAAGATGTTGGCCAACACCGATGCCAAGGGCTTCCTGATCGATGGATACCCACGAGAAGTCGACCAGGGAAAGCAATTCGAATCTTCGGTATGATAATTCTGCCAAAAACGTCACTCTAAGAGTCGCCTTCTAGATCGCCCCTGCTACCTCCGTCCTCTACCTCGACGTCGCCACCGAAACCATGGTCCAGCGACTGATCAAGCGAGGTCAGACCTCCGGCCGCGCTGACGACAATGAAGAAACCATTCGCGCTCGACTCAACACCTTCGAAAAGGTACTTCCGCTTCCTCCCTCTCCATCCCCATCTTTTAGGCAACTGCTCCCGTCGTCGATTACTACAAGCAGCAAGGAAAGCTCTACGAAATCGAACGAGCCGTCGCCGAGTCCTCCCCCGATGAGGTTTTCGCCAAAGTCTGTCTTCTTTTCGACAAGTTGTAAATTTAACCTTGTAAATAGCAAAACGCACTGTATTTTCAAATACACACACAGCAAAAACAACCTAATTTTTGTGCTAAATATTTATTTGTTTGCTGAAAACAGAAAGACCATGAACGAAAGTACCAAAAATCAATGAAAGGATCAAAAGAAAACTCTTCTACAGAGCCCAAAGAGTAAATTGAACTGATAATTGATGATCGAAAAATTGAACCAGATTGAACTGCACGGATGAATCGAAAAAGGAAAAGGTTTTCTTTAGTCGGTCTTCTTCTTTGAAGAGTCCCGTTTTGCGAAGAAGCCCATGATCATTGTGATTGCGATAGGGCCAGCCCAGTACGTCGTTGCGTGCTGAAGAAGATCCTGTGGCGTCGAAATACAGTGGAAGTTGATGAGGATTGACAGAAGGGGGTTCATAATCGCACCAGTCGATCGAATAACTAAAAAAGGCAAATAAAGAACCAGCAATGTCCAAAAAACTTACATGTCTTGACGACATATGCGACCAAAACAGCTTGAGAGAGCATGACAGTGTTGTCTTGGTCGAGCTTGAGCGTTTTCGCCAGCGCTTTTTCGATTTCAGGAGCGATGATCATCAAAAAGACGAGAGCAGTTTCGATGGCGATTCCTGTTTGTTGGTCGATTCCCAGCGTTGGTGTGCACTGAAAAGGGGGTTTTAAGAGCTGTTGTGAATTACTTTTTCGAAAGCATATTCTCAAAGAATCACCTTTCCAGAAGAAATGGTCGAATGAAATGGCAAGAATCCAATCTTCCAGTACACTTCTTGCATAAATCTGGCTCCTCCAAGCGCTCCCAAAATCTGGAAAGGAAAAACGAGCAGCATCTTGGCGAGTCCATGCTCCGCCAAAATCGGCAACGGGTTCGCTAGAAAACGGATTATTTCAAGATGCCAAACGAGAAGGAAATTGAGAAGCCGCTCTTCTCAAAAAATCACCTTTTCCAGGCATAAAATGAGTGAAATAAATCACTTGAGCAGCAGTCGCAAAGTGAAAATAAGTTTCGTTGACGTTTTCAAACCAAAGTCCTTTTTCCCAAATCGCGCAAATGAACATAAACGACGAGACGATTTCCGTCAGGACGATTCTCAGTAATCCAGAAGAACTAAAAAAAGAATGAGAGGGAAGAAAATGAGAAAAGAATACTTCGCATTGATAATTTTCTTCGAAAAAGTGGCAAAAATTGCGAGCAAGGAAACTACTGCTACATAATCGACCATGAGTTCCGGGTGTTTAACATAGTCCCCGATTTTTATCATCTTTCTCTTCTTCAAATTCGAGACAAATCTGGCCGGAAAATTGCAAAGACAGGACAGTAAATTTACTGAGCAGTAAACAATGTTTGCTCAAACAGATTTTAGCTATCTAGAAATTAACTTTTCATCTATGATCTATTCAAATAAAAATTGATAAGAAGGGTGGAGAAGCCGCTTGCTGCTTCGAGCAAAAAGGAAAAAAAGCCGCGCATAGCCGCGGCTATAAGTTTCCTTTGACCCGAAGCAGCAAGCGGCTTCTTGATCCATTACTACAAGGGAAAGAGATACCCATAAGAAAGTACCTGTTTTTGATGATTTTTGAAAGAGCATTTGTGAGAAGAATGAGGACGGAATGAAGAGCCACGCAGGAAAGAATGAGTTCTGGGTTGTCAACATGCTGTCTTATTAAACCCATTCTAAAATTCAAATAAAAGCTTTTCAATTTGAATGAAAAAAGATTAGCCGCGTGCGGCTTCTTAGATATCAGGAAAAAAGCCGCGGCGAAAAATTTGAAACGAAAAATTGAAGAATTTTCTCTTTTTTTGCAGAAAAAATGAAATCGTCCAGCCAGCTCGAGAAATGAAAAAAAGTGACCTCAGATGACCTTGAAAAATCGAAGCTTCGTTTTCGACAGGGTAAAAATTGCGCTTCCGCGATTGGCTGGGAACGCGTGGGTGATTCAACGCGGCCTCAGAGCGCGATTCTCGTTTTCTGCGCTTTTCGTTCAAAAAATAAAAAATAGTGAATTCTCTGTACTACTGTGAAAATGACATAAGAAATGAGAGATATTTGGAAATAAGAAGGCAGAGAAAAAATATAAAGAAACTTTCTTGGCTTCGATTTTATTTTGAAATTAATTGAGTTCTGAATTAAATTTTGGAAAAAATAGCCGCGGCGCGGCTTTTCTGTTAAAAAAAGCTAGTGCTACTTAAACATTGTTTTTGTAATATTCTGTTTAAAAAATCATTATTTATATCCATAAAGAATTTATGCATAAAAAATCAATTTATTCTTTTCAGAAATTTGAGAAAATGTGAGCGCGAAGGAGACTGTATTCTCCGACTGCGAAAAAATGAAGGAAAAAAGCGACGAACGCGACCAGAAAAAGTTGACCTGGAAGAGGGTCAACTTTTTTTCCGTTTTCCTGAGTGGAGAAGAGCGAGGTAAAAGAAGGTGAGTTTCGCTTTAGAGCTGATTTTTTTTCTTCGAAATTTAAGCACGATTTTTATTGAAAAATTGGTTGGCGAATCCAAGTTTTGGGACATTTTTCACAAAAAAATTAAATTTATTTTTTTAGAAATTCGAAAATGTGAGCGCGAAGGAGAGTAAAATCTCCGACTGCGAAAAAATGAAGGAAAAATGCGACGAGCGCGACCAAAAAAAGTTGACCTGGAAGAAGGTCAACTATTTTGCGCCCGAGACCTTCAATGCGATCAAGCAGAACATGCAAACGGCGACGCAGGCTGCTGGAGCAGACATGCAGAATATCGGCATGAGCGTCGACAAAAACATGGTCAAAACGCCTGCACGAGTTCTTCATGCTCCAGATATGCATTACGGCGATGGGAAGCAACATCCAAACAATGGAACGTGACATTCAAGAAGTTTCATCACTCCGTATGAGCGCGAAGGAGAGTGAAATTCTCCGACTGCGAAAAAATGAAGGAAAAAAAGCGACAAACAGCGTTGAAACAAAATTGACCTAGAAGAAGGTCAACTTTTATTGTTTTTTGAGTGAAGAAGACCATAGAGGTTATCAAAAATGAGCAAGAGTCTTGATTTTTTATGCTGCTTGCCGAACCCAATTTTAATTTTCGGAGCTGCTCCATTTTAGTGTTTTGAAAAATTTGATGATGCTAAAATTTCAGAATGAATCTTTTTTGAAAAAATTAAAAAAATGTCGTTTGAAAATTGAAAAATCGGAATTCGGAAATCGGCTGAAATCGTCGTCGATGGGTGATGCTGGCCAAAGTCGCCCAAATCAGCCAAAATGGTCCCAAATGGACAAGAAGCAGTATTTCGGAAAGCTGCTGACGATGATGGTCGGAATGAGGACGGTTTTGTTCCCCCTTCAAGTTGTCAAGACCAGATTACAGGTAATGAAGAAATGGAGCTTTTGGATCGTTTTGAACCGCTTCTTTCAGTTCCAAAATAAAGCAGATGCTCAGTATTCGGGCACCTACGATTGTATCAAGAAAATTGCTCGTCGAGAAGGGTTTCAAGGTAAGAATCTCTTTCCCAGAGAAGAGCCCGATATTTACCATGAAAACAGGCTTGCGTAAAATCTCCTTCAGGTTTCTTCAAGGGTTATCCAATAAGTATGCTGTCACTGCCGGCTGGCTTCATCTACCTCACTTCCCTCGAGCTGAGCTGGCAGTTTCTGCCCTCGTCGCTACCCGCCTCCGTCAAAGACTCCTTATCGGTAAAAGCGTCTTTCGCGACTTCTTCTAACTCCTAAAAGGGTGTCGCCGCCTGCGCCGCCAGTCAACTCTGGATGGTCCCCGTCGACGTCGTCAGCCAGCACCAGCAAGTCAACACCAAAAATCTCAAAACCAAAGAGCAGGTAAATCAAAATCTTATTTCTGAAACCTGAGTGGGCTTTTGCTTCAGCCACTTATTTTTGAAAATAAAGGTCTCTTCTTTTAATTATCTGTTGTTTAGTTGCGTCAAACATCAACTCTCGCGAAGAAAATCTTCCGCAACGGCGGCTTGACCGGCTTCTACCGTGGTTTCTGGATTTCCCTCTTTACATTCGGCCCCCAAAGCGCGATCTTCTGGGGCACTTTTGGAAAAGCTCGGCGGACGTACGACTTCATTCCAAACCAAAATCTTCAAGTTAGTCTTTCCGCCGCTACTGCTTCAGGTAAAAAATTTCTTTATCACAGTTTCTTAAAGCAAACTCTAGTCTTCACAAATTTGATAACGACACCGCTGGACACTGTTCGAGCGCGATATCAACTGTCAGAAGGGAAGAGTTCGTCTATCCAAGTGTTCAAAGAGCTTTGGAAGTCCGAAAGAATAGCTGGACTTTACAAAGGTACGTATTTCGGCGCTAGATTCTAGGGAAGATCCTCCACCAAGGCTTGCGGCTTTGAGACATGGCGCTAAGGGCGTCAAGACCTTATGTTAACTTTAGGTTACTTCGCGCGAACCCTGTATGGTCTGCTAAATTCCTCCCCAATCGTGATGGGCTACTTCTGGATCCGCCGCACCTCCCAAAAAGATTCCATTTCGTGATCGCCAATTTCAAAAAAGTCAAAACCGTGTATTTATTCAAGATTCAAAAACTCTGTCTGTATTACCAAACCAAAAATGTCTTACTGTAAGATACGACAAACTCAACGCAAACTGTTACATGCAAAACAATGGAAAACAACGAGTAATTATCAAAAAACAAAAAAAAAACTGAGAGAGAAATGAAATTGAATGACTTTGAAATTAAAGTATTCGTGCAAAACTGTTCCTCTGCTGAAAAATTAGAATTTAATAAATTTATTTTTTCGAAACGAAAATTGAGTTATTCAAAGAAGATCAAATTTCTTTATGTTGCAACTTATCTGAAGGCATTTTTGTCAGAAATGCTTAAAGAAGGGATCGAAATCAAGCTGAAAAAGGATGAAAAGAATCGAAGTATTGTTTTGAAAACTGATCGTTTCAGAAAAGCTTTGATGAGCGTGAAAATATCGTGAATGAGAGGATTCAATCCTTCGACCAGCATGAAGCCACACATTCAGAATGAAGAGCCTTACATTCAAGAGAGTCAAGGTTATTTTTTTCTGATTCCTGGATTCTTATTTTTTTTTTGAGCAGCGACCAAGACGCATATTTTGATGAACTCCCAAAGAGAAACTTTTGAAGCGCCGCGAAGTCCTACGTGCAGCAAAGACGAGTCTTCAAATGTCTTCCAAAAGAACGGCGAAGACGAACAAGACCTGACCGAAAACGAAGAGTCCGCGCTGGAAAGCATGGCCGCTCAGCCGGGATCAGGGGGCATTGACGCTCTTTCTCCGCGATCAGAATATTTGGACGCCGATGATCGTCCGATTGACTTACAAATGGAGCTAACGACCTACCAAGTCGAGTCTAATAAAGATTTCGTTCCGATGGAAGTGGAGTCCCTAGAACCAAACACCGATGAATCTGTTTGTTCAGAATCAGAATTTGAAAGGTAATTGGCTGTCTGTTTAGGGCCCTCTTCTACTTCTATCTCTAGTGCCCTTTCTCCTCCGAAAACTATTGAAAAAGAACTCGAAGAAGATGATGATGATGAAGATGACGAACCGAGCTTCCACAAGCCTCAAACTAGCCCTAAAGCTCCGGAACATAATGAATTTCAGCCCAATTGGTCAGCAATAGAAGATCCCAGCATTAACAACCCTTCACAAGAAAACCCTTCGTTTGCAAATAGTCAAAACGAAGAGCAACTTCAGTCCTCAAGTAGTCCCCAAAATACCCAAAGTCCGCAACATACAGACGCATTTGAAAAAGGAGAGGCGATAGAGGAAGATTTACAATCGTTGAAAATCAACTCGCACGTAAAAGAAGAAACTTATCAGGAAGAAACAATCGACTTTTCCCAGTCTTCAAATGGTTTCTCCTCTCATTCACCTCGAGATCTCAAAGAAAGTCCGATGAAAAGAAGTCCTCACAGAAGTCCTCGAAGAAGTCCTCAAGAAGAAACAATCGATCCTGCTGAAAATGGTGATGTTTTCATCCGTCCACTTCCTCTTGAAAGGCTGTCTGTAAGTGTCTCTCAGAACTGGGCTTTGCAAAATATGTTTAAAAGCTCAATAGAGTCCTGATAATTCTCAATAAAAAGGGATCTCCCAAAAATAACGAGTTCAATTAAGGAAACGAGTCTGAACAACAACCCCTCCCCGCAAATCAAGCTCGAAATGGACTCATCCCCATCGGACATGCAAGAAACGAGTCCTCCTGCAGAATCATCTTCTGCTCAGACGACACAAGAATCGGACGAGCAACAAGAGCAAGTTAAGACCGAGGACGAGCTCGAAACATTGACGAAAGAGGAGAAATTAATGCTCTTTCACCAACAGCGGCAGATGAAACTAGCGCTGTTGATGAGGCTCAGAGAATTGAACGAAGAGTCTATCGCTCGTGAAGAACATCATCAACTCGCGCTTCGTTATTTGCCGACGAAGCAATCTCCTACTCAAATGGAGAGTCAACGACCAGTCAAAGATTGTAAGTTATTCATTCTTGAGCTATATAAGAAGGGTGGCTTCTCGTATTTGAATTTCCGTCGAAAACTGATTGATTATTCATCTTTTTTCAAGATAACTCTGATTCTTCGGACTCTTCGGATTATTCGGACGATTCGGACGATTCGGAAGATTCTGCTGCCACTACGGAAGAGTCAGACGTAGAAGAAAGCGTCGTTTTTGATGCTAAAATAATGCAAGAGCAAAAAAAGTTCACCGCCCGGCAGCTTGATGAAGATGCTGATATGAGACGAGTCGAAGCCCAACGCCTTATTGAAATCAAGAACATTCAGCGAGTCGAAGATATCATCCAAAAATGCAACGTACGTTGATTTTTCCGATTTAGCTTCCATTTATTTGTGTTAAGGAAACCCTGACAACAAAGGAAGAAGAGATAAAAGCAGAAAATGAGGAAAGCGAGCTTGAAATCGTCGAAAACATCCCAGAAGAATCATGCGCCCGAGTCAGACCCTTTTCATTTGAACACAGACGAAAAAGGAACTTCATCAGAATTCCAGAACTTCGATTCAAGAGTAGACACCACCCACTCGATCCTGATAGATTGGTCTGAACGCTCAAAAGTCCCATGTTCTAATATCAATTCTAGAGTTTATCCGACGCGATCACTTCCTATTTGCACAATTTCAACCCTTCGAACGAGCTTCAAGTGCCGGAAAAATCCAGCCGCGGTAGAACACAGCGCTATTCACAAGATAAAGAAAAGAAACGCAGGGTAAGTTTTCAAAATTTTGAAATCAAAGAGGAGAATATTTACAAATTTGGCTTGTCTCTGTCGAAGCAACCAGCTCTTTCTCATCTTTTATCAAATTTCAGAGCCAGTACAGTACGGAAGACACCGTCTATTTCCCGCCTTCCGCGTCGCTTTGCACAAACATCGAACTTTTGACCTGCAAGGAAATTGACACTCCAAGCTTCCGAATCATAGACAGGTTCGTTCATCCTTTATCTGTCTTTCCAATGATTTTTCTAGCGATGACGAGAGGTCGTCGGATGATCTTGGATCCGATACGGAGCCGCCAGAAGACGAGGACTACATCACAATGCACATGGCAATGGAGAAGAAGGAGAAAATGAGATACTACCACGGCGCAATTACGCAGTCCAAAAAGAAGAAGAAAATTCTTGACGGTAAAAATATACTTTGATCGGCAGCAGTTTAATCTTATTCTAGAGCCGCGAGTAGCCAGTCCCAAACGAGAAGGATACTTTGCCCGTTCTATGGAAAGCTACAAAGGTAACCTTTTTCGACCTTTTTAGCAGGAACTGATTATATTTTGTAGAAGACGGAATCGGCTGGAAAATAAGAAACTATCCTCTTGAACCAAAACCAAAGAAAGAGCACAGAAGCAAGAAAAAGCGAAGAACAACGAGGGAACGAGGCGACTGGAGAAGGTTTTTTCAAATTATAAAAGCAGCTCGTTTAAACTTATTTAGCTCGAAGGAAGGAACCGGTTTGCGCCTGAAAATCTCGCTGAAGAAACATTGAAAATTGAAAAAACTCACAAAAATAGCTGACGGAAAAAACGATTATTATTGAAAAGTATTTATGATGATGAAAAACCCGCCGTTTCCTCCTCTTCCCCTAACCAGACTTCTACGTTCTTTTCGCCTCTTTATTCAAGTGTCAATTTATAACTGCTCTCTCTCTCCCTTTTTTACGGATACAAGCGCATTGAAGACCATTTTAAAGGTCCCTTATCGCTGATTTCAACGATGAAGGACCCGGACCATGAGAACCGCCTCTCTTTCGTTTTTAAAATTAGTATATTTTATATTAACATCACCGTTTCCTTCATACTCATTTTAACATATATTTCCAGCCCGAATTGTATTCATATTTATTAGTTAGAAAAAAGGATGAGGAAGTGATAAGGAAGTTACCTGTTCAATTTTGTTTAAAAAACTCCGTTCAATCTTTAAAAAATATAAAATCCAATCACTGCCATTTTAAAAATTTTCATTTTTGTGATCTTAACTTTTCTTATTGCGCTTTCCTTTCTCTTTTCCTTGATATTAGCATTATTTTAACTGTTTTTTGACTTTGTGACCTTCAAAATTTTACAAACCCCTGACTAAATTTCTCCCTCATCAAAAGACAATAAAAGAAAAAAATTCACGGAATATAGATTTCGCTTTTTCTCTTGCCTTACTCATATTTGATCCTAAAACAATATGTCGAGCTCTGACTTTGAGATTTTTAACTCCTAGAAAGTCGATTTCGAGCAACAAAAACGAGCATGAAACTCTCAAATCTTCTGTTAGTCGCATCAGTCCATGGAAAAAGCGGTAGAAACTGGGTTGGGAAGAATTCGAACCGATATGTTCCCGAATGCGAGTCTGGCAGATACAATGTCGCGGATATCTCGGTTCATGAAGAAAAATTAAACGATTCGGGCTCGAGCTGGGACGAAAGCTTGGACCATCATTTTGGCGCTTGTTGGATGCAAGGTTTATTTTCTCGGGGCTAAGAGGGTTGTTGAAGGAACATTCAGGAATGAGAAATCACATGGAAGACCGAGTGATCACGAGAAAATATCTGACGGACAAGCATCAAGCTATTTCATTGTACATCGTTTTCGACGGACACGGTGGCGACGAAATCGTCAAGCTCGCCGAAAAGAACCTCACTGGTTTCTTGTTTTTGAATTTCCCTTTTTCTTGACTTCCTTCAGATTTCCTCCTTGATTCCAATCAAAAACTCTTCGAATCACTTGAAAACCAAGCTGACGACATCGACCCAAATGAGTTCAAAAAACTAGTAGAAATTCAATTTCCCAAGTTTGATGTCGAATTGATGCACGAAGAAAAGATTCATAAGAAACTGCTCGATCCGAAAATCAGGTCGACTTCTGGATGCACTTGTACGGGTGTTTTTCTGACCCCGGATCATGTGATTCTCTTTAATGTTGGCGACTCGAGGACGATTCTGATTAATGAGAATGAGGATAGCCCGGTTATTTTTGCTTCAAAGGTAACTTGATCATCAATACCTTTATCGTCAGTTTCTAGGACCACAAACCAGACGATCCCGTCGAAACCGCCCGAATCAACGCCGCCGGTGGTTTTGTCACGCTTCCTCCAAAGACCTACATCCCTCGAGTCATGGGCCAGCTCGCCCTTTCCCGCGCATTCGGCGACTTCCAGCTCAAGATGAAACAGGTCTCCCAAAGCGAGCAGCCAGTCATCGTCGATCCTGACGTGACAATCCTTGATCGAAGCAAGGTCACCCACATTGTCGTCGGATCAGACGGAGTTTTCGACGATTTAACGAACGAAGAAGTCGCCGCTTTCGCAACTGGAAAAGACGGCGATATTCAAAAACGAACTTATGACTTGCTTCGAAAATCGCTCTCCGCTGGATCCCAAGATAATATGGCTGCGATCGTAATTGCGCTAGAATCAGAATAGGTTCTGAAAATTTCTTTTCTTTGCATGAAGCTTCACGCATTGATTCAGTGATGAATCAATACATGTCGTGTATTTTTGGTGTGCTTTTTCGAACCTTTTAAAGCTCCAGCGGAAGTAAAAGATGAGCTCTAAAACAGCGTATATTTTTTCGCATTGGCGAAGAATATACGAATTCTCGGGGTGGGGATAAAAACTCTTAAACTGCTACTAGTTGCACTTTGGTTCTGATCTTCTGTTTTTCTGTATTGATTCAATAAAAAATTTCCGAATATGCTAACTACAAATGTTCTGAATAAGGATGTCTCTAAGCTTAATAATAAATGGTCAATTTTGCTTAAAAAGTAGGTCAATTTACAATTAATCAGATTTTACGATGTCTAGCACCTTTCGGAGGTCACTAGGTTTGAGTCTCCCAGCGCAGGGATCGATCAGCAGGGCAGCCCAACACGCCTACAATATCAAATCCTCAGCAGGTTCAACACTGTGTCCTCCCTTACGTCATCTGGTAGTAATAAAAACCGCGCTTTTCAGAGTCTTTTTTCAGAAGGAGCCAGTTCGAAATTCGGACTCGCAAAAAATGCGATTTCCAGAAGAAAATGATTTTCTTCAATTCAGGTTTTGGTTTTACTTTCTCGGGATAAAGCATTTGTGCTTTTTCTCACGCTCATTTTTTCAAACATTTATTTGAGAAGTGAAAAACCAAAGAAATAAGAGAAAGACGAAGCGCGTCGATTGAAAAATTTGATCCTGACAGAATGGATGAACTCGATATTGATATTCAATCTGGAGGGTTTCGAGATGGATTGACTCAAGCATTCACGCTCGTTCTTTTTACGGAAATTGCGGACAAGACCTTTTTCGTTGCTTGTATCATGGGTAGGTTCATGTAGGGTCAACGCTCCCTCATCCCCTAATGTCAATTCTAGCGATGCGATACAACCGGTTGGTCGTCTTCGCTGGTGCTTGGGGAGCTCTTGTACTGATGACCTTCCTCTCCTGCGCCCTTGGTCACGTGGTCACCCAGCAGACTTGGCTCTCGACGTCCGTGACGCACTACATCGCCGCCAGTCTCTTCCTTATCTTCGCTCTCCACATGCTCTACGAAGGGTATCAAAACAAGGACAATTCAGCGACGGAAGAAATGGAAGAAGTCGCCATGGAGCTGCGAGAAGATGACGAGGAGCTGCGCGTGCGATTCCGAAAGAACTCGACCACCGACTTGAAAGACGTCGATAATCCGCAAATGGTCGTGGAAATCGTGAGAAACTCGAGCTCCCCCTCGGAAAATGAGCCGATTGCTCAGTCGCATGTCAGTGAAATTAACACGACGAGGAGTAGAAGCTCTCCAGGAAATAGATTTTCAACTGACTGCCCTAGTCTTTCGCAAAATTCTCAAAAAAAAAAGTTTCGACACTTTCTTTCATGAAAATCGATGAAAAAGACAGTGGACTTCCAGCGATCCAAGAAAGCGATGAAAACATCACTTGCTTGAAAAAAGTGGAGAAATTCTTGACAATTTTCATCAACCCCGTCTTTCTCAAAGCCTTCGTTTTGACCTTCCTCGCGGAATGGGGCGATCGTTCCCAGATTTCTACAATTGTTCTTGCTGTTTCTACGGTACATTCCCTCCAGTTTTGTCTTTTTCCTAAAAAAGCTTCAGGATAAAACGGCTGTTTTCTTCGGAGGAATCATCGGCCATTTCGTCTGTACTTCCGCAGCGATCATCTTTGGCCGGCTTATTGCTAACCGAATCAAGCTATTTTACCGTAAGCAATAGTTTTTCTCAACACTTTGCTAATCTCTTTCAGTAAATATCGCTGGAGGAATTATTTTCATCGCCTTTTCGGCCTACACTTTCTACCTAGCCGCTACTGGCGAAAACGACTAATTGAAAAGCCAGCCCCGTAGAAAAGTTCCTATTGTACTGTAACACTCCTTCTGTGATACAGTAGGCTACAATATTTGTTTGTTTGTCGCTGTTTTTTGTCTGAATGTGCTCCTTTTTTTGAAAATAAAAGTTTCAAGGGGAAAAAAATCGAACTTTTTATTGAAAAAAAAATCAGTTGTCGCGTGGAACAAGCAGGAACTTGCGCTCTTTTGGCTGGAGGAAGTGGTGCATCGGCGCGTGGTGAGGTTGTCGCGTCCAGAAGCTGTTCCAGCCTTCTTCGCTTTCGACCACGGGCATTGGATGGTCAGGGTGCAGTTTGAATTCAAAATGTCTGAGTTTTTAATTCGATGTCGCTGAGCTCGATGGTCTTACTTGATGAAATGCTTCATGAAATGAAACAGCTCGATGTCGGCCAAAATCTGTCCGGGGCAGGATCGTTTGCCAGTGTTGAAAGGGTGCTGATATGGCGACTTTTGGAACTCTCCATCTTCGTTCAGATGCCTGTCTGGATTGAATTTCCAAGGGTCCTACATTCGGTAAGATAAGCAGGCGAATTCCACTGACCTTGAAATATTTCTCATTCATGTTTGCTCCGGTAATGCTGAAGCAAATAAATTCGTCCTTTTCGAAAGTCTCCCCTAAAAGAACAAAATAAAAAAAAAGTCGCCGAAGATAACCGTATAATCTAACCAAGGATTTCTGTTTTCTCGGTAATACTGTGCAGCAAACTTCTGTAGATCATCGGGCAGTATCTGTAGATCTCGTAAATTGTGGCGAGCAAGTAGGGGCATTCCTTGAACTCGTCGGCGCGAAAGTTTTGAGACTCGAGGATTTTGTAGAGCTTTTCCTGGACAGCTGGGAAGCGGGCGAGATTCATCATGATTCCAGAGGTGACGGAAGCGGTCGTATCTGCCCCAGCTGAAAACGGGTGCTTGAAATTCTAGTGCGAGGATTTGAAATTTACTCATGCAAAGTTGCTGGATCAGATTTATAACATCCCATTCTTCCATCTTTCCTTGAGCTTGATCGGTTTGAAGGATCGCCAAGAGACTTTCAGTTTCGTCGCCGAGAGACCAGTTTTTATTGTGCATTTCTTGCAAGTCCAGAATATCATCGTATAGTCCCTTAAAAAGCAAATAATCTCAGCACTCTTTCAATTTTTAAATTGTCATTCTTAAATAAACCTGTTGGTAAGCGACCCAATCCGGCCAAAATCGCAAAGGTATCCAAGCACGAAGCCAGCTCGGAAGATGAATGAAGAACAGTTTGTACTTGTCCAGCTTTACTACGCTTTCAAGGGCGTTGTTCGCGTACAAGCAGATTCTGTCCCGGTAATCTGTGTGCTTGGACAAGTCAATGTCGAGTGCAAAATCAAGGACGACGGTCAAGGCAGCGGGCATCGTATAGGAAAATGTGTCGATCGGTTTGGTTCCGTTTTCGCCAACTCTTTTGAGCGTCTCGACGACCCAAGGAATCTGAGCATCAACTTTTGCCACCCATTTTGGCTCATATTGCTTTCTTGATGCCAGTTCCATCAATCTTCGACGGCAGAGTTTTGAAATTTTCGTTCCTTTCGGGTCGGATCGTTTGTGATCGCGCATCAAGCCGATTGTTTCGTTCGACATTGTTTCCCAGTTTCGACCTTTCTTTTTCCGCCTAAATCATGTTTTTTTGCTGAAAAATAAAAGTTGGCATATCTGATAAAAACCGGTTTTAATTCGAGAATCGCGCCATTTCACTCGATCACAAAAAAAACGAGAAGATTTTCGCCAAGTTTTGACCATTTTTTTCCGGTATTTGAAGAGAAAAAACTGCTAGAAACTATTACAAAAACCGAGACTTCTTTTTTTTTTGTTAAAAATGAATTTTTTTCAAAAAAACAACCCAAATTTTTTTAGACCCTCGAAGTCTTGGAGAGTCTCATTTTTCGATTCCACAAAAATGTCTACTGAGGTAACTTTTTATAATTTCAAAAAAGAAAACATGCTTCATTCTAGGAGGAGAAATTCGTGGAAGCCCTCTCGATCTACACGAAGAAATTCAATAAAAATGGAATCGTCACCAACGAAGAATTTGTAGCCATTTTGCGATCTTTTGGACTAGACTTCAATGAGGCTGAGGCTAAGGTAAATTAAAAATAAAAAAAATAAGCTCCTGATTCGTTAATTTTAGATGCTCCAAAAGTATTTTGAAGAAGCCCACAAACGAAGAGAAAAGTTCGAGGATGAAAAACGAAGGCTCAAAGAGTTGGAGGATGAAAAACGAAAGCTCAAAGCTGAAGCTGAAGAGTGGAAAGAAAAAGCGGACGCGGAGTTGGAGGCAATGAAGAAAGAAGTCGAGGCGGCGAAGGAAGAATTCGTAGCCGTCCATCAATGGTATCATCTTCTCATGGCAGAACTTGGCTTAGCTGAGGCCAACCCTTGCTAATTCCGTTTTTCCTGTCGTGAAAATTTCTAGTTTTAATAATATATTCGAAAACGATCTTCATGATCTTTATTTAGCAAGGCAAAAAAGATAAGGGTGTGACTCTATAAATTATGATTTATAAAAAACGAACCTGTATTCAGCCAAAAGATGCCACCATCCGGTCATCTCAAAATGCCCGCCGACGGCTTCGCTTTTCGAAAAAATCTCTTTCGCCTTGATCGGATCATTAATCACATGCAGGTTCATCTTCAGAAGCCCTCCCAAAGTATCCAGGAGCGGGTAAGAGTACATCGGCAAACTTCTCTTGTGTCCTTCGAAAAAGCTCTGGACGACATAGTAAGGCCCGTCATCGGCTAAGTCGACTTTTGGGCGAATATGGGGGATTTTCGGGTGTTTGTCTCTTGTTATCCACCATTTTAAGGCGGCGAGGGAAACTACAAGCGCTGATATTTCGGTCAGCATCGCGTTTTCTTTGACTTTCGCCCTCAATTTGCTCGGAATACGGATATCTCGCCAGAATTTTCGAAGGCAAATAAACAAATATTTGGCGGAAGATGTTACGAAATCGCAAGCTTACGTAATGATCATTTTCCTCGGAGGCTGACAGTATTCACAGTTTATTTACAGTTAATCACGGGAAAGAAGCAATTACAGGAGATAATTTTTCTTCCAGTCGAAACCAGCGGACTCGTTCCAAAACTTGTCTTTGCACGCGTTTTTGCCTTGAAAAAAATAATCCAGAATTTTTTATGAAAAAAAATTACCCCAGTCGCAGCACTGCCGACAAACAGACGGTCCTCGTTTCTTCGTAAGCCTGCATTGATCATCTGCCCCGCCATTTTTAAAATTGTGGTTTCTCATGTTGACACAGGCGAGTTTCTGCTTGCAGTCCTTGATGACTCCGATCAAGCGCCCGTTTCGCTTCCTGACCGAAGTGAAACAAACCTCATCCCAGCCGCACTTTACCTCCTGCGCTTTCTTGTGGCAGTCGAAGAAATTCTTGCCGCTGCAACGCATGCAAGTCATTTTATACTTACCTTGGTTTTGGCCTTGCGAAACGGCTTTGTTAGCTGGCTGTCGGGGGCGAGTAACTCTTCGTGGTGGGGTTTTCTTTGGAGCTTGAGTAGTCGAAGTCGGTAGGCCAACTGATGAAGCGAGGATGTAATCGTTGTTGTTGGCGGCTGTGAGGGAGGACCAGACGTTGATGTCGCCCAGACACGATTCCTAAAAGATAAATATGATCCTTCCAAATCTCTTAGTTACCTTGAACCCGACCATATTGATCTGATTTTCTTTGTTCAAGCAAATCACTGGATTCCCGACGTCATTTTCTCTACATCCAAACGAGCTGCTGCAAAAATCGCCTTCAGAACAATTTTCCATTTCCAAGCTCTTCGACTTGTAAAAAGCTTGTCTTGTATCGAGCTCCCAGCATTGCCCAAAATTTTCATTGACTTGGGGGAAGCAAGCTGGTCGAGTGAGACTTTTTTGGGTTAAAAAATATTTTTTGAGAAATTTTCGAAAAATTTTTTGAGAAATTTTTTTGAGAAATTTTTTGAGAAATTTTTTTGAGAAATTTTTTGAGAAATTTTTTTGAAAAATTTTTTGAGAAATTATTTTTGAGAAATTTTTTGAGAAATTTTTTTGAGAAATTTTTTGAGAAATTTTTTGAGAAATTTTTTTAGAAATTTTTCGAAGAATTTTTGGAAAATTTTGGAGAAATTTTTGAAAAATTTTTCGAGAAATTTTTTGAGAAATTTTTATCCCGTTCCTTGACCAAGTCAGACTTTCTTCCAATTCGATCGAGCAAAAGTTTCCATTTTCATTACTGAGATGCGCGAAATCGTGAACGGTTCCTGTATTAGTACTGAAGCTGATCAAAGTCGACATTGATTTTTCTTCAATTTCCGAGCAACAAGCAGTTGGTGCCAAAAGTGTTGTGCTGCCAAGGATTATTCCGTTGCAGATTTCTGAAAAAATGGGTCCTTGAAAAGAATTCTTGAAAATGTACCTCTGTCATTAGCAATCACGTGGACCAGAAAAGGTAGCTCTTCGTCTAAATGCAGGCCGATTCCTCGAACTCCGACGAAATTCCCGAATGGGTCATGTGAGCAGTCGAGATTCGCCGACTCTGGAATCGCGATCTTTTCAATGGTTGAAGAAAAATCAAAAAAATTTTTCGAGAAAATTTTTTCTAATTTTTCAAAATTTTTCGACCATTTTCTTTGAGGCTTCATGTTTTCTCTCGCCAATATCTTCAATTCCGCTCTTAAAAAGTCTTTTAAAATTTTTGTATTTTTGAAATAATTTACTTCGTTGTTTCCGACTTCGCTGTATCCGATTTGACCATTTGCAAACGCGGTCAAAAATAGAAAACGCATTTTTGATTCTTTTCTTGTTTCAGGAAAAATGAAATTGATGAGTTTGAAAGAGAGATATTCGCGTAATTGAATAAGGACCGGAGTGATAAATGCGGTCGCTACAGCGCCCTCGGAGTCTAGATGAAAATGGATTCAGTGGGCATGAAAGGACAGTTTTGAAGCTTGGCTTATCAGATTGGTGGTCGAGATCTAGGTCAACTTTTCCTTCAAAAGTTAACTTTTTTCGGTTGACTCTTCGTTTCAATGAAAAATTAAATAGCGGGGAAAATATTCTTTTCAAGTGTCTAGTTTGTTGTCTGCATCTTCATTTAGTTTCTTATAAAAAGGAGCCCGAGAACTTGAATTGCAAGTCCGGGATTTTGAAATCCCTCTCAAGTTCTCTTTTTTCTTTCGCTAACTGTGAAAGCGAATCAAGCTGATGATATCAGGAAAGATTCTGAAAAGCCAATTGTTATTTTTGAACCGGGGTTGTTTTTAACCCCCAGTACACTTACCCCTGATAAATTATCCTCAAAAGAATATATGGAAGTGCATTTTTAGATCACCAATAAGATTGCAAGATTTGGCCTACCTGCCAATCGAAACCCTGATCCATAAAATCACTTCCAAAATTGGTTTCCCAATTTATTGGCACGTTTTTGGCCCAAAAATTTTTGGGGATAAATAGAATTGGGGGCCCCAAGTTCGGACTAAAGATATGCTCCCAAGAATGTTTCCCCTCTAAAAATTCATCGATCTTTATTGAGCAAAGAAATACAGGCGACGTTGAAGTCTTAATGGTCTCCGAAAATTACTACTGGCGATTTTCTTCAAAGCCGAATTCATGAAAAAATGGGGAATCTTTGGAAGGGAAGAAATGTCGCTGATGGTTACTCACCCTTTTAACTCACGCTAAAAATAAACGAAACAGTAATAGACTCTCAAATTTCAATTTTCCCCAGAAAATGGAAATTTCGACCATTCTTTTCACACATTGTTATGCGCGAAAAAACGGAATGCAACGCTAGAAATGCGGCCATTCTAAAACTAATGCGGTGGAAAATCGACGACCCTCTGGGACAAGTCCTTGAGGGCCGCTCCAAGATCGAATAAGGAAATTCAAGCATTTTGAGAAAAATGTCTGGTGGTCGATTAATTGGGGCTCTATCCGCGATTTCGGGAAACTTTCTAACTTTTGGCTGTGCAGTTAATTTAGTTTTGAAAGAGAATAATAGCTCATTAAAAGTTCAAAAAGAGCTTTACAAAAAAAAATTCCAGTTATTTCAGCTCAGCTCAGCTCAGCTCACCTCAGCCAGCTCAGCTCAGCTCAACCAGCTCAGCTCAGCTCAGCCAGCTCAGCTTAGCTCAGCCAGCTCAGCTCAGCTCAGCTCAGCTCACCTCAGCTCAGTTCAGCCAGCTCAGCTCAGCTCAGTTCAGCTCAGCTCAGCTCAGCTCAGCCAGCTCAGCTCAGCCCAGCCAGCTCAGCTCAGCTCAGCTCAGCCTAGTTCAGCTCAGCTCTTAAAAGGGTATGCTCATCTCAGCTCCACTACATTAAAATATTTCTGCTCAGCTCAACTCGGCTCAATGACCTCGCAAAATAGGACAGCTCAGCTCAGCTCAATGGCAGCTGATAAAGATCCGCTCAGCTCAGAGAAATTTTCATTCATTTCAGCTTAGCTCAGCAGAAATTAATCAAAATTGGCATCTCGGATTTTAGCTTGTCTGTACTTGCTAAAATGCGAAATCTGCTGTTACAGACGATGGAACTGTGACATTTGGGCCCCGTCGGATAATCCAGTAACGCCCTTAGCGAAGCAAAATGAGTTGCCAAATGAAATTGATCCGCCACGGCGCTCGTATTTAGAGACCTCTAATGAACCTTTCTGGATGACCACTACCATTTTCAAAATCTGGAATGTTCACTTTCCAATGACATCTTTGATGCGATTCTAATAAAGCGCGCCAAATTTATGTCATGCCGGGGGAGTTGATTTGAATTGCTAATTTTTAAATCAAGGGTCTTTTTACTCGCTGATTTTGATTTTAGAATTATATTATATTTACATTTGAAATCTCAGCCTTGAACACAACATCTTCTATGTTTTAATTACCTGCAGCCACCCTTTTGATCTTCATCCCTGGTACATATCATATGTACCATACATATGTAAGATATGTATAACTTTGAGCTTACCCCTCTTGTTCTTCCATGAAAGTTTTATTTGAGATCATAAACAATTTACTTTGGAAGACTTTTTGGATCCTTTTTTCAAAAATGAGGCGCAAAATTGAGCTCATCGCAGCTTTTTTCATTTTTCTCGCCGTTATTGTAGCCTCCTTGCTCGTTGGATTGAAAAAGGGACAAAAATCGAGGAAATCGAGGTGGTGAATTTTACGGATGGATTTGAGCAGTTCGCGAGCAAGAAGGAAGAAGAGCCGATTACGATTCAAATTGGAGGAAAAAGAAGAATGCTTCGTTATCTCTCGCTGTGCTGACTTTTCAAGAAGCGCTAGATTTTTGTGAAAAGAGAAACAAAGCAATGCCGGATGACGTTTTTGAGATTGCTGAAGAAGGAATCGGATTTTCATTTTTTATGTTTTTTTTATTTCGGAAAAATGGAACAGCGAAAAAAGATGATAAAACATTTTTCGACCATGAGACGGCCTACGACATTTTGATTTGGATAAATGCTTCGTTTTCGGTGGCGAACTATTCACTGAAAGCTCAAGTAAAAGCAGGGCCTCCAATGAACTCAATATTGGAGAAGACTTGGCTGGAATTTCTCGAGAAACCGCTCTGGATTGGGCAGCTTTATGGCACTTCAAAAAACCGGAAGAGAATTTTCTTTATTACAACACGGTAGTACCATTGCAAAGGGTTCAAACAATTCATTTCATTTGCAAAAAGACCGATACTCGAATGAAACTGCAAAAATAAAAATTCAAACAAGGTAAAAATTGAAACTTAAAAATGAGAAATTTCAACACTTTTTATTTTCTTTTCTAGCTTTTCATTTGACACCATCCCCTGTTCGCCAATGATCATCGACAACAACTTTCTCCAGCAGCATTTTAGCGGAGAAAATTTTCTCCGAAACAATGTGAAACTTTTCAGCGGACTTTTCCGAAAAGATTTTAATGAGGAGAAATCTCGCGAATTGAATCTAACTTTCAGAAATGATGAAAACTTTGCTCTTTCCCTGATGAGAGGAACTTTGAGAACAGTTGAGCAGCAGTCTGTCAGAAAAGTTATCTGCGTTTGAGTCGATTTGAATAAAATTTTAGTTTGTTTTTCGTTAAAAGATTGGAAATTGGAAATTTCGGCTTGCAGTTCAAAGCAAAATAAGAGTGAAAACATGTTTTTGTTTCGCAAAGAAAAAGTTGTTTTTCAGGAAGTCTTCGTTGATTTCAGCTTTTTTTTATTTTACAAGATCTTGGTTAGGGCTAGGGTTAGGGTTCCTTTATTAGTAGTTATATATTTTTATGGTATAAATAACATTTTGAGAAAAAATATATGAGAGAATCTAAATTATTATGAGCTTGCGCATACTCATACTTTCATAAACAGTTATTCAGATAATTTCTGGCTGAGAGCACTTTTTGAATAATTTTTACAAAAATGAAGCGAAAAATTGAGCTCATCGCAGCTCTCGTCGTTTTTCTTTCCGTAATTTTGGCCTCTTTGATCGTCGGATTGAAAAAAAGGACAAAAATCGACAAAATCGAGATGGGGAATTTTACTGATGGATTTGAGCAGTTCGCGAGCGAGAAAGAAGAAGAGCCGATTACTATCAAAATCGGAGGAATCAAGAAGAATGCTTCATTGTCTATCGGCGTGCTGACTTTTCAAGAAGGGCTGGACTTCTGTGAAAAAAGAGGGAAATTAATGCCAGATGATGTTTTCGAGATTGCGGAAGAAGGAACCGATTTTCTATTTTTGAAAATTTTTTTTCAGAAAATGGGAAAATCGAAGTCAGCTGATAAAACATTCTCCGACCACGAAAAGGCCCACGACCTTTTTGTCTGGATAAATGCTTCGTTTTCAGTCGCGAACTATTCAATCAAAGCTCAAATAAAAGCAGGGCCTTCGTTAAGTTCAGTTTTGGAAAAGACTTGGCTGGAATTTCTTGAGAAACCGATCTGGATTATGCAAACTTATCGCACTTCGAAGAAACCTGGGGAGAGTTTTCTTTATTACAACACGGTGGAGGCATTTCAGAGGGTTAAAAGAATCAGTTTTATTTGCGAAGAGGACCGTTTTTTAAATGGAACTGGAGAGATAAAAATTCAAACAAGGTAAAAATCAAAACTTGAAAATCAAAAATTTCAACGATCTTTTTTCTTTTAGTTTTTCAATTGAATCCATCCCGTGTTCGCCAATGATCATCACCAACATCTTTCTTAAAGAATATTTCAGCGGAGAAAATTTTCTCCGAAACAATGTGAATCTTTTTAGCGGGCTGTATCGAAAAGATTTTAATAAGGAAAAATCTCGCCAGTTAAATCTGACTTTCAAAAATGAGGAAAACTTTGCTCTTTCCTTGATGAGAGGAACTTTGAGAACAGTTGAGCAGCAATCTGTTAGAAAAGTCATCTGCGTTTGAGATTTTTTTGAATACATAAAATTTCAAAATTGGAGTGTATTTTTTTTTGATTGAAAATTTCAAAGTTTGGCTTGCAGTTCAAAGCAAAGTAAGAGTGAAAACATGTTTTTTTGCAAAAAAAAAGGTTGTTTTTTAGGACGTCTTCGTTGATTTCAGCTTTTTCTATTTGACTAAATCTTGGTTGAGGTAAATGACGCAGGCAACAGCGCACAATATCGCAGCTCCAGCACTTGCCACTGGCGAGTCTGCTTTCTGAAATAAGGGGTTGGGAAAGAAATGATAAGAAAGAGGACATACCTGGCCGGAATAAGATGGCGCTTTGTTGAGTTGGTTAGCGAAGGAGGAAAGTGGACTGGACGATTTGAAGTTTGGGCTCGATTTGAAGGTTTCTTTTGGGACTTCGCGGGTAAAGAATCTTCGCGCCAAGGAGAGCTAGAAATGATGTTCGAATGATAAGAATATTTTTATAGAGGAATTCGGAGCTAGAAATTCGTTTAGTAGGCGTTTCCTGAGCTCGCTTTTCGTGATTGGACCAATTTCAGTTTCTCAGAGGTTAAAAAGAGAATCATTTAATTATTTTGATTGTTTATTTAATTTAATAATCGAGAGAATAAAAAAAAGGTATTTTCGGAAAACCCGAATTCGGCGGCTACTTACTCTCATTTTTTTGAAATTTTTCTTCGGTTTCTTATTCCTCTGTTTCTTTCTTTTTTTGCGATTTTTGACCAGATCTAAACTGATTCTGAAAAAAGATTGATTTTGTGCCTACGCACTCCACGGGCACGCTTCGCCAGTTCGGTCATTAAAAAACTTGTTGTTTTGTCGCTTTTGTCTTGGCTCTAGAAAATCGTCTAGCAAAACACCCATTCCTTCCCTAAGTCAATAATAATTACCGTAGCAGTTACATAACAGCTAGAATTAGAAAGAAGAAGAAGAAGCTATAAAAGCGCTTGCGGATAGAGCAAATATCGTAGGCTTGAGTAAAGTCTTTCAGAAAAAAATATTCGGCTGAATTATTTATGCTCAGAAATTTTTCAAGAAGATTTGTTTCGAGAAGTTTTTCCAGCGCTAGAATCATGTCCGGTACCCACGATGATGTTCAAAAGTACTATGGAAAAGGTAAGACATTTTTTCGGGATTTTTTTGTTAAAGAAGTTAAAGATTTAACCTGTTCGGATGATTTGAAGACATCAGCATGCACGACTCCAGCGGCGGCAATGTCCAAATCGGTTAAGAAAGCGCTGTCGAAGATTCACGATGAAGTTTTGACGAAATACTACGGCTGCGGTCTTTGCATTCCTCCAGCTCTTGAAGGGTAAGTTTCCTGGCTCAAAGGGTCTGAAAAACCTTTATCGAAAAACCGCAGAGCGGCTTTTTTTTAAACGAAGCCGCAGAGCGGATTTGCCAGAATCTAATAATAGTTTAAAATGTTAATTTCGCGAAGCCGCTTTGCGGCTTCGTTTTTAAAAAAGCCCCTACGCGGCTTTTCGATAGTGATATTTAAGACCCTGAGTCAGTTTTTCTAAACAGCTGTGCTCGGCAACCTGAGTTGAAAACCTGAGTCAGGGTCTGAAAGATTGAAAAGAAAAGCCGCGTCGCGGCTTTTTTAAAAATAAAGCGGCCTCGCAAAATTATTATTCAATCGTATTTTCAACTTCTGGCGAAGCCGCTTCGCGGCTTCATTTTTAGAAAAGCCACTACGCGGCTTTTGTTTTCGATCTTTCAGACCCTGACTCAGTTTTTCTTCTCATGGTGCCGAGCCCAGCTAGACAGGCTGCCGAGCCTATGTAAGTTCCCTTTTCCAAATTATTTTTCTAGAGCCCGAGTTCTCGATCTCGGCTGTGGAGCAGGAAGAGATGTCTACGCAATCGCCCAGCTCGTCGGCGAGTCTGGCCACGTGATCGGCGTAGATATGACCGAGGAGCAACTCGAAACCGCTCGGAAATACGAAGATTTTCATCGACAAGCTTTTGGTTATGAAAAATCAAATGTGACGTTCAAAAAAGGCCTCATTGAAAAACTCGGGGACGTCGGAATCGAGGACAATTCGATCGATGTTATTGTTTCAAATTGCGTCATTAACTTGGTGCCCGACAAGGAATCTGTCATCAAAGAGGTGAAAAAAGAGGTTTTTCCGATCAAGAAAGAGATTCTAGGTCGCTCGAGTTTTGAAGGAAGGAGGAGAACTGTACTTCAGCGATGTTTACTCTGACAAGGAAATTTCCGAAGCTGCGAGAAAGGATTACGTCCTTTGGGGAGAATGCATCTCAGGAGCGCTTCTTTGGACTGATTTGTACGATCTTTGCGAAGAATTCGAGCTGTCTCCTCCTCTTCTCGGTATGAAACTCGGATAGAACGCCCTCCCCTTATTTTATTTTCTAGTCGAGTGCCATCCCTTCGTGGTCCAGGAAGAACTGGCCGAGAAACTTGGCTCGACTCGATTCGTCAGCGCTACTTACCGAATCTTCAAGCCGTCAACCTCTCCCTCAAACGAAAAAGTCAAAGTCACTTACAACGGTCAAATCCCAGAAGTGGAAACCTTCGAGCTCGCAGCCAATTATCAGCTGAAAAAAGACGTTGCAAAGGCCCTTCCCGTCGATGTTTCTGCTGATCTGAGAGCATCAAGGTGAGTTTTGGCAGAAAAATCGGGTTGGAAATGGATTTTTAGATACGAGAAATTCTTCGTTTTCGAGAAGACCGGGTGTGTTCCTTCTCAAGCGCGACCGCTGAATCCGTTCAACAAAGATATTCAAACTGAAAACGCTGGTGGCTGCTGCTAACTCTCAACAAAGAGGAGAAGGAGTTCTGTGTCATGTTTTTATTGAATAAAGAATGGGGACTTTTAGCGAACATAAGTTTTGGTTGTCTGATCTTTGACTTTTTCAAGGCCGGTTTTGACGATTTTCTCGTCGCTTATGAATTCTAGAGATTTCGTCGGCTTCATGTCTTTGTCGAATTCGTAGATGAAGGGGATGCCTGTTGGGAGATTGAGATTGATGATGTCTTCCTCTTAAAATACAGCGTTTTCGAGTCGAAAAAGGGGCTGTTTACCAGAAACGTTGTCGATATTCTTGATCAGTCCTCGGAGTAAGTTTCCATGCGCGGCTAAAAGAACCGTCTTTCCAGATTTGATGGCTGGCTCAATCTCGTCTTTCCGAAATCATGGGTCCCAAAAACGATATTTTTGCTAAAAACCTTTTTTGGTATTTTTGGGACCCTTTCCAATAAACCCAGGAGCGATCGGTTGTCATTTTGAGACTTTCAGATGTTGGAAATTCTTCTTTTGGGACATCGACGAAGACTTTGTTCTGTTGAATTTGAGTGTAGTATGGATTGCTTTGGCTGATTGGTGGAGGAGCTACGTCGTATGATCGGCGCCAGAGTTTGACTTGGTCGGCTCCGTATTTTGCCACGGCGACCACTTTGTTTTGGCCGGTAAGATCGCTTTCAGGGCTCAATAAATTCTTTTAAATTTCAAGCTAGAAGAAAAAAATTAATTCTAGCGCTCAATTATGTCAAAAAAGAGCCCTTTCCCATAATGCCTCTCATTCAGCCGCCAAGATCTCTTCACTTCAACATCTTCTTTGACCCCAAGCTCCTCTAGAATCAAGTCGCAAGTCTGATTCGCCCGAAGAAGAAGGGACGAAAATGCAGCATCGACTTCGATCCCTTTTTCTTTCAGTGCTTTTCCGGCTTGTCGCGCTTCATTTTCGCCAGTTTTGGTAAGAGGGCAATTGTACCAGCCGCAAAAAAGTTTTCCATGATTCCACTAGAAAATTTTTTTGAAAAAAATCGACCATCGATGCTTTACCTGAGATTCACCATGGCGAACCATTACGATTCTGAGCGGCTTTTCCGTCATTTTTTTTCTCTCTTCTGAGTTAACTATAGTTATATGTCACAAACGAAGTAATTACTGACCTGACTGATAGCCCCGGAATGAAGTTCTATCGACCCCGGGGCGAAATAATGAATGATGCAAGATTATTCGAAATTCTATAATCAGACTAAGAATAGCTTACAGAGAGAAAGATGCCGAAGGTTGTTTTTATGCGGCATGGAGAGTCGACTTTTAACAAATCTGATAGATTCAGTAGCTGGATAGGTGAGTTTAATAGAATAACGAGTTATGTAATCATCATTATAAGATGCGGATCTGACGGAGAAAGGAAAAGAGCAAGCAAAAGACACAGCTGAAAAACTGAAAGCTTTCAACATCTCTAGAATTTTTTCATCGTCACTCAAACGGTCAAGAAATACAGCAAGAATCGTCAGTCAGATCCTTGCTTTGCCAAAAGAATCCGTTTCCAGCTCAGAAAAATTGAATGAAAGACATTATGGGTAAGCTTTTCAGGCGAAAATCATATCACGTGTTAAGAATTTTGACTGGTCTTTCTCGATCCGAAGCTCGAAATCGCTACGGAGTCGACCAAGTCCAACATTGGCGCCGCTCTTTCACTGGAAAGCCCCCTGAAATACCGGAAGATCTCGCCTTTATGTGGCGAATTCCATACGATCAGAACTTCCCAAGATCAGAAAGCCTGGAGGATGTTTCAAAACGAGCGCCTGTTTATTTCGATGAAGAAATTCGCCCGTTTGTTGAGAAGGGAGAGAATGTGTTGGTTGTAAGTCATGGAGCACCGATAAGATCGATTTTGATGGAACTGAAGAGTTTGTCGGAAGAAGAAGCGGCGAGGATTGAGATCGCGAATGCGGAATTTATTGTGTATGATTTCGAAATAAAAGAGAAGTAAGCATGATTGTTGATAGATGTTTTTCAAAGCAAGTAACAAAAGTCTTGAGAACAGAAGTCGCTGCATTGATTGGGAGTCGTTTCAAAGACAATCGGTCGGTAACAATTACCGCTATGATCGTGAAGGACGCTGGTGGAGGTGATTGTATCGTTTTGCTATTCCGCGCGTTCAACTGTATTGTAACTGAAGGATAAATAACTATAGGTACGATTTTGCAAGCTATCTCTTACCTGTCTACTCCGCCAAAAACAATAAAAAATGAGTCAAGAAAAATCATCGAAGCATATCTTTGATACTAAAATTTTTTTTTTGAAATTCATAAGACTAATTATTTTACGTTTTGCATTTGACCTGCAATACTCCACTGGTTATTTTTAAAGAAATGAACATCTTTGACGTAAGAGCTGCCATCGTATCCCCCAACTGTTATGATTAGGCCTCAGACGTAAAAAATCATCACCACTAGCCGGTCGTCGTACGGTAACAAGAGTAGGCTCATTCGAAAGCTCTTGAACAGGGCTTTCTGTTGGGCTTATAAAAAAAACTGGGCCCTGTCGTTCGTTTTCGAGATATTTGATTTTGAAGGTAAGCTTCGAAAAATATTTTTCAAAATAACTCGTAACAGAAAGGGAGGGACCAGTTTTTTTATCGGTCAAATAGAAAGGCCTTATCAAGACCTTTCGAATGAGCCCTCTCATGTTCCCGTACGATGACCGGATGGTGAAAATCGTCTTTTTTACGTCCGAGGCCTAGTTATGATACCATCTTCTGTGGACGCGCAAGTGTGGTAGTAAAATTTAGATCCACCAGGATGCGTTGTCAAGTCTTGCCAACCACTTAAAATATTAAAAAAAAAATAAACCAAATAACATGGGAACCTAAATTCCAGAATTTCGACGGAGCTTGATTGATAACCAGCAATAATCGCCGCTTGTCCATGATAAAGACTCATACAAGCACGCTTATGCTGGACTTTGACATCGCTTATTGCTCGAATAGTTTCGCCATTAAAGCTTTCGCATTTGAGAGCCGCACTGTCAGAATTGCAGAGAACAGTTTCCTCCACAACTTCAGGAATTGTGATTAAAGAACCAGTACCAGCATAAAAATCATTGATGAGCCGTTTGCCAGTGTCCTCGATCAAGCATTCATCAATTTTCGCAATCTTTAGGATATTTTCTTTGAAATTTTTGCGTCATAATACCTTTTTAGGATCTTGATAGCCTCCGAAAAGAAACATCTGTCCACTCAGAATCGCCGATCCAGAGTTATAAAGAAACTGCGTACTTGTTGATGGGGACGAGTAAAAACGGTTTTCCTTGATAAAGTTTTGAAAGAAGCTGAGAAATGAAAAAAAAGAGGATTTCAAAACAAGCCTGTATATGACCATCAGCGGACATCATGTAACTGAAATCAACAAATCCACTTGAACTGCTCTGACACATTGCAGTGATATATTTTTGGCAGGTGTATCCACTTTCGCAAGGGCAACCAAGGGGACAGCCACTGTTACAAGGACATTTTCTAGAATCTTCAACAAGAAGCTGAGTGCATCCGTTGTAGCAGGTTTCATCGGCGGTACAATTACGAAAGCACGAATTGAAATCTTGATTGACTTCCTTTATGCATTGCTGGTAGTCGACATTGTTGATTTCCGGCGATCGGCATGTACAGACACTGTGAGGACAATCAACGCAGCCGTTTTTACAAAGCTCGAAGCAGGGACAAGCTCGATAGCAATCTTAGATCGAGAAATTTTTTCTGTAATTTGGTGATTTTCATACCCGTGTACGAGCTTAAACATTCCCTCTCGCAACCCGCGCTCTCACATGTATCCTTGCATTCGATGTAGTCTAGATAGCAGTAGCTGTCACACAGCACTGCTAAATCCTCATCACTAGAATAGAGAATTTTTTTCAATGTAGCAAATTCTATTTTGATTTGAAAGAGGCAAAGCCATTTTCCACACAATAAAAAAATAATAACTTACGGGCATTCTCCCTCCCGAAAAACAGGGCGAAAAGCTTCCAGAGCGTAAACCAAAAAAATCAGTAATTTCAACATATTCTCTTTTATGAGAGCTTCTCAGGTGCTTCCATTTCCCCGGCAAGAGTGCTATTTGCTCTGATATAACATTAACTATTCGCAGTTAAATATCAAGCTCCCTGCGCCCGGTCCGCTTTTTCACATCCTCATTACAGTAAATCGTCAAACACCAAAATTCACTGTTAATTAAAAATATACTGACATATACTGAGTACAGAAATATTATTCTTGGAGAAAATACGTAAGTAATTTCAGGAAAGATCTTCTTCAAGGCAAAAAGTAACAAAAGTCTTGAGAACAGAATTCGCTGCATTGATCGGGCCTTGTTTCGAAGACTATTGGATGCAAGCAATCTCCGCCATGATCGTGAATGACGCTTGTGGAGGTTACTGTCTCGTTCTGCCATTCCGCGCGTTCCACTGTATTGTAACTGAAAAATAGGATATCAAGATCTTTTCTACCTTTTTTTTCCTACTTGTTGTTTCCGCCAAAAACAATAAAGAATGAGTCCAGAAAAATCATCGAACCAAATTGGTAATTCTTAAAAAAGTTTTTGTGAATTTTTTGAAAAATAATATCATTCTTCTTACGTTTTGCATTTTACCCGCAACAGTCCACTGGTCATTTTTAAAGTAAAAAACTTCTTTGGAAAAAGAACTTCCACTATATCCTCCAACTGTAAGAATCCCATCATCAGTAGAAGCGCAAGTGTGACGGTAAAATGTTGACCCGCCAGGATGTTCTGTCAAATTTTGCCAGCCGCTAAAATTTTAGCAAATGCATTTTAATTAAAATGAAGAAAATAAGTTTAAAAAGCAACCTCAATAAAAGTTGAAAATCCTGTGAGCTAGCTGAGCTACAGCAATTTTGAAGAGAGGGTCAGCTCAGCTCAATGCTTTTTCGAAAAGGGCCAGCTCAGCTCAGCTAGCTCAATTTCGACCTCAGCACAGCTAGCTAAGCTCGCTCAGTTTGAGTAATCGTCAGCTCAGCTCACCTCAGCTCATCAATTTTCAGAAAAGCCCCAGCTCAGCTTAGCTCAGCTCATTTTTTTGAAAAAATCAGCTCAGCTCAGTAGTTGTTATAAGAGACCAGCTCAGCTCAGCTCAGCTCGATTTCGACCTCAGCTCAGCTAGCTCAGCTCAGAAAAATGTTTCAAAAATTTGCGTATCTTACCTGAACTCCAAAAATTCGACGGAATCTGAATGATAACCAGCGATTATAACCGCTTGTCCAAGATAGAGACTCATACAACCCTGCTGGTGCTGGACTTGAACATCGCTCATAGCCTTGGTCGCCTCCCCGTTGAAGCTCTCGCATTTGAGAGCCGTAGTTGAATACGAATTGCAGAGAATAGTTTCTTCAACTATTTCTGGAAGAGTGACCAGCGAGCCTTCAATCCCATAAAAATTATTGATCAGTCGTTTTCCAGTGTCTTCAATCGCGCATTCCTCGATTCTCGCAACCTTTTTGTATATATTTTTTTACTTGATGAATAATAATTGATAAATACTTTTTTTGGATCTTGGTTGCCTCCGTAAAGAAACATCTGCCCATTGAGAATCGCAAATCCAGAATTGTAAAGGAATTGGTATGAGCCAGTGGACAACGGAGACGAGTAATAGCGATTTTCCTTGTTATTGTTTCGAAATTTCTTGAGATGAAAAATAGAAAAAAAATTTTTTTTTGGTCTTCCAGCAGTAGGTCTTCCACCAATAGGTCCTCCGGAGGACCCTTATAAAAATATCCATAATCGAGGTATAAATATGCAATATTTGCAATAACCGACTTTCCCAACTTTACCCCCTTATTACGTAATAACCACGTGACCTCTAGAATTTCTAAACCCCTTGTGCACCACCTCCTAACCCCTCCCTACAAGTTAACTATTTATCATATCGCCCTATCTCTTACAGATTTAGAGCTTTAAAGGACAAATGACCTGCCAACCTGAAAAAATCAGTGTTAATATCTCTCTAAACAAGCCTGAATATGTCCATTAGCCGAGATCATGTAACTAAAATCAACGTATGAACTTGCACTTTGCCGCTGACAAATTGCAGTGATATATTTTTGACAAGAGTATCCACTTTCGCACGGGCAACCAAGGGGGCAGCCGCTGTTGCATGGACATTTATCCGACTCCTCAACGAGCAGTGAATAGCATTGATCGTAACAAGCTCGCTCAGTGTACTGGCAATTTCCAACGCAGGAAGTAAAGTGGTCGTTTGCTTCTTTAATACATTGTCGATGATCAATGTTGTCAATTTCTGGGGAACGGCAAGTACAAACACTGTTGTCACAATCAGAACAACCATTTGGACAAAGCTCGAAACAAGGGCATCGCGAATAACAGCCTTGAAAATAAATGAAAAGCAAGAAAAAACTGGCAAATTTACCAGCATATGCGTTCAGGCAAATTCTCTCACAGCCGGATTCCTCACAAGCGTCTTTGCACGCGGCATAATCGATGTAACAATGGCTGTCGCACAGAATTGCGAGATCTTCATCGCTAGAATCAATAGTATGTATGGCGAAATCTCCAGTAACTTACGGGCACTCTCCTTCCCGAAGAACAGGGCGAAAAGCTGCAAAAGCGGAAACAAAGAAAATCAGTATTTTCAACATTTTCTCTTTGATCAGAGCTTTTCGGTTGTTCCTGAGTCCCCGGCAAGAGTGGTATTTGCTCGAATATAACATTAACTATCCGCAGTTAAGGACCCCCCCCCCCGTCAGCTTTTTTCGAAAAATAGAATTTCGGAATTTTAAAATTTTGACCCAAAAAATATACTGAGTTATTTCATGGAAGAGCAGAAATCAAATCTCCCCAATTTTAAAACAATAGCTTGTCAAACATAAAATCTCATTTTTCAAGAATGAGTTTTCACAAGAAGAATTTTGCTCTTTAGGACCAAGTTTTTAGTTTATAAGAGAGATGAGTTTGAAAGATTTATCTGCTTATGGGCAAAGGTTCAAAAATGAGTCGTAAAAAATTTTTAAAATATTTAAAAATCTATTAAAAAAATTATAAAAAATTTTTCTTTATGTAATTTTATTTTTTTTCAATTTTGCTTGAAAATTAATTCCTTTGTGGCGAAAAAATTACTCAGGAGTGTAAAATCAACGCAATAACCTTTGTTAGAGATCAGCAGCGGACCATTATGATTCTGAGGTAAATATCAAAAGCAATCGTAAAGTTCAGCGATCGCCGCGATCAGATTCTTACTTTTATTTTTAAGAGCGAACATGCTCGGATTCCAGAAGAGATTGATCTTTATAGCCGGAATTATCTTCTTCTGTCTGCAGTATGGGTGGATTTATTGGACAGCAGAGAAACTGATTTATTTTTCAATAAAATTGGGCGTCATTTTTTATGAATCTTTAAAGTGAGTTAGCAGAAGTAAATTTCTTTGCTCAAACTATTCATTTTTCAGCGAGGTGGTTCTGAAGTGTTTCGATTTTATGGCGATCCTTGCTGTCTCATTCTGGTACTTTTGCATGGCGAGAAAAACCGTGAAGCACGAAAATTCCGATTCCGCGAAACGAAATGAATTTCTGTTCAAAGGCCGTACCTCCTAACTAACACTCATTCACTGCTTGAAAACTGATGTCAATAAAAATTGAAGAAATCGCTGAATGACGCAATTCAGCGAAATTGAAAAATCGCCAAATTGAACCTTACGTGTCGCGCATTCTAACTAATCGTCAGTAAATTAGCTCCAAAATTATCCCCTCGCCCCCTGTTCTCTTGAAATTGTTCATTAAAAAAATTTGCGTTCGATGAAACTTTCTTTCATTTTCTTCTCCATTTCACGAATAAGAGCGCAGGAGCCAGAGTATGACGATGAGTTCACAACACCAAACTGGGTCTCCACATCAACTTTTTCCGCGACAACAGAATTTTCTTCAACAACATCAGGGGCATCAACATTTGCTTCAACAACGTTTCCAACAACGGAGGAGATGATTTTGTCAAGTATTGCTTCGTCGACCGAGATTTTTACAGTTCCCTTAACTGATTCGCCAGATTTTTCGACTCAAGAAGAAACGACGGTGAGAGAATCGACTGAGGGGTGGACCTTGCCGGGCTTGGCCGCGCCTCTAGAATTGTTATCAACAGAAAAATCAGAAGAACCAGAAGAATCCGATGAGTCATTGAAATTCGGCCTACCACCCGGTTTAAACCCAACCTCAACAGCTGTGACCGTCCCAGAAGCAACAACAACAGCAAAAACAACAACAGAGGAAGAAACAACAACGATTTCTCTCGAAACAAACAATCAAAATTTTCCACCTTTTTTCACCGGCCAAGAAAATCAGCGAAGCATCGATATTCTCGGCGATTATTCAGGTTTTTTCTCGATTCAAGCGCTTTTTCTATAGTTTTTCTAGTGCAATGCGATAACAAACGACTCTGCATTTACGTCAGAAAGCAGTTTCTCCTCGACAATCAAATCCGAGAAGATGAATTTGTCGAGTTTGGACTTCAGGGGCTTCAAAATGACGAAAACGGAGCCATTTGCGGAGAGTACCAGAGTGTTGTCGACCCAACTTTGGACACGACTGGATATTTGCAGTTTTGCTCTTTCCCGAATGCAATTAGCGGGTGGGGCTGTGGAACTTCTTTTCAGGTTGGTTCTCTTTTCCCTTCCTCTCTTCATCTTTTCTTTAGCAAAATGACACGCATTTCATTTACGAAAACAACGTCTTCTTCCGCCGGAGCCCGTTATTCGCCATTGGCATCAATGGAACTTGCACGACCGAGAGAAACATGCTCGTTTCTGACACGATGGGAGTCTACATCAACAATCCAAAGATGATCACGATGACGATTCCGATTTTCAGAGGTGGCGAGTTTCCTGTCATGATGAATTTGTACCAAGATATGACTTGGAGCGCGGCATATCAACAGGAAAGGATCAGAAAAACAATCATGATAGTGGTGATTTTCGGATTATCGGAAATGTCAGCAATCTCGTTTTTAGCATAAATAACGTTTTTGTCAAAAATGTCGTTTTTTTTCAAAATATTGCTTTTGTCAAAAATTTCGTTTTCTTCAAAAATGTCGTTTTTTTTTCAAAAATATCGTTTTTGTCAAAAATAACGCTTTTTTCAAAATGTCGCTTTTGTCAAAAAATTCTTTTATTTTGTCAAATATATCGATTTTGTCAAAAACATTGTTTTTCTCAAAAATGTCGTTCTTTTAAAAATATCCTCTTTCTCGAAAATAGCATTTTTGTCAAAAATGTCGATTTAGTCAAAATGTCGTTTCTGTCATAAAATGTCAAAAACACACTCATTCTTCTTCTGACCCATCAAAGCCCCCCTTTCTCGACCTTGGCCTCAGTCCAACTGAAATCAGCTACATGTTCATCGCCATCCGCCACATCAAACCCCTCCCAGGAGCATCAGTTCAAGTCCTTCGTCTTTGGGGAACCCCTAGCGCGGACTCGAGAGATCCATCATTTTACAATATCATCTCTGATCAATGCAGGGAAAAGGTCAATGGTCACCCTGTTTTTGAAGTTGACAACTTTTTGAATGGAGAAGGAAGTATTGTCAGATACCAAGTTCCTGTCTTTGCTTTTCCCAATTCCGGCAAGGTAAGAATGAGCATTATAAGCCCGATTAAGGAGGCTGGGTTAAAGGTTTATCTCCACGCAGATGTCAGAATCTGCTTTCAAGACAACGGCCTTACTGTTTGCACAAAAACCTGCGCTCCGTACACTTTCAGTCGGAAAAGAAGATCGTCAGATGAGCTTATTGACGACTCAGAAACAATCACTTGGGGACCAATCTACATCAACAAACCAGATGATCCTACAGATCGCCTCGGCCAAGCTACAGTAAATATTTGATGTTCAATTTTTTTTTTCATCAAATAATTTTTCTAGCTAAAAGTAGCGAATCAAGAAGAAAATCTTTCGGGTGAAGTAAAATTGATCATCGTTGTCGTCATCGGCTCTGTCTCAGTCCTCATTCTTGGAATCATTCTCGGAGTCTTGCTGAAAAGAAGCTTGGCAAGAAAAGATTTCACCTGATACCTTTTTTTCTCAAATCTGTAAACTTTTCTTTATACAAAGTCCTGCTGCTTTTGACCCTTTTGAAACAAGAAAAAGTACGAACGAATGAGTCACTGTATTTTACTCTTCCAGCTGTTGAGTATAAAGTTTTCAACTTTATAAATATCCTCATTATCTTCCGTGATGAATTTTTCATTCGATCGGAGCTTCATTTCCACCAGTTTTTCTAGCACTTTTTCCTCCGACTACAAAATTGGTTGTTGAAAAAGGAACATTTTCCCCGAGCACCTTTTTGAGTAAAAATGACAGGACAGAAATTGTATTCTGAAAGCCATCACACAGTTTGTCTTCATAAAGAGCGTAGACGAATCCTTTCGCGGTCTCGAATTTCCTCCATGATTCCAATTTCTTGTTCATTGTTTCTTTGAAACATTTTGCTAGAAACGGTTCGAACGCGAAATCATCTTTTATGACTTCGGAATAAGAACCCTTTCCCTATAAAATTAGGCGAAAATACGATGTAAGAATTGCGGTTGACCCCGGGCGGAAGACAGAAGCCGTAAAAAGCAAGCAACACGTGGTCAGACTTGCTCCCCCGTAAGTGATAAACAGCTCCTCGTTCGGTAGCAGCTCGCGATCCGCGTGCAGAATAAAGTCACCTGTCTCCACATCTCAATTTCAAGTTGATTAATTTGAGCGCTCGAACTTCTACCTGTTTCATAGTAGCAATTTGGCGTGCTGGAATGGTTGATAAGGTCCATAAAGGGGCACATAAAGGCGCTTCTGGAAGTGTCTTTGTCAGAACAGTAGTCTAAAATCAGGTTAAAAGAAGCCATCTGGCTGATTTTTGGCTCGGCAACCTGAGAAGAAAACCTGAGTCAGGGTTGTAAAAGAGAAAAATGAAAAGCCGCGTAGCGGCTTTTTTTTTAAAACGAAGCCGCGAAGCGGCTTCGCAATTATTACCTTTTATATCTAAAGAAAATTCTGGCGAAGCCGCTTTGCGGCTTCTTTGTAACGGTTAAGCTCTTTCAAACCCTGAGTCAGGTTTTCTGCACAGGTTGCCGAGCTCAGATTCCGCCGTTTTTTCGTACCAAGATCTGAGGTTTCCATATAATTCGGCAAAGAGAAGGTCCTACTTAGGACCATTGAATAAGCCCAAGTAAGGTCCGCTTTGGTCAGTCCAATCTGTTTGCCCAGGGCGAAGCAGAGCTCTGTGACATTCTTCTGCAGCGCGACTGATAAGAGATAAACCTCGCAGGGCAAATTGGCCATGGCCTTGGGCGAGTAGTCCAGTGGGAGAGAAAAGTGTTCCGGGAGCGTTTGAATGAATTTTTTCATGATGGGAGTGAGCGGTTTTCGCCGTTCTAGAGCCAAATGAAGCGCTAGAAAGAGGATGAGAAAAAGGGAGGAGGAAGAAAAGGGAGGACCTAGAATTTGATGGCAGGAGAGAGTGATTTTCTTTTGACGAATAAAATTGGCCATGGAGTTTGGAGAAGAGTCGAATGAATGGAGATTGATTTGGCAGGATTTGGGGATGCGGATCAAAACCTCATCCTCTTTTATCGGCGCTGAAAAAAAGGTAACACAGAGTTCAAGACGCCTCATGACCTGCCACCATGAATTTTTATAGCAAGTACTTAGGCAGAACTAAATTTCTATTTTTACCACTTTCCTGATCCCCCTCTGAGTCAAGCCATTTCCTCGAAAACGTATCTGTTAACGTGCGCGGCGATTAATAAATTTTGACCTGTCCGCGCGCGAAGGGAGGCTATTAATTTTTCTAGCGCTGATGAAAGCAATAAATCGTGTCTTTTACTTGCAAAAGCATTTTCACCTTTTTTCCCTTTCTCATTATTTTTAAGCAGTGGTGGCTTCTTGGTATTCAGTATTTGACTTACCAGCGGCGATAATTCCAAGGTCAAAAGCAGTTTTTGAGACTTGGATTCTCGGGTCCACAAAGCCGTCGCTTTCGATATGTGATCTGAAAAGAGAAATTTACAAAAAAAATATATTTAAAAAATTTTATAATTTAATTTTTTTAAATAAATTTATTCAATACTTTGTTATAATTTAAATTTGTTAATTAAATTAATATTTTTAATCATTTTTAAATATTTTTTCGATAAATAAAAAAAATATTTTAAATTTATGCATTTCAAAAATAAAAAAAAACCTCCAAAACAAAATCTCATGCGGCTTTTTAGCGGCTTAAATGAGCGACTCAACAGAAAGCCGCATTTTGAGGCGCCAAACATGAGTTTTCATGAAAAGGACTCGCCTCAACTCATCAATCGCCCTCTTCTTCTCCGGGTCCATTTCTCCTGTTTCCTTCGTTTCTCAATCTTCAGTCTTCGCAAAAGTGACAATCGCGCCAAGAACTGAGAGCGCGTCAAACTTTCCCGAGGGCGCTAGTGAAAGGTTTTCTAGAGCAGGGCGCCCTGCAATAATTTTTTTATTTTATCGACCTTTCAGGAACACTACTGTATATTTTACTGTATTATTTCTTTAGTACGAGAGTCGGTTTTTTTTATTTAAAAAAAAACTATTTTTTGTTAGAAATTTATTAAATAAAGTTTTAAAAAAATGAAAATGGAAGAAAATTTCACTTATCAGCAGGGAAAGTTCTTTGATCGATGCTCGGATTCGGTGATAACAGCTTTGAAGAAGCTTTGGAAGTTTCTTCTTGATTGAGAAGCAGTGCATCTGTGAGCCCATAATTCGAGAGCACGGAAGGAGAATTCGAGTAGAACATTCTTGCACTGTGGCTTTCCTTCAACGCCTATCAAAGAATTAAACACCCGATTCTTTCCCCGTCTCGCCTGTTTTTGAGCTCTCATTTTGTGCACAATAAAGACCATGATGAAAACTGTCGCCGTCACGAGACCAACCAATGCCATTATCTGTCTGAATAGGGCTTAGCTTGAACCAAAACCTTGATAATAAAACTTACAGGACGAAAATACTGAGATTCTCTTTTGGTCCACAAATGACGGTTTTGGTCAAAAGGCACGACTTTGCATTGACGTTGATTTTTGGCGATGACTCATCTTCCATGTCTTCGAATTCCCTAAAAAATTATTTTCCGCCTGTATAAAACAAGATCTTACAGTATCCCAACAAGTCCATTTCCAGGGCTTTGGATGAATTCACAGTCTTCTGAGTCCAAATCAACCGATGTCTCTTCAATTATTCTTGAGCTGTCTTCACAAATCTTAATTAAAAACAGAATCAAGTCTGGCAGACAAATGAACCAACAAACCTCCCCTTGGGATCTGAAAAGACTCCAAAAGTGAGTTGGCGGTGCGCAGCATTTTTCCTCTGAGGTCAGGACCATGCAAGTTTGCCACATTGCCGTCCCACGGACTTATTTTTTGAGGTTAAGAATATTTGGTCAGGACTTACATTTTTCCTTGTCGATGATTTTCCAGCATTTGTTGCATATTTCAGGAATGCAGTAAGCTAACAAAGAGTTTTTTTCCAGCAAAACTTCCCCAAAAAATAAAATTTTTCAAAATTTTAAGGGTGTAGCCCCCGAAAAATCGATTAAGTTTTTATTTGCTACTTTTTCTCAAAATTGGTTGTTTCCTGGTTTCATTTGTTTGGACCTGAGTGAGGTTCCTTTGGTCATAAAATTAGTTGTTCAAAGTAAATTTCCGATTTCGATGAATTATGAAAATTTTGTCTAACAGTATAGGAATTGGCAGAAAAACAAGAGTTATTTTTTCAAAATATTCTCAAAAGAAAAAATCAAATTTTTAATAATTTTCATTGATTTATGATTTTTACTTTCCAAAATTTACATCTTCAATTTTCCGGAAAAAATAAACTTAAATGACAAAAGTTTAATTCAAAATTAAAAGAACTCCCTGTCCTTCGAGTTTCATCTCTCCTGCTCTCTGAAGGCTCTTGTTCAATTTGCGATAGCTGGAAGAGCTCCTCCTTTTATAAATTGAATGCGACATACTGTGCGTTCTGACAGTGTCTTTCACGATTGAAGTACGTTCTTTAGATTTGTTTCAAAGTATTTTCGAGATAGCGAGTTAGTTAAACTTCTCCTCATTTATTCAGAAGCTGGCGCACAAGATGGCGTGCCAGAACGAACATGACCCAGGGTCGCGGATATAAATGATTCAGCTGCTATTATTTTTCGTGGCGTTGGTTATTATCGAGATTGACATGGAAAAAGAATGCACAATATAGATTTGATGAGAGGCAATCTTTGACGCAATGGATTCAGCGTCATATTCTTTCAAAAGTGACTTACTGAATATTGCGCTAAAATAAGGATCTGAGAAAGAGTTGCAAATTTTGCTTTATTTTTGCTGAAGTGAGCGAAGCTGATCTGCGTGTAAAATTCCCTGAGCTGAGCTGGCCTACTTCGGAGCTCACTGAGCTATGCTGAGCTGAGCTTCCCTTTTTCAGAGGTCATCGAGCTGAGCTGGCCTTAATTAGAGCTGAGCTGAGCTGAGCTATTTTACTTTATGTTCAGTAGTAAAATTGTGTTAAAATCATTGAGCTGAGCTGAGCTGAGTGATAGTTATCTGAGCTGATCAGATCAGATCATTTTCGAAGATCACTGAGCTGAGCGATTGCTCAGCATTCTCAAGCAGCTCAGCCAACTCAGCTCAACAAATTTGCAACTCTGAGATTCTTTGACAAGTAAGCTCAGTTTTGACCCAATCTCAGCTAGCCTTGGCTCGACAACCTGTCTACAAAACCTGAGTCAGGCTTTAAAAGGGGAAAAATAAATTTTTTTTTAACGAAGCCGCGAAACGGCTTGGTCATTATTTGCGAAACACGCAATTGTTATTTTGGCGAATCGGTCTCATTTGAAAAAAGGAGCTGTTTTCCGAGAAAAAACTGCGACGGCCTATTTTTTTTTTCCAAGAAATGTACAAAAGTAAAACCACTTGGCCATTTCAGCACGATAATATAATGATCTATTATGTATCGGAAAACGCACTTCTTTTTCTATTTTTAATTACCACAAGTCACTTGACAAATGTGGCTATCAAAAAGTGACCAACTCTCGAAAGGACACATGTTACCAGTATTTCTACTGGCAAATACTGAATCAGTTACAGAATGCGAGGGCACAGATGAACATGAACCTCTTACACTCGTTTTGTTTAAAAATTGGTCAAAATTGCATGTCAAAAAAGCATGGCAAAAAGAACTCAAATTGACATCCATGGGAAAAAGCCCATCTGATGGTTCGATCAAAATTTCACCACCAAAAAAATCGAGTTTAGCTGTGCCCGACCCAAAAGAGAGAAATAATGCGGCTTAGTTCCGGGGCATTTTTGCTTTTGCAAAGCGATGCGTTCAAGATTTCAAACTTGAATGCTGAGAATTTGGACTTTCAGATCGAGTTTGATTCTGGAGCCCATTTAGCTTACGGTAAAAATGGCCAAGAGAGCTGGAAATTATGATTTCTTAATTAAGATATTTTGAAAAACGAAGATGCTTTCGTCTATTCCGACGGAGTCCGCTACTCCGTTGCCGATGGAAATCTCCTGCCCGTCGACTTCAAGTCCCTTCCTGCTCAAACTGACAAGCTCGGCGATTTCGACATGAACATTTGGACTTGGAAATTTGGCCCCGAGGAGAACATCATGATGACCGTGATGAAAAACTACTTCGAAACCGAAGCGCTCATTTTTGAAACTCATTTGCCCCGTGGAGTTGAAAACTCTTCAGCTGGAAGAAAAGATACTTCTTGCACCGGCTGGCCTGCGCTGAAAGTGAATGAAGACAACGACGATATTGGCTTTACGACTCCAGGGGGCAATGTCATGGGCTGGACGATGATGGCAGCGGGCAAGTACAAACTCGATGAACTCAGGGTTGCTCCTCTCGAGGGAAGATTCATGGCTGACCGCCAGGGAGGCATTACTTTGCTTTACGGAGGAGATTCGCACCAAATGGACGCGGTGATTCTCTCGCCATTCAATGAGTTTATGACTCAGGAATTGGTCACGAATACCCTTAATGCTGGGCGACACTGGTTATGTCGCCAAATGTCGACAAATGTCACCGAATGTCGACAAATGTCCCCGAATGCTGAAAAATGTCCCCGAATGTCGATAAATGTCGACAAATGTCCCCGAATGTCGACAAATGTCGACAAATGTCCCCGGATATTGCCGAATGTCGCTGGATGTTGCTGAATGTCGCCCAATGTCGCCAAAAATTAAAAAAGAATGGCGATATTCAGCGACACTCAGCGACATCAAGTGACATTCGGCGACACTGGGCGATATTCGCCGACATAAACAGGGCGCTCCTTAATGTTGATTCAAATTTATTCCAGCTTCTTTTTGATTATTTTATTGACAAATTGAATACAGTATTGACCATCGAGTCAAGCACAACGTATTAGATATGGACAGAGGCCAGCTTTACTTTGGAATCCAGGGCGATGTGAAATCGATTCCCGCTGGATTTGTCGCTTCGTCGATCATCGTCGGTTCTCGTTGGGGAATCAGAGATGCAATTGACGATTGGGGCTTGGTCATGCGAACTTGGTACGATCGAACAGAAGCGTTTCGCCATTCCGATATTTTCAACACCCATCTTGGCTACAACACCAACGCCGGGGCCTACTACTACTACAACACGGAGGGAGACATGAATTACGAAGACACGATGGCGTTTGCTGCCGATTATTTCCGAGCTGATGACATTCCCATTCGATGGATGCAGTACGACTCCTGGTTTTACGAGAAAGGAAGAGGAGCTGGAGTTAAAACTTGGATTCCAACCGAGAAGAAGTTTCCTTCAGGGCCTCAAGCTGCGTACCACAAGCATGGGCACCAACTTCAATGTCATAACAGATGGTGGGCACCAGACAATACTTATGCTAAGGAATGGGTTCTTTTAACCATTACTTATGATTAATTAGATATATTGTCAATTAAATTGACTCAATATAATATTGACTAAGAAAAGCAATTTCTTTGCGTCTATGTAAAAATTTATAATCTAAACCAGAGTTCGAAACCCGAAATTTCGTGACTTTACTCATATTACTCGTTTTCTCAAATACCGGCCTATAAAGTCCATTTTCTCATTTTTTTCATTAGTTTATGGTGTCTACGAGAAGAAATTTTAACTTCTTAAAAAAACCCTAACTATAGCAAAATGGTGGCGAATATGACTTCATAATCGAACCGGACGGTGTCACCGTTCCCGGCCCAATCGAAATCGAAGTCGAGGGTCCAAACGGCTTTCCGATCACCATCCCGATTCTCGACGAAAATGGCTACACCAAGGGCCCATTTTCCCTCCCCAACGATGATCGCTTCTGGATGGACTTTTTCAAAGACGTCAAGACCTGGGGCGTCGAGTCGTATCTTCAAGATTGGATGATGGACACGTATCTCTTCATGAACGCGACGCAGGAGTCCGTCGATTTCGCTCGAAACTGGCTCGTCAACATGGGCCACGCTGCCGACGCCCACGATATCAACATTCAGTACTGCCTGACTCTCACTCGCTGCGGCCTCCAAGCTCTGGAAATTCCGCGAGTCACGCAAGTCCGCGTTTCTGCCGACTACGCATACAACTTCGCCCAGTGGACAATCGGCCTCACCTCGTTGATTGCAGACAATCTGGGAATGGCGCCGCATAAGGACACCTTCTATACAGTCAGAGAAATGCCGGATAATAACAATTTCGCGCCTGAAAATTATCCCGATTTGCATTCTGCTGTAGCTACTCTCAGGAAAGCAGCTTAATCGAAGTGAAGACATAGAGGACTCTTCTTTTAGCTCTCGAATAGTACCGGTCCAGTGACTTTCGGAGACAAGCCTGGAACAAGCAACTATGATGTCCTCCTCCGATGTTGCCGAAAAGACGGAAAGATTCTAAAGCCAAGTCGGCCACTGACGGCGATCGATGCGCAAATCCGATCCATGGGTGTTGATATCGCTCACGGAACAGGAGCTGCCACGGGTTTTAATGGAACTGTTGTCGGTAACTCTTGGAATTCTCAGGCAAAGCTCACATTTTTCTCGATAAAAACAGAGGCCCCTTAATCTAGGAAATGAAACCGACGAAAATTTCGAAAAATTTTGCGTTGGAATTTTCAACCAATCAGAAGCCTGGATTCAGCAAACCAGCCAATCAGCAACCAAGTTTTCGACAAATTTTGCGTGGGCGGCTTCTAGGCTGCTGATTGGTCGGTTTGCGGATCTAGGCTTCTGATTGGTTGAAAATTTCCACGCAAAATTTGCCGAATTTTTTTTGTCGGTTCCAGACACCATCCCCTTAATCTTTCGAGCTTTTTTGGAAAGGGTCAAGTTTGGACGACCTATTCGGACATTTCCGGCTACAAATTCGGAATCATCTTCAACGGCATCCTCACCGACGACTATCAAATCTTCGACTGGGAGTGCAATTTCCCCACTCAAAACACATATGTCTACAAAGAGTGGCCAGAGAGACAGGAGCTTGGTGAAAATGCTTTCCCCGTGACTTTGTCGTCTGACGAAAAATGGGGTCTGCATCATGTCTCGCCTGTTATAAGGGTTGATAATTACAACGTCGTGATAATTGGGGAACAGGTGGGTTCAAAAATAAAATCAATTTTTTCATTATTTTTTAGGGAAAATGGGCCCGAATGTCCCCACAACGAGTCACGCGCATCCAAAACTACCAGTTCTTCCTTCTCCTCGAACTCGACGGATCCCCCGGCGAAGAAATCTTCTTCAACTTCTTGATCTGGCGTGACGGCGAAGAGCCCCGACCGCTGATCGGAGAGGTGACTTTCGGCTCGAACTTGAAGGCGTCGCTGAAAATCGAAAATGGCCGCTTGTCAGTTTCTTACTAAATTAGATTCTTATTATAGTATTATTTTGCGATTGAGAATAAAATTGTCAGAAAGAAAGTTTGTCTCGATGACGTCTTTTTTCGGAGAAACTTATCTTACTCAGCCTGTCAGCGGACGGAGTAGGATAATACATTTCGGTCTGCTCGATTCTTGATTACAGTAACTCCTCAGGAATATGCTAAATCATCTTGCGGTAGAATTTCACAGCTTTTGATAGATCAATAATTTAAGAAAATAGAAGCACTATTTAGAATATGTTCTATTCCGCTGTTCCGACCTTATTAATAATAAGTTATTATCTTAAAAGCAGGACAGAAGGGTAGCGAGGGTTATTTTAACGGGAAAAAAGAACTTCTCCACGCACTCGCTAGAGCGAATTCTAAAAGGGCGCGCGAGAGGCGCGAGGGTGGAGCAGCTGAGGCACACGCGAGTAACGCGGTAGGAGATGGGCACACCCGGTAGGTATAATGTGGGTAAGAGGGATTCGCCTGCCCCCCAGCGGGTGACAAGCCCAACACGACCGAACTGCCCAACTTTGCGGGAAACAGCGAGGCTCAGTGGGAAATCGCTAATCTATCGAGGAAAATCATGATCAGAGGGTTGTTGCGACGGTCTAGCTTATCTGCACAAGTTTCACTTTTCGGAGGATCATGAGCATTTTTGCTCAAAAATTTTCAGGAAAGATGTGATTTATACTAATTCGACCATGGAGATTCCAAAAATCACACTTAAAACATCTAAAAACGTGAGTTTATTCAATATAACCTCAATCAAAGTTCATCCTATTGTAATCAAATTTTAATCCAGCTGTCTTGTGATCTTCTCTTCCGTTTGAAAAGTCTTTTTTAATCTTCCAGCTAATATCTCATTACCTTTTATTAGTTTAGGAGACTAAACTTTCCATTAACGATAAGGCCATGATAATTGAAGACGGTGAACGTATATCCAAAGAGGGCGAAAAAACGAAACCAAAATATAAGGTAAACAAGACAAGCCCTAAATATTTCCACCCACCAAGACTGAGTCTCAACTTTCAATTCATCTGAAAATCATCTTGACCCGAACTGCCTAGCCATACTGTATGGTATGGACCATACTGTATGGTCCATAGATCCTCCCAGAAATATTCCTCATTGACCTTGTAGATATTCGTTGGCCGACATTTGTTGCTCATGATGGGCTACTTAGCTTTAATCTTGTCTCCTACATCGTTACTTGCGTGTGCCTCAGCTGATCGACCTCGCTACTCTCGCGCGCCCTTTTCAGAGCTCGACCAGCGAGTGCGTGGAGAAGTTCTCTTAATCCATTTTAACTGCGTCAACAAGATTAAAATACGATTGAAGGTTATTTTTCGTCTTTAATATTTACCATCGACAAAATGAGTTAGGTGGGCATATGATCAGGTAAACTTGATGAAAAATGAGCTCTTTTTAGAGCGTATAAATCAGGAAGAATAATACAGTTTAAGAATCCTCAGAAGCTGGGGATCATTTTGACTATTGACACTGGGGGGTTTTGCCCATGCCCTGAGGGGTTTTAGGCCTTTCTCCAGAAGTGGGGAGAAGAAAAGTTATGAGCCTCTAACCGAGATTGGCCAAATTTTCGGACTTTGGAAGGCCTTAAACCCCTCAGGGCATGAGCAAAACCCCCAAGTGTCAATAGTCAAAATGATCCTCAGCTTCTGAGGATTCTAAAACTGTATTATACTTCCTGATTCATAAGCTCTAAAAAGAGCTCATTTTTCATCAAGTTTACCTACATATGATCGAAGATTGCCAGGAGGCAAAGTTTAAAGCCGATTAATTGCAGATTTAGCTGTTTCGAAGGAGAATAGGCGAAAAATATGTGGTGAGGATCTTCTTTCAAACGACTTCAAGCTAAAGGTTGTTTTCTTATTGTAAACACTCAATTGTAATTTAACTTCTGAAAAAATATTCATAATCGAAATCAAAATTTAAAAGAAAAGTAAAAATTTTAGAAAAAAATTATTTTCGATATTAAATATTTTCGAGTCTTGAATTTGGTGAGAATTAATTCGTTGCGGAAAATTGAAATTTAAAACAGTAAAAATATCGCTTTTCTCGTCATAAACCTTGGTTACTTGAGTAATAGTCCATAAGTTCGTGTATAAACATATTTTTCCGATACGAGTTCATAATTAACATGCCAGAAAAACTAATATATCTTATGTCAAACTAAAATTAAAATATGCAAAGTATCAATACTCATTTTTTTTCTTTCCTTGGATGCCAATTACTGTATATTTCCACGCCACGCCACCCTGTTTTTTGGCTCTCGGGCATCCTCCCTCCTCCCTTATAAACTCCACTGCGAAATCTGTCAATATCAAAAGAATAAACTTTTCGCGGAAAAAAGTATGCTCAGTTTAATTTTCAGAGAGCTGTTGCTTTTGATTATTCTTGTGAAAAATTCGGATGCAAGGACGATTTTGAACAAATATGGGAAGATTTACGATGAGTGGGATTATCCAATGTTTAAGCAAATTCCACGAGGTATTTTTTTTGACGAGATAAGATATTATTTTATATGATATAATAACATATTATATAATATATATAATAAATTAATAATATTATATAATAGAATTTATATTATATTATATTTTATTTTTATAATAATTTATATAATATATATGATTAATATATAGATATTATATAATTTTTGATTCGTAACATATCTTTTTAAGAAGAAGAAAAAAGATCGACCGAGACAAGCTTCGAGAATCTACCGTGGAATACCCGAGACAGTTATTCATCGGATCCTGTCTGGCCAGATTATTTCTTCTAAAGAAAACTTTCTTTTCACATGAATAAATCTTTTTTTCAAAAAAACGTTTCTTTTAAGCCAAACGAAAATCTGACCGACTCACTTCCTCATTTCTTTAAGAACTCACTTCAAAGCATCAGAAATTCTTTACAAGAAACGAAAAGCAAAAAATTAATCGTTGAGCAATTTCTTTCATCGAGATGCCTGAATCATTTAAACAAATCGCGCTTGGTTCAGAACGGAAGAAAATTCTAGCAGAAGTCAACTGTTTGTAGAACAACTTAGTGTTACTATAATTTGATTTATGCCCAAATTTGGGCATCAATGATATTCTTATTGGCGAAAAAATGCTGTAAATATTCTTTTGCGAATAATTTTCGTACCGGCACTCACGCAATACCCTCGAACTCAAAGGCTGAAATGATTCGTTTCTGATGGAATATTATCCGACAATTTCAATAAAGAAGAATCATCGGTCATTGCCGATGATAATTTATTCATTTTTTTCAGATAAAATTCGCCCAAGATCATTTTTTTGTGTCAATCACTTTTTCTGCCGACAATTTCAAAAAGACAAAATTTGATTTTTCTTGAAGAAAAACTTCAAAAAGGACGATTTTCAAGGTAAAATTTTTAAGGTTCAATTTAGGTCGCGTACGAAATTAAATTAACAACTTAAAAACTTTTTTCATAAAAAGAAGCAAGTTTCCATTTTTTCTTCAGAAACGTAACTTATCGTCCCTGAATCAACTATTTGATCTGTACGTCAAAAGCCTGCCTCTATTGAACTTTGGCGCTACAACTTCCGGCGGACGTAGACGAGCTATAAATTCGTGGAATTTTGGAATTTCATTCGAGTAGCTATTTCAGAGACAAATCAAACGTCAAACGACAAAAAGAGAGAAAAAGAATGGTCTGCAATAGCGACAGTGACTGTATGAACGATGGAGTCTGCATCGTCAGAACAGGGAGAAGAATGTGCCATTGCTCCGGTTTTTACTGGCGCACATTGTCAGGTACTGATTTTCAAGATCTTTCTCTTTACCCGATTTTCTTAGAATGATGGTTTCATGGGCCTCGGATTTGACCACAATTCGAAAACAGTGGAATCAAAAATTGACTCAAAAATGCCAAGTATCCTCTTTTTCGTCCTTATTTTCCTCCTCGTCGGGATTATTTTTGGTCTTTTTCTTCATATCCGACAATTGACCAAAAGAATAACAGGTGAAACAAAGATAAATTTGTAATTTTTCAACCTTTTTCAAGAGAAAAACCAGCATCTTCGAAAATATCGACAACTTTTAAGCGAAGATTCGCGAAAAGAAAGAGCTCTACCCTGAATCCCTGACCTTGAAATGTCACTTCTAGCTACTGAAGTCCTTTACCTTGACTACAGGCTGACTAGTCATTCAGTGTGCTACTATATTTGTACTGTACAGAAGAAATGTAAATAAAATCAAGAGTTTGTGAATTCTTTGATTTTTCGAATTCCATCTTCTCCGACAATATGGGTCACTTGCTCCATCAGTTGAGGCAGCTCGTTGGCGCAGAAAGTGTAGTAGGAGTAGTATGTAAGACTTGCAAAGGCAAAGTTAGGCTCCTCTTTTTTTGAAAATAACCTTGACTTACCTAACAAGCATGAAACTGAGCGGAAACGCCCGCCGCGCAATCCTGTCAATATCTGGTTTATTGATGAAGTTCGCGATCGCATATTCAACCACCGCGGCGAAGACGTAAGCCATGCAGATCGACATCTTTTTTCAAAGGTCAGGCAAGTTCTTATTACAGCTTATTCTTTCGTGAGAAGGAAAATTGATGACCTTGCCCAAATATCGATAGACATGACATACGAAACCATTGGCAGCGCTTTTGATAACGCAGATCGCTGCGAAGTGATGGTCAAGACTGTCGTAATTCCGAGCTGAAAATAAACTCATAACCCCATCTACCGGAAGTATGTAATTAGAATGGGTCGAAGACCCATTATTCGTATAATATGCGTAAAATGGGTCCGAGACCCATTCTAGCTATAATTTTGGTAAAATGGGTCTATTTTTCAACAAAATATAAGTTTTAGTTCAATTCAACTCTATTTAACAATTAAAAACATTTCCATGACTTGGGATATGGTTTACCGTCTCACTGCCCCATTTTTAACAGACATTATCAAATCTAAGTGTCCCTTACCTGGGGCTCCGCCCCTAGGTCCTAAGATGCCGGGGTCTAGTCTAGGGTTACTTAGGGTTACTTTCAGTAACCCTAACTAACCCTAGCCTATCCCCCTCGTGTGAGGTTGTTCTGTCATTTTGCCCAGTGCCCCTAACCCTAACCTTTATTGATAAAAAGTTAATGATAATAGACTCGTTCTAGACCCATTTTAGGCATAATATAGCAATAATGGGTCTCGGACCCATTTTACGCATAATATACGAATAATGGGTCCTGTACCCATTTTAGGCTTATTATAGAATAATGGGTCTCAGACCCATTCTAATTTCAACCTTCCCATCTACCCCCTTAAATTAAGGAGGTGTCAAAAACCGAAAAAATTTCGACAAATTTTACGTGGAAATTTTCAACGAATCAGAGGCCAGAATTCCGAATTCGGCTCACCAACCGATCAGCAGCCAAGTAGCCGCCCACGCAAAATTTTTCGAAATTTTTTTGTCGGTTCCAGACGCCACCCCTTAAATTTCTTACAGAAACTCTAGCTGGAGTCGCCGTAATCGAAATCCAAAAGCTTATCCAACTAAGCATCACAATAAGCATTGTTGGAATATACGCCTGAATCAGGTAGTAGCCCATTTGCCGGGAAAGAAAGAACTTCGCCTCGACGCAAGAAAAGCTTCCCCGAGCACATTGGCACTTTCCAATGTGCAGCCCCTCCAGCGTATGTTGTGGGAGCTCGATTTTTCGAACATTGATCGCGTCTTCGAGCCACTCGAACTGGACGTCTTCGATGCGTAGTATGGAAAAATGTTTCGGTAAAGGCGACCGAAATATTAATCACTTTCAATGGGTCAAATATGATAAATATTTCGGCAGGCAGCCGAAAGAATTATAAAAATTAGACTCGTTATTAGGAAAAATATTTCGGTACTAACCGAAACGAAAATCAGAATTTGATGTCTTTTGAGCAATAAAGTTTCGGCAGTTTTTTCCATTATCATCCTGATTTGCGCTGGTATGTGCATTCAATGAGTGTGCCTTATCAATTTTCACCTCAAAAATCTAGAGTTACATGTATTTTCTGTTCTCATATTCAGAAGACCATCTCTGGCTTCATTCTTTATTTCGCAAAAATGAATGAAGCCCATGATGAAAAATAGAAATCGTAGTATTTGCTAAAATAAAGGTTAGGGTTAGGGGCACCTGCAAAAATGACGGAACAAATAACCCGAGGGGGATAGGCTAGGGTTAGTTAGGGTTACTGAAGGTAACCCTAAGTAACCCTAGCCTAGACCCCGGCATCTTAGGACCTAAGGGGCGAAGCCGCGTGGTCAGGGAAACTTAGATTCCTTGATTTACGTCATCTTGCGCGCCTTTTTTTGCCGAAATCTTATTGCTAGAAACGACCTTAAAAGTGAAAAAGATTTCGGTAGCCTGCCGAAATATTTTTGTGAAAACAGTGGAAAAAGTGAAAAAATTTCGGCTGTTACCGAAATATTAATCAGAAAATAAGCTCACCACATTTCGGCAGTTTTACCGAAACATTTTTCCATACTACCCTTCGATGTCGTAGGCGAAGGACTCGATGGTGAGGCCGCAGGTTTGGACGTCCATCGGGAAGTTTTGAAATTTCATCCGGCAGGTTAATATTGCCGAGAGTCTTGTTAAGGGTGTCAAACTTGCTTTTTACCTCATTTTTGAAGAAAGAAAAACAACGTTCCTGATTTCATAATGAATATTTCCGGCGCTGTCGATTCTCAACCGCTTATTATCGGAAATGATGTCATGAGTCCTTGCTGATTTCTCATTCGCGAAAAAGGGAAAGTGTCAAACTGCGATTCTTCGTTCGCGACAAACTTTTCCCGAAAAATACTGGCCACTGATTGGCCGGTAGGCCAAATACAGGCCTCTGATTGGCTTATTTTTCTCATGGATTTTCCATGAAAGTTTGTCGCGAACGAAGAATCGCAGTTTGACATTGGCCCCGAAAAACGTCTTGAAAAATTTCTTTTCGCTTCATTTATCCGCGAAAACTTACCTGGGATCCAGAGTTTGTCGAGAACTTTCAAGTCGAAGTTGAGAATTGTTCGATTTCGGAAGGTTTTTTCGCCAGGAATATAGGAAAAGAGCATCCTCGGATCTTGCCACTCCATTCTTTTGGACGATTAAGAGGGATTGATTTACGAGGAAAAATTACCGTAGGATATAAGTAAGGCCGAAATCCATTGTTGTTTCTTCGACCGAATCGATTGAGGAGACGAAAATGTTCATTTTTACTTTTAGTGGCTTTTATGAATGGATACTAAGATTCAAGAGCTTCATCAAAAAGTTAAAGTTATTACTTCAAATCCAAAGCTTCGTAAAAACATAAAAAAAGTCCGCGAAGAATATTATGGTGTCCATTTTTCCTGAATGTCTTCATATGGCCGCGTGTTTTTGTCCATTTTACCTTGAAAAAAGTCAAGTTTTTCGTCGAAAAAAATTTTTTTTCAACTCACTGATCAAATACTCAATCGTCTCTTCTTCCGTTCTCTCGCCGAAAATTCCGCCGAAAAGAAGAAAAACTGAAAAAACTAACATTTCCGCAAGTGCAACTGTATTTTGGAAGCCTGTGGGTCACTTAGGTCGATCTTTTTTTTCTTCGATATTTATATCGAAATCGTGACACAAATACATAAATAATGAGCGAAAAGAACACGAAACAAGCCATCAAATATTCTGATACGGATTTCTTTCTTTTTCACTTTTTTGAGTGATTTACTCGAATATGACATTTGTACCTTTTGATGCTAATTTATCATTAATGCAAAAACAAAAAAGTTCAGAAAGGTTCGCCCTTTTTTCTTTAGATTTTGAGTAAATAATTTATTCAATAAACTAATAGAGATAGAAATTTAAACAGTAAAAATCGGAGGCAGTAAGAGTTCTTTTTCGTATTAATGCTTGATCATGCTCCCCAGGTATACTGTCTTCCTCGGCCGAGCAGTTTTTCTTCTTGTTTCGTTGGATCCTGAAATGGCTTGAAAACGAATCAGAAGGGCTCAAAATACCTGATAACCAGTCGGACAAGTTTCAGCCGCAGTCAAGCAATCTCCGTTCAGAAGATCTTTGACGAGGCAAAAATTGACCTGGCAAGTTAGAGACAAGTCGGTGTTGATTTGCTCGCGGCTGAATTGAAAACTTCGGAAGCTCCAGTTGACCGCTTTGACTTGGGAAGGAGTGGAGGATTTGAGCTCGGTGCTGATGATTTTCGCGCCGCAGCCGTCTTCGATGACGGCAAAGGTCTGTTTTTGGATGAAAAATGCAAATTTGGCCAAAAATTGGTCAAAAATTTTAGTCAGGAAGAGTTTTGGTCAAAAAATTTGGTCAAAAAATAAATTTTGGTCAAAAAATAAATTTTGGTCAAAAACTTTTGGTCAAAAAATAAATTTTGGTCAAAAACTTTTGGTCAAAAAATTTTGGTCAAAAATAAATTTTGGTCAAAAAACTTTTGGTAAAAAATTTTTAGTCAAAATTATTCAACCCAATCCTGGTTGTAGTCTTCCGAAGCAATCAAACAATCTTGCAAATGGAAAAGAACCGGGAACTCGTCGGAAAAGTCCTCATTCCATTCGACCTGAAAGTTGAGCGTCTCTCCAAGAACGAGTTCAGAAGCATTGAGCGGCGTGAGAAAATCCGGCTCGAAGAAAGAAAGCGTCATCGTCTCATCCCAGGACACATCTTGGTCGATCGTCTTTTCTGCGTCGGTCCGGAAGGTCGTGACGGGACTGTAGATGCCTTTGGTCGTTTCGGACCACTGGCGGTAGTTGCAGTTGAAGACGAAATCGCCGTACTCGCCGAAGTAGAATTGGGTGCCGCCGAAGAAGCGCATTTGGTTGCCGAAATTGAGTCTTGAGAGGGAAATTTCTGTTCTTTTCGATTAGCCAATAAGATTGCGCGCGCGAAATTCAATCATTAAATTTCCGCCATTCCTGGAAGTAAAAGTAATGTGCATTTCTTCATCGATGTTTTTCTGCTCCGTTTCCATGCCGCACTCGCCAAGGGGAATTCCAAAGACGAAGCCGTCGACCTTCGGGTCATACGACAAGTTGGAGTTGCAATTCGTCGCTGGAATGCTGTTGAACTCGGCTTCGGTTTTGAGCGAGATGATGGACTGGTCACCGAGAGCGAAGGAGTTGATGGCGTTTCGCTTGACGAAGCCGTGCATTGTGTTGTGAACACACTTTTTAAGAGCTCTAGAGAGGAAATTTTTATCAAAATTTAAAATATTTTTCCCGACCAATTCTTTTTTTTGAAATAATTAAAGAGCCCAGTCCTTGATGCAAATCTCTTTCTTCATGTCGCAATCATCTTTGACCACAAATTTCTTGTCGTTGAATCCGAGCGCGAAGCCGATCAAAATGCACGGAGAAAATTTCACCATTTCTATTTTTTTTCTTATTTTTTTTTCTCGATAATTGGTTTATCGCACAAAAAAAGAGTGAGTACTGTGTAATCTGAAATGATTATCGTTGAGCTGACTTCACCGTTTTTTCGTTTTTGCGCAAGAGGGCGACATTTCTGTTTTTGCTAACGTGAGCCCACCCATGTCAAGGGGCATGAGATTTACTGGAATTCGGGAATCATAAGACCTATCGCTTTATCCCTTGATCAGTTCTTCGGAGAGAGCCAAAGCTTCATGAAAGGTTCAATTTTTGTTTATGAAAAAAAGGGTTGAAATTACGTCGATGTTACATAATTCCTCGCCATTGCTTCAGGTAAAAGCTTCTTGCAGAAAAGATATCCATGGTCAAACGTTGTTAAAAAAGCCTTAAATCGGGGTAAATTTTCTGAAAAAAAAGAAACAAGGAAATAAGAAATCAGGATTCCTTTGAGTCAGGTCCTGACTGTCAGGAGCAGGGTAGGCCGAAAGAGGTTGGGTTCTTTAAATCCCAGTTTAAGGGTGTCCACTTTGATTGGGTTAGGGTTCATCTCATGAATCCTAAATAATAAGGATTTATCTAAACCTGGTTGAAAGAAATGACTTTATTTATGACGCGAAGGTTCCTTAATTGTTGCAGAAAAAATGCAAACATCGATGTTGACACCCTTAAGTTTAGTTAAATTTTTGCATCCAAGGGATTCTCCCAGATTTCCCTTTTTCTGTTCCCTATCTTCTTATTGCTGGAATTTTTCTTGCAATAAAAAATGAGAAAAATAAAATCTAGGTCAACAGAGCCTTAAAATAACTCGAAGCGGCGCTTTCCCAAACGTGGTAGCGTAACGTTTCCCTGTTGCCATTCAAAACAGGGAAAAATTAGACGCTCTGTTTTAGCGGCTCGTGAACCAATTCAATCCGAAAGAGTCTAATTTTAACAAGTTTATTCACAGATTGATTTTTATTTAAAGGCCGCTTCCTTCGTAAACCGGAATTCGTTTTCTGTCATTTTCACATTGAATTTCTCGCTCGTCGAGTTCTTGTCTGTCAGACGTACTGAAGCGCACTTTGCAACCTAAAAATAAAAATTCCAAAAAGCGTCGAATTTTTACCTAAAGAAAGCTCCTGATCTGCATCAGTCGAAAATTGAAAGCTTCGATAGCTCCAGCGGACTTTGAATTTTGAAATTTCGAGAGCGACTCTAATTTTGACCCGACGATTTTTGCCCACAGCTTTTTTGAATAATGTCGAATGATTGGCCTGATTTTTCTCGGTTACAGTACAGCTTTCGACGTAAAAGACGATCGGGAAATTGTCCTTGATTTTTTCGACCCATTCGATTTGGAAATATATTCTAAAAGAAAATCTTTAGATGAGCAAATAAGACTCGAGATCGTCGATTCTCAGCCAATCAAATTTCTTTCTTTTACCTGTCTCCGAGAAACTGCTTCCCCGAAATTTCTCTTCTATAAGTTTCATCGTGAAAAGTCAGCTTGAAATCATTGTCCCAGCTTGATTCCTGAGTAATGTGATTCCACGTCTCTGAAGGGCAAGTTACCTCCTTATTTGGCAATATTGATCACCTGATCCAGCCTTGTATGTTTTAAAATGCGATCTGAGGCCCTTCAAGTCTGAGAGCATCGTTGAGGCTTGTCGCCTGAAATCGCAACGGACGGAAAATTCGACTCGGCCGTTGAAGAAAATTGTTCCTTGGATATCTTTCTTCGGAAGGACTCCGAGTTGGACAACTGTGCTGAAGGTAATCAGGTCTTCTTTGACTTCTAGGTCTAGGCCACAGGTTCCTTTCTGAGGCTCGTTATGTTTTTCTTTGGAAAAATAAGGATAACACTCTCTTTCCCTAATTCTAGAGCCCTTTTCCTAAGGGTACTTCCAAGGTATATCCATCCACAATCTCATTATACCCAAATCTCCCTCGACATTCTTCTACCAATCTGCTATTGACAGTCACTGCCGACGCGGACATCAGCTGATTCGTCGCCGTCGCATTAGCTACATATTCTCTATCGACAAAAACGTTGAATTGCTCCTTATCACAGCGCAGGCAAAAGGTGGTTTGCTTGTTGCAGGTTCTAGCAAAAATCTCTAGAAAAAGAAAGGCAATTAATTTCATTTTCTCGCATTGGGCTCGGTGGGAACGAAGCTTTCTATTTTTTGGTCTTCCTCATGCTGTCGATGGGATTAAAAAAGATTTAAATAGATCAAGAGTGTTCAACGATGGTCTATTTAAAAAAGGATCATTCTATTTTGGCCTCAATACCTAGTAATGAAATGAATTGAGCTTCGAAAATTTTAAGGGTCATCCTTAATTTAACGATCTAATGGTGATCATCCGCAGATTTTTCGCTTTTGAAATTTTTCGACATTAATTGATCTTCGCTCATGAATGGGATAAAAAAATGCAAGAATGCAATTTGAATTTTTCTTTTGAAAAATCCAAGTTGACCAATAATCATTCCCTTGCTTTTCGGTCTCCCTTTTCTTTGTCTTATCAAGATTGATTAATTATAATTAAGGGGAAAATTTTTCGGAAAAACCATAAATATTTTTCAAATTTCAATAATCGGTGTTTTCGAAGTCTGAAAATTAGCGAACGGAACAGAAAATAACGTGTAACACTGTCGTGGCTTGTAGAGTGCCCGAATTAGCTTTATAACTTTAACCTTACGACCACAAATTTCTCATATATAATAGCTCCTCATAACTAATTAGTCATAAATTATTAGTCAAAAGCTATTTTTTGATAAATAAATCTCTAGGATCCTAAGGGTATATGAGCAGAAAACGCTGTTTGAAATTTTGTGTTTGTCGAAGTGGAGATCCTTAATTTCAGGGAGAATCGATTCTTCGAATATTTGAAAAGAAATCATCGGCAAAAATCTGTCAAAGGAATCAACTCCTTTGGTGGTCTTCCAAAATTAAATGTCAAATATCGCGCGATTCTTGTTTTCCGTCACTAGAAAAAGATCGGTAAAGAAAGAGAAGTGTGAGTTCTGCCACGGGGCGGGTTATTCAGTCCGAGGAGATTATCTTATCGTCTTTTAAACTCGTTAAACTTAGGAAGAAATTTTCCCCGGGCTGAGTTTCAATCTTAGTCAGAATATAAAATGAGCAGACTCAGTCACTCAGGCTGAATAATCGATCGAACGTGTGTTGCGCTGAGTGCGGTGCGTGTTCAAGTAGCCGGCTGATTTTTTTTTCGACGGTAAAACAAGAAAAACAAGAAAACAGAGAAAAAACAAAAATCAAAATGGAAATTTTTAGAAAAATTAAAAGAACTTCAGAAGGTAAAAAATTATTCGCGATCGAAAAAATAAGTTTTAGAATATTTTTCGCTGGATTTGATTTCCGGCTGTTTAATAAGAGGAATCGGCCTAGCGGCTTTTTCTACTGCGAGTTTGGGAAGATAAGAGAGCAAAGAAAAGTTTTTATTCCGAATCCGGATGATTGGTATAAATACAGGTTCGTTTCTGTTATTGAAAATGAAGTTTTGTAGATGATACTTGAGATAAAATTATTTATCTCAGTGATACCCTTAAGAAAAATGCCCAAAATTATGGGATGGATTTCCTTGATCCGCGAAAACGGGGGTGGAGGTTAATTTTTGATGAGGGGGTTCATACCGGATAAGATAGGGGCTCCGCTAAAACGGGGGAGATTAATTTTTGATGATGGGGGTTCATTCCGGATGAGAAAGGGGGTCCGCGAAAACGGGGGAGGTTCATTTTTGATGGGGGAGGATTCATTTCAGATAAGGGGGTGTCATCTCATTATTAGTAACGGAAAAGGGTAGGGGTCCGTCATTTGCCATCTAATCGAAAAACATTCAGCTATCCAAAATCGAGCGAAGAGTCGGTGAGTGATGAACTTTTAATCCTCATCACAGCAGTTTTGCCTCTCATCATCTACGGCTTCTGTTTGTCCTTTCTGAACTCATCAAGCAAGGGCTTCTCGTTAAAAATGCAATTCAAGGAAAGAGCGAGTTCAATCATCAATTATTTCGTTAATTGAAAAAAAGAAGGAAAGAGAGAGAACTCGGAATTCAAGTTCATTTTCAACCAGATCATCGTTTATTTCCTGACAGGAATCGTCACCAACCTTCTCAAACAATCAATCCAGAGACTACGCCCAGACTTTATTGCCACGTGCTTTGAACTTGATGAGGTTCAATTGAGGTAAGAAATCAACCCTCCGAGGAATTTTCCAATTTGCTGCTCTAGAAAAGTCGTTGCAGAAGGCTTCAACAGTAGCTTCCCAGGAGCGACTCCATCCTGCTCAGCTTCAGAATCGGATCTTTGGAAATCGATGCTGAGCTTTCCATCGGGTCATTCTTCACTGGCCTTTGCGAATTTCGTCTATCTTGCTTTGAGGTAATTTTTGCTAAAATTCGGTCTTTTCTTAATTTCATTCTAGAGTCGTAAAGATCCCCGAAAAGCGACAATTAAAATCTGGTTCAATCGTTGAGGCATTTCTGCTGACTTTCCCGCTGCTGATTGTCCTCCCTGCAATTCACATTTCCCTCTCCAGAGTCATTGAAAATCGTCATCATCCTGAGGTACACCCTTAAAATTTAACCTATCTTATTAGTTTTAGGACATCCTGGCTGGTGCAATCGTTGGCTCACTTATTGCAATTACAGTCAGTCAAACAGAAGATCTTTTCGCGAAGAAAAACAGCGACGAGGCGAAATACGAGCCAGCTCATGAAATTTCTAGTGACAATCTCATTCCTTCAGCGTGACCAAAAAACGATTCTTCAAATAAATCATGATTTTCTTCAGCAATTTTTCAAACATGAATAGCTTTTTTTTATAACGGGCGATTCATTTTTATTTCATGGGCAATTCAATTTTATCTTCTTGGGTGAAAATAATGGGTGCTTAGACGAATGATTGTCGGATGTGGGGCAAGTGCTGGTGAATTTCGTCTTTGGAGATGTTCAAGTTGGTGTTTCTGAAAAAAAGGGTTGGAAGTGATTGAAGAAAATGAGGATGAACCTGATGTCGAGAGTTCTAGCAAAATTGAACTCTTTGATTGCGAGGAAAAACACTCCCTTGTCGGATGATTTGAGGCCAGGATTGCCACTTAGATTAATGATTCGCACGGCATCAGACTTGACCTGTCGGCGTTCTTTGCCACCATGGACATTGACATCAACAGGGTACTAGAGAACGGTTTGAAGATTTAGAATGAAAATACAGTAGTGTCCCAACTCTGATCTATTCTAGACTGTAACCAAGACAACATCTTACTGAATAACACATAGCAACCACCACTCTATATAAGACTCTGCCAACCATCTAACGCTGTCAGTCAGTTATACAGTCATTCAATTACTATATACAAACTGTCCACTTACACACAAGCAAATACAACAATAGAACCGGAAACAGTCAGTTGATCCCTTTTTACAGACCCAAGCAGCTCAGGCATCATCCAGACAGAACATTAAGAGAAGGACACTATCTATCTTGGTGACTGAAGAGAAGAGAAACGAACCTACGTGCAACGATGAAGGAGAAAACCTTGCTGTCAAGCACAAGGATAGAAAATAACGAAAGTACCTACAACATAATTAATACAATAAAAATCAAACCAACGACAATTCCAGAAAGACACATTATCCATCTATGCAAAGCACTAAAAATTAAAAATGCGGATCAAAATGTGGAAGGATACAAAAAATACTTCAAGAAAAGATTTTCGTCCAATACGAAAATACAAGTTCATGCGATCGCGGCGGTGTTCACACTAAAGGAAATAAGTGAAGAAGAAACAGACGAGATTTACTGCGTTCTCACATGTCCAACAATCGACTGGTTGAAAAAGCATACAGAAGAGAAAATTTATGATTGGAGCGAAGTAGTGGAACACGCTAAAGAAAACGTATCAACTATAAAAGCCTTTAATGAAGAGACCAAATGTGACTCAAGAGCCCTGAAAAACCACATGAACATTCTTTGGAACAAGCGTAAGCACCCAGAAGAAATAAGCAACTTCAAATTTTTTGACGAAGAAGAAGAATATGATGAAGAACAAGAAATATCAGTTGTCCAAGAAGAAGACGAAGAAGGAGAAGAAATGAAGGTCGAAGCAGAAGAAGAGCAAAACCAGTCATCAGCAAGTGGAAGAGTTAAAAAAGCGATAAATAAAATAGGAAGTAATTTGAAGAATCTAACTAGTATGCAACAATCAACATCAGACAGTGAAACAGACTATACAAGCGAAGAAAGCGATGATGACCCGTCAACCATCGAAGGAGAACAAGTAAATAACATCGACACAGAGGGAAATTCAAAAGGAAATATTAAAGATATTAGACTGACGAAATTCACTCAGAACGATGAGATTGATTACCTACCAAACTGGTACAAATCAAGCTTATTTCAAATACGACTTTACACTAAAGAAAAACTTGAAGAAGAAAGAATCAGTAGCATCCTTTTGTCAGCAATTGACAACAGAGGAGTTAAGGAAAGTCTCATATCACTCCTGACGGATTACCAGGAAAAACATCACAAAATAACCCTGAAAAGGTTCAAAAGTGCTATCGACACCATAACAAGGAAAAGCTCTGAAGCACGAATGCGCGACATCGAAAATACAGTATTCAATCCACACAAAGACACGCCAAGAGGATTCTACAAGAACATGGAAATGAAATGCTTGAAACTATTCCCAGACGAAAGAGCCGTCAGAAGCTACGTTGATATGAACTTTAAGAAGAAAATTACGACAGATCGCGTATTTGCGCAACTCAGCTCAAACCTTTCCGGTGAACAACTGATCAAAAGCGCCGAAGACTTCCTGTCTCATTCAAACATCGACCAAGTGAACAATCTGATTGAAAGGCACAATAAAAATCGTAAAACCGGCAACCAATATTACAACAATCGACAGGAAGGAAAGAATTCCACACAAGACAGGAAGCCACACAATAGTTATCCGAATAATAGGGGCGGATATCAAGGAAGGAAGCCGGAAAGAAAGTTCTATGACAACCAGAGGAAGTTCGACAACAACGGAGAGCAAAACCATAGCAACACGAGGAAATGGGAGAAGAAAGGTAGTCAGGGCTACAATGTACAGAATTACAACAAGCAAGAAAATAAAAAGGAGACTTTTGAGCCAAGAACTAAAAATCGAGGTTACCAAAACAACCGAAATCCGAGATACAACCAACAGCAACGTGAAATATCATGCTATAACTGTGGAGGCAATCATCCTGTGAGGATCTGTCCAGCATTGAGACAATACAACCAGGACAACCATCGAGGAAACTCAAGAGATGACCGAAACAGCTCCTAGAAATCAAGGACTACCAGTTATCGGTATAATCATAAAACTTAATCAAAATGTAAATATAAATGTAAACGCTTTGCTTGACTCTGGATCATCACTTAATTTAATAAAAAGAAGAAACATAGGTCACAGTTCAATAACAAACTCATGTGAAAAATTCATAATTAAAGGAGGAGATGGAAAAATCTTAGATAAAATATCAGATCACATTACGCCTAATATTTATTTCCCGTGCTTGGATCTAGAAGTACCAGAGGCGAAACTATTTCTTACAGACGCCAACTTGAATTTCGACTGTATATTAGGTTACCCATTAATAAGGATGTTGGACATTAACTTTTCGAGAATAAATATTGAACTCAATCCACTAGAGATTAACGAGATAACAGAAATAGTAGAAATAGATACCATCGTAGTAAAAACCACTCGAAGAAAGAATAAGAACGAAATAACTAACAAGACCTCAGTAATCATAGGTCCAAAAGAAAGTTTTTCCCTGAAAATAAATGAAAACATAAAAGGTGAGGTACTTATCGACAAAAGCAAAGATATGGAAAAATGCGGAATACAATTCGATGTACTTAATGGAGAAAGCAAAACATTATATGGAATAAATGAAAGCTGGAAATCGATAATCATTGAAGAAAAAACTATTCTTGGAGAAATCGCAGAAAATAATTCAACATTGGAAACAATTAACACTCTCATAAGAGCAGACATGTTATCAAGACCGGAACTAGAACAACACTCAAGAGAATACGAGTCATGGAAGAGACAAAGGACAAATCTGATAAGGCAAAATAACATGGCAACACTTATAGAATCAAAAATTAGAGAAGCAGAAGTTGAAGAGGAAATAAAAGAAGAAATTCTGGAGAAAACGAGAAAATACCATCCTGTGTTCGCGAGACAAGAGAATGATGTGGGATTCAACAAAAACTATTTGATAAAGCTAGAATTCAATGAGAACATGGAAAATAGACGTCCAGAATCAAGAAGACCTTACAAATTCCCAAATAACGAGGAGTCCCAAATTATGGATTTTCTTGAGAAATTGGTAAAGAGCGGCGTACTCGAACACAGCAACAGTTCATGGACATCACCATCGATGATCATAAAGAAAAAGAACAACAAATATCGATTGGTCACGAACTTCAGATTATGGCTAAACCCACTGTTAAACGTCCCTCAATGGCCGATACGAAGCATTCGAAGCCTATTTCATAGCATCGCGATAAATATTGGAGATCTTCAACGCGCGCACCCGAAATCACCAATCAAATTTATCAGTGTAGATATGAAGTCGGGTTACTTTACCCTTGCAATCGCTCCAGAAGACCGCAAATACACAGCATTTCCGACACCAAAGAAACTACTTCAATACAAAAAGTGCTCACAAGGACTTTCAATAGCACCAGCATGCTTTAGTCAATTCATCCATGAAGTCTACGAGCTACCAAGACGATTTGAAAATGACTTTCGAATAGAAACTTATCTGGATGACGTCATTCTCATTGCAGTTGAAAAAACACTTGGATTAGCTGTGGAATGGCTTCTCAAAACAACTTTGGACAACGACATCATCTTGGATATACACAAATGCAAATTTGGAACGAACGAAGTAGAATTCTTAGGATTTCGACTAAATAGTGAAGGAATAAAACCGATCAAATCAAAATACGAAGGACTTATCAAATTAGAAACGCCGAAAACACAAAAAGATTTGCAGAAGTATTTGGGATCTGTGCAATTCTACGCAAGAGTCATACCAAGAGCAATGAATATTCTAAAACCCCTAATGGATGAAGTTTCGAACAAGAAATTCAAAGGATCTGAAAAAGTCAACACAGCGGTAGAAAAATTGAAACAAAACATCAGAAATTCAAATCAACTCTTTCATGCATTACCTCAAATAGGAGAATCATACATTATAGCCGTCGACAGTTCACTAACTGGCTATGGTTGCATGTACGGACTAGCAGAAGTCAATGACGAAGAAGTTAAAAAAATAAAGCCAATTGCTTATGGATCGGGAGCTTTTGCAAAACACTTACAACTAGACTCATCGAGGAACAGGGAAATGGTCGGACTGATGAAAGCACTTACGTACTTCAAAGATCTTATCGATACAAGGAGGAAACTTTACGCGTTTGTCGACCATAAATCACTTATGACATTGGAAAATAACGAGACAGCAAAGAAAGAACCGGTAACGAGAGTTCGCAAGGCACTCGCGTGCATTATGGAAATGCCAAATCTAGAAATTAGATATGTATCAGCAAAAAGCAGCCTTATCAACTGCGTGGATGGACTTAGCAGAGCAATCACAAACACATCGACGTTCGAAGCAGCAGATATAACAAAATGGGCAAATGCGGTACTACCAGAAGAGAAGCTAAATAATATTAAAATACTGGAAGATGTCAAACTCAAACATCCAAGTACTATTTCATTCACGAAAGAAGAAATAAAAGCAGCACAGGAACAAGATGGATTCTGCATTGATGTACGCAGAAAATCAAATGGAAAACTCATATGGGAAATAGGAGAAGCCCAATACGAAAACATCGATGGAATATTACACAAAATCTTCCCAAATAAGGAAACTAAAATCATTCTACCAAAAGAACAAGCATTCATAACACTTACAACATTTCACTACAGTTTTGGACACAGTAGTGAAAAACCACTTAACAAGTTGCTCACAAAAAACAAAATTCATGTCCATAAAAAATCAAAAATAATGAGGCAAATCGTTCAAAATTGTTTTATATGCCAAATGCGGAAAAGGCGAACGCCACAACTTTCGAGTAGAAAAACGATTCCATCAATTAGGCCATTTCAAGAAATTTGCATAGATAT